ACAGTCTACATGACTTCGTCCTCCCCCGGCCTTTGCGCCCCTACATGTATATAGTACACAACCTCAATATAATATACTCTTTTTCGCTCGGTGGCGATGGTTATAACCGCCCACGACTTACCCCACATCATGAACCCAGAGTCATAAAGTGCTACGCAATTGAGCGTCAACCGGAGACTATCATCTCATGGTATGTGGACAGCTGCAGAGGGAGAAACAAACAACCAGAGGAAACGGACAAGAGGGTGCGTAAGGAATAATTAGGAGGTGTGAAAAATGAGGTAGTTGGAGAACAGAACAACAGACGAGGTGTGGTCAAGTACTTTGTGAGGTGACAAGAGACTTCTATTGGCGACTGGGCAAGCGAAGGAGGAGGTAAGGGTGTGTAAGAGAAGGGTGTCGTTGTGGTTGAAGTTCTTTCGGGTGTCAAGTAAAGGGACAAAGAGCGGCCAAGTCGACAGACATACAGGTAGATATCTGGTGTCTATATTGTGAGTGTGTTCAGAGCGCCTGACAAGGAAAGTTTTGTGAAGGTGGTAAGAGATATCGAGTATGTTGCAGAGTGAGGGGAGTTGTGTGTCGTGAAGGAGATGGTGAGTTGGTGGTCATGCAGGCGTTGAAGAAAGGACGGGGGAAGGAGAGTAAAGTGCAAAGTGGTGGTGAAGAGAAAAGATGGCGTCAAGTGTTCAAAATAAAAATAAGACACACATCCACTCACACTTGAACTTGTGAGATTAAGGGGCATTTTGTTGCAGTCTTACGAGGCTTATTGATTGTGGTCATAGCCTATAGAGCACTCTTATTGTGGTGTGCGAGTTAGCCTCCTCTTCTTTCTTCATACAAAAGCGCATTTCACTGACCTAGGGCCCCGACCGCTGACAGGAGTTAACATCTTGTCATTATCTATCAAACGCCTTCATTCCCCCCGGTCTGTTACTTCAGAAAAACGAGGCAAAAAGAACCGATCGATCGAGCTGACCATTAGTTCGGATACGCTTGAAATAAAAGCATGATTCAGCATCTCTCCTTTGTGAAGGTCCACTTGAACAGACCGTGCGCACTGGCACCCTTTTTGTACTTTTGCCTTTGTTCACTGCATAAACGGACAAATGTCAAACAGAGAAGTTAGTCTGGTGGAACTTTCGTGATGTCAACCGGCAAAAAAAACTCGGTGTGGTTCTTGGTTCCTCCGTCTGTCCGCCTCAGGCAGGTACATTCGGGGACCAGAGTAAGCAAGAGGGAGTGGTTAATGGGCGCAATTCCCGCCGTTGCGACAGCAGGCCTGCAAGAAAATGAGTCGTATCGGCGATCGCAGCAATCCCCGATAGAAAATAATCGCCGAACGCTAGAACCCACAGTTGATGATCAGGGCGAAGGCGACTGTTTATTTGCTGCCTATCAACGACCGTGACCAGATTCGTCCATTGATCGATATTAAAGGGAGAGGCCACCGTCGACAACAAGAACCTAGCAAGACGAGAAGCCAAAGTCGCGTCAGCTAAACTACTTTTACAAACCCATGGTTTCCGAATGGTGCTGACGCGAGAAAGGTACAAAGAAAAAGTACAAGAACACCTTACTTGTCCTGTGATAAACTTTGCTTGAGCTAGGAAGAGGGCAGCTTCGGCAACATCGTCCGCTTGGCCCAGACGACCAAGGGATGTTCTTGCAACTATGGCCTTCTTGCGGTCCTCTGGTATGCCTTTATGGTTGCATCAGCAATATATAACACGAACGAGAAAGAGAGAGAGAGAGAGAAGCGTCAGAATTAAGTACAGGGATGATACGAGGTAAGAAAGAGTAAGTTCATGGTCAAGGAATGGGAGAGACCATCTATAACACCAATCACAACAAACAAACAAACAAAAAGCACATAGCGCAAAGGGTGTTTAGTCCAAAACTTTGTTGTTTAATTGGTGAATGTGAGCAGTTCAGTGCGGCACACCTACTTGACGTCATGTCGGTGTCGATATAGCCAGGAGCAATAACGTTCACAGTAATGTTTCTTGAACCAACCTCTTTGGAGAGGGATTTTGAGAATCCTACGCACAAAAATTAAACAACAGATAAACAGACCAACAATCAGACCGACAATCAAGCAGACAATTAACAAATACAAAAAAAAAGGGAGGTCCAAAGATTGAAAGAAAGGGATGAGAGGAAGGAGGTGGTGAGATAGGTTTTTCCTTCTTTCATTTTCAAGGATGCTCCTATTCGTCCATCTCTCCCATGTCACAGTCATGCAAAGTTCAGTTACGGTCAAACCTCCTTCGAATCGCTTCTCTGTCCACCACTTGCTTAAAGAGACTTCATTTGCTCCCTGCGTACCGATAATAGCTGACTTGGATGCGCTGTACACAGATTGACCAATGTTCCCTTGCAGACCAACGACACTCGAGATGTTGATGATGGATCCTAATGATTCCCATACCGGCGCCCCAGGAAAGGATACACAACGAAAAAAAAAAAAAAAATCCATCAGATCATTGGTTGCTACAAAAGCAAAAAGTGTAGAAAGGTTTGCACTTTTGGATTGGATCTAGCAAAACGGCAAATTTGGCCATCTAGGGGGTTGTGATAAGGAGAGTGAGGAACGTGTATGCATGCAAAAATCGAGACAAGTCCATGGACTTGACAAGAAGGAGAGAGAGCGACAAGGACCCTTACCCCTTTTACGACGCATCATTCCCTTGACAACGGCCTTGTTGAGCCAGATGGTACCCATGAGGTTGGTTGAAATCACGTTTTCGATATCCTGTGAGGCATGCGCGATAAGCAGAGAGTCCCGAGTAATTCCCGCCGAGTTGACCATATAGTCCACAGGAGCGACCTTGCCCAGCTCCTAAAGTGCAGTAAATATTCCCAGCAGAGCGGATCAAACTAAATGAGTACAGGTAATCCTCAATAATAGAGCAACCATTCAATTGCCGGTCGATTATATTATTGCTCAGTAAACTATTCAATGGCCTGCTATGAGTGCACATGGCCAAGAAAGTCTTTTATCTCCTCCTGGCCCCATCCCTCCCTGTTTTATGCCCTCTGTCTCCATATGCACCCCTTGTTTTCGTTCCCTCCCCCGTCCTCCACCTTGCGATTCAATGACAAACAAGGGTCCATGACGGTGTGGCAGTTGCCAAATCGCGCTCTTTTTCGCAATGCCAATACCGTAAGCAGGGTGCTCAGATGCTCACTACTGCTGCTATTGGAGAAAGAACGAGAGAGAGAACCGAACGTATAACATACCTTGATGGTCCGCTCAATGTCCTCCTGGTTGGATACGTCGCACTGGAAGCCCAAATGTTCCACGGACGAATTGCTCCCATGAATCGGGGCGAGTTCTTTTTCGAGAACGTGCTTGATGCGTTCTTGGTCTCGTCCCAGAACGACAACGCGTGAACCATTGCGTGCAAAGAGTTTGGCAGTTGCGAGACCTATTCCTCGCGTTCCGCCTGGGATCAATGTCAAGGTGTTGGCCAGAGGCAGGGCCTGGTGACCATCGAAATATTCATTAAAGATGAGAGGTGGTTAGTTCAGTTGTAAATGCCTGTCGGCAACCCATGAGGATCCATTGCTCCTTTAATACTGCCGCTTGCTTAGAGTAGCAGTGTGCAGCAGCACTTGGTGTGTTGCGATGGCATGGACTTGCAGGGCTCATGCATAGAATTGAGTAGTGGGAAAAGTAGTAACAGCAAAAGTGACAGCACTCGTTGGTCGTAAGCACTTGCCTCATGGACTGCTGTTGAGTATGTGCGTCTGAAGGATGAGAGCATGGAGGGAGCTGAGTGGTTGTGTGTGCTTGTGCTGTGTGTGATGTGCGAGTGAGCGTAGTGATGTTGAAATGTGCCGGCTGGCAAAACGTAGGAGAATTAGGGGGTGACCAGAACAAGGTGTTTTGGAATGTGTAAGAAAGGGGGTGTTCAGTGTGTGATGGAGAAGGGAGGCTGCGGTTGTTGTTATTGTTATTGTCTCCGGGAATCTGGATGAAAGAGAGGGAGAGGGCGAGATTCGCTTAAGCTGATTGCTTACGGCTGCAATGAGAGGAGGACAGAGTTCAAGGGTGCAAGTCTGGTGCAAGAACGAGGAGACGGACGAAAAGAAAGGGTCAGGAACAAGGAACAGAGGAACAGAGGAACAGAGGACAGGCAGCCCAAATGATTTGATCAATTAGAGAGCACCCGATTCATTACCACACATGACAGACAAGCAGGCAAAAAAACAAATGCACAGACAGAGAGAGTAAGGGAGACAGATAGAGCACATCTCATCTGTTACGATTCGATCCTTTTATTTATTTATTTTTTTACTTTAATGTTTAATGTATAATGTATTTATTTATTGTGCAAACATCATCCCTCAGTTCTCTTGCATCGCGATTAGGCCATCCAATCCATTCGCCCAAGTGGACACAGCTGCTCGGTCTTCACTTTTACGTATTGTCAGCGTATGACCACAGTTCATTTCTCCGCCGCCTTTTTCCTCAATGTTCTCTTCTACCCACCTCTTCCTTTCCCTCGCTCCTTTCCATCCCGTCTCTCCAAAGCCCTTGGATATCATCGCCTTTCTTTTTCTCCGTTGCCCTCAGATCTATAAAATCCTCGACTCCCGCCCATTTTTTTTTCGCAATGGTCCATCATTCAAACCCTCGGTCAAAAAAAGGAGAACAAAAGACAAGTACTCAAGCAACAAACAACATTGACAACCACAAACTGTTACACACAACTCGGCCACATACACATACAACACATTAATACCCTCGAATCACTCAGACACCCTTTGGCATACCAGCATCTACACCCTCCACTCATAATAACAACATCAATCATTGACATACACAAACACAACATTTCCAACCACGATCGTTAACTTCGCCTCACTGTCACACAGGCACACACTCACACGTCCTCTGTCCAATTACACCCCTCTACAAATCAATCGATCAACTATCCGCGACTACTACGACACCCAGCAACAACTTATACCCGCAACAACTATCGTCAACTATGATCGCCTATATCATCGTGCACATTAGAGGGGGCAAGAAACTGCGTATTCAGACCATGCCGAACATGCTCCTACGCCAAGTCGTCCACACCGTCTGTAAGACACGCAACGACCGTCATCCAGAGAGCTATACTTTGAGGTGAGTGGCGCCTTCTCTGTTTCGTCTCTGTTTGATCCGAAAGACCTTGTTCGTTTCATCCTGGATCCAGTCCAACCAACAGCAGCAACCACTTGCGCGAGCGGACACAAATGATGAAAAATTATTGAGGGATGAACTTTTTTCTGTCATTGTTCATGCCTGCTCACTCCTTGTGCATCCTCTCATTTTTTTTCGTTTCTATTTGATCAAACCCCACTTCTTTGTCAACAACGTAAAAGGAAAGGAGACTACGACCTCGACCTCTCCTTGACAATCCACAAAGCCGGGGTCACCTCTGGGTCACGACTCCACCTCGTCAAGCGTTTCAGTGGAACCTCCCCCGGTAAGGAAGCCAGATACCTTTTTACTAGTACTTGGTCAAAGATCGGATTTTCCGTTTCGTTGGCTCCCTCCCTTCGATGCTAATGTTCCCTCTCCTTTTCTCATTTTTACTTTGTTCTCTGTTCATCTTACCTCATCGACATATCTCTCAACGAGCAGCTTCATCCCACTTCAGCATCGCATTGCAGTTGGGAGCCAAGTCCAAAGGAACTATTTCCCTTCCAGCATCCGCCTCTCTCCGAGCATCATTGCCTGTCCTTGAGCACGCAACTAAAGGGTAAATTCGCCGATGCAAGTTATTAATTCACGAGTCCAAAAGGACAAACCTTCCCTTGTAGCTCTGCCTTTATTTCTCTCCATATTTCTAACTCTGTTTCTGATTCTTCCTCTTATAACGCTTGCTCTCTCTCCCTTCTCATGTCACTAACATATAGATATTACAAATCAGCAAAGTGCACCGACACATTCCTACCCTCCGCCTCCAGCTCGCTTCACCGACGTCTCGCAAAATCTGAACGTACTTCGCCAAAGGTAAACAAAAGCAAAAACACTACTCTCCTTCTCATCCTACTCCATCCCTTGCAATGGTTTCCCTCATATCCGACACCAAAGAAACAAAACAACAACGGCATTATTCTTCCAATTGCTACTGTTGACCTAATTGCGCATAGAAAAACTGACGTGCCTCAAAACCACATTTTTATGCTCGTTTGGATGAACACCAAAAAATCATTTAGTATGTTCCCTTCCACCACAGTTTGGAGTCAAGCACATTTGCAGTATCAGCCGACTTTGAATCGGGAACAGGAGTCGTTCGAGTGTTGATGCCCCATCTGAACGCAGGATTCGATCTTTTCATGTCCGGTTACGACGATAACGACGACGTCAACATCAACGAGAGCTCGGGTATTTGGAACTTCGACCTCGCTACCCCACAGTCTTCTTCACCTTCGACAACTCAGTCAAGTACAGGACCAGCTTTCACCACACTCTCATCCTCCTCCAACAACAATACGTCCGCATCTCCAACAGAGCCCACTTTTTTCAGTCCAGCTCCAATTGCACAACCCAACAACGACAAGCCTCTCAGCGAAATCGTCTCTATCCCCACTCCATACACCATGCCCGTTCCCAGTTTAACACCCCGCACTGGCATTGTGGCGCCTCTTTGTCGCGATGGTCATCTCCCCAGCAGCGGTAACGGAGGCAACGGGTCCGACGGCGAATCCAACCGCCAAACGCCAACTCAGGATATCAATGCAGCGATGATTGAAGCCAACCAAGAGATTCGTCAGCGTTTGGAGCAGCAGACCCAGGAGGCATTGACGGATCGAGTGAGATGTCTCTCCAAGAACTCGGACAGCTCGTCTGATAAGGATCGGTTCCTCCGAAGCATGCAGGGAAGTCCAACCAGCAAGAAGAACGAGCAGGATGATATTGTTCGCCAAATCGCACTTCGTGTCAGCCGGATGTTGAAGGAGGCTGAGGAACGTGGTGAGGCTCCATTGGACTATCAGACCCTCATCGCTCAGGAGATTGCCAAGGAACAACAGGCTGGAATGCTGAATTTGTAGATCACACGCATCATGCGCACGTACACACACGTTCACACAAGAGCGACAGTTTTTTAGAATAATAAATGTGTTCACTTGAATGGTTTGGTTTCTTGGATCAGCAATATTCGTTCACAGTAACAGTGGAGAGAGTCGTCCAAAAATACAAGGATGATAAATCCGTTACGCCAGGGATGCGATGACTGGTGCAATCATGGACTTGGATCATCATTCTACTATGCGCACATTTTTTCCCTCCTATCCAGGATGAGCTTCTCACTCCCATTGGTTTTTTGTATCTTTTGCCTTTTTGTCGTCGTCCGATAAAAAAGGGGTGCTTCCAAGAATAACCCTTTGGAAAGTGAAACGAACAATAAATGGTCACGAACCTGTTTAAAGCGAAAACGTGAACACCCTCACTCTGCCAGTGGAAAGCCTTTGATTCTTTTTTTGTTGCTGTTCCAACTCCCTACTCATCTTTAATTGCCATTCCGTCAAGACCCCTGCCAGGACTTTCTACCATGTCGTCTCCCCTGGCAAGAAGCGCAAGCACCATGTCAAGCACAGACATGGAGGCGTAAGTTTTACCTTTCGTTTGATTTCTGGAGGGAGTAGACGGAGAAGGGAGGCAATGGCCATGTCGAAACAGAGGAAGGGTGGTTGCTCTTGTTCATTGCAACAACAGTCAAAGATTGAAAGGCAACCAGCAACGTTGACTTTCCACCTTCCCCTCAGCATACTGTATTACTGCAGCAAAAAAAGAAGCTCCAGCTAATGTTGGCGCGTGGGCCAGGGCATAGCCAATTGGTCCGCTCCTCCATTTCTGATATTCAAAGTACTGATTCAACTGATTATGTCCCCCCCCCTCCCTCGTAGTATGTTCGCTAAGATCCACAAAGATCAAGCCTCGCAGCTTGAACTCCTTCGACATACAAAACGCGCCATGGATAAGACAATAGCCTCATCCAAGGACGGGCCCGACTCTGCTGCCGCGTCTCTCGCAGGCCTGGTTAGGAACTTCCTTCTACTTTGGCACAATGGGTCATCTGCCTGATTGTTTCTAGTTGTTTGGGCTCAATTGAAGCACATTAATTTCGCCTCTTATTTATTTTTATACTTTTGTGTGAACGCGGATAGGCATTTGAGATCTTGGGCGACTTGCTGGATGAAATCGTGCTGGATGTGGTGTCTGAAGCCCATAGGGAGGTCAAGAACATGCGGACGGTGTGTCCCATCTGCAAAACAAAGTATGGCCCTATGAATGAAAGGCAGTCTGTTGGCTGCCCGGACCTTGATATACATTTCATTTTTTTTTAATTGTCCAAGAGACTTACCACGTTCCCACTTTGTTTTCTGATTTGTCTTGCTTCAACTCCATAGATGTCGAAACTATGGTAACTACAGCTTTGTGAAGCTATTAGGATTGCATTGGAAGAAGTCGTCAAGATAGTATGACATGTTTCGCTCAACTGACCACCGACTTCTGTTTACTTGCTTATTCTCGTTGCAGTGGTCCGGGCGGGTCAGGATATTTTCGGTCAGAATCCACAGCCCAGTAACTCTCAGACGTTCGATTGCGTACATTGTCAGCGATCTTTCCCAGCACAACGCTACGCACCTCATTTGGAGAAGTGCCTGGGACTTGCTGGAAGATCATCAAGCCGAGCTGCTAGTCGTCGGTAAGCCTTACTTGGCTTTTATTGCGCTGAGGCGATGAACGTTCAGGCGATGGCAAAGATGGTCACCTAACGACGTACATTTTTGCATTCCATACAAAATAGGATGGGCGCTGAAAGGGCTGGATCAGGATCGCCCTTCACACCTGTGAGCTACTCCGATGACCGAGAAGCGAGTGACTCGGATAAGGACCTCATTGAGAAGAAACGTAAGGCGCGCGCGGGTCAATCTATACCTGAGGACCTACCTCATTACCACTTAGTGTTTTGTACTGATGATGCGTCCTTACTGTTGAATGGTAATAATAGGCAAGAAGAATGCGTTGAAAGACAACTTTCAATCCAATGGCAATACAAGCGGAGCAAACGGTGGCGCTGACTATGTCACTCCAAGTCCGGCCAAGGTACATTTTGCTGTCGAATTGTCTTAGCTTTTCGAATGATAACACGTGTAAGTATAAAGTATACTAACATTATATCTCGTTGTTGCTCGCTTCTCTGTAGTCTTCAAGTTCGAAGGTCAAGAAGCAGAAACGTAAGTTCTCTCCTGTCGCTCCCTCCTTGAAGAACGCAAATGCCGCGTTTTCATGGAGGCTTCAGGATCTAACTATGCTCATCTATCGCGTTTATCATGCATGTAGAGACGGATTCTTCAGATTACCCTGCAAAACCACCCAAGGTAAATACTTGTCCCGGGAAGTGAAGTCAAGAAAAGCAGCATCTTCAAGTAAATTGTTCAGCCCTTTTTCTGCGACAACCAGACACTAACCAAGATTGTTCTGTGTTGTACCTCATGCAATCGGTGTAGTCCTCTCTTTTGGCAAAATGTGAGCATCTTTGCAAACGAAAAAAAAAAGACATAGAAAAAAAAAGAAAAAGAAACGTGCACCGACATTCGAATGCATGATAACACACTACTCCATCAGAGAAGTGGTTCCAAAAACTGATCTCCGTTGCACCTTGACAAAACAACCCAATTAGCGCACAAGTCAGGAAGCTCGACAAAGTTGAAGGGGCTTGGACTACACGCGCCATCTTCGACAGCAGCAGCACCTCGGGACCCAACGCCTGTCGGAGAAATCTCATTGGGGTTCCTGGAAGACAGCCTTCTTCTTGCCAATGGAAGGAGTCTTCAGAATGGCAGTGGCGGCGGAGGCAACGAGAACGGCAATGGCGCCGCCACTGCCACCGCTGCTGTATCGACGACGGCAACAACGACAGGCACGACTCAGAAACTGTCGAGCTCGAATCCCAAGCGTGCTTCGGGAGGAGGTGTCAGTTCATCCAAGCGTCCGCCAGGTTCATCGGGTCCGTCAAGCAAAAATGGGCAAGTTTTATCGTTTTATGACAGCTTGAGGGCGATCGGAAGTCCGGAAGGTGCCAGCAGTGACGATGAAGACTACAGCATCAAAAACAACACCACCGCCAATCACTACAACAATAACGGTGATGCTGATTACGATGGCGTCAATACGTACAAGAAAAGGAAGAGCAACAGGGATAATAATCGCCGTAAAACGAAGAAGGGCAAAAGGGATCTTTCATTTGATGACGACGAGGACTACGGCGACGGTGATGATGGCGAGAGTATCGACAGAGATAAGGACAAAGGGAACGACTACCAAGGTGGCTACGACGAGGACCTCATGGAGGTTGATGAGCATGCTCGATATGGTGGTGGTGGCATGGTGGGTGTCCCACAATCATCATCCTCCTCCTCCTACTCGTCCTCTTCAAAAGCATCATCTCAACGCCTCCCTCCGCTTGTTCTTAGACTCAAGAAATCCTCGGCCTACTCTGGAGCTTCTACCGATGCGCTTGACATGGAATTCATCGGTAAATGAGCAAACCCTCCTCCCACCCACCTACCACCTACTCCAGTTGTCGCGACTCGCTCCTTTCTTTCCTTCTGCGCCGTCGAATCTATTGCAAGAGACCTTTTTTTTTCTTTCCTTCGCCTCTTCCATATCGCCATCCCTATCTCGATGGCGCCACCACTTTGCGCAACTACGTTTTCTTTTTTTCTCTTTAAATAATAACAAGGAAATATATGCCCTTTCCCTCAACTTTCTCACCTCTACCCTTTCAGATATCGATGGTGACGGCGACGAGGACGGGATGGATGTTTTGCAGACACCCAAGAAGAAAAAGTCATAGAGAAGACAACCAAGCAACCAAGCAAAGCAACCAGCTCTGCCTTTTTAGACGGTCCATCAATCAGTATATTTCCATGCACTGCCATCATCACCCACCACCACTTGCCACTCGCCAAAAACAAGCACTACTCCCTATCACTAATAAACCCACACACCATGGCCAGCTTTCTAATATGGACAAATGCAAATGCAGTTTATATTGCAACAATAATGGAATGAAGAAGAGAGAGGGGATTATGATAGGTGATTGGAGGTTTCTGGGCCAGAATTCTTCTTGAAGCGCTTGGATGCTCTGGCCTTGTTGCGGGCTGCAGATTTGTGCTTCCGCTTGAACTCCTGGGTCATTGTGTGCCTTGTCTTTTCCCAGTTGGCCGTCACCTCGTCCATTGTTCCAGTTCTCATGAAGACCTTGTTGTTCGTCTTGAAGTTGGACCTATATAGTTTGAACGAAAGGTGGGCGAGGTTAGAAAAAAACTTGCCTGGCTCTAGCAGCAAAACAAGAACTACCGCTCATTCAATGTTTTTTGAATCGATCGCATACCTCTTGAGCAAGGACGGGTTCTTGAAGTGGAAGAAGAAGAGGGATCCAGAGTGCGACAAAGGAGCTCTGTTGAGAGCATCAGCGCCACTAGTAAAGATCGTCCTGGCGCCATCGGTGTAGGCTGTCACGATCGTGTCCTCGTCCCGGTCATCATGATCCATACGATCATCCTCGACATCTCCGTGAAGGTCCTCTTCTTCATCCTCTTCCTCGTCATCATCACCACCACCAAACATCTTGAAAGATCCTTCTGTGGGTGCAAACAGGGACTTGAGATCTGAAGAGACCTGGAACTTTGTCGTGATCTCTGTATCCTTCTTGACGGGAGCGGCGGTAGTTGAGCTGCTTGGCTCCTTATCTTCATTGAGGTCATCCTCGTCGAATCCAAACGAAAACCCAACAGATTTCTTGACTGGCTTGACGGGTTCCTCCTTGCCCTCCGGCTTGAGGTCATCTTCATCGGATCTGAACGAGAATCCGACAGACTTCTTGAGAGACTTGGCGGGCTCCTCCTTGATAGGCTCGTCCTTGGTGGGCTCCTCCTCAGGCTCCGAATCCGTAAACACAGTCAGCTTCGAATCATCAGGCTCCGGCGAGGACTCGACCGAGGCCGGTGCAGGAGGAGCAGGCTCAGCATCAGGATCATAGCGAGTCGTCAAACCCGTCGTGAACCCAACACCACCCTTAGCCTTTCTTGCAGAGTCCTCCTCCTTCTTTTTGCTCCGCACTGCAGAATCTCCAAACATGGCCCGAAGAACATTCAAGGCCTGCAACTTTTCGGCTGTGACGTTGGACTCGACCTGACGTTCCTCGTCTAAGATGATGTCTGCGGCACCAGCTCCTCCCTCAGCATATTCTTCACCCTCCAAACGCTCCTTGTGTGCCATGAAATCGATATCGTCATCTTCGCGGATCCGTTCGTCCAAGAAGTCCTTTGTCAGTTGGAAACGAGAATCGCTTGTTCCGATCTTGGTCTGCATCTTGAACAGCGCTTTACCACCAGGACCCTCAAACTGCTCCTTGATTCCCAGATCTATTCACAAGAGTTAGAAGCAACGTTAGCTTATGGACATCAGACAAAAGCATCAAACAGTATGGACTGGTAAGAGAGTCGTTGTGGTTACCTGGCTCACCAAACTTGGCACCTAGTCCGGAATCATCTCCTTCATCATCAGAACCAAACATCTCCTTCACACCCCTACGCTTTTTGGGTGCCTCTCCTTCCTCCGAGTCCGATCCAGAATCAGAGTCGAATATACTCTTGAGAGGTTTGTTCAGCTTGGCCATCTTCTTTTCGTGGTCTGCCTCCAATTTCTCATAGTCCTCGCTGTCATAGTCATCCGAGTCCTCAAACACAACGTGTCCAGCCTTCTTGTCCGTTGAGTCAATGTTGGCCAGAGTCGATGCGATCAATTGTTGCTGTTTGCCGCGGACTGCTTCCAGCTCTGCCTCACGGGTCTCCAACGCCTTCAGACGAGCAGTATTCGACTCATCAGCAAATTTGGTGGCGCCGGCCTCGTCCTCATCGTCGCTCTTGGTATCTTGATCGCCGTCGTCTCTTGCTCCCTCGTTGTCGTCGTCAGAGTCAAAGAGACCTCCACCGCTAGACGAGGATGATCCTTGGAGCTGTGCAATCGCCTTGATGGTATCCTCATCCAGCCCCTCATCGTCTTCCTCGTCTTCCTCTTCGTCCTCGTCATCCTCCTCTTCACCCTCACTCTCCATGTTCTCGTCTCCGTCCTCCTGGTATTCTCCTTCGCTCTCGTCTTCGTCGTCCAAGAAATCAAGTGACGGTCTGTTCCTTTCATCCTCCTCGTCGTCATCATCACCAAACAAATCCTCGGGCCTCGAGTCCCGCTCGGCCTTTGAGATCTTCTTGGTAGGTTGCTCGTCATCCATGGCGACATCTCCAAACAGGTCGTCGGCATTGGTTTCGCCACCCATTCCACCAAAGTCCTCCATGTATCCACCATCTACGTCGCCGTTATCCTCGAAATCAGATCCGTCTAGTGACATTGCGCGGGGACTCATATCCAGTCCTGCCAAAACTGAGGCCATCATGGCTCGGTCGCCTGAGGTGTCGACCTTGTTGAGGGGCACTTGGCGTGATGACTCTGAGGATGTTGCTGCCGTTGATGAAGACGATGCAACAGGTGTCCGCTCCTTCTTGTCCACTGAAGATTTGGTCGTTGCTGCTGATGCTGGTACCGGTGCGGGTTTTGATCTTGCGAGGAATGGGGCCAAGGCAATCTCAGATGGCAGGTGCTTCCCTTTGGGGACGGGCTCGTTCTCATCGATCTTGTAAATCAGCTGATTCAATGGCAGAGGTGTCGCTTGAAGGTTGAAGAGCTTTTCGGCATTGTTCTTATAGTGCGAAGGGTCGTAGGTCATCTATGGTGTCCAAGGGCAGATAATATATTAGTGTCGATTTCAAAGCTACTACCTCAATACATGCCAAAACGAGAATGTATGATATCAGGAGCAACGTGTGTACCCTATCGAGCTTCATGGTGATCACAGGTCGTCCAAACCGCCCACGCTTCCAGCCACGCTTGCCCTCCATGTTCTTCTCGGTAATGAGCGACATGTCCTCGGCGTATTTGGTGGGATTCCTCCTGATCTTTTTCGCAATAGCGTCCTGCTCCTTCTTTTCCATCTTTGCCTGCACCTCGAGATCCTCCTGCCGTCTATATCAAACGAAATGTTTACACCAGTTAATAAAGAATTGCAACACAGCATGGCTTTTGCGGAAACACAACATACTTCTGCCTCTTGTGCAACTTGTCATACTTTGACTGCCAATTCTTGTTTGCCTCCTCGATCTTCAAGACATTGCCCTTCCATTTGGCACCATTGAACAAGGCCATGCATTTTGACCAGTCCTTCCGTGTAGTATCCAGGGTGACATATCCAAATCCACGACAGCTGCCGTCAACATCCTTTGCCAGATAAACGTCCTTGAGAGAGCCGAATGATTTGAAGCGCCCCTCCACATCTCCCGTAGTCACATCCTGGGCCAGTCCTCCGATGAAAGCCCTCTGTGTGATATTTTCTACTCGTTGGTATTCATACAAATGGTCCCATGTTAGTCACTTCAGGGTCCAATGGTCATATTGGACGCAAGCGAAAAAAGTCACATTTGTACTTGGCTGTAATTAGAAGATAAATGGAGTTACATACCATTGGGGTCAACAGGGGGCTTAGGGGCCTTTGGTTTCTTGACCTTGGCAGGCTTGGCGGCAGTGTCGTCTTCTGTGAACAAGTCTGCGGACGACGAGGCAGCAGCGGGTGGTTGTGAAGAAGATGAAGCTGCTGATTTCCTGTCAGGTGCTCCTGCTTTATGGTATTGACTGCTGCTGCTGCCGCCGCCGCCTTGCTGCCTGTTAAAAGGCCTTCCATCGGACACTGCTGCTCCTGCGCCTGCACCTCCAAAGGGTCTTGAAAAGGGTTTGCGATTATCGTCCCCCCTGTTGTTGTTGCCTCCACGAAAGCCGCCTGTTGGTGGTCCTGATGACTTTTGGAATGGAGGTCTTCCACCCGAGCCGAAGGTAGGAGGCACAGTACCGTCCTGTGCCTTTCTTTGGTTGAATGGCTTCATTGTGTATACGTGTGAGTATGAAGGGCGTTGCTGGACCCGCAATGGAGAGGCTGTGAAGTATTAAGAGATGAGTGAAATGCGTTGCACTTCTTTTTCTTTTTCTTTTTTTTTTTGTTGCTTGGGAAGTCGCAAAAGAAAACAATTGTCGACAGTCACAGTCGTAGTTTTTTCTCTTGGAAAATTTCACGCGTCGGGAAACATATCAAGGAAAAGGAAAAAAGAAGGTGAGATTCTCGCCGGTATCGTCGGGTACTGTATCAACACAGCATCGAGATGGGCAGTAAGAGCATTCATCGCGTCATTGCAGCTATCATGGTCATGATACTATGGAGAGCCTTGCATTCCTCAGAATATATCGTCGACAAACATCCACGCATATTTCTGTCAGCGGCCAAAGTGATCAGTTGGACGCTTGGTCAGAATGCGTCTCTTATTTTGGTGGCACAACCAACGATAGTCTTTGCGGCAAAGAAAACACAACTGTGAAGTTCAAGCAGGACGATGCTAGCCAGCGATAGGCGATAACAAGGATAGGAACGGATACGTTAAAAAGGACGGAAAAGAAAACGACATTCAATAGGAAGAAAAAAACTATGGTTCAACCCCGCTTTCCCGAACCAAAAAAAACTACAAGTCGTGCCTCAACAGGCAATGTCTTTTTTATCAAGCTTGCTTTTTAGCATTGAGTATCTCCGCAGTGATGTGCAGAAAGAAAGGGAGGAGAGAGACGACGACAAACAGAAAAAATGTGCATGCACCGTTCAACTGCAATAGACGACACGGCAGAGTCTAGGGGTGCAAGGGGACATCCTCTTGTCACCAGGCACTGACGGCATAAGAAAAAAACAAACGCACAGATTCCCCCCTTTCTGTGCTCCTTCTTTGTCGGCGTGGTCGGTAGTCTCAATGGGAGTGTTCTCCTTTGGTCGTTTTTTTTCCCACTTTATCCAGTGCCCATCCCTTTCTTTTTCTTTCCTTCCTTCCATTTTGTTTTTTTTTCGATTGTACACTCCTCCATCCTACCTCGTTCTCCCAGTTAGCCCTTTTTACAACTTCCGTTCCGTTTTTTGACTCCTTGTCATCTGTTTGAACTTCGAAGGTGAGAAAAGAACAAGGAAAAAGGAAAAAAAAGTGCCCCCACCATTGTACAGTCAAGGTGTAGTAAGGTTTTACCACTTTTTGGGCATGGTCCAAAGGCCCAGAGATGTGTGGCGATGGCGCTCTATCGTAATAAATTGGGATGTTTTGGTCGTCCTTCCCCTCTCTCCCTCTTTCTCCCTTCCTGCCTTTTTTTTCCTTCACCCCTCGTCTGTCCTTCAGCTTATTCGTCCCACTCCCATCCCATATCTTCCCATCCCTGTCGTAATCGTCTACCATAACCTAAACGGGAAAATAAGACAAAGGGAAGGAAGGGGCAGGAAACAAGAATATAAAAAAATTTAGCTGAAAGCGAACCATAACAAATACCTTGGAGAAAAAAAAAACATAAAAAACAGGGAAGATGAGTGGGATCCATCCTTCTCCATTCATCCTGTCTTTTTTCCCTTTCTGATTCTCCATTGAGATCTTGAATCAGCAGACCATAGAAAAGAAAAAGAAAACAAACAAGACGAAAAAAAAAGCAAAGCAATAACAACCAAGAAGAAAAAAAAAGAAAACCGGCTTCGCTTGGGACGCGTCTCGTTTTCTTCTCCCCTTCTGCCACTTTTACCTTCTCTCCCCCTTTTATTTTCACACCTTTTCAATATTGCTGTTGCTCGCTCGTTCTCTCTCCCTCGCTCGCACTCCCTTTCGCTTCCTCTCTCGTTCTCGCCCTTGGTCGTTTACTGTCGAATCCTTTTCTCTCCACTCTCTTTGCCATCGTTCTTCCTCTTCTCCTTTGCATGCAACTCCTGCTTCACTATTTCTATTCTTGTCATCACATCTCACCAGCTACCCACTCGCTTACTAGCCTAGTTCTTCCTCAGTCCAACCTCCTACGAAAAAATACGACCACCATTATATCCACCCACTTGCACCTTCTCGTTCACTTTCTCTCTCCCTCTTTCTTACTCGCACTTTTCTCGCAGTTGTTGCCCCCCTTTTCGCTACTTGTTCAACTTGTCCTTGACAGTGTCCGCGCTGGATAAAAACCTGCTCGGATGTTTGTCCCATACCCCTCCAGCTCTTCTTCGCTTCTTTCCACACCCAATGCTGACCCATTCCTACCTTCGATACACAGCCATCTCTCCCAGGGACTTCACCACAATAACAACTACCGCAACCACCGGGGACAGGACAGAGCCAGAACACGTGTAGAGGCGAGAGCCTCAAAGCTCGCCCGACAGACGCGACCTCAACACCACCGACGCTCCTCCAAAAAGTTCCTGACCTCAACCTCTACCGAGATTTACGGCGACTGGGATATCACAGCAAAGAGTGAACCTCGCCACCATACAAAGGCAAAGTGGAAAGGCGCCGACAAAGTAGGAGCGCGACAAAGTGCAACTACTGCTGCCACCACGATAACAACGTTGCCAGTTACATCAGGCAACAGCAACAACTACATGGGCGGTTCAGGAACCACCTTTCCTCCTCCGCCTCCAGTGCACAGTCAGAACGTGGCCTTGAACGCAACACCTTCTACGGTACCCTTCACCACCCAACCCACTCTCCAAGCAACCACCTCCGAGGGGTCGCACAAGCCCAAACCCTCGTTCTTGAAGGACATCCGTCGTACACCGTCCGCAAACACCGTGGACAGTAGCAACGCAACAACCTCTTGGACGGTCAGGCAACAAAACATCCAGAACGGTATCAATTCGTCTTCCCCAGCCCATCATAACACAGCATCTTCCCCTCTCGCCCTTGCATCGCCTACTACAACAACCATGGCCCGGCCTACGTTGATGAGTCGAGAGTCAGAAGGAGGCCTATCCGAGGGAACCTCAGGGGGCACTCAGGACCCCCTCTCGGCAAAATCAAAGTTCATGCGTGTACTGAACAAGTTCAAAGGCAAGCACCTACATAAAGGGTACGTTAGTTTTTTTTTTCCATTTGGCAGATGGGTGCCAGTGGCGATGCTGGTTTCCCTGCAGTTAGCCGCTGTATTTGGATATGCAATACTCTCTACCGGTCCATGTTTATTACTCAGCACGGTAACTTGTCTGTCATGCTGATACCAATAACTCTTCCCACCTCTCCTTCCCGTTCGTGTCACCACCTCGACCCTATTGGCTTGTTACAGCTCTTCTAGGTCTTCCACAAGTGGGCCATCCACTACGGCATACAACAGCCAGCCACCAGACTCTGTCTCGGACGCGTCCTCTTTTATCCTACCGTCTACACACTTTGGCCAGGTGGAGTCTATCGAGTACACCGACCAGGGCTCAACAGCCTATGCCGCGCGCTCAGATCTAAGCTCGACATCCATGCGATCCTACGTTGAGCCCCCTAGTGCACAACAAAAGGAGCCTGCTCACAATGCTGACATCGCTGAGTCTGACAAGCGTCGTGTTATCCGCCTCGACCAGAATCGACCATCCCTACGCGCCAAGTTCAAGAACCAGGTCACCAACACCCTTGCCTCCATCAAGTCGTCGTCCAATCTCCGCGACAAGGCTCGATCACAAGCTTCGTCCACCGCGACTTCGCCTACCAGTCCAGTGAGTCCACAATCAACCACGTCTCAAGACCGTCAAGGGTCCAACATCACCGATGGCTCGGAACCGCTTCAGTCAAGCACCCCAAAGAGCCGACACTCCAAGGGCTTTTGGACTTTCCCCAGATCACGACCCGACTCTCAAATCGCCCAATCACTCCGCGCTGCCAATGGCGGACCATCCTCTGCCGAGCAGCCGTCTCTTCAGCCGCTGGACCAAGACCTGGACACCATCATGATGTCCCCGGAGCTCGCGCCCCTTGATCATGATGATGGCGCAGACTCGGACCATTCTATCGACATCATCATGCCCGGTGACTACGACGACTATACCCAGTTTGCTGAGCTCCCTCTCAAGAAACGCAAGAAGCTGGAGGCCGCCGCCACCGCTGCCGCTGCTGCAGTTGCACTAAACCCTACCGGCAAGTCGGCGCGAGGCATGAAGCGGTTCCTACTCCATCCCAAGAACACCACTGACGACGACAAGGGCAAGAAAACGATTACTGACCCCTTTCCCAGTAGTGATCCAGGCACCAGCGTCATTTCACAAAGGACCAGCAAGAAGCGGCCCAAGGACCAGGACTCGATAGAACAAAACATTAGGCACGAGCCCTACAAGATGGCGAAACACAACTCGGGAGAGCGGTCGCAATGGCGTAGAGCCATCATGCGATCATTACACCTAGGTCGTCGTCACCAGGCTGAACAAGGTATCACGACATCCTTACAAGCCGACGCTACGTTCCTGAACATCCAGTCGCATCGCGACAGCGGTGTCTATCCCGATGGTCAAGGTCCTCAAACTGGGCAACATGAGGGTCCTCAGTCTGTGAGATCAAAGTCCTTGGCCACCTCGACTCACGCAGCTCTCCTCGCCACAACTATTTCCAAGTCCCAAGTCCCTGGATCTCGGCGGGAGACGCTCGAGATGGCAATGCGTCGGCGGCGCAGGAGTAGTGCCGCACGCTCGAGCATCCTGGACCCTAGAGGCTCTTTTCATATCCCTGGTGGCCTCACTATGATTGATGATGACAATGCATCGTCCTACAACATCACACATACCTTCACCAGCTTCACGCTCGAGTTGGCGGAGCTGCACCATGCACATGCTGTGGTCAACAACTCTGCAACGCCTGGGCTCTTCAACTTCAAGCATCAATCAAGGGCTCTGCTGCCAGCCGCAGATGTTGAGTACGAGTTCCGATCATTCGATTCGGATGGCGACGCTGTCAGTGGCTACACTGGCGACGCTGACATCTCGATGGAGGAGATTTACGTGCGGCCAAGAACACCCGCACCACGGAGCACACCCGAGAGCAAGGACAAAGGCAAGGCTCGAGAGGCGAGCTCTCCTGATAGTTTGGCGCGAAGGAGAATCTCAAGTGTCGAAGGCGAGTCTGACACTGTCTCTGAGTTACCTACGCTATCTATCCGAACAAGGGATCTGAACAGGAGCAGCAGCGGTGGTGGTGGTGGTAGTCGAGCAAGCGGTCGCGAGAGTCCAAGGTCTCCTAGGAAAGCAGGCGCCACGTCTCCTACCCTTCACCGCAAGCCAAGTCGGCAGTTTTTGAACGGCAGCTATGTCGCCTCGGGTACTCCATCCCCAGGCCAACTTTCCGGCAACAACCCATCGATAGACGAGGCTCTTGCCTTGAAGCCAAGAAACATCTTGCAGCCGGCAAGACCACATGTTCCCGCGTTGACCTTGAACACCAAGCAGCCGCTCCCAGTGACAAAAGGTAGTGGACTCTCTTCGTCTACAACGTTGGTTCCATCTTCACGATCGCCACATTCGGCAAACTCGCTGATGTTGACTCAATCTCCTGGTTTAATTTCACCAACAGGGTTCGCAAGGCAAGAGTCGCAGCACCACCAACGGAACTCGTCTTCTTACTCTCAATATTCCAGCCAACACCAGCAGCAAGCCTCCTCCGATACCCTTGTGCCGCACCACCTCAAGAACTTTAGCACTGCATCGACGATGTCTGCCGGCTCAAACTACTCTGCCCAGACTCTGAATGGAGGCAATGGCCCCGGCCCTCTGCTGTCGACCTTCCAACCTGTCGAGTTTGATCCAAGCCAGGAATTCCCACCAACAACACCTGTGGACCTGAAAGCCATGGATTTCGACACGCTTCTGAAGGCAGCAGAGCGAGAGCAGCAGAAGGGGTCGGGTGATCTCAGACTCAAAAAGCGCAAGAGCTACCAGTTCAAAGACCTCCAGTCGCTCAAGGATCGTCATAATGAACTGAGCGCGCATGTCAGGACTGACAGCGACATTACCGGCAAGAGAGTCGCGCCAGGACTGTATACCAAGCCATTGAACACCAAGAGCAGCCTCACGGCAGCATTGGTCAAGTCGGCGCCCAACCTGGATGAGCTCCACACGCGAGGAGGAGGAGCCGACACGAACAATGGCGTCGGCACTAGCAGGGGCGTCAAGGCTGGGATCCCTACCAGTCGTGCTGACCCACTGAGGATTCCAGTCTCCAGGAGCGCCATTACCTTTGATGTTGACGAGAACGCAGTAGCCGTAGCGGCGGCAGCCTCTCGTAACAACCCACGGACCAAGCGGGTCATGAAGAAGAAGATGAGCGTGATCAAGCTGAGCGGCAATGTTCAAGGTCGCCGCGAAGATGACGGCGTGATCCGCGTTTCTGTCTCGTCCCCCTCAGGAGAATTTCGTCAAGCACGCGCCTACTAACTGCTGACGCGATGCACTGGACCTTCTTTATTTTTTGTTCTGACCATTTTTCGTTTCTTTTTTCTTTTCATCTTTTCATCTTTCTTTCTTTCTTTCTTGCATCTATCGTTTTGTTCTGCTCTCCCTTCCGTTCGTTTCCTTTCTTTTCCTTTCCCAAAAAAAAGCATTTGTTTGTTTTTTTGTAAACTGCATACCCAACTTGTACAGCACTCTCTCCTCTCTCCTCTTTCGTCCGTAACTTGATACCCTCTTCCATATCAATTTCACATGAAGAAAATGAATGGCTTCAAAGCGCCTCTCATTGTATAATAAACAGCATTGTTTCTAAGCATAGTTGTCAGCAACACTTGAGGGGAAGAAAGAAGGTTGACTGCGGTGGAGACACCCATTTGTCATCTCATCGTTCCGCCGCAGAAGAAAGAAAGAAAAAAGTGACGGTTGAAAATCTTTGGCCACAAAACAAAAAAGCGAACCCTCTTTTCTTTTTTTTTCTTTTTTTTTCTCAGCTCCAACTCTCTCCTCAAATACCACCCCAACACACTACCAACAACACATAATACCATGGCTGTACGTCTACTCTGAGAATCACTTCAACCGAACAGACGAGCAAGGAGCTGAACGAAGAATATTAGGAAAAATGACGAGTTGGAATGGAAAGAACTCATGGCGCCACCTTTTTATTTCTTTCTTCCATTCTTTTCATAGGAATCAGCAAGACATCATGACGACAGCGATCACGAAGAGTTCCTCGATCCCGATGAGGTTGACGAGGAGCAGGTCCTTGAAGACGATGGTATGTATTCTTTTTCACTCAACAGCATAGCTATAGAGGAAGGGAACCCTTGCAGGAGTAGAATATCAACATCTGGCAGCCACCCTTCTTGGTTACATGCATTCTTTACAATAATCTCAAGCTGGGAAACTAACAAAATGGCGCGATTATTATTTATTTTTTTCACTTAGGTGATATGATGGAGGAGGACGAAGATGAGAACGGCGAAGAGGCCCAGGAATACGATGCAGACGGAAACCCTATCGATGACGACGACATGATGGAGCTCCAGGACGACTCTGTCCAAGGATTCTTCACCCACAAAGGTACTAACTTCATCCGATCAGCATATTTTTTTTCTCATTGAAAGAAACGAGAACCATTTGCAGACAGCCACGCCCTTGATTGCTGGCATCTTGTGGATAACTCTTACTAATGCCTCACATATTCTCGCTCCTTGAAAACGACCTATGATGACATAATAGAGCCAGTTTACGATGTGGCATTACATCCCGTCCACCAGAACATTGCAGTCAGTGGAGGAGGAGACGACAAGAGCTATCTCTGGCGGTTGTACGACGGCGAGCAGCTTTACGAGTTTGGAGGACATTCCGATTCGGTCACCCAGGTTGCCTTCAGTGTCGACGGAACCTATGTTGCCAGTGGATCCATGGACGGAAAGGTCCGTGTCTGGAAGAGCGAAACTGGAGAGTTTGTCTGTGAACTCGAGGGTCCCGATGAGGTCGTCGTAAGTATCTGTGGGAGTGTAATGACGCACTGTGAGGCTACTGTTTTTCAATGCCACTGGACAACGAAACTCACCTGTGTTCTCCTCTTTATCTTCATGCAACCTACTTTCTACCTCTCATAGTGGATCAACTGGCACCCCAAGGGAAACATCATCTTGGCAGGAGCAACAGATTCATCAGTGTGGATGTGGGCTGTCCCCTCGGGAGCATTCATGAACGTCTTCAACGGTCACTCGGGACCCGTCACCAGCGGCATGTTCACCCCCGATGGCAAGAAGATCGTCACCGTCTCTGAGGACGCATCCTTGATCGTCTGGGACCCCAAGACCGCGTCTGCCGTGCACCGTATCACCTCTGATGACGCTCGTTTCCATAGCGACGTTATTACCTGCCTCGCCATCAACAAGGACTCCTCACTTGCTATGACCGGATCTGCGGATGGAACCGCAAAACTCATCAACATCCACAGCGGAAACGTAAGTCTTCCCTTCAACTTCACTTTTTTTTTGGTTTTATCGAGTGGAGCCATGTACAGCAACACTTGACTAACAATTTTCTCATTTATTCTCCCTTCCTCCAATATAGATTCTCGGATCGTTCGAGAACCACACAGACGCCGTCGAGACAGTGACCTTCTCAGACCACCTGAACTTGGCCGCCACAGGATCGTTGGACGGACGGTTGAACGTCTGGGACGTCCAGACCATGCAACTCCGTACCACCTGCGAACACAAAGGCCCCATCATCAAGGCCCAATGGCACAAGACCCAGCCCTTGATCACCACTTGCTCTGCCGACCGGTCGGTCCAGGTCTGGGACGGTAGGACTGGTCAGAACTTGAAGATCTGGTTGGGTCACCAGGATGCTGTGTTGAGTTTTGCCATGACCGACGATGGTCTTACTTGTGTCACTGGATCCGATGATGGCTGTGCTTTGGTCTTCAGAATGGTCGACAACTAAAGGCTACAACCTCCTCACTCCTCCATTCTTAATATCATCCAAACCCACTCTTAAAAAACACTTTGCATCCAAAAAAAAAATAAACAACAGCGCATATCCAGCATCCTCATCATTTTTCGAAGCAGTTTTAATTATTATTGATGATAGCGCAGGTGCCCTAGGCGCTATCGAAATCCTCTCGTCAGAACAAACGCCTATCTATTCCGAGTCCTCATCCTCTGAAGCAGGGTTTGCCTTGCTCTTCTTAGACCCACCTAATCGACGCAAAAAAATAAATTACACATTGTCCAAGATAAGTATTTTTTTTTCCCTTCAAGATATCCACACTTTCGAAAGCTCAGAAGGCACAAGAAAATAATAATCATAGAAAACGAACCTTTGGCGGCAGGAGCCTTGCGTTTGGTAGGAGCCTTAGCAGTCGCACCACTAGCTGCGGCAGCGCCGCCAGCAGCAGCAGGTTTTGACCCATCATCCAACTGCTTTGTCCTGTTCTTCTCCTTGGCCCGCGTACAGCTCTGACAGAACCAATCAACATCAGGCACCTCCTGGAGTCGCGGAACCGTGCATCGCAAATGCGTTCCAGAATCACACTTATCACACAGCAGCATGTCGTCCTCGTCCTCGGCAGTGAGACACTCAATACAGTGCTCCTCCACATCAAGAACAGGCCACTTGGGCAGGTCCTGGATCTTGTCCTGGCCAGGCTTGCAGAGCAAGAGCGTATGGCCCAGGCCGCACGAGACATCGAGCATTGTCAGTCCCTCCATAGGGCGGACCTTGTCAGGCTTGGTCGCCGAACGAGCCTCGCCTTCCCCGAAACCAAGTTCGCTGTGAAGAGCTCCCTGGCCCCAGGCGATAGTGCTTGGCTCGGTCATGGGGAGAGCAAACAGGGTCACTCCTCCTCCGTTGATCGTCTTGAACGCCCATCCGTTGAGATCGTATAATGTGCGGGGGTACATCCAGGGAGTTCCTCCACCACCATCACCAGTGGTCTTCCACTTGCCCCACAACCACAACTGGTGCTGACCTATTACAGAGAAGTTTGAATTCAAAAAAATTAACACAATGTCAGATAACAACAGACAAAGGACCCCGAAGCAACACCTGCTCAAACAAAAAACAATAACCGTGTCATTTTCAGTTTGTTCAGAAACCTACCATCCAAAGCCATGCTGAAGGTGCTGCCGGCAGCAATCTTGGTGGCGCGAGTGAGCGCGTTCGTGCCAGTGAACTGGTCGATGGGCATGGGGCTCCAGAGATCCTCCTGCTTTGCGTGACCGAGACGTCCATAGCCTCCGAATCCCCAAGAATGAACGCGACCCTCGCTGTCTCTAGCGATAGTGTGGTTTGTACCGCAATCAACCTCCACAATCGTCTTACCCTGAAGTCCACTCACAAGCACTAATGATATCGTTCAACAAAAAAAAGAAATGGTTGCCTCGATTAGAATCTACGACTTTGGCAAATAGATGGATAAACGCAATGAACAAGTGGTGTATCAAAGTAGTTACCAGGGCTGGCTTGTGGGATGTGGACGAGGCGGTTGGACTGCTGCAAGTATTGACCATTCGTCTTGTTGCCAAGCTATGCTCAAGTTCAAATTCACACGTATTAACTAACCGGCCTTGCATCAAACCTATACAACTCTACTGAGCTTCGAGTCGCTACAGAGCCTTACCTGACCGAACTCGGGAGATCCAAAGGCCCAGAGCTGACCCTTGTCAGAGATGATCATTGTGTACTCTGCACCGCAAGCAACACCGGTAGCCTTCTCTTTTCCGAGACTGGTGACATGGACGAACGATGTGTGGTCCTTGTGGTTGCTGTTTCCGAGCTATGCGATCGCGTAAAAGTCAAAAATTGAGTTGGTAATTATTTCATTTCCTTCTTTGGTGGCAAACAGGGCATCACATCGCCAACTGAGGTAGTACCTGACCCATCTTGTTATCTCCTGCAGCATACACAGCTCCGATATCCGAAACTAGGATAGTGTGGTGTCGCCCGACCTGTGTGCAAGGAAAAGTGAAAAGTGAAAAGGCTCGTTAGACTCGCCGACTGACGTTATTAGGTTCGAGGACAAAAGCTTACTCAGAGTAATAGCACGATCGACGGGAGATGGTTCACATACAGCGCCGGTGACGAATTTGACGTTGGTGCTCTTCTTTCCTGCGTTGGTGTAAATAGTAGGGACTTTTACAGGGCCACCGACATGGGGAGTGTTGTCTCCAAGTCCAAGCTGACCCCTCTCGTTCCTATTGTGCACAAAATTGAAGGTCGAGATTAGACTCCTTCCTTCGCAAATAGCTCTTTCGAGAACAAAATGCCCAAGTAATTTAGCACAACTTTCCCTGACACTACCTTCCCATGGTCCAAGCATCACCATCATCTATCCAGGTACAAGTAATAGAAAAGCGACGTTAGAGCGAGTAAAGTGCAACACAAATAAAAAACAGCTTTGAAAATCAGCGGAGAAAGCGTACCTGTGATAAACACACTGTGGGCAGCATTGGGTCCAGTAACAGCTTTAACGATTCTATGTAGAAAAAAGAGAGCGACAAGTAAAAACGAGTGGTGAGTAATGAAGACCCAGCAAGTAGGCTCTTTTGTGAAAACAAATCGCGCGGGGAAGAGCTTGGCACTTACTTCAAATCGGCAAGCTCGCGGATAAGATGGAACGACTCGAGGTGAGGCCTGGATAGTCAGAGAACGAGAATGGGAAGAAAAGAAGTAAGAAAAATGTGGGACGCAAGAGGGTTGCCTTCAAAGATTTAACACAAGGTAACTTATGCCAGGTTGCCGATTGTCACTTGCAAGATCTCACGCTGCTCGCCAGGCTTTGGCTTGCGGCCGATCATGTCCCAGTCTAAACAAGAGAATGCAAAGTAAAGCAAAGAAAAGGTTAGAGAGGTACCATTGGCATGTGTCAACAACTTTGTGCATGGCCTGCAACACTCTTCAATAGCTTTGTAACTAATACGTACCGGTACCGCCGGCCATGAGAACCTTTCCTATGAGTTCAATATAAAGGGTAATTGGTTAACGTATGTTCACAGTAGTCTAAGGCATTTAGTTCGCTCTGTCAGGAATGAACTGTGCCAAGGTCAAGGTGAGGTGACCAGGGAAAAAAAAGTAAGATTGACGAGGCGCGTTGGTTGCAAGCTGCTGATAATGTCCAAGAAGGAAGCGAGGTGATATTCTTTCTTTTCTTTTGAGCTTGGATAGAATAGAGGATAATTGTAACCGATGTATGTCTCTGTGAATGTGAGTGTGGGTGTGTAAAAGAGGTACGAAGAGTATATGTTTGTGTGGTTGTATGTGTAAAAAAAAACGACGTTGTGGCCACGTAGGCAAGGTAGTGCAAGTAAGTGAATAAAAAAAAGAGAAAGATAATAATGATTTTTAGCGACCGACGCGACCGCAGGATTGGCGGTATTGTCTAGGGTCTACGGGCTCGAAACTAGAGGGGAACCCTCTTGTTAGTAGATAGCTATGTTGCATTGAGTTTTTTGTCTGTCTGACTGAGCCTTGTCCTTCCAGCTGGCGCCATTCAGCATTATTTGTTGGGGGCGCCCCCGCCTTCCTGATGGGCAAGTGATGAGGGCTAGATGGGCTTGTATGAATAATACATAATATGCCAGGTTTCGCGTGCTTGTGTTTGCAGATCAGGTTGACTTACCCCATTCGGGCGTGCCACTTGTTGGTGCGGACATGGTTAATAAAAAAATAAAAACCGGAGTGAAGTTGAGTTGCGGTGTGTGTTGTCTGTGAAAGGAGTCTTTTTTTTTTTGGTTTCGAGAAAGGCTCGCTCGCTCTCCTCTCCCTCTTACTCTCGTTACCCCTTGCCACCGGTTACCCTTGCGATGCAATCTTCTCCCTGGCGTGACCTTTTGGCTCCTCCAAAAGCCACTCCCAAAACGATCAAACCGATCAGAGGGAAAAAGGGGTGCAATTTGGCGTAACAAGAAGGTTGGCCAACGGACAAGAAGCGATCGATAAAAAAGACATCATGGCAAGCAAAGCTCTTCTATGTCTGACAAAAAGCTGGCCGCGTTTTTTATTTTTTTCTGCGTTGTGGGCGAAACAAGGTCTAAACGCGGCCAAGCTGAAAGCTAGAGGTCTCTCTTCCGAGATTTCCCTTGTGCCTTCTAGCCCACCTAAAAAAAACCTGAGCATAGAACGTCGTGAGCGTGTGTGTCTGTGTGCGTGAGTGTATGTGCGTGCGAAGACCGTGTCACAGATGGGTGGAAACAGTTGTTCGTAACAAAAAGACCGAGATTCGAATGCACCATTATCCTCCTCTTCCCCTTTTTTACTCCCACGATTAACGGTATCGGCTGCTCTTCGTTGACTCACTGTCCAAAACGCCCTTTCACAACCAACAACGAACATACACGAGCATGTATACGAAGAATAGGCTGCTGCGCTGTGCTGGATGAAATATTGCAAATTCCTTGCCACTGACCGCTTGATTCAACGAACAACCCCTTTTTTTTCTTTTGCGCAACTCTGGTCAATTGAAATGAAACCATTTATTGGCCCTTCTGCTTTGTGTCTTGTTCCCTCGATGAAAGGGAGAGGATGGTATCAACTGACTCATTGTGAGAAGGAGAGTCCAAGCTGATCAGAAGGATGGGAAAACGAAAGAGCAAAGGAAGGAAGGGAAAGGAAGGAAGAGAAAGGGGTGAGGAATGAAAAGCTATCAATTGCGATCCACACCCACGCCGCAATGCACTCATGCGATCCAAAATCAAAGGAACTGAATGACAAAGAGATCCACCGAAAGTACCGACAGGTTGTTAGCTTGGTGGTATGTCAATGGGGAGAATGTACATGTAGTCAGAGTTCAGTCAGAGTCGTCTGCGTGTTTTCCTTTTATTTTGGATGGCCGCTTTTTCTCATGGCAACAACAAGTGCTGGTTCCCTTTGATCTATTTCGGTGACCCTGTATCTGTTCTCTGTTCACCGAGTTCGTTTTTTTTTTTTTTTTTTTTTTTTTATTCGATGGGCGAGCGAATGGAAGAAATCGGGGACGACCCCATATGGAAAAAAGAGTGTGGCCATTTTGTTGACTCAGTTGGTCGAGCGAGTCCAGGCAGGGCCTCTCTCTTCTTGTTCGTTTGAACAAATGAACTTTGTTTTTCTTTTTTGCACTTTATTCCGCCTTCATACTCTAATCCACATTTGAACATGGACACACTCACTCGACTCGAGTGCAAAAGTGGCCTAACCCATTGAATAATCCCCTTCACTCATTCTCCACGAACGAGCGAAGGCAACTCAAAGGTGTCCTTTGGTCTACTTTCCTTTACCAACACACACACACACATCCACCTTGTTGGCCCCCGTTCTTTCTTTTTCTTTGTCAGGTCTTGGCCGGACTTCCCCCCTCAGGACCAGCTGTCAAAATGGGAAATAGAGTTTCATTTTTATCTCTCGCCTTTCTTTAAATTGCTCGAGCTTTTTCCATCGGTTTTCTCTTTTCTCTTTTCTCTCTTCTCTCTTCTGTCTTCTCTCTTCTTCACTCATCCACATTCCCTCGACTCAACCACCAACCCCATACTGCAAGAAATGACCTTCGCTACCCCCACTAACTTGGTTCCCGCTCAGGGTGCCGCCGCCCTCTCTGCCAACTCTGAGGTCCCCCAGGTCGCTTCCTTCAACGTCAAGGCCGGCCTCGCCCAGATGCTCAAGGTACACCTTCAAGCCCTAGTCTACCCACTGTCCTTTCTTCACGCTGCTTCGCAACGCAACAAACAAGTGCGCTCGAAATCATCTCAAAGGAAAGCAAGCATATACTAATCCTTGTCTTCCTTTTTGATTTCCTTATTTCTCATTCGTACCGACTATTAGGGAGGAGTGATCATGGATGTCATCAACGTTGAGCAGGCTTTGATCGCTGAGGCTGCCGGTGCCTGTGCCGTCATGGCTTTGGAGCGTGTCCCCGCCGATATCCGCAAGGACGGTAAGGATTCTTCTAATCATTCAAACAACAATAGAGGATCATTCCTCGATCTAGATCTCCTTTCCTGTACCTGAGTAGTCTCAAACAAATATTGCGAATCAAGGTTGACTCACTTATGTGTATCCTCTTTCCCTTCTCCTTTCCGACCTTCAGGTGGTGTTGCTCGCATGTCCGACCCCAGAATGATCCGCGAGATTATCAACGCCGTCTCCATCCCCGTCATGGCCAAGGTCCGCATTGGTCACTTTGTCGAGGCCCAGGTAAGCCATCACTCTCCACTCTTCACACTCTCTTTCCTTCCTTCAGACTCATGCGACAACAAGCAACCAGCAAAGATTACATGAAAGCAAAGATCCCAGATCAGGAAGAAAAGAAGAATAGACAAAGAGAGAGAAAACGTTATTCTGTCAAGATGTTAGTACCACATTTCGCAATTTTTTCCCTCCAACCCTAACTAACAACAAACCATTGTTTACTTTTTTTTTTATGTCCTTTTCGTGGCACGATCTAGATCATCGAGTCTTTGGGAGTCGACTACATTGACGAGTCCGAGGTCCTGACCCCCGCCGACGAGGCGAACCACATCAACAAGCACGACCACAAGGTCCCCTTCGTCTGCGGCTGCAAGAACCTCGGTGAGGCCCTCCGTCGCATCAACGAGGGTGCCGCCATGATCCGCACCAAGGGTGAGGCCGGTACCGGTAACGTTGTCGAGGCCGTCCGTCACTGCCGCACCGTCAAGGCCGAGATCCGCAAGGCTCAGTTGATGGATGACTCTGAGCTCTTCACCTACGCCAAGGAGATCCAGGCTCCCTACCACTTGCTCAAGGAGACTGCCAAGTTGGGTCGTCTTCCCGTTGTCAACTTTGCTGCCGGTGGTGTTGCTACCCCTGCTGATGCCGCCTTGATGATGCAGTTGGGATGCGATGGTGTCTTTGTTGGTTCCGGTGTCTTCAAGTCTGGTGACCCTGCCAAGCGTGCCCGTGCTATTGTCCAGGCTGTTACTCACTTCAACGACCCCAAGGTTCTTGCTGAGGTTTCTGAGGATCTTGGTGAGGCTATGGTTGGAATCAACATCTCCGAGATCCCCAAGGACCAGCTCTACGCCGCCCGCGGTTGGTAAATTGTCCCCCCCTCTCTTTTTTTTCTTCCTTGTTTCTCTTTTTCTCAATTGCATTGCGGCTTCGTGCAAACAACATCCCTTGTATCATACCACTAGAATAAAATAACCATTTGTTCAAAATCTCTTTTTCTTTTTCATGTGTCATTTTTCCGCTACTTTTTTTCATTCTCATCGTGGGAATCTTGGAGCCAAGCAAAGTAAACGCCTTAAGGGTTCCGTTCGTCACATGACATTCCGTTTCTTTCTCGGGACGGGAAGAGCTGACTGCTTCGCTGAACGGGCCCAGAAAACCCGCCAGTCGCGACATTCACAGAAACCCTTTCTCTTCATTCACCTCCTCCCATTCAACTTCGCCAAAAACTCACCGCAGATAAACAAAAAACATGTCGTCTACCTTTTATCTTCGCGCCGCAAGTCTGGTTGGTAAGAAAAGCAGTAGACCAAAAGGAGCAACGAAAAACACGCAAGGATAGAAAAAGAAAAGAAAAAAAAAGACGGCGTCGTCGTTGTCTATGTATTGGTCAAACTATACACCCTTGCAAAAGCAGTTTCAATTGAACAACCAACCCAAAATATGCATTGGATAAACGATAGGTGGTCTGGGTGTCATGACTGCTGCCTATGGAGCCCACGGCCTCGAGAAGCGCGTCAACAACGACGCCGGCAAGCTCAAGGTAAACAAACCACTCTTTCTCTCACCCTCTTGGTCTTGTGCTCGCTCATGCGCAGCACCACTTAAAAAAATGGCGAAACCTTGTACAATATAAGCAGTCGCGTGGTGGGGGTTGCCCTGGCTCTTCAATTATCTTCGCTCACTCACCCGTCGTCCACTTTACTCCACCTCCCCTCCCTCACCACAACACACCTCACAAAAAAAAACAGGCATGGAACAGCGCTGCAAACATCCAATTGATCCACTCCGTCGCCCTGTTGGCCATCTCCCAGTCCCCAGCCCTCTTGGCCCGCTCCGGCAGATTCGCCGCCCCCCTGATCCTTCTCGGCACCACTCTCTTTTCGGGTTCGATTTACACCTTGATCCTCGACACCGACAAGACCATCTCCCGCAACTTCCGTCTCGGTCTTGCCACTCCTCTTGGAGGAGTTGTCCTCATTGCCGGATGGTTCGCCCTTGTCCTCTAAACAGAACAAGTATATATATCCCCGCCACCCTAAATAAACAAAGGTATTGCACGACGCGGTCAAGACCAGGAATCTGGAGAAGGGAGACGGAATTCAGAAGACGCGTAGTAAAAAAAAAAAAAAAAAAAAAAAGGTATATTTTGGAAAGAGGACGATAGAAACAAGACAAAAAAAAATATGCACTATAATGACATGGGTGTAGCGCCCTTTCCCCCGTCAACTGCCACGGTGGGGAGTCGCTCGGGTATCCGCATAGCTCCCATCGACGATGACGTAGAGGGCGATGGGTTAGAAGTCGAAAGTCCGTGAGGATGGTGATTATGCCTGTGGTTGTAGTTGTTGTGGTGGCTGTTGTGGTGATGGTGGGTCGACTTTGGACCTGGCTGCTGAATCATCACAGGGACAGATGCCTCTCTAACAACGCTTCCGTGTCCTTCTGGTGTCTGAAAATGGATGTCTGGCTTTGCTGTAAGAGTTCCATGAATCACTCCTTCGTGGTGGTTCCCGTTCGTCTGCTGGTTCTGTCCTTGACCAGGCGTGTGGTCCTGGTAGAGGTCACCAACGGAGTGCGACTTTTTGACCTTGGCCTTGACAAGGTTCTCGCATCGTTTCAGGATATCCTTAGAAGACAGATCCGTTGACGATTCGACCAAATCCTGATCGCTCAGAATTAGCGACAAATCCTCTGGTACCTACATAGCAGCATGGCGAAAGGACAACGTTAAATGTAATCAGTACAAGCCCAATGTTATTTTTGTCCGCATTAATGTACAAATAATCATCCAGAGGCAACTTACCACACAAAAGTCGTCCTGATACTCAAGTAGACCCATGACAGCCTCAATGGCCAAAAAACTCTCGTCCTTGATAGGGTCCTTGGATTTTGAGTACAAAACATTGGGAGTAATGACCGTCGCCAGGTTGTGGAGATCCATCTTGCTACCAGTTTCCTCATCCACATGAGAAAATGACGCGACCCAACGCAAGAACAAGCAAATCGCCTCCATGCTGTCGCGGTTCGCCTTGGGCAACAGGCAGCATGTCAAATGGAGGATCATCTTTCGGATACCCTCATCCTCCATCTCTGTTCACAGCAAGCGAAAACAAACATAGATATTAGGTCGCGATCTCACATAGCACCAAAACACAGTATGTCGAAAGGAAGAACAAAGTCAACTCCTCACGTAACCCGAACTTACTCTGAGAGACGATAAACAGGCGGTGGAGCTTGAATGTCAAGAGTGGGTCTGGAAGATCACGCAAAAACTTCTTCAAAAGTGCAGCGACTTGCACAGGGTTATCATCGCTCAAGTTCACCGCGGCCGGATCTTTATCGATCGCCTCGCTCAACTCCTTGAGCCTTCTGATGTTTCCATTCTTCCTGAACACGCCCTCCACAGACATATCTATTACAACCCATCAACAGTAAAAATCAATGTTAGCCGTTAAAGAAACCTTCGCGTCACAGCTAGCAGCGTAAATGATAGCGAAAAACTTACCCATGTTACGCATTGCTGAAATGCTGTCGTCAACGAAACTGGGGATACGAATACGGCCAGGCCCTGCTCCCAAGGCTGAATCCACCCCATTCCGCTCCACAAGCAGCTCAAGTGGTACTCCAAAGGTTCCCTCTACTAAATATTCCGCACAAGAATCGTTCTCATTAGCCTCAATTCAAATAGTAAACTGAATCCATACGCAGCCAAAATGGTAGTGTGTTGGCTGTTACCTTTAGGCTTCTTCTTGTCAGTCTTGAGGCCCTTGACAAACCGTCCCCAGAGCGTCTGTTTGCGCTGCCCAATCAAGTCCAAGAGTTCCTCGGGTGTAAAGTACTCTGAAACCACAGGCGCCAGCATCAGAACAGCGAGGTGCTTGACAATAAACAGCTCCAGAGCCGACAGCTCATTCAGGTACTGTCGCTTGCGATTCGAGCTGCTGGGTAGCAGAAGGTGTTGCGATCCATGCGCCGATCCATGTCCCGACCGCGCCCTGAGAGATGCGTTAGGCGATCCATTCGTAGCCGCCGTGATACGTAGCTTGTCCGTTAGATCCGAAAGGGTCAATGGCGCTGCGGATTTACGGCGCTCATCCTGCGCGGCATCGTCCTCATCGTTCGTGATCTCGGACTCGTCGATAATTTCAAACTCCAACATAGAGACTTCAGGATCCGTGTGAATCGAATGTCTGTGACCTTCCTCTGCTTCGCTGACGCCGGCGTCTCCGCCTGGAGGTCGTCGTCGTTGATGCTCAATAACCGTCTGTCTCCTTGCAATCCGCGCCGAGTTTGAAAGCTTCCGATCCAGATGAGTCGACTTGACACGCTTGATGTCGCCCAGGTGAATTGGCTCATACTGTCGATTATCGTCTGAAGAGTACGATTTCGAGCGAGAATCCTTCCTTACAACTCCTGGTGGCGAAAGGGGATCTGCTGTAGAAGCTGTTCCAAGATGGCGTCCACGCTGATCAACTCCTAGGTCTGAGTCGTCGCCTGTATACAGTATATTCGAGGTGTGATTAGCACGATATTTAACCGCACAAAGAAAAAATGTTCGTTAGTCTGTCCATTTAATTTACCTTTCAGATGAAGCAGGTTTTCCAGACGGATCAAGGCAACGCGCAGGAGGAAAGTGTACTGCTCCAGCTTTGTGACATGAGAGAATCCGATTTCGGAATCGGGCGTCTTGCATTGCTGACAAAGGACAGATCCATGGGTTGTATCGAATAAGGCGTCGTAGTAAACAGAGGCGAGAGGTTTGGCGCATCCTGAGCAGACCAGACACTTTGGGTGCCAACGATGGTGATGGTCGAATGTGAAGCATTCGTCCTCGATAGTGATCCGACAGGAGAGACACAAGTCCGAGGTCACCTCAGCATCGATGCTGTTCTTTCCATGTAAATCCTGTAGACACTTGTCCTTGTTGGCAAGTTCCATGAGTTTGTTGAGGAAGCGCGCAATGACTGTTGTGGAGTGATATTGGCGTTCCAGCTTGAGGGCACATGTGAGGGCGATACGGATCAGGATCTTGAGGTAGTGGGCGAGTCCTGTGACGAGGGAAAGTAATTCCTGGGTCATACCAAGGCGCCGGACGCCGCTTTCCTGGGTATGGGAGAGCAACGAGAAGAAGTTGACGATCTTTTTACAGAGCATCTTGGCTTCACGGCCATGACCCAGATCTAGGACGGAAACGAAAATAGGCGATTAGGTCTCAGGCGTGATTGTTTTCCCATCACCTAGCATACAGTGCTTAGGAGTAATGATGGCCAAGGTGTAAATATAGCCCCAGTGTGGTCCTCTTACCGTTTTTGTCGCCGACCTCCTTCATCTGGGCCTCGAGATCATCGATAGCGCTGAACAAGATCTCGACGTGAAGGATGAACTTTTCGGCCATTTGAACTCCGTCGTAATATGCGCCGTTGGACACATGAAGCAGCATTTCAGAGATGCATCCTGCTGACGACTCTTCGAACGCAGAAAGAACTGTCCAGATCTGGTATACTTTCTCCTCCATGTGCTGCTGGGCTCGCTTGAGTTCCTCCGGTGATTTTTGCTCCATACTTGTCCGTGAGGAGAGAATTCCTGCGGCTGCTGTTGTCGAGTCCTCAATGCATTCCTCCTCGGACTTTATCTGCTCTTCTTCCCCCTCGGATGTAAAGGATAGCTTGACATTCCAGAACTAGAGTGCAAAATAGAAAAAGGCGACGGTAAATCGGGGTTATGCCATTAGCGCTTATGCGTACCGACATACCGACGCTGAGGCGAGAACCAGCGTCACCTTGGAATGTTGTGGTTGTGTCATGGATTCTTTAAAAAGAATAGGGCGCGGCACGAAATAAAAACTGAGCGGTGCAACTTTCTTTTTTTTCTGTTGTTTTGGGCGAATGCCCCCCGCCCCACCCGGAGTATAGAAGGTCAAAGAAAATAATAACTACATTTGCTCTCCACGATTGTGCGAACATGCGCAAAAGTCGTAAAGTAAACAAAATCAACATACCTTGTGAATCATATAGCACTCGGGATGCCAATGCTCGTCCTGGCTGTTTCGATTGATCTCGACAAATTGCTTGAGGATAGCGGTCCTGCAGCCAGCGCACTTGGCGGCGTAACAGAGCGAATAGTGGTAATGACAATAGACCTTGTCATCATGTTCATAGTACGAGTCCTGTGGTCCAAAGACAGTCGGGCAGACAGAACAGGTAAAGTGCTCGATGTGGTACTTGTGGTCCAGCGCGGTGATGTAGCTTCCCCGGAGGGCTTCACCGCAGGAATGGCAAACCATGTTCAGCCGGCGAAAGTAGTCGCGTTCACAGAGAGGGTATTGTCGGCCGTCTGCCTCGGTAATGGGAAAGAACTTTGAGGCGACAATCTCGTCACAATCCTAAGCAAAAGTCGACCACAAAATGAGATAGATACAGCTGTACTGTTAGCATCAACAAAAGGAGGAACCATTGCCCCAATGCGAGAAGGGGGAGGGTGTTGTTGTCAACTGGTGAGCTCGGTCGCAGTAACTTGTTCTTGTCTCTCCAAAGACAAAAAGGAAAAGTAGAGGAGTATGGACTTTGGAGTGGGTGAATGAGAGTAAGAAGGAATGGCTTACCAAACACCTGAAGCAGTCGAGATGGTAAGTGGCGCCTAATGCACGGACAAAGGACCCTTGCATCTGCAACTCGCACTTGCCGCAATTCTGGACTGCAGGGGCAAGTTCGGGCTTTGGAGGAGTGGATGAGGTCTGGATGGGATGGCTTTGCAGACGGGGCTGGTCTGTCTGTTGAGGAAAGGACGGTGTGGCCAGGTCTCGCGACGATCGACTCTGTTGTTGATGTTGTTGCTGGGGAAGAGTTGTCGTGGTAGGTTGTGGCTCTTGTGGTAGCCTGTTGGTCAAGGGAGGAGCAGCAGGGCTCGACTCTTGCTGATCGTAAGGCAGCTGATGTGGCATGGTTGTAGGTTGTCTGATGATGGAGTGAGTGCTGTCTAAGTGGGTGTGGGTGTGGGTGTGGGTGAGTGTGTGTGTGTGTGTGCTTGTTGAGGGGCTCAGGAGAGTGTTGGTGTGGATGTAGTATGTATGAAAAGGAGGCGAGTGTGAGTGTCTGAGAGCGAGTGAAGTTGGGGATGGTCGATGGGTTTGTTTGCAAGGGAATGAAAGAAAAGAAGAATGAGTGAGTGAGTGATGGCGGCAGGAGGGTGGGACACTTGGCGGGAACAAAAAAAGGGACAAGTGAAAGAGAAGGACAAGGAAGGACAAGGAAAAGAAGAAGTGGGAAGGAAGAAAGGGAGGGAGGAAGAAAGTAAGGAAGAAAGGAAGAAAGGAAGAAAGGAAGAAAGGAAGAAAGGAAGTGGAAGGAAAGGTGAAAGTGAGAGAGGGTAGAAAGGAGGGGAAGACAACAAGGGACACGAGACAAAGCAACGAAGAGAGCAAGAAGAACAAAGAGAGAAAGAGGGCAAGTGGCAAAAATCGCGAGGAAGCGAAAGAAAAAGATGTAGAGAGAGGAGAGAGAGAGAGAAAGGGGAAAAGGATATAGGACCGAGGGGGTTGAACGCACTTTCAAGCAGAAAATAAAAAGAGGGTAAGGGGGTACAGTATATCGACAGTAGAGAAGTTGACACGCGAATACCATACTAACAAGTCTACAGTGCCCGGATACTCTGGAACCTGTCTGTCTGTCAATGTCTGTCTGTCTATGTCTGTCTGTCTATCTATATGTCTGTCTGTCTGTCTGTCTGCAAGCATTAATGGCCATGAATGACCCTATCAAAAGAGAGATGGACAGCAAGACTGAGGGTGACAACAGTTGACGAGAAATAAATAGATGGACGGATGGACACAACAACAAAGCACAAAAGACACAAGAGGGAAATGGACACTGCCTCATCGACACAGAAAAGCCAACAACTGACTAAGCCGATTTTGTTATTTGTCTGTTCATCGTTCTTGGTTCATTGTTCCATGTCGCTGTTCAACGGGCTGTGTTGTTAAACAATCCGTCCTCTTCTCTTTAATAAGAAAAGGAAGTGAAGGGTAGATGATATTAAAAGTAGAATGTTTGACTAGGTATATGGCATTGGCACAAGCACACGCACGGGCGCAGGCATAGCGGGATCCTATATACACTAAGAGTGAAAGGAGGTCGCGATTTGGTGGCGCAGAGAGATAGGAGGGGACTTCGCCACATCGGCTCAAGGGCAGGAATTCGATGGAAGAAAGAAAGCCACTCATCAACCATGTCTCGGTCAGACGTGATCGGCAAGGACACAAGGAAGGACACAAGGGAGCAACAAGCAAGCAAGAGACGGATTGATATATAATAATAGCCACCGGTCAACAAGCGTCCAGTTAAGCAGAAACATCGGTGACAAAATGAGTACAAGAGTCTATCTGGCTGAACACGACCGACGGATGTGTGTGTGAAGATGTCGCGTGTCTTTACACCCAACTGATTTGAGGAACAAGAAGAGTAGAAGAGAGAGAAAAATAAATAAGACTGGCATTCTACCCCGCATCCCAGCCCAAGCCAAGTCAAAGACCCTGGCTTTCTTTACCGCTAACGAAAGAAAAAAAAAGAAGGATGTTTCGCCACCCCCCAACAAACAAATGTTTCTCCTCTCTTATTCTTTCCGTTTGTTTGTATGTGTGTATGCGCTATGGACGGAGGACCTTTTGCTCATACAAAAGATTTTTTTCCTTCGCGTTTCACGCGTTCATTTTTTTGGTGTTAGATTTTTTCATGTCTTTCCACGCTACCTCTCTCCCCTTCCCTCACTACATTGTTCTCCCTGGCATTTCCCGGGGACATCCTGGACACACACACACACACCCTCCCCATCCTCTACTCCACAACGGCGTAACAGCGCCGCAACTCCTATATATCCTCATTCTAAGCCTGGAAAGACTCATTCTCCTTTTCGCTCCTCCGCATACTCCTCTTTGGCCACATTCAGACTCTTCCCTTCTTTCATCTTCTGTTAATTTATCGTCTAGAGCACCCTTTATTCTTTGATTTCCTTCCCTTCCTACCTTGTCAATAATCCATCCTCTCTCTCGTTATTTCACCCCGCAAACACTCCACTTATTCTCACAGCATTAACTCACCCTACCTACTTCTCATCCTACTCTCTGTGCGGACTATGACCAATTGGTCCCGATTGCCTTGGTATGCAAACAAATCAAAGATATGGTACACTCCATTCCGTGCAACTATTTGTCAAACCATTCTAACACTCGATGCATTTATTATTCCCCAGCTTTCGGTTGGATTAGACAGTATGCCCGGAAGTTATCCCTCGAGCCCACCAATGGGTCCCTCCAACAACAACAGCAGCAGCCACAGCGGGTCCAGTAGAGCCCTAGGAGCAACTATTCAAAATGCTCACTACCCGAACCACCATCAGCGCCATTCACAACACCGTCATCGTCGTCACCACTCGATGCAGACAATCATGTCAGCCGAAGCTCCTCAAAGCGCACTCAACACGATAGGGAACAACAACCGGAGTACTCGTTCCCCTCGTCATTCTCGTGACGACAACAACGTCCCTCAGCTTCGTCAACCTGCGCCAGACCTAACAATACGCTTTTCCGAGTTTGTTCGCTCTCCTCGTCAAACGGCAACCAGTCAACATCCAGTGATCGAGTCCTACATCGACAATGAAGACTACCAGTCTCTTCTGGCCGCAGTCTCCAGCATCCGTATGTCCCGTCCTCAACACCAGCAGGATACTCCTCGACCGGATGCTGCCGACAGAGTTGGTTCTTTGGAGGAGCAGCATTCTAGTGGCCAAGTTGTTACCCTGCCTGACGATGATGAGATTGACGAGCAAATGTTGGAAGTAGAAGAGCCGGAGGACAACGAGGAGATGTACGACAGCACGTCTAGCAGTGTCATCGAGGACATCTATGACCTTCAACACATCATGATCCACAACCAACTAGAGTTTGAGAACCAGATGCGCCGAGCCCGTGAAGATTATGCCCGTCATCGAGACAATGCCCTGGCCGAGATCGAACAGAACCAAGAAGCCGCCAACCAGAACCAGTCTAGCGACCACCCCTCTTCCTCCTACGAGACCCTGAACTCGCCCGGTGAATCGATGATCCCGACAGGCATGGAGGAGCCTCTTCGGACTATGGAATCTCACTTTAACTCGCCTGCCGAACACTACTCAAATGTGACCGACAATCCCCGCCCAACCATTTCGTCGTCTTATTTTTCGCCTACTTCTGAATCAACCATTGTTCTCTCCTCGCCACCCCCAGGTCGGTCCTCTACAGGAGTGTCTCAACACAACGAACAACAAGAAACCGGGCGTCCGAGTCATAATGTTGCAGCCGGCAACATGAGCAGCACTGCCGAGGCATTGCGCTTTGGAAACGGTCCTTATCGGCCCTTTGTCACCGGCAGAGATATCAACCACCAGCAACAGCAGCAGCATGATATACAGGAACAACAACAGCAGCAGCAATACGCTCGACAACAAGGCCAGCCATTTTCAAGTTATTCAGGCAGAAGAGAGAGCGAGGGCGGTATGAACGACCCGATGGATCAGGATGGCAACTTCGTTGTTGTCGGTGAGAATGAGGGTGGTCAATGGTCTATTTATGGCTCTTTGACACAATCTAGCAATTCGTTTGAGCAGCACCGGTACCAGTACTATCGGCAACAACAGCAACATCATCAGTTCACTCAAGACCGCAACGACCTTACGGCAGGAGGATTCCCCGTTGTTCGACCTTCAGTCGCTCAACCCACTCTCCGCACCAACCCAACGTCGTACCCAATACATCTCGATGCGACCAGGCGTGGTCCCCATGCAGTTGCGCCAATACTGTTTGCCAACAGTGGTCCAGTTAGCCCCTCAAGCAATATTCCTATCCCTTCTCGCTACATCAACCCTCAACCCCTTGCTCATCCTCAGTACACCTCTTCCTTCACAGCCACTTCAACATCTTCAAACTTTTACCGACCCAACAACATCGCTACCGGTCAAGCCCAATATGCATACCGCCGATCGAACGCGACAAACAACTACCAGTTACCAAGTGGACCTCGCCAACGAGCAGTCAACGGTCCTTCACAGTCGTATTCTGAGACTGTTGAGCGAGCAGAGGCTGGAGGGTGGACTCCCACATCCCACACATCGGCAGCAGGATCAACATTGACTTCACGGTACGACGAGTCGCTTGAGTACCGAGAGCGACACAATATCGGTTTGAAGGAGGTTGTCAGGATGGCCTGTCGTTTTTGCGAGACTATTATTTGTGAGCGCGGAATGAAGGTAAAACTCATCATTCTCGCTGTGGCATAATGCAAAAAACATCTGGGGTTGAGTCAACAGCATGGTCCCTGCTAATCATATTTCTCATTTTTTTAGGCTCAGCTGTTGGCCGATCAAAGTGTCGCGCTGCTGTCCACAGATGATGCTCCTCAATCGTATGTCCTTCTCTTTCTTTCTTTCATTCTTTCGTTTCTAACTGTGGCATAGACATTAAATGCAAACACTAACGCTCGTCCTCTCACGGAGAACATTATTACGCGTTCATAGGGTACAGCTCATAGGAGTAGATTACAAGCCCACAAACTGTCTATGCACGATAAAGGACGCCGCTTGTCTTGTCTGGTATGTGCGCGTCTCATTTTTTGTTCTTGTCACCCACGATTAGCTCCCTGACTCGCTGACTTACATTCATTTTTTTATCGCTCTGGACTTGAATAGTGGTAACGCGATTGGATATCACATCACCCAGCCGTGCGATAAATGCCTTAACGCCGAGAACAATGGCCATCTGTGGCTCTTCCATCCCGAGTATATTTTGAGCTGTCTACGCTGGGATCCTGCCTTTATGCGGCCGCTTCGATGGGGTGAGCTTCCACGACCTGAGCAGGATTTTGACACCTTGAGTCTCGGCAAAGTGATACAAGGGAGACCAAACGGCGCGATGGATGTTGGGGGCATGGTCCGTCGAGAGTACGATGCCATCTGTCGCTAAGCGAGTTTCTTTCAACCCACAACAATCCCACCACTAATAAACATTACGTGTGCTCCCATCCACAATCATGAACTCCTTTACTGCATTAAATGTCTTCAAATGCAAGAAGTTATTCTATAAATGCAAGCATTCCACAAGTGCACAAATCAAGGACCCTCTGGGTTAAAAGTTATTTCTGCGACCAACTGTGTGTTAAAGGGCATTCCCTGTGGCTTAGTCGGTTAAAGCGCCGTGCTTATATTCATCCAATATACCAAAGACACGCGGAGATCCCGAGTTCAATCCTCGGCAGGGAAAACCATTTTTGGTTGTTTTATTTTTTTATTTTATTTTATTTTATTTTTCGTGTGCGTTTTCTTTGGACGATTTCTTTCATGGTGGTTTTTTTTGTTTTGCATCTTTGCCCGTTTTCCTTTTCATATCGTTCGTCCATCCCTTCCTTCGACTACCCATTCGACAACCCTTGGACACAAGACATACACAGAGACATCTATGGTACAATGCGGGAACCCTTTATGGCTGTCGTGGCTTGAAGAGTGGATGGACATTGCCCAAACCCATGGGAACAAGTCATACCACACCTTTCGCAGGGTATGAGTTCAGTCAACAATCGCAGGTACCAAACAATTGGAGAGTAATAAAAGCGCAAGTCAAACGAGCTCCTCGGTACTCACTTCATACAACCTTTTTTTTCCACAAATGATAGGCCGCTGAATCCATGGCCAAGTATCCGACACCATTCCATCATCCTCGTGAGGCGATGGTTCTTGAAGGAATTGGAGAGGTGATAGCTAAAAAGCTCGAGGAAAGACTGGCGCGGCTTTGTAAAGAAGAGGGTATACCCATGCCAGGTAACTTTCCGTGCTCTTGTACACACATTCGTCACTGCTCGAACCTTTTTTTTTTTATCTTCATACATCAAACAATAATATTTAACATCTTTTCGTGGCAATCATTACCTCTAGTATACGGAAAAAAGGGGCGGAGGCAGGCAGGAGCAGTTCCTCTTACACCAGCTGACCGGGACGAACCAAAGTCCAAGAAGCCTCGAAAGGCCAGCGCAAAGCCATATGTTCCAAGATATCGATCGGGATCCTTTGCCATCCTTTTGGCCCTCCTTGAGGCCGAAGTCCAACACAACCAGCGCTCTCTGACCAGGGACGAAATCCTTATCACCGGTCAAAAATTCGCTGAGCACTCACTCGCGAACAAAGCACATGGCACATTTTATTCAGGATGGGACTCGATGAAAACACTGACCGGCAAGGGCCTCGTGTATCAGAACGGGAAGGATTATCATATGACAGGAGAGGGGAGGGATACGGCGTGGCAATTGAGGGATGTCGGCATAGCACTCGATCCTTCGTTGGAACAGTATTTCGTGAGACCGAACGGAGAAGCCGCTATCAACCCCGACATTAGAAACCGACCACCGCCTTACGCTATGGGTGACGCATCTATTAATCCCAACCTTCGAGATCGTTCACCATCATACTCACCCGAACCCTCTCGCGCCACCTCTAAACAGCCTCGTCCAACACCTAAGAGCAAGGCAGCTCCGAAGCGTGCAGCCCCAACATACAACGACTATGACACGAACGACAGCGGTGGTCCCAGTAATGGACAAGGATACGGCGATTGGGATGATCCTGATGATGACTGGGGAACCTCAGCTCCGGCACCTGCAGCATCAGGCTCAGCACCAATGGCCAATCCTTTTACAGCAGGACCGTCAAACTCTTTTGGTTCCTCTTCTTCGTCGTTTCGACCAACTGGCATCAGTCACGAACCGTTCGACGTTAATAACGACTGGGACGACAACGAGTATGATGCTAGGTCTCCAAATGGTTACACATCGCCACTAGAGGATGTGTCGAGGCCGTACTCTGGAAGAGGAGCCGACGACGACCAGATCCGCTCGACTTCATCATCAACATCTCTCAGTGCTAAAGCGAATGTTCCGGCACCCCTGCCGGACTTGAGCAGAGTGCCTATGCCTGTGCTGCTTGAGATCGTGGAAGCACAGAGGAGAGGAACTGTGTCCGAGTTCCTCGACAAGGGTGCCTCCGGCTCAATACTAGCTCGCTCGTCAAGTTACAAAGGGAGCGCTAGGTCTGGTGCTCCACGATCTGGTCCTGATGCTTTCCCTCATCTATCAGTCAACACATTCTCCACAACCACCGGCGACGACGGACCGACAGTGGACATTGCTCAGCTTGCCAAATTTCAGCCGAACTATTACAAACCTGGGTCGTTCGATATTACTTTAGTTCTGGATGTTCGCGAGGTCCGAGTGCAGGGGGACCGAGATTACATCAGCAACAAACTTCGAGAAAAAGGAGTCGATGTGGAGACACGGGCATTGGACATTGGCGATGTTATCTGGATCGCTAAACCCAAGGAACCCAGCCCACTCCTCCCGAGGGAGATAGTGCTGGATCACATTGTGGAGCGCAAACGAATGGACGATCTGGTGTCAAGTATCAAAGATGGACGTTTCAATGAGCAGAAGGTATGGCACACGCAAAGTCGGCACGAATGATGTTGTTTGTTATTAACTTAGGGAGCCATCTTCAAACGCTGAGTATTGCTCTATTTCTTTCCGTGACAGTTTCGCTTGTCCAGGTCTGGTATAGGCCACGTTGTTTATGTTCTCGAGACGTACAAGGCAAACGAGACATTCGGCGGCATCCCTGTGGAGGCCATCCGAACAGCGATGACAACAATTCAGGTTCACAGCGGGTTCTTCCTCAAGCGCACTGTCAACACGGACCAAACTATCGACTATCTTGTCGCTTTGACTAAAACCCTGAAAGCCAAGTACTTGGTACGTTCTTTCACTAGTGAAGCATGTTACTGCTGCTTTCTAGGCACTCCTGGAACTATGTTTTCTGCTTGCCTCTGCTGGGTTTTAGCCTTTGGCACTTATCGTTTGTGATTTTTTCATAATAGGACCAAGTGTTGTACACAATCCCGGATGCGGTGATCGATCGCGACAGCCACCTTGACCTAATAGAGTACCTGAAAGGCAAGTTCCCTGGGCGGACCTACCTGACCAGTTACGACGCATTCATGAAGCTCAACAGCAAGTCGGACACACTGACGGTGCGCGACAACTTTGTGAAGATGCTGATGGTGATCCGAGGAGTGAGTGCTGAGAAGGCTATTGAGCTTGCCAGGGTGTATGGTACCCCACGCGCCATGTTTTCTGCGCTCGCTGAGCTAGGACGTGACGCCTCGAATGATGAGCGACGAGATATGCTTGCCAAGTCTGTGTCGCAAATCGGTCGCAAGAAGCTTGGAAATGCCTTGGCTGGTAAGGTTGCAGAGTTGTGGTATAGCAAGGAGTACGACGACCCAGCAGCTCCGCCGAGACCAACTTATGGTTCCTAGCAAGCCTTAAGCCAAATAAAAGCAGACACATATTTTTTATTTTCACAGTCAGTGGGTGGCCTCAGCGTTCGTCAAAATTACGTCCAAGGACGCGCGCGTGTGGACAAGGGCGAATCTCCCATGGCCCCTTGTCTGTCTATCTATCTGTCTGTCTGTCTGGTACTGGACTCTTTTTTCTCTTTCTCTCTCCTTTTTTCTCACTCTTCACTTCTTTCATTCTTTCATTCTTTCCTCACCCCCCCCCCCCCCCCCCCCTCACTCTCCCACAAAAATATAAAAGTCGCTTGCATGGCCCTTTCCCTGTTCACAGCGCAATCCTCCCAACTTACCAACTTCTCTCATTCTCATTCTCCTGCACCTCAACCGCAACAAGACAAAAAAATACGCAATGCCAAAGCCAAGCAATTCCCTTACCGCCCATGGCCCAAGCCACACCGCCGCCATGCTGAACCTGGATAACCTCGCGCAGCATACTCAGCATCACCAAGAACTAGACGAAAGCCGGAACTTTGTCCAAGAGTTCCTCGATACCCTCGACCCGTCCTCTGCTCCTCAGTCGGACCCAGGACTGGGACTGGTCGAACTGGCTCCAGATATTGTGCAGAAAAGTCCCAGTACCGAGTCAAAAACCCGTGGCTACGACTCACCTCAGCGCCCCAATATCCGTCCCGCACAACAACAACAACAACATACATCACAGCATCAACCTCAACTCCAACACCTGAACCAGAACCAACAACTCAGACAGAACAAATACCATCAGGGACCACAGCAACAGGCACACAGCAACAGCCCTGAGAAGTCCAAGCGGAAGAAGGTCTCCAAGAAACACCAAGAGTCGCCCAAGCGGACATATCACGAGCCACAGCCAATACTTCACGAAAGCAGGAAACATCCCGTTAGCACGACGCGACTCAAGGAAGGAAATGGAGCAGTCAGAAAAGACGACACGAGACAGAGCAAGAAACGGAAGCAGAACGTGGACGATGTCGAACTGGGTGTACAGGACCTCGAAATCCGCGACTCGCATTCTACCAACAAGCGCAAGCGTCAGACAGAGGGAGCGCCTACAAGACCCAAAGGACCAACGACGGCAACCAATGGCAAACAAGGTACACTCTTTTATGGTCCGCTATTCTTACCTCGTGTTGTTACTGCTTTAGTGAAAACTATGATACGTGATCTCACTGACGTGGGTGAAGGCGGCAATGCTCATACTACGTTTAGCCAAGAACCGGCACGTCCAAGACGATCAGCACGCATCAAACCAGCAGGACGAGGACAGACGTAAAGACCACGGAAGGAAGGCACCTTTGCATGACCTTGCAGACAACCGGGGCGATAATAGCAACGAGTATCACCCCAACCACAACCACCGCCATCAACGCCAACATCGACACGACCTCGCACTCTTAGCAATTCGACAGAACTCCAACTCTACGGTCAAGGACAACGCGGGGAGAAAAGATAGTAATAAACCTCGCAAGATCCTTACCCAGGGCTCGCTCATCATGAACGTAAGCTTCAACAGACTACCAGGTAGTTTTTTTCCTATTTCAAATTGAAACACGACAAAGCTTGAACTGTAATTTTGCCAAGGAATACCCTTTAAGCGTTTCTAACCAAAAATGTTTGTATGTCGACCGTTTTCTCGAGTAGCAATTCGTCTCTCCCAAGGTATCGAGAGAAAGAATCACGGTACGACTCGCTTTTATGCGTCGCCAAGTGATACCGGTGTCGTGCTACCAGTGCGGTAACGCCAGGTTTTATGCAACTGCTGACGTTGCTTTCGATATATCATGAACAATAGATCGCAGGAAAGTCTGACCATCTGGGTATCTTCAAGAAAGGCAAAGCCTCGAAAAAGACAACCGTACAACGAGGTATAATAATGATATCATGGCTCATATACGTTTGCAGATTGTGTGGACACATGGACATCGCTAATGCCCATTATATCGCGATAGATAACGGAAACGAGTTTTCGGAGGACGCGTTTCTCAATCAACGAACCGATTCAAGAGAATCTCGCCTCAGTGGGCGCCGGAACGAACAGGTGGTTACATCCGCTTACTTTATCAACGCAAAGCACGACGACAATGCTGCTGCATCCGAGTCGAGCTCTAGCTATGGTAACAAGAGCATCCACGAGCAATCCAAGCGTGCGAGCACCGCCTCGTCTGCTCATAGCCCTGACGCCGAACCTGCTCTCCAGAAGCGTACTGTCGCGTCGACTCATCATACCAACCGCCATGCTCGTGGTCACCAAGGCGCATCTCCCTATCATTCAAGTGCCAACAGCAATCAGCAGCAACAACCGAACCGGACCAACACATATGGATCGGCACTAACAGCAACCCATGTTACGACCCCTGAACCTTTGGAGAATGTCCTTGACACACTCTTGGAAAACAACGAAAGGTATTCTGTCCTGTCGGTACCATAATGTAGTCGTTTGGTCGTTTGAAGTGAGTGCTGACCATATACCTATGCGCGTTTCATTTTGAATCTTGATAGTCAAGCTGAATTGCCACCTCAAGTCAACTCCATCGAAACTGAGCAGCTTCAACAGCCGTTGCCAGTCGAGCACCTTTCGAGCGCTGAGACATATGCAGATTCTTATACGGAACTCCAGCCTTACGGATATGCTGCTCCCCAATGGCAGGACCCGTATCGCATTATGTGTGATCCTCTCCAACAGCTGTATTCAGTGTACGACTTGCCTGTAGCTGTTCTTCCTGCGTGTCCAACAGTACCAGAGCAGCAACTTCAGCACATGGAGTATTATGTTGACAACGATGACACCGAGTATGACCATGGTTTGCCTCTGGACGGTCTCCCGCCACAGCCTCTGCCACCGCCCTCAAGCACCCACTTTCGCTGGCGCCCTCACCGACTTTTCTAGGATTGAGAGACGATTACTAGGAAGAAAAATTTCCTTCAGAGTATGAAATGAATGAAAGCACGTGACACAAAGGTGGCTTTTTCAGCTTTGTGTTTTGATCTTTCTACCTTGAGACCTTTGTGAACTTGCCCTTCGTCTCTTTTTTTTTTGGCCTTTGAACTTCGCCTCTTCTCTTTTATCTCTCTCTCCATCCATTAACCTGGAGAACAGCAGCACTTTCGTCTGTGGACTGAACACGCCTTATCGCCAAAGATGAAGGAACAAGTTCATGAGCAGGCGCCCAAGAAAATGTAAATTAGCCTCGCTCTCATCCATTCACACACCGCATCGCACTACTCAGCTGTTACCCCTCGACTCTTCGTACGACAACAATACGCCACCAGTTACTTTGTTAAAGCGCGACCCGACCAACTCTTACCTTGCGACTTGTGAATAGTGGAGAACAGGATGTATTCGTGGGATATGTGGGTCCCTGTACTCGCTTGATCAATGAACCCCCTCTAAGATGTATTCTCTTCGTCGCGACTCCACTCTTTACTCGTCAATAGCAAACAAATCCAGTTTGGTGTTCTCTCGCCCCAGGAGATCGTCAATGTCTCCGAGTTTGAGGTCACCCAGCGTGATCTTTACACCCTGGTGGATCGTCAGCCCGTCAAATATGGAATGCTCGATTTGAGACTGGTACGTTCACCGTCCTTTGTTTTCGCTCAACCCTCTCCCTCGCCGAGCGTCCTTGTTTGTTGGCGAAATTATCAGAAGAGAAATGGCTGCGGCGCGTCTTTCTTTGCATATGCAGGATGACTCACGATAGCGAACGTCTAACCTTTTGTTGTCTTTTGTGCTTTGCTTACTATCATGGAATGAAATTGAATAGGGTACATCGGACAAGATGGCGACGTGCGAGACGTGTGGATTGAAGCAGCAGGATTGTATCGGACATTTCGCACATATCAAACTGTGCCTGCCAGTCTTTCACATCGGATACTTCAGAGCAGCCATTGTCATTTTACAGAATATTTGCAAGGTACTGATAGTTGTGATTAACAAGCATCCATTCTCATGTTCGTATCTCCATCGCGGTGGCTAACGTGATACTACTGTTTGTACGTTTCATATAAATAGACTTGCAGTAGAGTTTTGCTGTCAGAGAAGGATCGCCGTACATATCTCAAGAGACTCCGCGCCCCCAACCTGGAGAACCTGTCAAGGAAGAGTGTTGTCAAGGCTGTGAATGAGAAGTGCAAGAAGGTTGTGCACTGTCAGTACTGCGAAGGCACCAACGGTATGTACTTGCGTTCTTTTTTTTTCTCGCTCTTCAATTGTTGATACCTTACGATGTTTACTAATTTGAATTCTCATTTCGATGTACCGCTAATAGGAACGGTCAAGAAGGTTGGCGCTCTCAGGATTGTTCACGAGAAGTTCAGGGCAAAGAAGGTCGCCGGCGAATATGAGCAGTTCAAGAACTCATTCAGCAACGCCATTGCTGCTGCTCCAGAGTTGAAGCCCCATATCGACAAAGCTCAAGAGGACATGAACCCACTGAGGGTTCTTAATCTTTTCAAAGCGATCACGGACGAGGTAGGCAACCTTTGGCATTTCGGTGTTCAAGGAAGGCGACATCGGCGGATTGGCAGAACTCTGACCACTTCATTGACTCTTCATTTTTCAATAGGATTGTGAACTTTTGGGAATGAATCCTGATATCGGCAGACCCGAGATGTACCTTTGGCAGAATATTTCGGTCCCACCAGTCTGTATTCGTCCCTCAGTTCAGCAGGATGGTGCCAGTAACGAGGATGATATCACAGTTAAGCTAACGGAGGTTATCTTCACCAACGCCCACATGCAAGCTGGCCTTAATGAGGGTATCGCTATCCACAACTTGATGGTAAGCACATACTGCTTTTTTCTAGTGCTCAATGTGAACTAAGGTGTGCAATTAGGTTTTGCCGCTGATATTGGATATTAACCGAGTCTTATTAATTGCATGATGCTTATTAGGAACAATGGGACTTTTTGCAACTTTCAGTCGCCATGTACATCAACAGTGAGCTTCCAGGAATCTCCAACTTGCAGCCAGGAAAGCCAGTGCGTGGATTTTGTCAGAGATTGAAGGGCAAACAGGGTCGTTTCCGTGGAAACTTGTCAGGAAAGCGTGTGGATTTCTCTGGACGTACCGTCATTTCGCCCGATCCCAACCTCCGCATTGATCAGGTCGCTGTTCCAGAGCTGGTCGCCAAGAACCTCACCTATCCCGAACGTGTCACCAACCACAACATCACCCGACTTCGCCATGCCATCACCAACGGAACGGAGATCCACCCAGGAGCCAACTATGTCACTCTGGGCACCAGCAACATGAAAAAGTCACTCAAATTCGGTAACAGAGCTCAGATTGCTGCCGAGATCCAGGTCGGCGATCTTGTTGAGCGTCACTTGAACGACGGCGATGTCGTCCTTTTCAACCGTCAGCCCTCTCTGCACAAGCTCTCTATTATGGCCCATTACGCCAAGATTCGACCATGGCGTACCTTCCGTTTCAACGAGTGTGTCTGCAACCCCTACAATGCCGATTTTGACGGAGACGAGATGAACTTGCACGTTCCACAGACGGAAGAGGCCAGGACGGAGGCGATCGAGCTCATGGGAGTTAAGAACAACTTGGTTACACCCAGAAACGGAACGCCTTTGATTGCTGCCATTCAGGATTTTATCACAGCCTCATACCTCATCACACAGAAGGATCTCTTTTACGACCGCTCCCAGTTTGTCCAGATCTGTTCGTACATGGGCGACGCAGAGATGAAGATCGACATTCCACCACCCGCCATCTGGAAGCCAGCGCAGCGATGGACCGGAAAGCAGATCATTGGTGTTCTCCTCAAGCCGACCATGAAGTCCAACGTTCTCGTTAACCTGGAGTGCAAAACTCGTTCGTACGACAAGGTCAAGAGATCCGTCATGGATATGTGCAAGAACGATGGCTATCTCGTAATCCACAACAGTGAAATCATGTGCGGAGCTTTGGACAAGTCGATTGTTGGAGACGGAAACAAGAGTTCGCTGTTCTACATTGTCATGCGCGACTATGGATCGATCGAGGCAGCCAAGTGTATGAACCGACTTGCCAAGCTGTGCGCTCGTTGGTTGGGAACAGTGGGATTCTCGATCGGTATCAACGATGTCCAGCCCGGCGAGATTTTGGCGTCCAAGAAAGATGAACTCGTCAGGAACGCCTATGCCCACTGCGACGACCTCATTCGTCGCTCTCTGAACGGTCAGTTGGAGAACCAGCCCGGATGCGATATTGAGCAGACGCTGGAGGCCCTGATTTCTGGAGAGCTGTCTCAAGTTCGTGACAAGGTCGGAGATATCTGTTTGACAGAGCTCAACAAGTACAACTCGCCCCTTATCATGGCAACCTGTGGTTCCAAGGGTAAGAACATCTCTTGATTCTCGTGAACACTCACATTCCACCGCCAATTATTCGCGTAATTAGTATTGCAAAGCTGACTAACATTACCAACATTTCTTGCGTGTGTCTGATAGGTTCCAAGATTAACGTATCGCAGATGGTTGCTTGTGTCGGACAGCAGATTATCAGTGGAAAGCGTATCCCCAACGGTTTCCAGGACAGATCTCTGCCACATTTCTTGAAGAACTCCGTTACACCACCCGCCAAGGGTTTCGTCCGCAACAGTTTCTATACTGGCTTGACCCCCACCGAGTTCCTGTTCCACGCTGTCTCTGGTCGTGAAGGTCTGGTCGATACCGCTGTCAAGACCGCCGAAACCGGATACATGCAACGTCGTCTGATGAAGGCTCTGGAGGATTTGACTACCCACTACGATCTCTCGGTCCGCAACTCTGTCGGTAACATTATCCAGTTTACTTACGGAAGTGACGGTCTCGACCCCGCTGTTCTCGAGGGCAACGGTACCCCAGTCTTGTTCGACCGCAACTTTGTCAGCACCCTTCACATCCTCCCCGTCACCGCCGACGATTCCCGTCTTTTGCCCTGGCAGATTATTGAGTATGTCGAGAAGGTAGTCGCGTCCCCTCGCTGGTCCAAGAACTGTTCGAAGGAGTTTATCGACTCGTTGATGATGTACGTCAAGGTTCACATCGCCGGTAAGCTCAAGAACATTCGTGAGGCGTACGATATGATGTCGGGAGAACACAACCCAGGCGAGGAGTATGAGGGCATGGACATTGACGAGGATGAGCCTGAAGAGGTCAAGAAGGTCGTTAACAACAAGCTGTCGGTCACTGAGCGTCAGTTGGAGAGGTTCCTGTATATCTGCTGGGACAAGTTTATGAAGGCCAAGATCGAGCCCGCTTCTGCCGTTGGAGCTGTCGGTGCCCAGTCGATCGGAGAACCCGGTACTCAGATGACACTGAAGACTTTCCATTTCGCCGGTGTCGCCTCGATGAACATTACACTGGGAGTGCCTCGTATCAAGGAGATTATCAACGCCGCCAAGGCCATCACCACGCCCATTATCACCACTCGTCTCGTCAACAACACGGATGTCAAGTCGGCACGTATCGTCAAGGGAAGAATTGAGAAGACGATGTTGGGTGACATTGCCGAGTTTATCGATGAAGTCTACAAGCCCGATGAGTGCTACATTGGAGTGCGTCTGGATATGGAGGCTATCCGCAGGTTGCAGCTGGAGACGGACTTGGATGAGGTCGCCAAGGCCATTGGATTGGCGCCCAAGCTCAAGATCGGAACCAACAATGTGCAGATCCACAAGCCCGACAGTCTGCGCGTCTATGTGCAGGTTAAGGACCAGTCCAGGCTGTACTATGCGATCAAGCAGCTCAAGAGACAGCTCCCGGACATTATCATCAAGGGTCTTCCCCAGGTCAACCGTGCTGTCATCAACGAGATCCAGGGAAGCGGTGGCAAGAAGGAGTTGCTTGTTGAGGGTTACGGTCTTCGCGAGCTGATGAACACGGAGGGAGTTGTCGGTACACAGACGCGGTCGAACCACGTTATGGAGGTGTGGAAGGTGCTCGGTATTGAGGCAGCGCGTCGTACGATTCTGGACGAGATCAAGAGTGTCATGGACTCTCACGGACTGACGATCGACCCCCGCCACGTCATGTTGCTCGGAGATATCATGACGTCGAAGGGAGAGGTGTTGGGTATTACCCGGTTCGGTATTGCCAAGATGAAGGACAGTGTGATGATGTTGGCATCTTTCGAGAAGACGACGGATCACTTGTTTGAGGCGTCGCTGTACTCGAAGAAGGACGCGATCGAGGGAGTCTCGGAGTGTATCATCATGGGTATCCCGATGTCGATTGGAACGGGTCTGTTCAAGCTGATCAAGCGGGACGATGCCCAGGACCGTATTCCTATCCGCCGCAAGCTCCTCTTTGATCCATAGTTTCTGTTGTTTTTTGTTCCCCCCTATCTGACAACTTTGGAGAAGGAAGAGAGAAAAAGAAGAAAATAATTGTAACAATATAAAAAAAAAAGATTCATACCATTTGCACAAGTTGGTGTCTTTTCGTTGGAACGCGGTATGCTTTTGTTTTTGTTTTTGTTTTTGTTTTTGTTTTGTGAAGCTGATGGATCTTACAAGCCTTTTCTCTCTCTCGACTCTTGATGACCGATGAGCAGCCGTTTGTGAAAAACAAGGTTCTGGCATCAATCAAAAGGCATTCTTACTTTGGGCAACTTGTTAGTACAGACAGCATGCAGCCGGGGGGTTTTTTACCGATAGTTTTGACTTCTCACGCCCTCATGTGCTGCAAAGCATAGCAAACGAAAGAAAATGAACAATTGCAGTGGAGAGGGAAGGGTGTTGGTGGTGGGGGAGTGCTTTAATGCGACGAGGGGTTGGGTGTAATCTGAGTGGCACTGTTGCCGGTAAGAGACCCGGTGTTGCGCCGAATTATGGTGCAATTCGTGGTAGGGAGTGAAGAAGGAATGGAGGAAAGGAGTTGTTGTTGTTATTCAGATATTGTTTCGGTAACAGTTTTCTTAAACCGTTGACTAGCTGCGCCCAACCTTAGTTTCCTTTTAGCAATCCACATTATCTCTCCCCTTTTTTTCTGCGTTTTTACTATTGTAAAATAGAAGAGGCGATCTAGGTTACTGAGATGCACACCAGTGGCTCCTATAGCCAAGATGCAGGACTGAGAGGCGCTAATGATGACAGTAAAGTGCTTGGTACAGTACATGCCCAATGGTGGCCAATCCCTTGGTCTCGGCATTGGCGGCAATGGGGGTCGAGGTAGCAACGCAGATGGCCGAGGTGTAGTACTGGCGGATAGAGTTGTTCACCCGCGAGCTGTTGGTCTCGGGGACGGCCTTGAGGGCACGGGCAGAAGCCTTGAAGATGAAGTCGTTGACCGATAACTTATACTTGTCCTCGGGGGACTTGTTGAGGAGCTCGGGAGCTTCATGACCTTGCCTATCTCCATCCCGACCGTAATGTAGAGGAACGGTCTGTTTCGACAGCTGGGCAATGACCCTGCGCATGTTAGTGACGGAGATGTCGGTGTGAGCAGCGCCGGCAGCAGCAGCGGTGAAATCGGCGAGCTTCTCGATATCCTCCTTGTTCTCGGCCATGATGGCGATGGGTTGGTTGATGTTGACCTCGGAGCCAGACACGACCAAGATCTTGGCACTGTAGCCCTCCTCCTAGCACTCAAAGTCCGTTTGGGCCTTATTGGTCTCGGTCTCGACGAGGACGTCACCGGCGGCAATGGCACTCGCTGACCTTCTTCTGCCAGGTTCCAATGTTTCCCATGGCCATGGTGGGAGGGAGAGCGGGCATGTTGATGGTGGTGTGGGAGGGGATAGCTGAGTGTGCCTGTGATGAGATAGAAGGTGCCTTTGGTTAGATTCACGACTATAACGATAAACGGCTTTTCGTCTCGCTCTACTCCCTGGCACCGTCTTTTAATTTTCAGTAAAGGTTGCTGTTGACTGGACTGTCTCTGTCTGTGCGTTTTTGACTGCATGTCTGCTGTGTGTTGGTAATGAATCGGGTGCTCTGTCATTGAGTTTGGGTGTCCTTTGTTCCTTTGTTTCTCCTCGTTCTTACACCGGACTTGTAATCTCGAACTCTATCCTCCTCTCATTGCAGCCGTAAGCAATCAGCTTAAGCGAATCTCTCCTTCTCTTTGATCCAGATTCCCGGAGACAATAACTAGGCTCGCTCGCACATCACACACGTACACACAACCACTCAGCTGCCTCCATGCTCTCATCCTTCAGACGCACATACTCAACAGCAGTCCATGAGGCAAGTGCTTACGACCAACGAGTGCTGTCACTTTTGCTGTTACTACTTTTCCCATTACTCAATTCTATGCATGAGCCTTGCAAGTCCATGCCATCGCAACACACCAAGTGCTGCTGCACACTGCTACTCTAAGCAAGCGGCAGTATTAAAGGAGCAATGGATCCTCATGGGTTGCCGACAGGCATTTACAACTGAACTAACCACCTCTCATCTTTAATGAATATTTCGATGGTCACCAGGCCCTGCCTCTGGCCAACACCTTGACATTGATCCCAGGCGGAACGCGAGGAATAGGTCTCGCAACTGCCAAACTCTTTGCACGCAATGGTTCACGCGTTGTCGTTCTGGGACGAGACCAAGAACGCATCAAGCACGTTCTCGAAAAAGAACTCGCCCCGATTCATGGGAGCAATTCGTCCGTGGAACATTTGGGCTTCCAGTGCGACGTATCCAACCAGGAGGACATTGAGCGGACCATCAAGGTATGTTATACGTTCGGTTCTCTCTCTCGTTCTTTCTCCAATAGCAGCAGTAGTGAGCATCTGAGCACCCTGCTTACGGTATTGGCATTGCGAAAAAGAGCGCGATTTGGCAACTGCCACACCGTCATGGACCCTTGTTTGTCATTGAATCGCAAGGTGGAGGACGGGGGAGGGAACGAAAACAAGGGGTGCATATGGAGACAGAGGGCATAAAACAGGGAGGGATGGGGCCAGGAGGAGATAAAAGACTTTCTTGGCCATGTGCACTCATAGCAGGCCATTGAATAGTTTACTGAGCAATAATATAATCGACCGGCAATTGAATGGTTGCTCTATTATTGAGGATTACCTGTACTCATTTAGTTTGATCCGCTCTGCTGGGAATATTTACTGCACTTTAGGAGCTGGGCAAGGTCGCTCCTGTGGACTATATGGTCAACTCGGCGGGAATTACTCGGGACTCTCTGCTTATCGCGCATGCCTCACAGGATATCGAAAACGTGATTTCAACCAACCTCATGGGTACCATCTGGCTCAACAAGGCCGTTGTCAAGGGAATGATGCGTCGTAAAAGGGGTAAGGGTCCTTGTCGCTCTCTCTCCTTCTTGTCAAGTCCATGGACTTGTCTCGATTTTTGCATGCATACACGTTCCTCACTCTCCTTATCACAACCCCCTAGATGGCCAAATTTGCCGTTTTGCTAGATCCAATCCAAAAGTGCAAACCTTTCTACACTTTTTGCTTTTGTAGCAACCAATGATCTGATGGATTTTTTTTTTTTTTTTCGTTGTGTATCCTTTCCTGGGGCGCCGGTATGGGAATCATTAGGATCCATCATCAACATCTCGAGTGTCGTTGGTCTGCAAGGGAACATTGGTCAATCTGTGTACAGCGCATCCAAGTCAGCTATTATCGGTACGCAGGGAGCAAATGAAGTCTCTTTAAGCAAGTGGTGGACAGAGAAGCGATTCGAAGGAGGTTTGACCGTAACTGAACTTTGCATGACTGTGACATGGGAGAGATGGACGAATAGGAGCATCCTTGAAAATGAAAGAAGGAAAAACCTATCTCACCACCTCCTTCCTCTCATCCCTTTCTTTCAATCTTTGGACCTCCCTTTTTTTTTGTATTTGTTAATTGTCTGCTTGATTGTCGGTCTGATTGTTGGTCTGTTTATCTGTTGTTTAATTTTTGTGCGTAGGATTCTCAAAATCCCTCTCCAAAGAGGTTGGTTCAAGAAACATTACTGTGAACGTTATTGCTCCTGGCTATATCGACACCGACATGACGTCAAGTAAGTGTGCCGCACTGAACTGCTCACATTCACCAATTAAACAACAAAGTTTTGGACTAAACACCCTTTGCGCTATGTGCTTTTTGTTTGTTTGTTTGTTGTGATTGGTGTTATAGATGGTCTCTCCCATTCCTTGACCATGAACTTACTCTTTCTTACCTCGTATCATCCCTGTACTTAATTCTGACGCTTCTCTCTCTCTCTCTCTCTTTCTCGTTCGTGTTATATATTGCTGATGCAACCATAAAGGCATACCAGAGGACCGCAAGAAGGCCATAGTTGCAAGAACATCCCTTGGTCGTCTGGGCCAAGCGGACGATGTTGCCGAAGCTGCCCTCTTCCTAGCTCAAGCAAAGTTTATCACAGGACAAGTAAGGTGTTCTTGTACTTTTTCTTTGTACCTTTCTCGCGTCAGCACCATTCGGAAACCATGGGTTTGTAAAAGTAGTTTAGCTGACGCGACTTTGGCTTCTCGTCTTGCTAGGTTCTTGTTGTCGACGGTGGCCTCTCCCTTTAATATCGATCAATGGACGAATCTGGTCACGGTCGTTGATAGGCAGCAAATAAACAGTCGCCTTCGCCCTGATCATGAACTGTGGGTTCTAGCGTTCGGCGATTATTTTCTATCGGGGATTGCTGCGATCGCCGATACGACTCATTTTCTTGCAGGCCTGCTGTCGCAACGGCGGGAATTGCGCCCATTAACCACTCCCTCTTGCTTACTCTGGTCCCCGAATGTACCTGCCTGAGGCGGACAGACGGAGGAACCAAGAACCACACCGAGTTTTTTTTGCCGGTTGACATCACGAAAGTTCCACCAGACTAACTTCTCTGTTTGACATTTGTCCGTTTATGCAGTGAACAAAGGCAAAAGTACAAAAAGGGTGCCAGTGCGCACGGTCTGTTCAAGTGGACCTTCACAAAGGAGAGATGCTGAATCATGCTTTTATTTCAAACGTATCCGAACCAATGGTCAGTTCGATCGATCGGTTCTTTTTGCCTCGTTTTTCTGAAGTAACAGACGGAGGGGAATGAAGGCGTTTGATAGATAATGACAAGATGTTAACTCCTGTCAGCGGTCGAGGCACTAGGTCAGTGAAATGCGCTTTTGTATGAAGAAAGAAGAGGAGGCTAACTCACACACCACAATAAGAATGCCCCACAGGCTATGACATTCAATAAGCCCCACAGAACCGCAATAAAATGCCCCTTAATCTCACAAAGTTCAAGTGTGAGTGGATGTGTGTCTTATTTTTATTTTGAACACTTGACGCCGTCTTTTCTCTTCTGCACTTTACACTCCTTCCCCCGTCCTTTCTTCAACGCCTGCATGACCACCAACTCACCATCTCCTTCACGACACACAACTCTCCTCACTCTGCAACATACTCGATATCTCTTACCACCTTCACAAAACTTCCCTTGTCAGGCGCTCTGAACACACTCACAATATAGACACCAGATATCTACCTGTATGTCTGTCGACTTGGCCGCTCTTTGTCCCTTTACTTGACACCCGAAAGAACTTCAACCACAACGACACCCTTCTCTTACACACCCTTACCTCCTCCTTCGCTTGCCCAGTCGCCAATAGAAGTCTCTTGTCACCTCACAAAGTACTTGACCACACCTCGTCTGTTGTTCTGTTCTTCAACTACCTCGTTTCTCACACCTAATTATTCCTTACGCACCCTCTTGTCCGTTTCCTCTGTTTGTTTGTTTGTTTGTTTGTTTCTCCCTCTGCAGCTGTGAGATGATAGTCTCCGGTTGACGCTCAAATGCGTAGCACTTTATGACTCTGGGTTCATGATGTAGGGTAAGTCGTGGGCTGTTATAACCAGCGCCACCGAGCGAAAAAGAGTATATTATATTGAGGTTGTGTACTATATACATGTAGGGGCGCAAAGGCCGGGGGAGGACGAAGTCATGTAGACTGTCGCTCATATGTGCAAAGAGTGAAAAGATAAAAGTGTACTATGTATACATGGGATTGAGAGAAAAGAAAAATGGGTGAAGGAAATATTCGAGTATGGTACAAAGAGAAGACAGAGTAGTATATACATGGGGTTGAGATAAAAATGGGTGAAGAAAATATGACGAAAATGGTACAAAGAAAAGACAGAGTAGGGCGTCGTTGCTGCGGAGCCGACACCGGCCACCAAATCACGACTCGTGAGTACTGCAGAGCTGGTCCAGGAATCCAAAGTCAGTGAGTTCCTGCTGGTCCTCACCCACAGCCAAGCTCAAAGGATCGTTCAGGGGATCCATCTGGGCGACGGCGAGCATGAACACCAGGTCGGGGTCGGGTGTGATCAATGCCATCCAGAATGGCATAGGGTCTTCGGCAATCGGGATATGAGAGAGACCAGCCAGCTCCTCAACCAGCTCTGGAGCAGCCTCGGCGGCGTTGCATTGCGAGGGAGTCGAGGCGGCAGCGCGGGGTTTAGGGGTCACGGAGGCAGGCACGGAAGCGGACACTGACGAGGGCGAAAGTTCCAAGCGCTTCCTGGGTTCCTCATCGAGGTCGCTGTTTCTCAAGGGTCGCTTGCCATTGCCGTTGGCGTTCCTCCAGCGAGCGAAGAACTCGTATTCTCGCAGCTCGGCGAAGGATACTCGCAGGTCTAATGTTACAGAACAGGGTTCCATCAGGAAAACCAACAGCAATGGACGTTAATTAACGGTTACTAAACAATCGCTATTGTTCACCTAACATGACCTTTTAGATGAAACTTACACTGGGATTTCATGCAGTCGTTTATCAACTTTGTTGCTGCAGCGCTTTTCCCCTTCAGTTCTTCTCTGCTCTCAGGGTGTGTCCCATAAAGCATTTGACGGACCATCACACCGTATGAGAATACGTCAATTTCTTGGCCATACATATTTCTTGCAATGACCTCTGGGGCGCAAAACCCTGGTGTCCCGGCACAGTTGCTGTACGTTGTGTAAGTATGTAGTGGTTGGTTAGAATGCATGTAATGGCTGTAATTTCGAGCTGTTAAACAGTATTTGTGCTCAAATTGAAAAACCCATTACTTACGTCTTTAGACCTTTTGATAGATAGAAACCAAAGCCGAAGTCGGCTACTCGGGCGTTTCCATGACCATCCAAGAGAACATTGGCGGGCTTTAAGTCCCTATGGACCAAGCCGAGTTCATTATGGAGGTATAGGCACGCCTCAAGAACCTGCCACATCCATTTGGACACGTCAGCTTCGGGAAGACCCGCCTTTATGTTCTTGTTGGCCCTACTGCACGCGAGTTTGGCATGCAAATCCTATATGGCAAGATATCAGTTGGTTAATACACAGAGATATAAGTATACGTGTTTCAAGACTCAAGACATTTTTTACTAATGCAAACTTACTCCTCCTTCATACAGGTCCAGCACGAGGATGGTCAGATTGCCCACCTCGAAGCTCTTGAGGGACTGGACGATGTATGGGTGGCTCAAGGTAGACAGGATTTGAGCTTCGTTTGTGGCTACCACCTTGCTGTTGGGTTTCTCGGGAGGGCAATACGATATCTTCAGGACGACCTGTTTATAATCCGTGGCTGCCTTATAGCACGACCCATAGGCACCTTCTCCCAGTCTTGTGTCGCATGTATACATGGTAGTGCCTTGGTAAATGACGAGAGGCAGCGTCCCCTCGCGAAATTCTCTCTGTGGTTGATTGACAAGGATAATGCTCTTGATTAGCATCGCTTTTGTTGACGTTTCTCTTCATTAGGTGTAGCACTGTGAACATGCGGTGGTCCAACTGTGGTTGTTATATCGAGTAATGGCATTGATTCAGGACAGGAAGCAGCAGTGCCAGCAGCCTTCTCTCGTTCGCCTCCCACATCCCATCACGCGCTCTCACTGACTTTCACGTTATTCAATGCCATGACAATCACTCTCCGCGATATGTCGGTAATGGATTGGACTCGCCAAGGATCAAAAGGATTGACGATTACAACTTCACTCAAGGCAAACAATTGGATCAGGACCAGGCTCTGACAAGGTTCACTAGCGTGTGAATTTCGTGGGTCTCATGGGTCTCATGGCGTCCAACAGGCAAGGTTGATGCAAGGACAGTGTTGGATGGCGTAGCAGCGTTGGCATCAGGACGTGTCCCTCCACCTTTTTCACTTTGTGCCGTGGACAGCAAAACTCGGTAATATATGCGACTTACCAGGACGTGTTCGTTGCGGGGGTCCATTGTCAAAGTTGTAGAAGTCATGGTTGAAGGTCGATGAGGAATCAAGCTGAGTGAACTTTGTCTTAATAAATGATGTGCTTTGGCCAACGTTCGCTCTCAATTGACGTCAAGACTCAGCTGCGGAGAGCAAATGTACAAGCCGCCGCCACCGAGACGTGTGGCTGACCCAAGGACCTAAGGTCGATGGTGCCATGGCGTTGAACTCTCGACGATGAGGGCACTAAAACGAGCGGTTCAAATTGGCAACGATGGACGTCGATGAAAGTGAATGGACGTCGGTTTCTGAATCCAGGAACGGGTCTGCTAGGTACCACCATTGATAACGGCTCCAGGTTTGAGACAGTTGGTGATATTTGAACCAGCCTATTAGTTTCAGGCCTAATAGTCTCAGCCACTAGGCCAGCCACCATCAGTCAAATGAACTTATTTCCATCTTCAACTTCCATCACTCTACTCCCCTCATTTCGTGCGCTATTACTCCTTTCCTGTCTTCAACCACTTCGATTCAATCGATCATTTGCACGATCCAAGACCAAACTCAGGAGTCGGCACTCGCTATTCTCGGTCTTTTAGATTTTCTCAAGGAAAGTGCAAAAGAACGTCACCATCGACTTCCCTTCAACGAATCTCTCGCATGGACTATTCGCCAACACTTTGTCGGTATCGTTTCTTGGATGCAGATGTCCTTAGGAGGCCCCGAGACTGTTGATAGTGGTTTTGCTTTTGTCCTCTTGGCAAAAGCAACGTAGTTTCCCGCCAACAATACCGCGGAATCCTCTGGAAAGCGCTTATGTCTGCCTCTCCTAGGGTGCAAGAGACCCCACCTTGCAGCCTTGACCCTGCTCTGTGGCCTCTTGGACTAAAGAGGGTAGTCGCTTTCCAGAGGCCCATGGTATATTTATGAACGTCAACCGCAGGCACTTGGGAGTCCGTTCGGAGGTGCACTGAGCAACCGTAGCAGGGGTCAACTGCCTTTGATATTTTTAATGTCATTGTCCTTCATTGTTGGGAAGCGAATAGGAAGAATTGCGGGAGGTCCGTTGGATGGACTATGCACTCTCTAGAAAGTCGGTCTTTCTAACACATTTTTCAATTGTCTTTTTCTTGTTTGACTTGAACCCTCTTTAGGTCCATCCTTCATAAACAGCCCGTTCGATCAAAAGGGAATTGCAGGGACGTTAACACTTGATTCACAAGAACCATTCACCAACACTTCCGTTTCTTGGATGCAGATGTCCTTAAGAGGATCTCCAAATTGATGTCTATGATTTACTTTTGTCCTCTCGGCAAAACAACGCAGTTCCGTCAACGTATTCGGAGTCCTCTGGAAAGCGCTCATGTCTGCCCATCCTAAGGTGCAAGAGACCCCACCCTTCAGCCTTGACCTCGCTCTGTGGACTTTTGCGCTACAGAGAACGATTGCTTTCCAAGGGCACTTGATAATTGCAAGTCCGTTATCCACTGGCACTGGAAACCGTGTTGGGAGGTGTACCAGGCAGCGTAGCAGGCGGGTAACTGCCTTTGATGGTTTATATGTCTTTGTCCCAAAATGTTGGAATCAATGGCGTGGGTAGCAGGAATGTGGGGTGGAGATAAGTTTATGCGCATTCAAAGGGGCGGTTTCTAGTCTATTTTTTCTTCGCTGTTCTGGTTACCTAGATGGCCTTGTTCTTGGCTGTTCATACCGATAGTACTATCAGACGCGAGGATAATTAGCATGTCAAATAAAGGTTCTACCCTTTTTTATCAACGGCAACTCTATTCCCCCCTGAATGACCACAGGACTCACAGCTAATCCCCCTCTTTCTCTTCCTCCTTTCTCCCTCTCCTTCCATCACAACCAACAAAGAAACACATCCAAAGCACGCGACCACATACTCAGGGATGTGTGTCAGATACAGTCTTAACCATCACCTTTTGTTTCACTTATACTCCCCAGAATCTTATCGGTTTTATCCATGGCGGATCCACATCGGGATCTTCTGTCGCAGGAAGTCACTATAATCACGGCAGAATCAATTGAATGTTAACAACATGATCTCCCTCTCTCTCTCTTGCCGCTGTTCAATTGCGATCGGAGCTCCTTACAGGATAAAAAGGAGTCATCGTTAAGAAACGTGTTGAGGAGAATATTTCAACTCCAAACAGTTCATTTGTTGAGATTCAGACAAAACCCTACATCAATTTGAGAGGCCGCGGTTGTCAGCTGCCACTTTATTTTGCTACCAAAAAACCAAGGAGCATAAGGAATAGAAGGCAGATCAAAAGACTTTTCAGGAACCAACAAAGAGAACGACCAAGTCGCGACTGAGGATTCATAGGAACAAAATGTCAGTCGACAAACTCAAAGGATCCGCCAGGCGCCTGGTTATTGATCATGGATCATGCTTATCATCCTCGCCGAACAACACTCAAGGAACCAGAAATGCTGACTGACAACCATTCTCTTCATCTTTTCAGCTTACACCTTTATACCAAATCGTATTTCCGAAGGCTTGTGTTGTCCCCATACATAACGCAAGAACAATAGACGCCAGAAGCAATTGAACATCATCAAACGGCGCGTCCCCTTGAAAAGTAAAGACCATTCCTGTCAGCGAGCAGATGGATGTCTCTTTGCCCTGGAGGAAAAAAAACGTGAAAGCGGAAGAGCCTTCTTGATGACCGTAGACGTAGCTGGTCTATTACTCTAGCGATTTTTCCATTTGAGCCACCACTACCGTCAACTTCGACGCGTTCTGAAATATGGAGTTGAGAGATGCACATACAACAGATGATAGGCCTTCTTCTGGGGCCTGGGTCCATCTCTTTTCTCAAAAACGCTGAAAGCTCTCGACTTTGCTTTCGAAAGGACAAAAGTCCGGAGTCCAAGCGCCATTATTTTTTTGTCCAACAGATGCGCACCGGCTAAATTGCAACGGACGAATATCTTTACTCCTTTCTCTCTCTTGCTTCTTTCTTCTTTTCTTCACTCTTTGTCAACTCCTCTTTCCCCTTCCATCCTCGCACCACCATTTTTGTTTCTGACAATGGCTGTTCAGAACAAGGCCACACGTTGCATGATCACTAAGGCAGTCGCCGCTATTTTACTCTTGGCCCCTTTCCTGGTTGTCCCAACCTGCGGACAGCAGAGCACGGCCTGTGTCACGACCTACGACCCCACTGAGGACTACTTCCTTGACAAGTCCCAAGGTAACCCTCCGCACATGCCATTCTCGCCCGACGACGGAAGACAAAACCAAAAGCATCTTTATCATCTAACCAAAAACACCGCTCCTTCGCCTCCAAACCAACGCAACTAGTCGACGGCGGCGCATTGTTCAGCATCACCTACAACCTAAACTACAAAGTCGTTAAAAACACCTCCCTCAACACCACCTACATCCTTACTCAATGCGGAACTCCCACCCCAAATGCAACCATCGTACCTCGAACAAACACCACCATCTTTATCCAAATCCCCGTCACCAACCTTGCCTCCCTCGCCACCACTGCTGTCTCTTATATCGAAATGCTTGGGAAACAGGCAGCCATCAAGGCTGTTGACACTGAGGGGTTGGTTTCTTCCCCATGTGTCCAGGCGGGATTGGAGAAGGGCACGATTGTGGGGTTGGAGGATTCGAATAGTACATTGAGGGCTGAACAGATGACGAAGGTCGATGTTGTGTTTAGTTCGTATGGTGTTGACCCTGGGACGGAGAACAAGACGGTGATTACTTCTGAGGTTGAGGACTCGAGCCCCTTGAACGTAAGTTTTGTGTTAATTTTGTTCATTCCTGTCCATCTTTTTTTTTTTTTTTATGCTTTCAGAGATGAGGGACCAAGCGACTCGACTAACAAACAAAACGCGCCCAAAGCGCGTATCCACAACCAAATTCCAAAACACTAACACACAAACCCATACCCATCTTACTCCACACACACACACACACACACACACACACACACACACACACACACATTTCCCGTCTCCAGCGCGCGGAATGGCTCGAGTTCTACGCAACGTTCTTCAATGCCGAAAAAGTCGCCCAAACCCTCACAGCCTCAATCAACAACAACTACAACTGCTACAAATCCGCCGCAACAACAAAAGCAACCGCAAAACCAATCATCGCCTGGGCTTCATACGACGCACCTTCCTCTTACAACAACAACACTGCATCTTGGCTCCTCTCGAGTGCTACTTACAAAAGTATTCTCTCCACTGATGCTGGTGCGACCTTCTTTAACGGTACTGATTCTTCTAGCTTCTCGACCTCTGCTGCTTTTGCGACCGCGGTTCAGACGGTCGATATCCTGATTGATGAATCCGTCAGTGGATCTACATACGACGCCTTCTTGGAGAATTACCAACTCTCTACCACAGCCGCACCCGGATCCACTCTGAAGTTCATCCAGAACAAGGCTGTTTTTAGAGAAGATGGACTGGTCAACCCCAACGACGGCCGTGATTGGTTCGGAGGCGCCGTGGCCATGGACGACGCCGTCCTTCAGGACCTTGTCCGTGCTGTCCATCCGGAACTGTTCACGATATCGCAATATAACTGGATCCGTAACATTGCCAAGAATGAGACCATGCAGCTGTTGACGAGCGCTAATTGTACTGCTGCCGATACGACTACCCCTGTCCCTGACCGCGCCTTGTCCTGTGCCAGTCTGAAGGCTGGAGGAGGATCCGGAAGTGGAAACAGTGCGAACGGTCTTGCCAGTGGTATTTTGACCCTGGCTCTTGGTCTGCTTGCAGCTCTAGCCATCCTCTAATTAGTTCACCTCCTTACCCTTTAGTCAATAATAAAAAGACCAACCTGTGTTTTTCTTCAAATATATGATTTTTATTTGGATGCTGTGCAACCGTTACGAGTAACGGCATGGGAAGGGGTAAAAGGTTGTGTACATTAGAGAAGGCTTGAACAGGAGCGGGTTATTTTGTGGAAGAAGAGGAATGGAGGGGTGGGGTCTATGTGGATGTGTGAACAAAAAACGAAATGGAAAAAAGTATGAAAAAGAGAGAGAGAGAAAAGTCACTTTACAAAACAACATCTTCAAGAGGTTATCCATGTAACCCTTGAAGGCCTTCAAGAACTGGGCATAAACGGCGCCGTCGACGGTGCGATGGTCAAAGCTGAAGGTAACAGCCACGGTCAAGGCAGTGCGGTACTCGCCATCCTCAGCACCGGGAACAACGATCTTCTCGGTTCCGTCGAGCGGGCCTGCATCAATGGGCAACCGCCTCCACGAGGTAAAAAGAGAGTAGAGGGGAAGAAATGAGCAACGAACAAAATAATTATCAAAACGCATTATGAATGAAGGTATGATTACGAAACACGAAAAATTAAGACGCGGTTCTGAAATGATGTTAGGCATTCAAGAGCCGCGATAGATACATGTGAAGTCGCAGTTCACCTGACAGTACCGGTAAGCGTCGCATAGTTTATGCAGAATCGTTTTGAACCCAGAGATAGAGAGAAAAAGAGATAGATAGAGAGAGAGAGAGTGAGAGAGAAAGAACTGAGCGCGTTCGACCCAGTACTCAAAATGTACCATGCACAGAGGAATGAGTTAAAAATGACTTCGAACAGACACAAGAAGACGCCGGGGGGCGGTGTATCTCGCTTGGTACAGGGTCGTGCGCGGGTCGTTGTTTGATATTCTTGAGCGGTGTCCTTCCACCTCATCGCTGGCGTTCAAGGTACTGACGCCTGCAAACTTAGCTGGAAAATAATGGCGACCTTACATATACAAACGTAAAAAAAATGAACATTGGGTAACTATACTCTTTTTTTCACCTTGCACTTTTTCTCATGTGCTATTGAGGACCAAAGAGAACAGAACATCTGCCGTCGTTTTTCTTTTTCTGTTGATATGTGTTTTTATTTTGCATTAGTAAGGATGCAACTTTGTAACGAGTGAGTGGAAAAAAGAGATGAAGATGCATTTTGATGTTGTTTGTCTTATCTACAATAAGTGTAATGAGAACATGACGTTATATCCCGAGAGATGCTTATAGTGCCAGATCGGCCCGGCTAATCGGTGGCTGTAAAGATGTAGAGCAATTGATAACGTGGAAGTAGTAGTACAATTGGATCTCGCTTGATGGAACTAGGACGGTGGTCCATGGTGATGCCGTCGGGCGCCGCGGATCAAGGAGGTCAAGGAATAGGAAAAGGGCCGATATAGGGGACCGCCGCCGGCGAACTATCACAAAAAAAAAAGGAACAGAAAAATTAGAATCGAGATATTAAGCTCTTGTTATCATATGGAGTGTGTGAGAGTGAACAAAAAATAAGACCATCCACAACGCAGTAAAAAAAGAGCGAAAAAGCCAAAAAACAAAAAAAAGGAAAACTTACAATACTCCAGCATGGACCGGGCGAGGATATGCATTGGAATGAAATGAGGTTGAACATGAGCGTAATATTGAGTTTACTAGATGGATTCGGACTCATGATGCCGGATAGGACAGTGGCGCAATGCGATAGATTCGCGGATCTTAGAACGAAAAACAAACATGTGTAAAACATCAAGTTAGTGATTTAGATCTGCTAGCGAATGTTTAGGAGTGGCAAACACTGTACATACTGCGCCTTTACGAACAAAATCGGCTCGATTATCATGAAAGACTCACTGGTATATTGGCGCCGAGAATAAATATGTTGTTTGATATTGCTGGGGGATTGGTGATAGAAGTGCATGTTGGGTTGGTGATTGGATTTGTATTGTTGTGAATAGAGGTGTTGGTGGCGAGAAAAAAAAGGAAGGAGGCCAGGTGATATGATCAGTTGACGCGCAACAACAGGGTTTCCCTGTTAATGGGTCGCATGGAAGAGGGTAGCTTCGCTCCCTACTCTCAGACGGCGCATATCGCGCTCTTTGGTATTCCGAAGAACATGCTTGTTTGAGTATCAGTAAACACCTCAAAGCCTTTTATTCATTTTGAACAAAAGGCTTTGGATATGGCCGCAGCGAAATGCGATACGTAATGTGAACTGCCGTCAGATGATACGGTCGTGATTGAGGGGAAGGAGGAGAGGATGGAAGGAGATGGTGAAGAGAGGAACGATCAACTCTGCATCTTCTCTCTTCTCGGTCTCGCATGCCAAAAAAAGGTACCATTTCTGCTGGCAGAAGGGAGGCTGTGCACGGATCTGGACTGCTGGATATGGGAGATTGGTCTCACGATCGTGTCGCTTCGGTGACGTGGTTTGCACGCCCAATGTCCCTACAAACTCGGCGCATCGGAAGATAAAAAGAAGACGACAGCGGATCGGATTTCCCTTTTAGATTTAACCCTCCACCACTCACACCGGAAACACATCACCTTATCCACCATGTCTGACGAAATCAAGATCGAGACCGGTGCGTACTTTTTACACACTCGCTACTCCCAGCAACCTTCATACGCCATCTTCCACATCTACAGCTCGACAGCAAAGAAAAGCCGACCTGCCGGATCCGGATTCGACAATGCGAGGCGGACCAAGGCTTGGAGCCGATCCTTTCCGCGTCCTGCAGACCGTATCACAGCTTCCGGGACAAGGACGAGCGACGAAGCTGCTTGCGTTCTAGTACTCAATAACAGGAAGAGCACACCTCCAAGAGTAGCAGGCTACTACTGAAGGATACAGGCGCGTCAACGCGAACAACTATCGGCTTTTTTTCCAATTGAACCGGAGCGGGACGAGAGTCTTGTAACAATTCGTTTCCGTGCTCCTTTAAGACGACAGCGGCAGCTCTCACCCTCCTGGCGACCTGTTGCCGTACCGCCTCTTCTCTATCCTTCGACCCCGATGTTTCAATTGACCAACCAATGCTGACATATTCTCCTTATCTTCACATGTTCCACCGAATAGCTCCCTTTGACGCTCGTTTCCCCAACACCAACCAGAGCAAGCACTGCTGGCAGTCGTACAGCGATTACTACAAGTGCATCAACGCTCGTGGTGAGGAGTTCACTGGCTGCAAGCAGTTCCTCAAGACCTTTAAGAGCATCTGCCCCAACGAGTGGGTACGTTCTATTTTTTTCAACTTTCGGACAATATCTTGACATTGCCATTGGGAAAAGCGATTTGTTATCATCGGGATCAAGAGCAGGACAACGGACAAGGATATAGTTCATGGTACTAACGGCGTCGTTGTATTCTGTCCGTTTGTTCGTGCGAATAGGTTGCCAAGTGGGATGAGCAGCGCGAGGAGGGAACCCTCCCCTTCAAGGTTACCGTTTAAAGTTCCATATTGATCCCGCATCAGTCCAACAACAAAAGTTACAGCTAGTCCGTCTTTTCTTTCCCTCACATTTCGGCCCAAGCAAGCAACAAACAACAAACCAAAGAACCCCGCCCTACTCTAACATTCAAAATAACAACAAAAACACAAAACACAAAGTATCCTCCATGGGGCGTTTCATTAGAATTGTCATCTAACTATTAAACCAGGATATGAAAAGCAGTAAAAAGTAGTCATTGATTAGATTGGAGCGATGGGAGAGCAGAAGGAAGAGAAAAAGACGAACAACCAGTATGGAGCACACCTTTTCTCTTTGTCTCTCCCCTCTTCTTGATCAATTGATGGCACTTTGTTCATAATTTATTCTTCCCGTCGCGTTTATTGATCTTGTTTCCGTGGTTCATTTTGCCCAACCCTATTTTTTCCTTGAACGTGTGCTGTGCGCTGAAGTATTTTTTTTGTTCCCTCCGAAATCTTACGCTACACCGATGGAAACGTCACCGTGCCGTTGACCATTCAATGCAGTTCTCTGCATTAACTAAAGAAAGAATCACCAAAACCACATTTTCTCATCTTATTGATAAGAGATTGAAGTGGATGATAGTAAGATGGATTTTCCCTCCACTGAAGATAAATAACAGTAATAATGTGTGATTATCGGACGACGAAAGGGAGGGTCTTGCCCATTCGTTCGCTGACTGGCCAAGATTCAACAAATGAACGCAAGACGAAATAGAAAGAGGCGCCACCAACTGAAGTAAAAGAGGAGATAATATTTGAGATTGTCACGAACCGCATACTTGTTGCCTTCTAGCGAGAAAAAAAAACCATTTCGCGACCTTCGTTTGAAACGACCCAACCTTTTCTTTGAATTCCCTTGGGGCTGCATCTTTTTCATGTATCCTGTCCATGTACAGCAATCGGCACCAATTGGCGGCCGTGAAGGTTACTTTAACGATTCTAAATGTGTTTTTTTTTTTTTTCTTTTTTTTTTCTTTTTTTTTTCTGGCCAGTCTCGTTTCGCCCTTGCTCTTCAAGGACTTCCTTCTACAGGTACTTTTCGTCAGGTAGATCATTCAAAGAAAAGTTTGTGAACACAAGCAGAACATCCCCTGTCCTTCTCTTTTCTTCAGACAAGAAAACAACGAACACCGTCAAGTGAAAAACGACCACGTTCAATACATATATTTCTCATTTGCAAGTGATTATCCGCGCTGGTCACTGAAACTGCCTTTTTCAATTTTGTGCCTGACAAACACCTTTTTCACTCATGCTTCAAACATATCAGCACCTTGTTGCCAAGACACCAAGAAAGGACAAACAAACCATGTGCGAGAGAAAGAAATGTGGAGAAAGAAAACAGGTTGCAGTCCGACCCATACAAAACACAAATGAAAAAGGCAAGCGCTCGATATTTTTGTAATAAAGTTGGGATACAAGACGAGCCAGAATGCAGACCGCGAAAACGACCAGCCCTCCTTTGTCCCCAAAGGTTGAAGGTAAGCGTTTTCGTGTGACCATGGGATGATTATTTTGTTTGTGCAGCATCTCGCCTCTTTGGGGAAGGATGAAAATAAAAGCTGCATAAATGCGAGTTGGAGGTATCAGCCGAGCGAGAAAAAAAATGATGAGATGAGATGATCGAAGAAAACAACAGACGTGAGTAAATAACAAAACATTTAGAAAAGAAACGAAAGATGCGGAAGAACTGAAAGTACGTATATTTTTACGTATAGCTGGGGGAAGCTTTGAGGGCTGAGGGGAAGGGGGTGTCAAGTGAGTGACATCATGCCACCGCCCGCCGGGTGCCGAGGGAACCAGCCATCCCCTACCTCTCCACCCCTCCCGAAGAAAATGTTGAGTACCTGGCTGAATTTCCTGAGCATCATTCGATGGTGGTCAGTTGTGTCAGTCTCAGCCAAGATGGATTTGGCTTGAAAGTTGAAACGCCTAAAGAGAGAGAGAGAGAGATTTGCTACTTTATTTTGAATGGATCATGACCCCTCTTGATCGGGGTGAAGGTGGAGGTACAAATACAAACGAGAATATGGCCACATGGGTAATCTCTGAATAACAAACACCCACGGCGTAAGTTGAAATGCAGGTATAGAAAAGGGCTTATTCAATGAAAGTGTATTCATTTCGATCATGTCTGGTTCAGGCTCAGAGAAAAAGGAAATCTGGTTGGGTTGGTGGTGGGGAGAAGAAGATCGATCTGTCAGCTAGATTTTTTCTTTCCCCCATTGAAAAAAATAAGGTGTAAATAAGCTGCAACCCCACAAATACCTAGCCTCTCATACACTAGAACATAATCGGTCATGCTGGTTACAAATGCGAAATACGACCAGAAGCGGAGGACAACACAAATACACAAGTAGCGCAACAGAGTGGTGGGGAACAGCAAAAAAAAAAAAAGAGTGAGAAGGAAGGGGTGGAATGCAGGAGGATGTGGAGTAGAGAAAAGGGGATCAAGGTCATTTAGTAAATGGGCGGGACTATCAATTGGGATGATACATCGGTTCAAAATGAAGTTGAGTCAAGTCAGTGCACAACCCCGTTGAACAAAAGAGAGCAAACGAACGAACGAACGAACGAACGAACGAACGAGAGCACAAATGAAAATGAAAGAGAACGCTACAACGACGAAACGAAGTCATTTGCAAGTTGTTGTTTGTACCTTCTGGCTTTCCCATGACCCTTTTGCTTCTTTTTTCTCGCAATAATGGTGAACTGGTTGAACAGAAGAGCTGTTCCTATTCGTTGAGAGTACAGGGAAATGAATGAATATAATGAATGAATAAAGCCTCCTTTCGGGGCGTCCATCACCCCAAAACCCAAATAATGTCGAGTCGACTTTTGTTGGATGAATGACACAGCGCGGGTGATGCGATGCAATGTCTCCTGCCCCAACTTCCTCCGTCTTGTAATCGCCGTGTGCCTGACCTGTACGACTTCGCCTATTTTCTTCCTCTTCCTTTTCATGTCCTTCTACAACTCTTCTCTCACTTTTCTTTGTTCATTTCATTCCTCTCTTTCTCCTCTTCCTCTCCTTCTTCCTTCCATATTTTCCATTTCATTTTTACTCCCCTTTCTTCCCCTGCCACCCTTTTCTTCAATTTCCCTTTTCATTGTGACTCGTCTTTTGACTTTTTTCTCTTTTCCTTTGACCACGTTGGACCATTGCCCATCGCTCCTTCTTCTTCGCTTCATTACATCGCATTCACTCCAACTCAAGTCATTCACCAGACAACTCCTTCTCGCCAAGACAACAACAACACCTCCCGCAGCAACAAGGAACCTGCTATCCCGCGAGAAATCCTCTTGGAGTCTTAGCCAAGCACACTCTTTTCCTTCGCTAATAATATTTTTGTATAACACACGACCAGGCAGCGTGATCCAGCCACCTCCTCCTTGTCCCCCAACAATAGCACAACCCTAAAAACAGTATATCAATCCTCTTCCCGCCCTCTTCGACTTTTCATTCGTTTTTTTAAATTTTATTTCATCCTTCCTCAACACTCGACAACACACGCCCCGTCATCCTCTTTTCCTTCGTGTCCTTCTCGCCACCGCCTTTATTTTCTCGATCTATATAACAAAACATACACACACCCGTGCCCATGACGACCACAACAGCACCCGCTTCGGGTTCAGCAACCAACAACAATATCGCCCAAGCCGCCTCCTCTACAACATCTGCAATCCTCCGCATCTCGCCACAGACTTTTCAATTCACAGGTACGAGCAAACTTCGCTTTTTTTCACCCCCGACAGATGACATATGAAGACCGTCACTGCCCCATCCTGGATAACGGTGCCAATAGAACTCAGCCCAGTCCCTTTTTCACCTCCCCCAACTCAGCAAAAAAATTGAAGGAACAACTCAACAAACAACAGCAGCAATCATTCCCCTGCTTCCGAGGAGATCACAACATACACACGTTTGTTTTTTTATCATTCCCCTTGGTCAGCCCCCCTTCCCCACAAGTTACATAAAAAATAGAGGGGCAATGCTTAAGTGTGTGTTTCAATTGCTTCGCCTCGTTAGCAAAACACAGTACGCAATTCTTTGAATGCACGGTTATTGTTCCGATGCAGCCTGACTGGAAATGATGAACGGACTACAAAACAAACAAACGGACGGCGGCAAACAGTTCAGCACCACCAAAACAAACAGAGGAAGAGATACAAAGAATTGTTGCACGTTGGGTTGTTGGGTTGTATTATTTGCTTATTATATTTCCTATTCTACCTGTCTGCTTTTGTGCGTATCTGCACGTCTCCTTTTATTCTCCCGAAGGAGTCATGACGATGCGCAGAAAAAAATAACAAAAGAGGCAAAGCAAAGGGCTCGGATGGAGATTTTCGATCTGGACAGGGTGGGAAACGTGTAAGAAGTGGAATGCTGCTTGTTTTTCTAATTCGACAAATCAGGCATGATTTTTTTGGGACCATCTATTCAAAAGGAGGGAAGGGCAAAAGTGGTCATTGCACCATGGAAGAGAAGGAAGATAGAGGGACCAGCGATTCTTCTCTCCTGTAATATGTATCCCACACACAATCCAAGGAATCTCGTGTCCTCTCTCACCCTGAAACAAGCATTGAGAATGCGTCGGCCCGTTCTTTCATCCACACAGAATCATTAACGTGTCCACGTTTTTATCAATGTTCGAAAAATAGCATCCAAGGTTTCCTCTGGATTGGTGTCAAAGCTCAAGATCAAAAACGTGCATGCTACACCTGTTGGTTACAAGTTCAAGACTAATGCTCCACTGCGTTACTCTGTGAAGCCAGTCCTTGGTGTTCTCGCACCTGGACAATCCATCGAAGTCTTTGGTACGTAGTTCTCTTCACGTGTATGTCAGAAGTTCCTGTCAATGGGTACATGAGATGGAGACTGACTGACTTTATTGTCCTTCCAAATACAATTATAGTTCGCTGCGAGAGCTGGGTGAACCCTCAGGATCGCTTCCTTCTCCAGAGCGTGTCCTTGACCGAGCCAGAAAGTCGGCATATTGATGCTGTTACCGTAAGTGTCCCTATTACTACCTGATCGGCCCGCACAGTAGACATAAAGAACGCGTTACTAACCTTTTTTTTTTGTTTCTTTTTGAAATAGTGGAAAGAGATTGATCGCCGGAGGCTTGTGGAAACCTTTATCCAATGCTCATCGTCGTCCACATTGTCGATGCGGGAGCCTCAGGACGATGGAGGATCGCTTTCTTCTTCATCTAACTGCTCGTCTGGATCGTCCTCTCGCACCTCCTCGACGCGCTCTGCCCCTTCCCGTCAACAGCTTCCACAAGGACAGCAGCAAGAGAGGAGACCTAGTGTCGCCCATGTGCACGCTGCGGCTATTGCTGCTGGCCGGAGACCTTCTGCCAGCTCTACAACATCGTCCACGACGTCCTCGCCTGGCTCCTACCCAACCCTCTTCACTGCCAAAACCTCGTCTGCTCCAAGGTCATCATCTCAGCCCTACAGCAATAACTCAACGGCACAGGAATCGAAAGGATCCTCGTCGTCGGTCAGCTATCTGGCCACAACGTTCAGCAACTCGCGCCAGACTATCCGGACCGTGTCAAAGTTTCTGGCCATCCGTCAGTACACAAAGATGCAAGTCCTGACAGTCTCGCTGGTCTGTCTCCTGTTGGGTCTTCTCCTGCCACTCGAAAAGCTCTTCCTGATGGTCAGTGGGAGTTCCTCAAACATGGGAGCAGGAGCGGCATCGACGACGAGTGCACAGTTCAAGAGTGGGTTCATTGGCAAGAAGAATGGTGGATCACCGTTCTCGTCTGGGTCCTCGGCATCGTTTGGTGCTTTGCCGATCCTGGTGACTGCTCAGGCTGCAGCTGCAGCTGCAGCGGCATCTGCAAGGAAACCTGTAGTTGAAGCTGCAGTGTTTACTCCTCCTTCTGCTGTTTCTGTTCCTGAGGATGGGAGACTCGCCGCAGCTTCTGGATCCAGTGTCTTTGAAGAGGTACAGCCAGTTGCCGACGTTGAGGGAGCGATTTGAGTTTCCGGCATTCCTCTTTTCTTTCTTCCTTCTCTTTAAGTTTTTTCGCCCTAATCCTTGTACATTATTGTCATCAAAAATAAAATAAGAAAACTCCATTAACTACTCACACCCGAGCCGCCTTGTTATTCTTTGGATGCAATTATTATTTTTTGTGTTTGTTCTGTTGCAAATGTCTCCTACTCGAAAAAAAAGATATCCTTGTCGTCCGTGTGTTTGCTGTTGTTTTCCTGAAAAAGACAACTGGCTTAGTTGTCCTCACCGATCTTTGGGGCCAAGTAGTAGCGGATATAACCAGCCTCCATCTTGTACTCGACCAAAAGAGGAACCTCACTGGACATGGACAAGGAGACACGGGAGGCCAAGGGGGTAGCCTTTGTAAAGTTGACGAGGTACTTGAGCGAGAAGTTCAATGACACGTTCTGCTGGAGCTCGATCAAAGTTGCCTCCTCCTCCTTGTCAACGTTTCCGTTCTGCTTCAATGTCACTGCGCCCGATCCGAGCTCGCCCTTGGCGCCAAACTTGACACCCTCCTTGGTGACATCGATCTGGACAGAGTCCGAGAGGACCTGGAGGTCTTTGCAGATACGAGCGAATTCTGCGGACGACATCTGGACGACGGCTTCGTAGGTGGTGTCGGGGATACCCAAGTGTTCGCTGTCAATGTCCATCAACTTCAGCTCGTACTCTGAGATTCTGTCGTTATCTATTAGCCATGATAGTTAAAACAAAGAGTTAGGTCAGCATAATGTCGTTTGACTCTTTCCTTCTGTTCTTCCCCCTTCAACCTCCTATTGCACTTCGTTTTCATTTAGTCTTCTCATATAAAAAAAAAACAAGCAGAGAACAACAAAACAAAAAAACGTACCAGTGTTCTCGAAGGTCAAGGAGAGGACATCAGCGGTATCGTCGGCCTTGAGGGTGATGATATCGTCGTTTCCGGCACAGCGCAAGACCTTGGAGAGCGAGACCAGGTTAACTCCCAAAGCAAGCGAGCGATCGCATCTGTAGGGCTCGAATCCATCGTGACGGAGCAAAAGGGCAACGAGGGCGACGTGGGAGTTGTCCATGGCCTGGAGCGCGATACCGTTGTCTGAGCAGTCAAAGTTGGCATCTGTGATCAACTCCTTGATAGCTTCAAGGACCTATTTTTCGTTTGTGTTTGTTCGAAAAAAGGTAGGAGGTAGGGTGAGTAAAGTGGACAAGGTGGAAAACGTGTATGCGTTTGTCTCATAACAAAGAACTCTTGAAGTTCGACGTGTGCCATGACCGAAAAGGTGAAAACAAAAACTCGATGGGGTCATTTTGCCACCGATTGCTATTCTCTTGCTCCTCTTGTCTCCTTTGCCCCAAAATATTTTTTTGCCACCGAAAAGTAGATGTTGATTCCGCTCGTGATGTTGAGTTGCATTGTTACTGGTCGTCCACTTCCTGATGTCGCAAGTGCCTCTGTGAATAGTTCTTCTCACCTTCTTGAGGAGGGCACCGGTCTGGAGGCGAGCTTCAAGCATGTTGAATATGAATGTGTGTGGGTGAAGGAGAGGAGTTGATTGAGAGTGTGAAGAAAGAAGAGAAAAGTAACAACCGTCCTCCCCTTTTTGTAAAGAACACGTCCTGAAGAAAAAACAAAACAATCGCGTCTGGGAGAGCGAAAACATCACGTGATTTAATTTAACGGACACTCAGGGAAAATGAGGCGCGTCGCTTTGTTTTATTCATACACTGGTTATGAAGAAGCCTCCTCCTTCTCCTGCTTGTCGCCGCCTCCAAGGGCGCCGCTACTGCTAGACCCAACACCAGGGGAGTCAGAAGGCGTATCCAAAGAAAACGAGGTATCAACAACTGTATCCTTGATGGTATCATCATCATCCCCTGTCGTCTTGACAGTCGTCGCTGAAGGTGCGCTAGGCAATTGGCCCTCCAACGGTTTCCTGAACTTGGCCTGCAGCCAACATCTGTACATCTTGACTTTCCGCATCCGGTTCACAATCAACCGCCTGTCAACTGCATTCTGTTCAATCGTAAATTTGGATCCGAACAACTGGACAAGCTGCTCTGATTCGAAAAAGTACACGCGGGTTCCGTCGCCACGGACATAAAAGTTGTCAGAGAGAAGTCGGTTCTTCTTGAACCGCAGCTGTGCCATATCGTACCGTCCATAGTCCCTGAATACAATCAATCCTCCTGGCTTTAGGAGCTATTGTACATAAAGGCGAATATTGGTCAAGGTCGGCGTCTTGTGGGTCGTTTTCTCTTTGACAGTGCTTCAACAGAAGAATGAGATGGTTATGAGATGGTTACCTTATAGAGGTTCTTGACGGCTTGGTCCCACTTTTCAGGGTGCAATGCCGAAAAGACAAAGATCAAGACAAGCACGTCCATCGACTCGGGTTCAACCTCGGGTGGGATATCATCGCTCGCCAGATCCCAGACAAACGCCTTGCCTCGTTTCTCATCATAAAGCTTGTGAGTCTGGACCACCTTGACCGCCGTTGACGAGAAATCACAGGCATAGACAAACAGCTTGGGGTTCTTGCTCTCGTTCAACAATGGGAACATGGTGTTTCCTGCGCCACATCCAATCTCCATAACATTCTTCTCTCCCGCCTAATTATCACAAACCAATAAGGTTGGTGTGTCATTAGCATGTCTCTTGGCGACTCAAAAAGGACGAAATCAATGTCAGCACCATGAAGCAAGGAGGTCTAATGATAAAGAAGACACTTACTTCAGCTTCAACCATCTGGAAGAGCTCTGGGAACTCGATCCGGAGCCAGTGACGATCCTTAAAGAACCGGTTCTCGTTCTTTGCATAGAACTTGTTCCAGTTATCAGCCGCCTCTGCATGATAGGTCTCGATCAATTCCTGAGGGACTGGGTCCTGTTGCTGACGAGCAATCTCCTTCAACGCATGTTGTTCCTGTTCCTCGCCCCATTCTGCGTGATCCCTGCAACGTTGGTCGAAACATAGCGTCATAAGAATGTGAAAAAGCTTGGTGTCAGTCGTTTAAATAGTCGGTAAAGATGTATCATCTCAACAGAAAGAATCTTGAAAAGGTAATCATACCATGCGTTCTGCTCAAAGACGTTAGCCTCATCGGTCAGGATACGACCACCAAAAGGTTTTGAATCTGGATCATTGACATCTCTCGAGCTCGAGACCTGTTTCTTGTCGCCACTACTGCTGCTTGCTTCTGGAGTTGTTGCAGCAGGTGTGCCCTTCTCTTCATGTGGTTTGTCGTTGGCAGTGGCGGGCTCGACATGCTGCTTCTTGGAGACCTTGGTGTCTTCCTCAATAGCCAGCTCTGAAGGTCGCTTCTTGGACTCGGCATCAATTTCCATGTTGGCAGTTGCCTCCTGTGTCCGTGTCTTTTCCTCCTGCTGCTCTGGCTTTGTTGATGTGTCCATCGTTGGCTTTCTGTCTTGTCCTGATGGTGAATGGAGAGGAGAAGAAAAGGCGCTTCCAGAGCACCTTTATTTTTTGTGATCCAGCAAGCAGTCACTGTTATGCCCGTGCCAGACAGGCCCAACAACCCACACTTGCAACCCCTCTCCTACATACGAGATTGCTGCAGTCTTCAAATACGCGCTCTTCGTGGTTCTATTGATGTGGTTGTTTATTCTATCGTTTCAATCTCCTGTCTTTCGTCTTCTGCGCGACAGTTTTTTTTTACTCGGTATAAAAAAATCCTCCTTGGTGGTGTCGTCTGCTTTTTCGTTTGGTGAGAACGGAAAATACCAGGGCGTAATTTAGTGGTGAACGGCAGGCTCCTACAATATTACATTCATGTTAAGAAATAAGGCAGCTGGGCGTTAGTATCTTTATCGAAGAAGAACTGGGAAGCAAAACACTTGCATAATACACAATCAAGGAGAATAACGTACATCAAGGTTGGGGTGAATGTTACGCTCGAACTTGGTTCCACCAGGGGCAGTGACAGCTACAAAATCATCAATTGGAACAAAAAGGCAACGGGTATGTTAGCTGTCATTATTCAATCGCTCAATTGTTCCTGCATATGTTTCTTGACGGTTCCTGTCATTCGATCCGATCATAATTGCCGGCCGACGCGATCCAAGTTAGCACCATATTCTCCTGTGTATGTGGTCACTTTTGTAGCTTCTTTTTTCGTGGTGCTATCGGGTGAAACGGACACACTGCTTGGACAACCGGTTTGCTTTTTTTTTTCATGAATATTCCTGTAAAAGTGCTTTGTCCTGTCGCCCGGTTTTCAATCCTCGATATGCTGAAACCCTGTCCATTGGCTATTCCGCGTCTACCATAGCCGCAACCGAATTAAACGACGATATCATTCTGGCCGAGAATCGTTGTGTTTTGTCGCTTCCGGGACCTCCGAATTAGCAAAACAACCACAAAAACCGCTGCCATAACAAGTTATTACCGATATAAGGATCGGGATGTCTCAACTCAGTCAACTGACGCTCAGCCTCCTGAATAGCCTGGGCGATCTCACGAGGGTGACGCAAGTTGCTCTTGGCATCGAATTGCATCCGGAGCTCGACGGCCTTGCGGCGGAACAAGTTGGTGTCGATGTACCAGTCCTGGGCGGTCTTGAGCGAGCGCTTGTAGAGCGATTGGACTAGGCGGCGATGAGCGATCTGGGCCTCGGACATGATGGATTGTTGGAAAGAGAGAGAGAGAGAGAGAGAGAGAGAGAGAGAGAGAGAGAGAGAGAGAGAGAGAGTGGGGAGGGATGGGGAGAGGATGATTGGGAAAGGGAGGTTCGGAGAATGTGTGATTCTGTTTGATCGTACAAGCTTCCCCCTTTCCCTCCTCCGAAATTGAGAGATGGCTTTGATTTTTTTTTCCAGGCTGCTGGGACTACTGAGGCTCCAATACGTTGACGAAATTTTTATGTTTCTTGTTCATAAGAAAACGAACTCTCTCTTCTCCTGATGTCAACGACGACGACAAACATACCGGTTCTTCTGGCGCCAGGACATCTCACAAAGCACCTCAAGGTCTTCTTCGACAAGGCTGCATGGCGCGACAAGGCAAAACTCATCACCCGCTACTCACAGATCACTTCTGATCACTCAGCAACCACTACCCCTACAGGGAGCACAGCAGGAGTGGGGAAGGAAAACCATGATGGATGTGATCTGACTCAATACATGGCTATGGCACTCCTGCCCGTCGGTCCCTTCTCACAACCACCTAATACCACAGCCGGCATCGATATCCGCTCACTCTGGGACCTCGCCCATGACCCATCTTCACTACCCTCCACCGATTTATCATCAATTGACTGGCCGGCACCGCTCTCCGATCCAGCCCTCCAAAAGACAATCTTCCTCACCTGCCTCTTACCGACAGCCTTCCCATCCCCAAAACACCTCCTCGTCCAAACGCCCCTCGAAAAACTCCAACAGACGACCTCAGAGTTCCTTCTCCCTTATCTCCAATCCTGGGCTGCCACATCCCACCTCGATCAACAAGGGCAACAGGAACAGGAACAGGAACAGGAACGCCTGGGACCAGAAGTCCTCCCAGAGTTGATCGCCTCCCTTCCTCAGAAATGGGAACACTACTCCGATTTCACCTTCCTCCCTCCCACAGCCTTCCTCACCGCTCCCTGGCCAGCTGTCCTCAAACGCCTCATCGCTCTCGATCACCAACAGCAACAAGCCAGTGGCACCACTGGACACAACGGCATCATGGCGCGATGGGAGAAACTGGTCCAGGACGCACTAGGATCAACGCACATCGCGAGGAAGGCCATCATCCCTGTCCAGGATATCCTGCGCCGACCCAAGATTCGCCCCCTGGCTGGAGATTGGAAGCTTCATAACCGGTACAAGTCCTGGGTCGAGGCTGAGGAAGGAGGAGAAGAAGGGGAAGGTTTGGAGGCAAATCTGGTAGAGCATCAGGAAATGTCGAGCGATATCAGTAGCAGCAAGGCCAACGCCATCACCAACAACACCTCAGGGGCAGGAGCAGAATCGACAGGCCTCTACGAATCCACCACAACTTCCACCTCCCCAACAGACAGCGATGTCCTCCCAACACCCTCAAACTTTCTCCAAACCTACTGGTCCGAGACCTGCCAGAACCAAGTCTTCTACATTTGGTCCCCCATGTTCACCATGTTCTCTGCCGGAAATATCACCGAAAAGGAACGTGTTGCCAAATCTCGACCCATCTTTGATGCCCGCAACAAGGTGGTTGTGGACCTCTATGCGGGGATCGGGTATTTCGCGCTGGTGTATTTAGTCCATGCAGGCGCGAAGGTGGTTCATGCGTGTGAGTGGAATCCTTGGAGTGTTGAGGGGTTGGTGAGAGGTGCCGGGAGGAATGGCATTCCGTGGAAGAGGTACCATGGCGAGAGCGTCCGGATAAAGTCCAAGGAGGAGAACGGAGAACTACAGGAACAACCCTTCACGACAGGACAGCCGACTCCTCGCCGCCCACCACAAAAACCCACCACAGCAGCCACAGCAACCAAGAAACAAAAAGATTGCGGCCAACTAGTCGTCTACCCAGGCGACAACGCCCAATGGATCGAATACTTTGAAAACACCGCTCACCATGTCAACCTAGGCCTGATCCCAACCGCAGAACCAGGCTGGGTCCTGGGTGTTCGTGCGCTGTGTCCCCTAGAGGGTGGGTACCTCCATGTCCATCACAATATCCGGGTCGGCGAGGAAGAGTCCTTCAAGTTGTATCTCCTCCAATCCCTTCGCGACCTGTTTGCTGCATGGAAGCATAGCAGAGAGTGGTCGATCGAGATTCAGCATATGGAGAATGTCAAGAGCTTTGCGCCTCTTGTCTTTCATTATGTCGTCGATGTCGAGTGCCGGCCACCCACGACATCTTCATGAATAAAACATAATGTATAGAAACAAAATAACGAGGGGAACAATGTGGATGTAGGTTTGATATTGTACATTCGGGAAAAGAGAAAATATGCTGAAAAGAAGAAAAATGACTAAATGGATTTGTGTGCGTGCAAAGGAAAAGAAAAACGACGGGAACTAGACGGTACGACTACATGAATGAAAGTATACAAAAGAAAGAGATTCGACAAAGGGATAGTTTCTCAAATCTTCTTGGCTTTCTTCACTGCAGGTCCATCCATCGCATCATAGCCATCGATCGACATCGATCTTGAACGAGCGTTCGAAACGGGTGAACCATCCGTCGAGGCAGAATGGTTGGTCGAGGGCGAAGACGAGGAAGGTGTCAAGGCAGGCGTGCTCGACAACTTTAGATTCGATCCCGGAGGCGCAAGCTTTCCTGTGGCTGTAGATCCTGACGCGTCTGCTCCAGAGGTAGCCGCCGTGGTGACATTTTGTCCCTTGGCCAGGGGACTGGGCTGATGAACACGTGTCATGGTCTCCCTAGGAGCTGGCCAGTTGAATGCTGGGCTGGGCTGTGCGCTGGTCGGCGTCTGGCCAAAGACGATAGGGCTGAGTTCAGCCTGGGGTGCGTAGAACTCGGGATAGAATGTTGAGGGGGAAGGGAGGTTCTTGGCAAACTGCGAAGGAAGTGTCGATGACATCGGAGCCGATTCGAATGGACGCTTTTGGATCTATTTTTTTCATTCAAATACAAGGTCCATATACGTGGTTAGCACAAAGTCGATCAAAGCGAACACAGTTATGACGTTAAGTTTGCAAAGAACTTACAGGTGGCAGTTCACTCGACTCCTCAGTCTTGACCATGGTATCAGTGAGCGTGGCGTTCTCCTTGCCCTCCATGGGAATATGAACGCGGAGGTTCATCTTGGGCTTCTTGAGTCCATTGGTAGGACTGAGAACGGGCGAGGTGCCTCCTGCCATCATATTGGTGACCGTGATAGGAGTAGGCGTCGTAGCGGCAGAGGAGGTGTCGGTCATGGGGGAGCTATGGACAGGCGAGGGCTCCATCTTGATGAGAGTGGGGTGGTTCAAAAGGGGAGAGTTGGACTGAGAAATGGGCTGGGCCTGCTGCAACTGCTGTTGTTGTTGTTGTTGTTGTTGTTGTTGCTGCTGAATTTGTTGGGCCTGTTGCTGTTGCTGTTGTTGTTGTTGTTGTTGCTGTTGTTGTTGATGCTGTTGAACTTGTTGAGTGTGTTGGCCTTGTTGTAATTGTTCCTGTTGTTGTTGTTGCTGTTGTTGTTGTTGTTGTTGTTGTTGTTGTTGTTGCTGGAATTGTTGGATTTGCTGGGGTTGTTGCATGGGAAGGGTCATGGGCGTGGACATGGGAATCTGAAGATTCTGTCCATTAGGGGCCTGGGTAATAGATCGGTTCATAAAGACAGTTCCAGGTTGCTGGAACTGCTGAGGCTGGAACTGCCTGTTCTGAGCAGCCATCTATCGTGTAGTAGATGTACAGGTTTTCAATGATTAGCGATCTTTCTTCGTTATACCCTTTGACTTTCGGAACTTGGGCATACCAAGAGACAAGATAGTTAGGTAAATATGTCACGTACCTGTTGCATGGGCTGTCCTGCCATGGAGATCTGAGGCGCTTGGGTGTGTGCTGTCATCTGAAGGTGTTGATGTTGTTGTTGGAACTGTTGCTGCTGTTGTTGCTGCTGCTGCTGTAACTGTAGCTGCTGCTGTTGCTGCTGGAATTGCTGTTGCTGCTGCTGTTGTTGTTGCTGCTGTTGTTGTTGAAGGAAAAGTTGATGTTGGTTGTACTGCTGCTGCTGCTGCTGTTGTTGCTGCTGGCGATACTGCTGGTCGAGTGGTGTCTGCTGGTATTGGAAGGCATCATACTGGTGTTGGTGGACAACCACATTGGGTGGTATTTGGTATGGGCTCCTTGGGATATGGGTCTGAACTGATGGTGGCGGTGTGTGAGACATGCTGTGAGGATGTGAAGGCGGCGTCTGGAGGGTAGCTTGTCCTGGAGTGTGATGGGATGGTGTGGGCTGGGGCATTGACTGGGGTTGCGGTGTTACCGACATGATGCTCCTATCGTCTCCTGCAGCTGAGAGGTCCTCCTCTCCTTCGTCTTCTTTGTTCTCTGTGACACTGAGAAACTCTTTGTTCGTGTAGGTCTCGCATGAATCGTTGTACTAGATGCATAAGGAAAATATTAAACCAATTAATGTCGGCACCAAATTTCACGTCTGTCCCTGCAGGAAAACTGGAATCCCGTCCGTCCGTGTTTGAAAAATGAGCAAGGCAATCGAGATGGCGGGGTCCTTTCATTTTCTTTTCCCAAGGCCGCTGACCCGAGTACTCCGATTTTCCACGACTGGGTAACTGGCAACAATAACAAGATCAACAACAGCCGGCTCCCTTGTGGTTTCCACGTTCCTCATGTAGTTTCCATCCGATAGAGTTGGGATCCAACGATGATTGGGTGGTGGAGATGGAAAACAAGAAACAAATAGAAAAAAATAACAAATCGATTGCTTTGCATACCTCGGTGTATCGGAGAAGGATGGAGTCGATATCGTGTGACGAATACTGGACGAGCTTGTTGTTGGAGTTGAAGATGATGAGGCCGATCTGGCAGTCGCAGAGGACGCTGAGTTCCATGGCCTTCTTCATGAGACCGAAGCGGCGCTTCTGGAACGTCACCTACACAAGGAATAAAGTACGGATAGCGAAGGTCAGACAAACAGACAGCACGAGACAGGTACGCAGTATGAAAGTTGTGCACAATGGGAAGGAGGGTCACAAGGTCCTCTTGTCTTTTGTTATCGGTGTGCTCAATAACAAAAAACCATTTCTTTTGTTCGATCGATTGCCACTCAACTCCCTGGGCACTGATGGTGGAAAAAGACTGAACCATGGCCACCCTTCCACTCTAAAAGTGAACCTCTCTTCATACGAACGAGACACCCTTTCTTAAAGAGTTGTTGTTGTTGTTTGTCACCACTCGTTCATTCAGACTGTTCACCCTTCTCTCTTTCCTATTCTTTCTTTTTTGCTCAGCTATTTTTAAAAACAAGAGTTTCGGGCAGGCGAGAAAAATAGAAAAGTGAACGGCGGACGACCAGGCCAGAGAGAGAGAAAGAAAATATAGACAGAGAGGGTAAAAAAAGAACAAGAGAAACGGGCAAAGCAACAACCACGGACAAGAATAGCAATGAACAAAAAAAAAAAAGAGTCTGTCTGATCACAACCATCACCCTCGTTATTATTTTACTTCTCTTCTCTTTCTTCTTTCTCTCCTCTTCATTCAAACACACTCCCACCCAAACAACACACCTTTCCTTTCAACTTTCTGTCATCACACCACTTTCTTCGTCTTCCCTCTCCCTTCCAGTCGCCAGTCTCAATTCTGCCCTCTATTGCCTTTTTTCCCACTCTCTCTCTCCTCCTCGCTCTCCATTGCATCCTTTTTTTGTGCGGTCCGTTTGCCGAGGAAAACACAACTATCCCTGTTTCCTTTTACACCTCATTCCGACAAAAAAGGATGTGTGTGTGTGGTTTAGTACCTGTCGATTACGCTCGTCCGTGATTGTCTTGATTTGAATCTTTTTGCGTCCCATGGCTAAAGTTGACTGGTGGAGTCCGACGGTGTTTTGTTGTTGTTGTTTTGTTGTAGAGAGGTTCTGTTGTTGTTATTGTTGTTGTTGTTCCTGAAGCAAAAAAAGGACTAGACTAGAGGCTAGTGTGTGTGGTGGGTGAATGAGTGCAAGGAACCGAGTCCGATAATCTTATCCAGGAACCAAGAGAGTGAGGGGGGAGTGATGAGGTCGGGTGATTGATGAGGATTCGAGTCCGGTCGAGTTGAGTGTCCGATTGAATTTAGTTGATGAGGGAAGAAAGCAAAAAGAGAGAAGTGGCCGGTCCTGTGTTTGGTTTAAGACTTTGTGATAGACTCAAAGGGAACAGAGTCAAATTGATTTGCAGTCAAACTGACTTTTGAAATGATAATATAAAATGATTGCCGATGCAGAGGCAAGGCTGGAAAAAAAGTGGATAGGCAAGGGAAAAGAAAGAGAGGCGGCTTGCAGCTTGCAATTATTGGGAGAAGACTAGAGTGGGAAAGACAAGTAATAAGCAAGGAAGGAAACAAAGAAGAAAGAGAGTTTTGTAGGAGGGAAAAGAAGAAGAAAGGTAAGAGGCATCCAATGTTTGCAGAAATGAAATAACAAAATACACTCAATGGCGGAAAAAAAAGGGCGTAACCCACTTCATCTACACCTTTGCTGTTGTCCTGTTCAAACCCATTGGTTGAACCAACGTACCCTTCCTTCTCTGTAGTTGTTTTCTTCGCCTCCCTCCCTCTTTCTCTCTCTCCAATCCCCAATGTCCCTTCTCTTCTGCGCAACCAGCCCCCTTCTCTCCTTTCTTACTTTCTTATTTCATTTGTCACCCCTGCCATCAATGCCACTGACAACCCAACCAAACAACCATATCACTCTCCGTCAGCAGCCAGCCTTCTTTTTTCCTTCCTTCTTTTCTTCATCCTTCAATGCTCTGCCTCAATCTTTTTTTCTTGACTATCAGTGCCTATTCCCGCAGACATCACGTGCACTAACTATTTTTAGACCCACATTAGAGCTTTTCTTTTTTTCTTTTTTTGTGTGCTTTGTTATGTGTCTGACTGTAAGTCAGTCAGTCGTCGTGGGCGTCGATGTTTGTTCTTATGCTTTAACGTGTGTTTGTATGTGGGGGTGGATTTGGTTGACAAATTACTCTTCAAAGGCTTTTCCCCCCTTCAACCGATAAAGTGTGCTAGTCCGTCCGTCGAGTGTCATCCATCCCTTGGGTGGAGAAAGGGAGGGATCAAATGGACCCTTTTCTATTTCTCTTTGTGCAACCATCCTTCTCCTCCTTCCCCCCTCGTCTCCCTCATCAAACGCGAGCCACAACCTGCAACTAAAGATAGATTTCAGAGCCGCGCAGATAAAACGATAAAAAAGCGAACGAAAAAAAGGTACTGTACCTATCTTCAAGCAACAAACATGAACGAGAGAAAGAAAGGGTACTGTTGAGGTACCTTTTCGTTATGTCCTTGGTTGTTCTCCCAGTGTCGCTGAGCATCAGGTTTCTCTTTTGCAGGTTTTTTTTTCTTTGTTTCGGCACTTCAACATTCACCCACTTTCACCCGTTCATTGCTCAGCCCTTTTTTTTTTTTTTCTTCTTTATTCCCTCGGCTTCGTTCAGAGTCTTGGTTTTGCCCTGCCGTTTTTTTTTCTTCTTATGGATTTCAGAGGCAGGACAAAATGTGCATCGCCTTGAACTTTTCCTGACAGAGATATCCCATCTCGGGACGTTGGCGGATTCGAGTCTCGCATGTTTTCTTGAATCGTTCTTCGGACAGTTTTTTTTTTTAGTTGCCCAGTTCCCCGTTCCTTTAGCGAATGTCATTTCAATGAAGAAAGACGCAAGGTTATATTTTGCCTCTGGGGTAAAATTAGGTTGGTGTGGTCGCTCTTTTCGCCAACGAGAAACTATTCCTTGACCATCTCTGTAAGTGCTCATCATCTTCTCCGGCAATGCAAGACGAGTCATTGAAAGTTTTTACTAAAGCAAATTGACACCCCTCCCACAAGAAGTTGGTGTCATTTTTGTTCAATTCTTTGGAGAATGCACTTGGTTGGTAAAAGGTAGCTCGTTGGAGGAAATAATGATATGATATGTATTTTATTCAGGTAAGAAACCAAAGCCTAACAAAAGAAAATAAAACGAACTGTGTAAAAAACCATGTATGTATATATGTATATATGTATGTTCGCGTATGTTTGCGAGAGAGGAATGACTATGTACAAGAAGAGAAGTAGGACGAAGGAAGGAGAGGAGGGGGAGAAGAACCAGAGTGCAAATAAAAATGCTTACTTGCGGCGAGGAACAGAAATCTTGGTCCGGCGCTTGAAATCATCGACCTTCTCCAAGATTTGCTCTGCTCTGCCGATCAGCTCCTTGCGCTGCTTGCGGATTGACTCATCTCCACCACTCTCGACCGAATCGATCTTCAGCATGGCCTTTGTTAGGTTCTCCTCCGTCATCAGGACATGCTTCTTATTGGGGATGACACCGGATTCGATCTGTTGGAGCTCGTGGGAAAGGTTGTCGAGGCTCGTGCGAATCTCTTGGAGCTCAGCTTGACTCTTGCGGATCAGTTCTGGGTCTGGCTGGGGTTCTTCTTCGTCCTCTTCGTCTTGAGTGGTGGTGTTATCTTCCATGGTCTCATCGTCTTCTTGTGGGGCTTCCTCCTCCTGTCCCATCTCCTCGTCACGGTCAGACTCCTCCATCTTCTGTTGCTGCAGGCGTTGATAGTGCTCCTGCAGGCGTTTTTGGTACTTTTGCTGCTGTTGCTGACGATGCTGCTGCTGCTTCTCGGCGGCACTGGGTTCGTTGAGAGCCTGAGCATCCTGCCCCCACACATCCTCCTCATCCTCTTCATCCTCTTCATCCTCATCTTCTTCCTCATCGCCCTCAGACTCTGCGGGAGGAGGCATAGGAAGCTTCTTCTTGGCCGCCTCCAAGTTCTTGCGGGCAGCTCGCTCGGCCTCCTCCTCGGGTGTAGTGTAGACACCATCGAATGCGTTAGTCAAGATGTTCATGACAGCCTCGTCTTCCAGATCGTCGTCTTGATCGCCCTTGGACTGGGCTTGGACTTGGGTCTGACCGGCAGCGGAGGAAGCGGAGGCTTGTCTCTGGCGTCTGCGTTGGCGGCGTGCCTTGGGACCAGTAGCTGGCTGCCGCTGTTGCTGCTGAAGGGATTGTTGAGCCTTCTGATGCTGTTGCTGAGGATGTTGCTGAGAATGGACCTTTTGGTGCTGCAGCTGTTGGTGCTGCCGTTGCGACTGTTGGTGCTTCATTTGCTGCTGCTGGCGAAGAACCTGCTGCTTGTGAAGAGCATCATGGTGATTGCGCATGGTAGCCTCATGATGAGCGCGCTTCAATTCAGCCTCCGCCTGCTGCTGCTGTCTCTTCTCCTTCTCAGCCGCCGCCAACCGGACACGGGCGTCATGACTCTCCCGCTGCATTTGCAATTGTTGCTGTTGCTGCAAATGCCGTTGCCTCTCCAACTCCTGTTGACGCTGCCTTTCCTGCTGTTGTTGCTGTTGCTGGAGATGGCGTTGCTTTTGGAGAGTAGAGTGAGAGGGGTGATTGTCATACTCGTTCTCGTCAGGCTCATCGGGACGGTGGGCAGTTTCTTGACTCTGAGAGGAGAAGGGGTCGAAGAAGAGGGAGTTGGAGAAGCCTGGGAAGAAGTCTTGACGGTCGTTTCCGCGGCGCCCGCCGGCGCGGCGTTGGTTCTGCGCCATGCGTGGGTCCCCGAAAATGTTGTACATGTTGGGAGAGGTTTTCTTTGTAAGGAGAAGGGGGGACGGGAGTAAGTGGTGATGGGAAGGAGGAAGAAAGGGAAATGAAGTGGGAGGATGGATATAACAGGGAGAGTGGAAGGGCAAGAAAATAATGAGTGTGAAAAAAAAAAAATTGCGATCAGATCACACACCTTTTTATGCTATGTTTCTAGGATGACAAAATGATTGGCGGAGAACCCTCTCCCACTTACTCGCACCCACTTGATCGATCCAGGATGTGCCAGAACCATCCAATGAAAAAGGGTGCCACCAAATTTTTTGCTTCTTATGCAATGCAATGCCAACAATGTGATACAACCATGATGACGCATAATAATGATGATGATAATGATGCATACGTGTATTATTCCTTCTGTGCTGGGGTCTCAGGGAGCTGGAAAGGGCCATGTTTATACTCATCATCAACATCCTCCTCAGGGGTGACTTGCAGATGAGAGATAATCGTCTGCACATCCTGTTCCTCCTGATGCTGGTGTGATTGTAGTTGTCGTCCATCTGACGGCTGCCTCGCTCTCGCTTCCGAAATCTCTTCGACTCCTGTTCCTGTTCCTGTCCCTGTTGCTGCCAATGCTGACGTTGGAGGAGCATCACCAACAGATCGAAAACTCCTCTCATACACTGAACTACTCATCGGATCCGTCAGCCGAATAGGAGGGATCTCTGTCGCAATCGACCACATCTGCGCCTGAGCCTCGGTCCTCGCATTCGCCTCCTTCTCCGCATCCAAAACCGCCTGTCGTTTCCGCTCCTCCCGTTTCTGTACATGCGGTCTCGAATCCGGTAATCCCTCCCCCCAGGGGTGTGTCAAATCCTTCAACCGCCCCTTTTCTTCAACGTAGTGGTCCAGGATGTAAGTCCAGATATAGAAGTTTCCTCCGGCGACATAGAACGCGACCAAGACATCTGACGTGTAATGTGCCCGGTTAGCGATCACAACAATCGCAGACCCGATGCACAGACACCATACGAACGCCAGACAAAGTATCCCCAACCACCTGAACCGGGCTGGAAACCGGTGGTACCCATGACTTGTCCAAACCAACGCCGAGATGACAAAAATGACCGTATGCCCACTAAACATACAATCCCCACACCGATGCAGCGAAAAAGTAGTAAAGAACTCTCCAACAGAACGGATACATCCGTCGCGGGGGTCGGGCATAGATGTGATGGCGACGGTGGTGATGCGCATGATGTTACAAAAAGACCAGGTCAGGAGGACTTTGCAGAGGAGGTAGAGCGGGCGGTAGTGGGTTGCGATGAGAATGATTGTGGGGATGAAGAGGAGGCCGTCGGCGAGGTCTGTTAGCCAGAGGAGGGTGATGGAGGGGATGGCCTCGAAGCCCCGGTCGGAGAGTTTGGGTGTCTCGGTGTTGTCGGGTGAGAGGTATGAGGCTACGTTCGCCATTACGTTCTATGTGATGTGGACGGGTGTTTTATCAGTTGAAGCTCTGCTTTTACGATGGCGCGGTGTTTATGCGTACGATGAATGATTGGAAGGAGCGAGTGTTGTTACCATGAAGTAGAGGGTGAGAATAAATATGGTGACGACGAGGAGTGTACATCCGATGCTCTGGCGTGTCAGCTTGTACCTCTGAAGAAACGCCTTCTTTGCTCTTTCAATTAGTGATGGCATGGTTGAGGGAAGGTGTGTGGAGTAAAAATACAATGATATGCGAGTAGATGGTAAAAGGATAGAAGAGTGGGTATGCAAATGAAGATGAGACGGGGATGTGAGTGAGGAAGAAAAAGGACGAGAGAGGAGGTCGAGCGAGCACTTATTATATAAGAAGTGATCCCACTCCCGTGGCTCAGTATGGAATACGATGATGTCTTTTTGTTCTTTAGGTATCATTTAAAAAAGGGACTAAGGGCATAGAGTGAAGGAAAGAAAAAATGGCGGCGAATATAACAGAAGAGAAGGAGGAGGAGAAGGAGGAGGGGGAGGAGGAGGGAAAAGCTGCCAGGAGGAAGCAGAATCAACAAAAATTAAGAAAGAGCAATCGTGTCCAGGATCGTTGAGGATTGAGTAAAAGTATCCTTGGTTGCGCTCAACAGGGAAGCGTAGCGTGGGTATGTCGCGTCTATTTCCCTCTCCTGAATAAACTGAACAAGGACGAGTGTGTGCCAGGGCCATGATTGACCGTGAGCAAGGAAACATGCTGATGCATTCACTTTATCAGGCTAGCGAGACGTGTTTGATTAATTGTCTATTTGTCTCAGACCCTGCATGTACTACTATTGTAGTTGACTAGGAAAAGACGTGGTAGGCGGCACTATGTTGATTCGGACTGAGCTAACTTAACGGCTTTGTTCGATAGCCACATTCTAATCGAGGCATTGAGTATTGGCATATTCGTCAAAAGGCTTGATAGATTAGATACTTTGAATCGCGTGTATGCGACAATACTACAGCCTCCTGCACTGCCAGCACCGCCAGCATTGTCATCATTGACGTTCTCAAATATTAGATGCATAACAAGAGCAGATCGTCCTTGTTTGTGCTGCGCCTGTTCGGACTCGGCTGAGAAGGAGAAGCAAGACAAGGGATCGATAGTCGTGCGACCTTGAGGAATGTTTGCCATTCTCAGCCCAGGAAAACACGCACATTTGAATACACCTGTGGGAAGGTGCAATTGCCGACAATGTCCATTTTCTTACCTTTTTTTGTCTTCACCTCCACATCCTTATCCTACACAAAGTGAAACGATTTTCCTCTGGCTTGATTGCCATTTAATGATTTAATTTCGCGCTTCTGTTCTTCTCTTCTTCTCTTCTTCCCTTCTTCCCTTCTCTTGCCTCCCTCCCTTCTCTCTTCTTCCCCCCTACTTCCTCTTTCCTCAACCTCATTTCATTGTCATTCATCGCACCTCTCCCTCTCCATTCTTCGGAATCTAATTCTGCATTCACTTTGTCTCCACTTCTCTCATTCAACCCAGTGCACAGTCTTTCTTCTCTTTCCATACCCGCCTAGACATTCTTCCTCACTTCACTTGACAAAACTGGGTTCACATTCATTCATTTATTCATTCATTCATTTATTCATTCATTCATTCATTCGACAGAGATGACCAAGAGGTGAAACATTCCCGTCTCTTTCTCTTTTTACCTTCCGCCTTCGTCCCTCGAATTGTTATTGTTCCTCTCTGTCCGTTGTGTGTTCAAGGAGGTGTGTGTTTTCGGTCTTGGGGGATTTTTTTTTTCGTCCTTGTCGCACTTATTTTTTGTGTTTTGTTTGGCGTTGTTGCACGATAAACCCTGTCCAAAGGGTGATTGGTACAACTATCCTCTTTTTCAACTCTACATCGCCTACCAAGCCACCCTTCCCTCACATCATTCTCTGAACACACGATGAAATTCGCCAAGCAACTCCGGGAGGAGGTTGTGCCCGAATGGCGCAAGGCTTATATGAACTACAAGCAGGGCAAAAAGTATCTCAAGGCGATCGAAGCAGCTCTTGATCAGCTCAACGATAACCACGAAACGGCCCACCGTGACAACTCCAAACACCATGGCCCTCTCTCGATCGATACCGAGGCTGTGTCGCCCATCGAGCGACCCGCCACAGCTTACTCGCCACAGTACCCGGATTCCCCTACAGGAACAACGCCTATCATCAGGAAGGGTCGTGGCAGCCAGAGGAGCTACGACGCCATTCATAGGCCACCACCACTCCGATCTACCGCTCTCCTTCCACCGAGCTCTTCTCTGGGTTCAGCACTCGATGGTACAGACCAAGACTCTTCTGCCCCACACGACCTGCAGCAGCACCAAATCGGACACGAACCCAGCATTGCTACCTTGACTGATCGGCAAGTCCTTCCTCGAAGCGACTCTTTTGTGGCGCAAATCGGCGAGGCAGCCAAGACTCAGAGCCACAACGTCTTCAAGTCTCTACAGCGTTCTCTTACCATGGCTGCGACCCCACCGGAGCTGCGACCCAAACCAAGAGCGATTAAATGTAAGTACTTTTTTTTTCTTTTTTTTCTTTTTGCTTGCTTGTCCTCTGTAAATGGTCAAGAACAAAAGGACTGATCAGATATGCGTTGCTCATTACCAACAATGACATATAGTGGAGGGGCGACCTCTCGACAGCGTCATGGATCATATGCTCGAGGAAGAGAGGGTCTTTTTCCAGTTTCTCGACAGTCAATTAGCGATGGTGGATGCATTTTACAAAGGTAGGTTTTTATTACCACCCCTGCAGATCACACGGTCCCCATCTCCTGACTCGTGAAACCACTAACATCTATTTCTTCATCTTTGTTCTAAATAATTAATTTTGTTCCCCGCAGAGAAGGAGCTTGAGTCAGTAACTAAACTCAAAGTTCTCAAACAACAGCTCTATGTGGCCGACGAGTGGAAGCGACGCCAAGATGTGAGAAAGGTGCGATAGTGCGGACATGATCAAAAATCAAAGTTTTGTGTCCGGTTAGCCTGTCATAGTTGCGCAATGAGCCTCATTCTCCTTTCCTTGTTTTTCATAGGCCAAGGCTGAAGCCACAGGGGCTTGGTACCAGGCGGAGTGGTCCAGGGTCAGGGATGGCCTTGGGACTTTCATGGAGGACCCCACACAAACAGAAGATGTCACTATCGCCCCTTTGCGTAGGCCCCATTTGAACCCTCTGGGCCAAGTCAAGCATACCACAGTTGGATTCTCGACCGGCACAGAGACCATTAAACCCAGGAACGGAGTTGTCAATAATGGAAAGGCACCGGAGAACAATCTTCGATCTAGGGATAACCGTACAACTGTTGATGGTCATCCGGTCTGCTCTGCCTCTGAGCACAACCAAGTGTTGATCGATGATGAAGAGAATCGTCGTCAGCACCTGCACCACAAAGTGGCCCGGAGCAGGATCAAGGCTGCGATCTACGAGTTTTACCGCAGCATGGAGATGCTGAAAAACTACAGGGTAAATAACACTTGGCGAGGATACCTGCAATATGTTCTTGTTCAGGCCATGACTTAATCAAGTCTACATTACGTTTGTAGGTGTTGAACAAGACAGGATTCATTAAGATTATGAAAAAGTTTGATAAGACCGCAGGATGGAAGGCATCGAAGGAATTCCAGGCTTCCAAGCTGAAAACCGCGTACTTTGTCACCTCAACTATCCTGGACGACCTCATCTTAGAGACCGAAGACCTGTACATTGAAAAGTTTGAGAACGGTCATCGCAGCCGTGGAATGACCAAGCTACGGATCCCTGCCGGCAAGAATCGGGTACGACATTGAAATCAATTGGGAAAAGTGAACAGCGCGGAGTTAATGCAAGTCTAGGCTAACCATATGTTATTGCCTCATATTTTATAGCCACACCACGCCACTATTGCCAGGGTTGGTGTTTACATTGGCATATCGCTGCCTCTCTTCATTCTTGGCCTTAAATCGGCCTTCTCGGAGGATACGGAGAGCGAGATCCCATTCTGGAGCAGCTTGCTGCTACTTTATTCAGGATTGTTCCTCACCGTGTTGTTTGCCTGTTTGTTTGGCATCAACATGTATGTGTGGGACAAAGCCAGGATCAATTACAAGTTCATCTTTGAGGTAAGAAACACAAAACTCACCCTGGGGGCAGGCAAGTTACCACCAGGAATAATTGTAAAAGTTACCCTAACTCGCAGTGTTCACATTTCTACAATAACGAATGCATAGTTTGATCCGCGCGACAACCTTGACTACACTCAGTTCTTTGAGGTTCGGGCACCATGAATGCTTATTTTGGGTTGTTTAGACATTTTGGAGTAACGAGGACCAGTTGTCTAACAACAGACTTTCATCGTATCATGCATAGCTTCCGACTTTCTTTATGATGGCGCTTTGTATTGCACTCTACCTGGATTTTGTTGTCGGAATCACCTCGCCAAGCATGTTCAGAACGTACTATCCGCTGATTCTGATTGGATTGATCCTTGTTGTCCTGTGCTGGCCTCTGCGGATGTTCAGATTTGGTGCTCGCAAGTGGTTCCTGCAGTCGATATGGAGGATTGTGGCGTCTGGATACTACAAGGTCGAATTTAGAGACTTTTTCATTGCAGATGAGATGAACTCGCTGGTCTACTCTATCGAACAGTTTGAGTTTGCGATCTGTGCCTATACCCATCAGTGGAATGATCTCAGTAAGGCCACTGTCTTGTCATTGTAAGTGGTTATGCGCTTGAGATCTCGGCAACAGCAGCTTTGCTCACATAGCCCTTTTTGATTCATGTTTGTGTAGCTTCGACATGCCCGATGGGCCACATGTGGATCACGCCCTTTGTCACTGCGCTGCCAGCTTGGTTCCGTTTCTTGCAGTGTCTCCGCCGTTACCGTGATACCCTCGAATGGTTCCCCCACTTGCTGAACGCTGGAAAGTACTCCTGCTCCCTGCTCCAGATCCTTGTCTACTTCTCGTTTCGACACTATGGTGGGAACAGTCTCAAGGCGGCCTACATTGTGGTCTCGCTCATCACTAGCTCCTACACATTTGCATGGGATGTCCACATGGATTGGGGTCTCCTCCAGTTTGGCAAGCATGGTGGCGCAGCGTTCGGGAACCCGTTCTTGAGACCAGAGTTAGTTTATCCGAGAAAGTGGGTGTACTACCTGGCGATCGTGTTGGATTTCTTCGGACGCTTTTCATGGATCTTGCGGTTTTTGGCCATAAATGTCAATGTGATGATTATATCCTTCATCTTGGCCTTTGGCGAAGTCCTTCGGTACGTCTGTCTCTTTTTTTTTTTTTTTTTTTGTTGATTTGTTTCACGCTTGGTTTTTGATAAAGTGGCGAAGCTAATTATCTGGTTCAATTGATATGATAGGCGCTGGATGTGGAACTTTTTCCGTTTGGAAAACGAGCACTTGAACAACTGTGGACACTTCCGGGCCATCAAGGATATCCCTCTTCCATTCCACATTCATGTTGCAGAAGATTCGGATGAAGACGAGAACGAGGAGGAGGAGATGGACGAGGATGCAGAGGACGTGGCGGCCAAGGACAACGGCAGCGACACTGAGGATGGCGAACAGGGCGGAATCGGCAGTGGTACTGATGAATCCAAGCAACGCCACCACCTCGCAGCCAGCACCAGCCAAGCCTCATTTCCAGTGGGAGATATATCGTCCCAAACTGGCGTCATCCGTCGACCTTCACCAAAGCGGAAACCGTCTGGTTCTTCTTATAGTGGACCCCCCTTCGGTTTGGACAGGAGCAGCACGTTTGTGGATGATGCTTTGGGCCAGGCTGGGTTTGCAACTGAACAGCTGGAGCAGTTGGCATCGACAACGTATAACAAGTTTTATGATCGTCGGGATTTCGAGTCGAGGATCGATGGTGACGAGGAGACTTATAGGGGCCATAAGGCGAGGAGTAACAAGGCACCCTCGAGAACAACGGCCTCCCGCTCTACGGGTGGTTTGGGGTTGGGTATTGATTCTTCCGTTGGTGGCACTGCTGATGGTGCAAGGCCCGTGGAGGCGTTGGATGCGACGAGTACAAAGTCAAAGCGAAGGTTGGGCAAAATGCTCAAGAGCGAGTTTCGACGGTGGAGGGATGGTTCGGACGACGAGGATGATTATGACTCGGATGATGACGAGCGGTAGGTCGTTTCGTTCAGCCATCGTAGATACCGTGGATGGGGTAGTAGGTTTTTTTAGCTCCCGTTCAATAGACATAGATTAGGTATCCCACATTGTAAAAAAGCTAACTTGCACGCATGGGCTAGCTGACGAAAGCCTCCCTCCTGGGGGGCGACGCAAGTGTGTGGTATTAGAAGCCGCAGTCGAAGGGTTGAGTTGGTTCTCGAAGATTCCGCCAAGGTTCTTTCTTCATACATTTCATCCTCGTCTGAATTCCCGCCAAAAGAAAAAAGAAAAAAGAAAAAAAAAGAAGTAATGGTGCAGCGACACGCACGCCTCCACCTTTTTTTTTCCGTAGAACAAAAGAAAAATTTCGCCATTCGAAATGAATCGATTCATAAGCGCAGCGGGCTTAGTCACACCGGGCGTGCGTAAGTTATTGTCCTGTCACAAAAAATCTATAAAAGCGAGTGATGGTTCCTGATTTTTTTTCTATATTCCAAATTAGCATAACAATCACTCAAACAGTTCTCTCTCTCTCTTTCACAACCATTCACTCTTATCGTATTACGACAACTACATCCACAATAGCAATGTATCCTTTCTACCACCCTTCTACCCACTCGGCTGCTGGAGCCTACCCCCACCACCATCACACCCCCCTGCCTACGTCTTACCCCACCACCACCCTCCCCTCCTACCTCAACAGCACTCGTACATTCCCTACCACCTCCTTCGCCTACCAGGAACCCGACTTTGCCTTCTCCTCTAGCGAAGAGACTGACGAGGAAGAACTCCTCCTCCGCGCAGCACTCGAAAGAAAGCGCCAGGAACGCCTTTCCCGCCACCAGTATCGCCACCACCACCAGCACCAGCACCAGCACCATCCTCATCCCCATCCCCATCAATTCGAGCAACAGCATCTCCAACAGCTCGAGTATGAGAACCTGCTGAGGAACGAACGTGAGCGTCAGCACCAGGTCCAGGCCCAGGTCCGAGCTCAAATCGAGCAAGAGGCCCTTCGCAAGTTCCAGCGCAAGCAGATCCAGAAACAGCAAGCCGCTGCTGCCACCTACCAAGCTTTGCGCCTCCAACAACAGCATGAGCAAGAGGCTGCTGGCCACGCTCGTTTCCGCGCCCAGGCCCAAGCTCAAGCCCAAGCCCAGGCACAAGTCGCCGCTCGTACTAGAGCCGCTGCCATCGCGGAAGCCAAGCAACGATCCCAACAGCAGCAGCAGCAACAGTTCCGTGTCATTTTCCAATCTGCCGAGCCCGAGGAGAAGGCTGAGGAGGTTGAGGATCCGTTGAGCAACCTGCTGGAGGCCCTTTTCTTTCCCCAGAAGCGTCCTCAGCCCCAAGAGGAGGACAAGTACCCTTGCAAGCGCCGGCAGCAGTACCGCCTCGCCCTCCAGCAACAGGCCGAAGAAGAGGCTGCCCTGCGTGTTGCTGCCGTTGAGAAGGAGAAGACCGTTGCTGCCCTCAAGAAGAAGCAAGAGTCTACCGCTGCTGCTGCTGCTTCGGATACTGCCCAGACGGAGGAGTTGTTAGCGGCGTTGCCCGAGATCTTGACGTTTGTTGAGGCCATCTTTGGAGGTGGCCAACAGCAGGCTTCCCATTCGTCATCCAAGGCCGAGTCGTCGCGTTCTGGATGCAAATCTTCTTCTGGATGCGCTGCCAAGTCCACTCCTTCTGCCACTGGGGCCGCTACTACCGCTGCTGCCGGTACTACCACTGGCGGCTCCCCTTCCACCGCCGACCGTCGCGCATCTGAGCTCCTGCAGGAACGCCAACAACGTGCCCACCAACAAACCCACAACCTCCACCAAAAGCACTCTTCCCTCAACCTGATCGAATCCTCCCTCGATTCCTTCGCCCTCGACCTCCATGACGCCCTCTCCTCTTCTTCATCTTCTTCCTCGACAGATCAAGAATCCAACAAGCGGATCGTCTTGGCGGCAGAAGAGAGTGTGAGTAAGGCAATGTTCGACATTGATTCTGTTGACAGTGAAGGGGATTTGGGAATTCGCCAGAGGAGGAAGGAGTTGATTAAGAAGAGTCAGGATCTTTTGGAGCTTGTTGATAGTTTCAAGGCGAGGGAGAGTAATACTGGCAAACAGGTCGTTCGTGATGCACCTGTTTCCACCTCTATTGCTGAGGTTGCCGCTCCCGAGGTCGAGGCTGAGGCTTCTTCGTCTTCATCGGAGGAGGCTGAGAAGGAGAAGGAGGTGATTGTGTTGGAGGCCGAGCCAATCGACGAGGATGATGGCGAAGACGAGGTCGCGCCTTACAATGTCAATGTCGCGGTCGCGTCTGCTCCCTCTCCCTCCGAGTCCGAGACTGTCCAGGACGACAAAGAGGTCGAAGTCCAAGTCGAAGAAGTGCCCGAGCTCGAGTCTGAAGATGTCGCCGTTGATGTCGCCAAGTCTACCGATGCCCCCACCGTTGTTGAGGAAGAGAAGACTATTGAGACCGAGAAGAAGACCCCTGTTCCAGCCAAGGAAGCCAAGGAGGGTTCAGAGTCTGGTCATGACGACTTTGAGATCGTTCCCGAGTTCTAGATTATTATTTTTCCTGATCCAGCGTTTTTTTTGTATGAACACTTTACAGATTCACTATCTACCTTGAATAAAAAAATACGATATTTCGATGCAAAAAAAAGTGTGTACTTTTGCAAAGTATGTCTTGAAGATGATAATGAGATGGAGAGATGGGGCGGGTGTGGGGTCCGAGCCATGGAAAGAGCTTTTTCGGGTAGATTTTGTTTCCTCAAAGTAAAAAAATGATGGCTGTAAATGAACAGCCATTGATCGTTCGTTGGTCCTCTTTTCTATGTTGGTGACACGAAAAAAAAGCAAGTTGGTTTATTGATAGGGGGAGGGGGGAGGGGTCCAGACTCCACATATGTGTGCACGGGGAGTAATAATGTACAATACTTAATTATGATGACCAAAACAACAACAACAGCAAAAAAATAGTAATGCCGTTGGGATGAAGACTTGTTCGCATGTTCACTTTCACAAGGCATCGACTGTTGCACAATAAAAATAAATATAAAGGGCACAAGAGAGAATAAAAAAAAAACAAAAAAACATGAGAGCAGCTTTCTGTTGAAATGTTGAGGATGGCCAAGCCAAGTACAGTAACGTTTTTCCTCTTTTCGTTCATCAACTTGCCCTTGGTATTCCAAGACAAGGTGGATGTTGTTCATTCATGAGAAGAGTGTGTCCTCGTGTAGTAGTGCATTTGTTTGTAGTGCAGAACCGACACATTGCTCCTGGGGAGTACCATGTGAGTAGTGGCATATAGGGTGGGTTCAAGACATCTATCTCTCCATGAAGAAAAACATGTGCAATGGTAATTGCATTATTGGCACTCAAGAATGAGAGGGAAAAGGAGAGCTCTCTTCTTCTAGTTCACTCTTTATTTCACAACGCATGAATAAGGTTACTCCACTCCTGTTTTGCCCTTTCCTTTTTTTTTCCTTTAGAAAGAGATCGCACTCTACATTCGAATCGAGGAGAGGAGGAGAGGAGAAGAACAGGAGATGCTTTTCTTCCCTTGGTCTGTGGTTCATTCCTCATCCACTTTTTTATGAGGGTGGATACTCACTAGCAGACTTCTCTCCCTATCAGTACCCTGAGCACTTTCCACTTTTCCTGTTCGTTAGCTCGTTTTTGAGTCAAGGCGCGAATGAAGAAGAAAGCGCAAAGGGGAGAAGGAGAGAGAAGAGAGAAGGGACGATGTGAGCACCGGTTCGCCCGTTTGTTCGTCCTTGCTCTGCCCCAAGCCCCAACGGTTCTTTGTTCTCTTCTCCACCTTTCTCTATTGCTGCTTCAGTTCTACTTCCCCTTTTTCTCTTTTTCCCTTTACCTTCTTTTTCAGGTGGTCCCTCTCTCCCCGCTTCCTTCTCTTCCCTCTTCTACTTTTCATAAACTCATCTCACCTTCTCTAATTCGCCAACTTTGCTCCTCTTCTCATTCACCCACACCCTGCAACAAATACTAATCAACTCTCATGTCAGCTGCAGCAACCAGGAGCCGCAGGTCGGCAACCGTCGCCGCCACAGCACCCTCATCCTCATCAGCCTACCACCCAAACCCATCCGGCGCCCCGCCACCACCACCACCCTCGAACCACCCCAAGCAGTCTGTCCAAGCCTACAGTTCACAACAAATTCAAATTCAACTTCCTAACCAACTTCCTCCCCGCCCAGACTACAACAGTTACGACAGTGATTCTCAACAGCTTCAGCATTCTTCCACTGGGTCCGACTTGTACAGTCAACAACAACAACCACAGCAACATCCAGCACATACAACACAGCAACAACCCCAGCAGCAAGAGAATTGGTCAGAGTACAATTGGAGAAACATCTTTGACGCAGCGTTGGTCAAGGCCCAGCAGGCTGTCCAGCTGGACGAGTTGGGCGAGACCGTCTTGGCGACTCAGTTGTATGCCCAGGCGGCTAATGATCTTGGACGTGTGATCCCCTTGTGCGGGAGCGAGAAGAAGAAGCAGTCTATGCTGACCATCGTAAGTTCAGGAAGGAGTTGTTTACACATGGGCCATCAATGAGCTCTTCTTTTACATATGAAGTCGATACTACTTTTACGCGGCGGAGAAAGAGAGCGCAAAAGATGTGTTTGGTCGATGTGGATGTGTCAGGTTTCTTTACACTATTTTCAGGCACCGACTTACACCAATGACATTTTATTTCCCTTTTTAATTCTCCACACGCATGATTTCTATTCAATTCCGATCGGGTTCACCTCATTGCAGCAAGCCATCTACCTCGACAGGGTCCAGCAACTCAAGACCGCCGCAAAGGCAAACGCCGCTTCAAAAAAGGCATTTGCTCCCGCACTTCCCCCACAGGTGCCCGAGGAGGATACCCGTTACAACCACCAACAACGGACAATGGCCAACCAACAACAGCAGCAGGAGGACCATTATCAACACCAATATCACCACCAACAGCAACAGCAGTACCCAGCTCAGGAGTATTACCTGCCCCAGCCTTCCTACCAGCCATCCCCAGAGCAGTACCACCCCGTTCAGGACCCCTACCAACAGCAACTCCAGCAACAGCTCCCCTATCAACCTCCTCCGCCTCCAATTGATCCTCAAACCAGCGAAAAAGAAAAGGAGAGTGGTGGGTTCAAGCTGTTTGGAAAGAAAAGGTCCAAAACTCAGATGGACGACTACGCACAACAACAGCAACAGCAACAGCAACAGCAACAGCAACAGCAACAGCAACAGCAGCAGCAACCAATACAGGATAACAATTACAATCATGCAACTTACAACGACTACAACAGCAATATCAACGAAGGGTACATTTCTCCACCCTATTCAGAGCCCCAAAAGGCAACGGGCTCACCTGCGACATTGGTCACACCGGTTTTCATGAACCATACCCAGACTCCTTCACCAACACCACTCATCGCATCCAATAACAACAACAACTCGCCAGCGATCGAGACTCCACCTACCGAACAACTGGCCAAATCCTCGCGCTGGAAGCCCTTTGGGAAAAAGAAGTCAAAGTCGTTCTCCGCGGGCGAGACGAGTTCTGGACCTTACCGTTCCCCCAACGATTACGAAATCCCAACACCACCATTGCCCATGAGTGCACAGCAGCAGCAGCAGAACTTGGTGGATCCTGGTGATCACGCGGATGCTTATTCGCAGCAGCAGCATGCCGATTGGTTCATTGGTAACGACGATGGACCTATGCCAATGGATGAGTATGAGCAGCATACGCGATATTACGACGAGGATGAAGAGGAGGATGTCGATCCTTACTACATTGCCGATAACAGGGGTCGTGCCCAAGCCTATGAGGGCAAGGTAATCCACTTTCTCTTTCTTTCAATTTGAATATATGGATGATGACTACCCGCGAAAGTTTTTGCGCTAACAGTTATAACACCCAAAATGTGTATCATACAGGATGCTGGAAGGCAACCATCGCTGAGCAAGGCTCCTTCCAAGGAGGAAATTCTGAGAGATAGCAGGAAGAAACCGACCCTCAACCACCAGGCATCCTCTTACTCCAACGAGCAGTCATTCACGCCTTCATTCGGTCCTATTGGAGGGAATGGGGCTGCCTACTCGGAGGAGCCTGCTGTGTACTACCATGGCAATGGAGCCGTGACGGACGAGCAGATGTTTACGGCTGCTTATGATGACGGCTACGACTATGACGTCAACCAGCAGAGTCAATATGACGGCCGATACCAGCAACAACAGCAGCAAGAACAGTATCCTCAGCAGCAAGGAGCGCCTTTTGACCCAAACGTACTGATGCAGCATCAGCATTCGCAATACAGTCAGGATCCCAGTCTGCAACCAGTTCCTGTCGATGCAGAGGCTGAACCGGAGGAGAAATCCAACACCAAGAACAAGTGGTTCGGGAAGAAGAACAAGAAAAAGGACCCATCAGCAGAGAAGTATGAGGATGTCGCCAAGCGTATGGACGAGGCATTGTTTGGAGGAGGTGGATCATCGTCTCGTAAGAAAGACAAGAGCAAGAACAAGAACAAGGACAAGAAGAGTGAAGCCGCCGTCGATTCGACAGCCGTCCATGCACAACTACCATTGCAGCCTCATATGTTAGAGCAGCGAACGAGTACGCTGCCACCACCTCGCAAAGCCTCTCTGGAGTACGATATCCGTCAGTTCAGTTTCGAGCGCAGCGCAAGTCTCGATGTCGGCCTTACGAGAGAAACTCAGCATCAACAACAGCAACCACAGATGTCTAGCGTCACAGCTAATACCACCGCAGCTCCTATGGAGTCGACTTCCGACGAGTTATACCCTCCAGGACCAGCGTTGACTCAGGCTCCCTCGACTCCCAAAGCCATGATGCCTGTTACCTATGCCCCCAGGACAATGTACGAGCCCAAGACTGCCTACGCTCCAGCCTCCAAGAAGCCACTCCCTCAAGCCGAGGAGCTCATCTCTGAGCCTGTACAGCTCCCCTCGGGTCTGGGCCTGGATCTGGGTGCAACCTTCCAGCAACAGGAGCAACAGCATGGAACTGCCGATAGCATCCACAGCCAGGACGATGGTTCACTGTTGAGTCCTGATTCAACCAAAAAGGCCAAATCTCGACCATTCAACTTGTTCAAGAGTAAGAAGAGCAACAGCAAGCTCTCGTTGGAGGACGGCTCGCCCCTCTCGCCTACATTTGGTGCCAACGACGATTCCAAGTCGGTTCACAGTGACAAGACGAGGAAGAGCTCTATCCAGAGCAACGATCGCAAGGCAATTGATGCTGCAGCCTCTGGGGCCTTTTCCAAGTATGGAGGCAAGAAGATGGAGAGCGACGAGTACGTGCCTTATGAGTACCAGGAGGAGGTCGAAGGACCTTTGATGGAGCGTGTTCCTGTCCGCGAGAACCGAGATATCATTGGATTCGTCCTGGTAAGTCCCTTATTTTTTTTAGCACCTGTAATATTTGTTTGTTACGCGAGGTAGAATGGTGGATTAATTCGCCCTTGAATATTTGGTAGCCTGTGGAAGAGATTATCGACTACACCGCCGAGGGTACTGATGAGGTCGCAGCTCTTGAGAACTGGGATTCTTGGGTCAACCAACTCGAGTCGTTCGAAAAGGTGCTTGCCGATAAGGGTGAGAAGAAGGACAAGAGCAAGAAGTCCAAGAAGGCTGCCAAGAAGGCCGCTAAGGAGGAAGCCGCCGCTGCTTCGGCGCTTACTTCCCCGGTGACACCCACCTCACCTATGGGTTCTTTCAAGGCAAACCGTTCCAGTATTTTCGGCAGCAGTGGTATGAGTGAGCACCGTCCCATGAGTGTCAGCGACGAGTCGACCCGGACATCCATGTACTCGACCCGGTCGAGCGCCGTCTTTGGGGCAGAGCTGATGTCCGTCCAACAAGCCAAGCGAAAGTGGTGGAACCCCAAGCGCAAGGAGACTACCTCGGTGTATAGCAGCGTCTCGGACTCGTTTTCGGTCTCGGAGCAGGATCAGGAAAAATACTTGTCTTCGCTCCTGCAGAACTATCAGGACGCGCCACCTTTGTCTCCTTCCACGCCCACCGACCCAGGAACCTTGCAAAGTCAGCTTGATCAACACCAACGCGTCACGACGGCAGATGTCTTGGCAGTCATGGCAGCCGCTGAGGAGCGGGAGAACCGTGAGCGCCAGGAGGCGTTGAATGCGCTTTTGGAGACGGATGGTACCAACCGTGGCGGGGCGAGCCTGTCCTTGCCTTTGCCACAGGTGGGATCGATAACCTCGTCCACCCTCAGCACCCAGGAGCTCACACCCGTCGAGAGCTCCGAAATTGTTGTTGCTTCGGTCGTCCCTGTCACGGCCAAGTCCACCAATGTCGAGAGGGACGAGAATGGGGGAGAGGAGGACGAGCTTGACGTTGTGGCACCTATGCCACCCCAGGTCGTCAAGGCCAAGGCCAAGGGCACAAAAGCCAAGCTGCTCCCGATTTCGACACCATTGGCGCAGATCCTCAAAATCCAGAATCCTGAGGAGCTGTGGTTGTATGTCCAGCAGGCCAAGACGTATGCGACGACCAGGATGAACAAGGGCGACAAGAGGTCGGCTGCGATCGCATTGAAGCGTGCTCAGGCTCTTGAGGCTCGCTGGCAGGAGATTATGTTGGAGCTGGCGTCGAGTGAGGAGGATGATGATGAGCTGTTGGATGACGATGAGGATGACGATGATGATGATGATGACGATGAGGAGAGCGAGGAGGAGCCAGAAGTCAAGGTCGTGCCAAAGTCTGAGGCCAAGACAGTTGCCGTAACGCCACTGGTCGTGAAGACGTCTGACAAGAAGGCAGCTAAGGTTGAGGAAGAGCAGCAACAGAAGCTCAAGTCTCCAGTCACACCGGCCTCTACCAAGGTGACGACGATCTATCCGGTCGAGGAGGAAGGCGAGGGTGAGGATGCAGGTGAGGAGCGTCGTCGACTTCACTTGCGCAAGGTCACCAGCCGGAGTGATAGTGCGTCCGACATGTTCTCCAAGTACAAGGTTGGCAACAAGTCTGCTGGTGGCTCCTCCAAGAACACGTTGGCGGCGTCGACTGAAGAGGCCGCAGAGGATGACGATGCTTCTGACACTGATGATGACGATGATGAAGGTGGCGAGAGTGAGACGGAGAGTGGAGCGAAGAAGGGCAAGGGCAAGGGTTGTAACAAATCGTTGCTGTCGATCCGCGATTCGCGGCTGGGTGCGGATGCTACGATAGAGCAAATGCTTGAGACGACGGATGTGGAGCATTTGAAGTTTTATATCCAGCGGATGAAGACGGATACGGTTGCCAAGGCGAGGAATGGGAGCAAGTTTGCGGCGTTGGAGGGGATGAAGAACGTGAAGGTTTTGCAGCAGCGGCTTACTGAGTTGGAGGAGGATGATAGTGAGGATGAGGAGAAGGAGGAAGATGAAGAGGGTGGTGGGCAGGTTGAGGCTGCAGCTGCTTGAAGGAGAACGACCATAGACGCAACATAATAGAAGTGGATGATCTGGTATGATATAGTATGCAGTTCAGGTACGAGAAGTGATCTTTGAGTCTGTGCGTGTGTCTACAGCAGAGGTGTAAATGTTGTTACTCAGGGGAGAGGGTCGACGGCCAGAGTTGTAGGACCGCTGTTAGGTCCTCAATTGGTACGGAGGGGGGGGGGAAGGGGTTGTAGGTTGGGGGGAGGGGAAGTGACAATAGTGTCCTAAAAGAATCACACAAAACGATACACTGCAGCGTGCCAGCGAAACTCTTGTCAATACTGCTCTCGTCCAAGTGATGTGTAAAAGGACCTTGTATTCATATTATCAAAGAGGGGGTTGTTACCTGCAGCGTGCCAGCGAAACTCTTGTCAATACTGCTCTCGTCCAAGTGATGTGTAAAAGGACAAAGAGCAGACAAGAGGGCTCGGCGCACTACTAATACTATGTCTACTAAAGAATATGACTGCTAACCTAAGGCATCGCCGCCACTGCCTAGCCACCACATCTTTTTGTAACAGTTTCTACCTCCCTCAGATGGGATGCCCGTCCCCTGACAATTCACATCTTCACTCCTTCCTCTCCTCCCTCACTCTCCTTTCCACTACTTTCTTCAACATATCACCACTCAGTGTCTCTACTCCTTCCTTGGTTCCGTAGTGAGTACGACCCGTCTTCACCCCATATGCGCCCGTTCGACCGACCCAAACGACCTCAAAAGGCCCCAACCAACGAGGGGTAAGCTTCCTCCCAAAGCCCGTCACAAACGCGAGATTAAAGACCCATACTCGTTCGCCCTTCTCGAACTTGATGACCTTGACACGACGATCATAATAACGCTTCGCCTTCTCGTTCGCATTCATCCTGTTCTCGTATGCCAACTCTCGCAGTCCCTCGCGACGACAAACAAATCGGGCCATCGCTCCTTCCAGCTCCTCGTGCACAGGTTCAATTTCACCGGTGGTCGTAAACAGACGATCATCGCTGAAAGACTGGCGCAGTGCAGAACGGCCAACGAAGCCCATCAGCGCTTCCGAGGGAGAGATCTTGGTGCTGCCGACGATGCGGTGGTTGATGTCGTAGACTGCCTTGGGTAAAAGAACGTCCCATTCGACTCCTGCCGACACGCTCCTACGCAACCTCTCCTCGATCAACTTGTTGGTGGCTTCAACTTGACCTTGGCTCTGCGGATGTCTAGTGGACCCGACCAAGTGCTTGATGCCCCATGCCTCACACATCTCCTTGAACTCCGTCCTGAACGCTGGTCCTCCATCGCTTCGAATGACCACGGGAAGACCAAACCGACACATGATCGACAAGAAAAGGGCTGCCTTGACACTTGCGGCACTCTTGTTCGGGATGGCACAGGCCTCTGTCCACTTGGTAAACGAGTCCGTAAACACAACAATCGACGTCATTCCTCTTGTCGTCCTGGGCAAATATTCGATCAGATCGACAAATAGAATCTCGAACGGAAAATCCGGCGTCGATGGATGAAGCTCGTTGTGCTTCTCTCTGGGTCCGAACTGCTGACACCGACGACATGACTTGACCCAATCGAACACATCCTTCCTCATCGTCGGCCACCACCCTTGAGCTCGAATTGTCGCCAGCGTAGCTTCCGCTCCATAATGGCCTCCAACGTCATGTGCCCACGACAGTTTTTCCTCCACCTCAGACTCCACTACGCACTGCTTCTCAACGTTGTCGGCATCCCGGTACAGTAACCCTTTCTGCGCGTCAACCCTAAAACGAAATGCCCTCCTCTTGGCCCTTCTTGCCTCGTTGTAGTCTTCCAGCCTCAGAGTTCCAGTGGTCAAGTAGGTAAATGTGTTCCTGTACCACTTGCACTCTGCCCATTTGCTGTCCATCGAAACCGCTCGCAGAGTCAGACACTCAGGCATCTCGTCATCAATATCGTCCCCCGCAAACTCTTCTCTAACCGTCAGCCTACTCATGCCATCCGCGTTTCCATTCTTGATTCCAGGCTTGGTCCGAATGGTGAGGTCGAATTCCGCCAAAGTCATCTGCCATCTCGCTGGGCGTCCAGTCAAATCGGTCTTGGAGAACAACCACTTCAACGGCGCGTGGTCCGTAAAGACAACTACCGATCGACCCAAAATGTATGGCCTGAACTTCTTGACCGAGAACACAATTGCCAGGCACTCCTTCTCGCTCGTGGAATAATTCAACTCGGGGCCATGAAGTGTCTTGCTGTAGAAGAATACAGGCCTGACCTCTCCGTTCTCGTCCTCCTGTTCCAGTACAGACCCAACCGCATAGTCACAAGCGTCGCATGGCATGATCCAATCACGCTCGAAGTCGGGACCTTTGAGAACTGGCGACGTCATGATCGCCTCCTGCAGGTTCCTCATCGATTCTATCTGCTCGTGGCCCATCACGAACACTACTCCCTTCCGCAACAACCGATTCAACGGCTCCGCCAGCTTAGCGTACACCCAGATGAACCGACGGTAGTATCCAGTCAACCCCAGAAATGCCCTCACCTGCCCTTTTGAGTCCATGATCACGAAATTGAGGACCTTCTCAACTTTGTCGGGCATGACCTGGATTCCATCTCGTCCAACGATATGTCCTGTGAACTCGACTTTGTCGTATCCGAAATGGAGCTTGGAGGCTTTGTATTTGACACCACCTTTCCTGGCTGCGGCGAATGTCCGATCCAAACCATCCAAGTGTTCGTCCCATTCCATGTCTCTATTACAGACGTCGTCCATGTATGCGTTCAACACGGTGCCGATCAGGTTGCCATAGACCTTCTGGACGAAGCGACTGAACGTGTGTGGTGCATTCTTGAGACCAAACGGCATGACGGTGTAAGCGTAGGTTCCGAACGGGGTCCTGAAGCCGAGATACTTGCGGTGCTCCTTCTTCACTCCAATAACGTAGTATCCTTGAAATCCGTCCAGACTGGAATAGTAATGGTGACCGGCCAGCTCGTCTAGGATATGCTCGATGTTCGGGAGAGGCCAACTCTCTCTCTCCGTGACCTTATTCAGACCGACATAGGCGACACACTTTCTGATGCTCCCATCCTTTTTGGACGCCAGGGACAATGGCGCGCACCATTCGGACTCCATCTCGACGATCTTGCCTGTAGCTAATTCCTCGGAAATACTCTTCTTGAGGAACTCCATCTCCTTGGGCGCGTATCGAGGCGACCATCCAACGTATACCGGCTTCGATCCAGGGATGACATTGACCTCGTGCTCTAAGACGGTGGTGACCTCCAAGTCCTGCATGTCCATTGTAAACCGGTCTCTGTTCCGTTCCAGGAGCTCAACCATCTGTACTCGCTTCTCCATCTCCAATGCTGGGTTGATGTCGACTACTACATCTCCGACTTTGAACTGCGGCAACTCAGGCGACGACTCAGGCGACGACTCAGGTGACTTCACAGGCGACGACACCAGTGACTCCTTGCTCTGCAAGTTAACAGTCTCCACAGACCGCGCTTGGATCGATATGTCTGACAACTCGAAGGACCGCACTCGCATGGCTCGAAACCCTTCTTTGGCATCTCCTGTGGACTCATCCGATTCATACTCCTCATCCGAATCCTCATCGCTATAATCGTCGTCAGAGTACTCCTCAGACCCACTGGAATCACTGTGCGGTTCATCACTCGTGCCCAAATAAACGTTGACTCCTTCCTTGCGGACGTAGTATCGCTTTCCTCCACTGAAAGCAGCCCTGGCTCCCACGAAAGCTAGCCAGTCGTCTCCGAGGAGGAAATCGTAGGAGCGCTTGCAGTCGATCACGCCCATATCCATCTGCCCACCGAACCCTTGGACATAGAACTTGATGGGTCCAGTTGATCCTGCGAGGTTGTCAAATCGGCCATCAGCCAGCAGGATACCGCGGTTGGCTGGTTTGAGTTCGAGTCCGAGGTCTTGTGCTACATGGAGCCCCATCATCGTCCTATCATTGCCTGGGTCGATGATAGCATTCGGGTAACTACGGCCGTTGACTCTGACAGTGGTTACATCTCCTAGCGCCTTTCTCGAGACTGCGATACCCCGATTGGCCACAGTTATAGATGGTTGCGCAGCCTGCGCGGTGTTGCTCTTGGCCCTCGCCTTCTTTCGTCTCTCCCGGCTGTCGGCATACACGCGACTGACTGCTGCCTTGAGCTGCGACGGCATTCGGCCTCCATGCTTCGAGATAGTGGCGACGTCAAAGGTGAGGTTCTCAATACTGGATACGAAGACTGGATCCGGTTCAACTTTCTGCTTGGGCCTTCTCTTCCTCACGGCATCCTCGCCAATCGCCTCCTCTGTCACTGGCTCTATCGTGACTACTCCGACAGGTCCACGCCGCCCTCTGTCGCTGCTCTCAATGTGCCCAATTCCTGCGGCGTCATTTAAGGTTCCAGACACAGGTTCTTCCTCCCAATCCATGGCTCTATCAACGACTTTCGATTTTGCCGGGCTCATATCTTTCTTGGCCTTGGGTCCTACTGGAAGGTTCGATCGTTCTTGGCGCCGCTTTTGGTCGACCCCACCCATACTGCGTGTCGTCCTCTGCGCGGCCAAGGCGTGGTCGATTTCGATGCTCTGCACTCTCATCGAGTTTTGTTGGGTTACGGGGATACTGTTGGGGCCTGTCGCTGGGGTGGTGGACTTGTTGGGGCAAACTCGGGCGACATGTCCTCTTTCATGGCAGTGATAACACTCAACAGCAGGGCATTCGTTGGCGTAATGGCCTTCTGCCTGGCACTTATGGCATAATCTGGGCCCGGTGGAAGCAGGAGTAGCGCTGGGTTGCACGACTTGGCGGCTGGCTGGCATCTCGATGGCACCACCTCGAATGTGCTGGGCGAACCTAGTGTGGCCGAATACCTTGCGAGCAACGGCTACCGGAAGCCGAGCAATTGTGCGAGCGACTCGCCCGGCTGAGGTCTGGTCTTCCAACGATGCCAAACTCCAGGACTCAAACATCTTGACCATCTCATCAACTTCTGCTGTCAGCGTTTCGGGCTCGAAGTCCTTTCTGAAGGCTTGAAACTCTGCGGCAGGGATCTTGGTACCGGCAATCTCGATCGATCCAGTGGTATGCCTGGGTGCGAGCCTCTCAGCTTCCTTGCGGATCTTGTCCTCGTAAGTCTCCTCCTCATATTGGTTGTGGCGGCAATACTTGGCAAGTGCGGCGTAGGTCCCTGCTAGGGTCGGCTCGGGATCTCGGTTCTTAACCTTGAAGGGGTGCCCAGGCATCAACCCTCGACAGAACGCAATACTGAAAGTCGCCTCGGCGTCATCGGTCAGCGTATACAGGGTAGCATCAGGTTTGGACGTCAACTGTAGCAGCTTGATGTTGGCCTTCATCCTTGCAATGTACCGGTCTGTCAACTCTCCGGTCTTCTGCTTGATGCTCATTATCTCAGCATATGTACTGGCGGTCGTCCGTGGTCTGGCTATCTCCGCTCGAAAGTCAGTGGAGAACTTTTCCTTACTGCCGTCGGTGGCGAATTCCAACGCCCATCTCTCCACCCATCCTTTCGCCATACCAGTCGTCTTGAGCTTCACTACTCGCTGGTACGGAAGTTGGGTGATATCGGCAACCTGGTATACATCTGCGAGCCAGCTCTCCACATCCATGTCTTGAGCGTTCGTCCATGTCTCGAGGTTTGTGAGGTAAAAGGTCGGGTTTGCCATCTTGTTCTTGCTGTTGTACCAATTGCTGGCCCTGCATAGATCACCAAAATATTGTTACTCAGGGGAGAGGGTCGACGGCCAGAGTTGTAGGACCGCTGTTAGGTCCTCAATTGGTACGGAGGGGGGGGGGAAGGGGTTGTAGGTTGGGGGGAGGGGAAGTGACAATAGTGTCCTAAAAGAATCACACAAAACGATACACTGCAGCGTGCCAGCGAAACTCTTGTCAATACTGCTCTCGTCCAAGTGATGTGTAAAAGGACCTTGTATTCATATTATCAAAGAGGGGGTTGTTACCTGCAGCGTGCCAGCGAAACTCTTGTCAATACTGCTCTCGTCCAAGTGATGTGTAAAAGGACAAAGAGCAGACAAGAGGGCTCGGCGCACTACTAATACTATGTCTACTAAAGAATATGACTGCTAACCTAAGGCATCGCCGCCACTGCCTAGCCACCACATCTTTTTGTAACAATGTCACTGATTAACTTAAGGGCCTGCCAGAATTCCACTACCCGCTGGGCCGATTCGTTCTCTACTCTCAGAAGTCAGGACTGACAGACAGACAAACAAGACATGCGGAACGCAGGCCCACTTGTTTTTCTCTTTTCTCATTCATCATCCAAACGACAATAACCAACCATGGCCCTTAGACTTTTGACCAAGAGCGCATCGGGTAAGAACGCCCTTTGCACGTACACATACACTCAGCCCACTTGCCTCTTACTCCTTTATAATCGCTGCCGATCCAACGCTCTCGCACCCGACACACACGACACAGCCAACGACAAGAAAAATAATAGTCATCTAAAAGCACTCGTTCAGGGGATTAAGTCACTTTATTTCTGACGACTGGATCCATCGAATAGTAGCAGACATCGGGATCATCGTGGAGACTGCAATCCTGGCTCAATCGCAACGAGGGTCATCGGACTGTGTAGAGCAAACACAGGACTCCCTGCGGAAACATACCCAACACGCGACATAACGTATTACCCAACAGAAACGTTTACAAGGGGGACAAAGAGGACCTGTTGACTATCGATTTCGCTTTTATGCGCAACGAAAAATATTGACCCGATTCTTCCCTTGATATGCGTACTTTTGGCTCACGATAATAGTCGCCGCCGTGCGCCCCATGCTCGCTGCCCAGCGTTCCACCGCCTCTGTTGCGTATGTTATATGGTCTTTCTTTTTTACTGCGACTTTTTACGTCCACTTTCTTGGTGGTTTTTCAATTGCACAGGCCTGGCGCGCTGCTTCTCGTCGTTTTGTTGTTTCTTGGTGCTAACTGTCTTTTTTTGATAATGATATATGAAATAGTATCCGCCACATGGCCACCGCTACCTCTGATGGTATGTATTTTTTATTCGTTTTGTTCGACAAGCAAGATCGAGACTGGATGTTGAAGAGGTGGAGCAGATTTCTACTCGCGATCGATTGGTGTTTTTTTCTCGCTTCAGCCGATGTTGTCATGAAGAAGCGAAGGAAGGACAGGAGCGATCGATTGTTTGTCAAGTGGAGGATACTCACAGATAGACATGCGCAAGAATATACCATGAGATAACAAGTCGTCGTTTTTCAAAAGGGAAGAAGAGACAAACACTAGCACAGGACAAAGAAGTTCAACTGCTAACTCGCATGTATCGTATTCGCGCGTGGAAAAATATATAGAGAAGAGCGTTTCGCCCGACAGCAAGGCCCAGAGCATCCTTGATGCCCTCCCCGGTAACTCGTTGATCTCCAAGACCGGAGTTGTCACTGCCATTGCCGGTTTGTCGACCTACTTGATCTCCCAGGAGCTCTACATCTTCAACGAGGAGACCCTTGTTCTCTTGGCCTTCGCCGCCACTTTCGGTGGTATCGTCAAGAGCGCCCGTGCTCCCTTCAACGAGTGGGCCGATGGCCACATCAACAAGATCCGCTCGATCCTCGAGAAGGCCCGCGCTGACCACAAGGTTGCCGTCGCCGAGCGTATTGACCAGGTTGGCCAGATGAAGGATGTTGTCGAGGTCACCCAGGCTCTCTATGCCCTCTCCAAGGAGACTGCCCAGCTCGAGGCCGAGGCCTTTGAGTTGAAGCAGAAGACTGCCGTGACTGCTGAGGTCAAGTCGGTTTTGGACTCGTGGGTCCGTTACGAGACCTCTGTCCGTGAGCGTGAGCAGTCCAAGTTGGCTGCCTACATGATCGAGAAGATCAAGGCCGATCTCTTGGACCCCAAGCTCCAGGCCCAGATCTTGGAGGAGTCTATCAGCCAGGTCGAGAAGATTGCTTCCACCAAGGCTTAAGTCTCCCAACTCCACTCCCCGATTGTAACGATTCATCACCAACAACCTGCAACAGCTACAGCTATAGCAACAGCGACAATAACAACATGAAGGATACACTTATCACATTGATCCGAAAAATAAGCGCCTCTTTAGACCCTTCTTCTCTACTCCACCACTATTATAAAAAAGCTACAAAAGAAAAGCGAAACAAGGACACTCCGTTTGTCCTTTATTCTTCTTTGACAACCACTGTCGTTTCGATGTTTTGATTGCAATTGGAGTGAAATTGGGGTGGGAACGTGTGTCAGACGCGTAGTGGCCCTTAATGGTATCCTCTCCCCAATCAGTCCCTTTCTTCCCAGACCATCAGCCCCCCAGCCAACAGGGCGATCAAAGGGGTGAGTAACAAAAGCACTTGCGTCCCGTCTGCCTCTTTTCACTCTCTTTACCTTTTTCCGTCACCTTCCCTTCATCCACACCCGCCGCAGTACCTTTTTCATTGTTACCGCTTCACACCTGTTTTATACTCTTTATCACACCTGGCGATAACAAGAAAACATAAGAACACTTCTTTACTCTTCTTTTACTTTGCTTGTGCGAACTACACTTGCACTACCTTACAACAACAACACAAAACACGCACGCAAATAGCAACCCCTTACACCACTACAACAACTCCTACAGACTCTATACGTCTAATTGAAATACGATGGGAGTGCCAAAATTCTTCCGATGGATGGGGTAATTGCTTGAAAGGAGAAAAGCGATGAAGAACGTTTCTTGTATTTGTTCGTGAACGAACTACTTGATGCATGAGCATGTAGAAGTTGCCAATAGAGCAGGCTCACTAACAAAGTCCTCTTTTTTCCCCCCTTGGTTTGAACACCTCTTTCGCTTTGTTTTCGTCGACCATCTGTTACCGATTGTTTGCATTCATAAAAACGCAAAATAGTGAGAGATATCCTCTGTGCTCGCAGTTGATCACTGAGAATGCCATCCCCGAGTTTGGTAATTGACCCATTTCCCCAGAAACCACAAAAAAAAAAAAAAAAAAAACGACTGGGTACACTGTTTTATGACGGAAATATTTGCATGAAAAAAAAGCAAACATGATCCTTACCCTTGGAGGGGCGGACCCCACACAATTTGTTACTTACCACACACTTCCTCGTTTTTGTTGCCATGAACAATGGAACAAAATAGACAACCTGTACCTGGACATGAACGGAATTGTCCACAACTGCTCACTACCAAACGACACCGATGCCCACTTCCGTCTGTCCGAGGACAAGATCTTCCTCGCCATCTTCAACTATATCGATCATTTGTTCCTGAAGATCAAACCACAAAAGGTCTTCTTCATGGCCATCGATGGTATGTTTGGAAGGAGTTTATTTTATTGGTTCATGAAATGTCTTTTGGAAAGATGGCGCTTAGGATATGAGACATTGAAGGAGAGAGCTTGTTTGTGAAAAAGGAAGAACGTTGTGTGTATCCCCGCTGACATGACATGCATCATCTTTTATAGGTGTGGCCCCTCGTGCCAAAATGAACCAACAGCGTTCCCGTCGATTCCGCACAGCCAAGGATGCTGAGGATGCCAAGCGCAAGGCGATCGCCAAGGGAGAAGAGCTTCCAGAAGAGGAGCAGTTCGATCGTAACTGTATCACCCCAGGTAACACCTTCTTTCCCTTGCAGTTGTACCTTTGAAATAGAAACAATCGATCCAGCGTAAAGGGAAATCTGACCTTATCGTTCTATCTCTCAATTTGACACTGAAAACACATAGGAACACCATTTATGAAGAGACTCTCGGCGCAGTTGGAATACTTTATCTCCAAGAAGGTGACCGAGGACGCCAACTGGCGTGGTGTCAAGGTGGTGCTTTCAGGACACGAGGTTCCCGGAGAGGGGGAACACAAGATCATGGAATACATCCGTCTATCAAAGGCTCAGGAAGGATACAACCCCAACACTCGACATTGTCTGTACGGTCTCGATGCCGATCTGATCATGCTCGGCCTGCTGAGCCACGAGCCTCACTTTGCGCTTTTGCGTGAGGAGGTTACCTTCGGAAGGGCCAACAAAAAGAAAGGGTATGTTCATCTTCACATTGCCTCAGCCAGCTCAGCCTCCGGAGGACAACCTTCAAGGTTGCGTTGTGGCCTTCTTTTTGTGTGTGTTTAGAGTCATTGAAAGAGTGAGCGTCGATTTTGACTGCGGCTGAGGGCAAATTTGCGTACCGACCAATCATTTCAACTAACCCTGGAAAAACATCACAACCGTGCTCACGATTAGGTCCATCGATACACAAAACTTTTTCTTGATGCACCTCTCGCTGCTGCGGGAGTACCTCGATATGGAGTTCAACACCCTTCAGGAAGTATTGCCCTTCCCCTACGACCTCGAGCGCATCATCGACGACTTTGTGCTGATGTGTCTCTTTATCGGAAACGATTTCTTGCCACATCTCCCCAACCTTCACATCGCCGAAGGTGCACTGAGTCTTCTTTTCAATATTTACAAGAAGCTGCTGCCGCAATTGGGCGGATACTTTCAGGATTCAGGAGAGCTGAATTTCCACCGTGTCGAGGCCATGTTCCACGAACTGGCCGAGGTGGTCGAAGCCGAGGCCTTTGAGGCAGAGTGCGATGATCTCAAGTATATTGGTGGCAAGATGGCTGAGTTGTTGATTGTGCCCAACTCTGGACAGAAGAACAATGGCAAGCATCGACAAGGAATGCGTATGGGTAAACCCATCGAGAACGCTAATGAGCTCGGTTAGTTCCTCACAACTGTTTGGCGAAAACTATTTTGTTACGAGCTTGAAATTTCGGCATATTATCACGGTAGCTAACCTTCCATTTTTTTCCATTTATTAACGTCAATGAAATAGTGATGACAAGGAGGCAAAAGGATTTGTATGACCAGATGAAAGAATTCGTGCTAGAGCGCAAGGATGTCCTTCATTTCCCACCAACGCTGAATTCGAGCGAGCGCAGCTTTGTCAAGAGAATCGCGTCAGCGATTGAGATCCGATACGGTACAGAGACTTCACCCGAGGGTGTGATGAACCTTTACATCGAGTTTGACGAAGAAGAGGATGACGAGGATGTAGAATCTCAGGAGGCACGCGCACGCGTCATGCGCAAGTACGACCAGGCTGAGGTCGTCGAGGATGTGATTGAGAGCGAGAAACTTCGTAACGAGAAGGCCAAGAATGTCTATGAAGACAGGTTACTGCAATGGAAGAAAACCTACTATCTGGTATGTACCTTCCTTCTCTCTTTTTTCGATTCATTGTTTATGGCTATTGAGATTGTGGACCGATGTTCACGCTACAACCATACTTTTTCTTTTGTACCTGCAGGAGAAACCTGAGCTCGAGCATGAGGCTGATATTCGCAAGATGGTCTTCAAGTATGTCGAGGGATTGCAATGGGTTCTCTACTACTACTACCGAGGAGTTTCCTCATGGGCATGGTTCTACCCATACCACTATGCTCCTAAGATCTCTGGTAAGATTCATATTTTTCTGTCTCTATAATTTTCGATATCCTTTGACCTCCAACCTAACACATTGGGCCTAACGTTGTACTTCGTGTAGATTTGGTTCACTTGGACTTGTTCAAGTTCCCATTCGAGCTTGGAACACCGTTCAAGCCCTACGAACAGCTCATGGGTGTCTTGCCTGAGGCCAGTAAGCAACACATCCCTCAGGCATACTGGGTAAGTGTGGCTTTTGGTTCATGCAACTGCAGTGGTTTTTTTTTCTTGACCAATGAATTGACGGAGTTGCGACACGACAGGTTCTAACTACGACAACGTGTTGTACTTATTAGGATCTAATCACCAAGGAGGCTTCACCCATCAAGGACTTTTACCCCGACAACTTTGACCTGGATATGAACGGCAAGAAGCAGGACTGGGAGGCTATCGTCAAGATTCCCTTCATCGACCAGGAGCGACTTTTGACGGCCATGAAGAGTAAGTTGTCGCACTTCACCATTAATTTCTAGGAATGAATATGATTACACTTCCTATCTTAAACTAACATCACACTCCTCTTATCTTCACTTTTAGGTAAGGAACACTTGCTGACGCCAGAGGAAGTTGAGAGAAACGAGACCGGCGAGAGCGCGGTATTCACTCGCGACGAGAGCTTGAGCGAGACCTATTCTTCGCCCTTGCCTTTGGTCTTTCCCGACATCAAGGACTGCAAATGCAAGCGGTCTGTCTTTCACCTCCCCGTCATCGAGGGCGTCTCCTCGTTGAGAAAGGGTCTGTGCGAAGGTGCATTCAAGGGAGCCGATGCGCTCTTTGGTTTCCCCTCTCTAGCTACTATCAAGTACTCTGGCAACCTCGGCTACCACGGTGTTCAGGTCTTCCAGGCGCCTTCTCGTAACGAAACGATGGTTGTCAACATTGTGAACCGATTCGAGGATGTCAAGCCCGAGGCACTGGCATTGTCAAAGCTCGGAAAGCGAGTCTATGTTGGCTGGCCCTTCTTGAAGGAGGGTATTGTTTCGTCGATTTCAGACGAGATGTTCAAATACGAGTTGCAGGTTCAGGGCAAGAATAAGGTTGTCATCAAGACACCCCACCGTACCAACACCTTTGATACCTGGCGCAAGCGCGTCGACAGGATCGAGACCATGTACAACAAGCGATTCGGTGTGGTCATTGGCGACATTGAGTTCACAGCTCAGGTCCTGCTGTTGAAGGGTCTCAGGCGGGAGATGAATGGAGCATTGGTCAAGGACTTTTGCAAGCCCGGGGAGGAGCAGGAGTTTGCTGTCCAGACCGTCATCGACACTATCCGTCACCCCGATACCAGAACCAAGGAGGAGCCTCCTCGTCCTCTTAACGAAGACTTTCCTTTGGAGTCCCAGGTCTTTTTCTTGGGTCATGGACATTACGGATGCCCTGCTCAAGTCATTGCTCACTCTGATAATGCCCTTGCTCTCCGCGTTGCTGTAAGTTGCGTTTGGCTTGGGTCAATATTTTTTTTATTCATATTTTGCGTTTCAATCACGATAGAAAATCTTGTTAACTTGTCAGGTTATTGTTGATTGTTGGTAATAGATCCCTAACGAGCACAAGGGAGAGCCAACATTTGGACATGAGATTGTTAAGGAGGCACTCTCGGGATTAGTCTATCAACCTTCGTTTGTTGTGAACAAGAAGGTTGGCATCTCTGCATTGATCCTCAGCAAGCTGACCTCGTCCCTCCACGTTGTCTATCGCTCGACCGATCGTCGCATCAACTTGGGTCTCAACCTCAAGTTTGAGGGCAAGAAGCAGAAGGTTCTGGGTTATACCCGCAAGACCGACAGTGGATGGGAGTTCAGCCAGAAGGCGATCGCACTTTTGCAGGAGTACAAGAAGCTGTTCCCCGAGTTCTTTGACGGACTGGAGAAGAGAGCTCGTTCGGACTTTTACATTGCCGAGGAGCTCTACCCCAACGGCGACAGTGTCGAGAAGATCAAGCGGATCGAAGACTGGCTCAAGAAGTCCAAGGTCAGGGACTTTGAACGCGTCGATCTCGATGCCGAGCAACTCGACAAGGTGAGTTACAGCATTCACAAGTGTTCAAATTTATGGCAGAGAATGTGGGAGATGAATGAAGGAATCTAATTAACCCCCCCCTCATTAATGTCTTGAAACCATAGGACACTATTGCGTTGGTGGAGAAGGCAGCGGACGATTACGTTGAGACAAGGTCGGGAATGAAGCACGTCATTGTCAAGAACTTGGGTCGTCATACCATGCTCAAGCCCAGCCACGCTGCGACATTGTTGCCTGACCAGACCTTCAAGCTTGGAGATCGCGTTGTATTTGTCCAGGACTCGGGTACAGTCCCCATTGGCGCCAAAGGAACTGTTGTTGGCATAGACCGTTTGGAGGTTGAGGTCGTCTTTGACGACAAGTTTATGAGCGGCATGGATCTCAGCGGACGTTGTTCGATGTACCGCGGTATGACGGTTGGACCTCAGTCGATCTTGAACCTGTCCAGCCCTCAGTGCAATCAAAAAGCACCAGCCACTCCTGCACCCGCAGCTGCGGCTCCCAGACCCAAGCCTGTTAACATTCTTCCCAAGAACAACAACCAGCACAACCCAACGGACGACAAGCCTCCAGGCTGGGATATTCTTGGAGTTGCACCTGTCGCCGATAAGCCCAAGAAGGGTCCTCATCACCCCAAGAACCATAACAACAACTATGGTGGAAACAGCAACGGAGGCGGTAGGACATTGGGTCAGGCCCCTCGCGGCGAGCAGCCTACCAACGTAAACCAGAGTTTGGGCTTCCATGCCCGTCCCAGACCTCCTGTTCAGATTGCGGTCCGACCCAACTCTGAGAACAACAAACCTGGCGCTGAAGACATTTCTTCGCTCTTACTTGGACTCTTGCACAAGAACGTGACTCCGGATCAACTTGGTGGACCTAGTGGCCCCAACGGAGCTCAGGGCATGTCCTTTGGAACCCTGCCCCCCGTCCTTCCTGCCGCTGGATCGCAGGCTGCCTCGCTCTTGGAGCAACTCCTTCCCAGGCCCCCACCTCAGCAGCAGAACCATCAGCACCAGTATCAGCAGCAACCTGCTCCCCCACCAGCCTGGCAGGATACTGGTCGTATCCAGCAACAACATGGGCAATCGTCACCACCGGGGCAGAAGGGAGTTCAGCGCCATCCTCGCCCTCCACCAGCCAACGGCCAGCCTCAGGCCGGCAACAGCCACAACAACAACCAGCGACCTCCAGGGTTCTCTAACCGTGGTGGTCACCGAGGTGGCCACTCTCAGGGACAGCCTCGCCCCACACCTGCCAACCAGAACCAGAACCAGGCCCAGACTCAAGGTCAAGGTCAGGGTCAGTCTGGACCTTCGAACGGAGGAGGCAATGGCAAAGTGAACAACAATGGCCAGGAGCGTGGAAACAACAACCGTCGTGGCCGTGGCCGCGGCGGCAACCGTGGTGGAAACAAGGGCGGCGACTCTGCTGCTGCTGCCGCGGCTTCTGCTGGTGCTGCTGGTGCTGCTCCTGCTGCTGCTTCAGCTTCAGCAGAAGGATCGTCGTCTGCTCCTGCTCCCGCCCCAGCAACCCCCCCGCCCGCATACACAAACTAGACTTGAGTCCCTTCTCGAACTGGGTTTTTGAAAACAGCAACAAAAGTTTTTGGCAATGTTTCTTGAAAGCAAGTACATGCATAACTAAAGAATATTAGTAGACCATAAACTACAATAAAATACGACCCTACACGCGCGCATTTCGAGCGCCGATAGAGTTGTCAGCGTTGAAAGGTGTTTGAGGCTTGACCGTTGATGAGGTTGATTGTGTTATATGTTATTCTTTCGTGATTTTTTCTTTGGAGTTTGGAGATTGAGTTGCAGCGTGTGGAGGAAGTAGGTTAACCTCCTTGCTCATTCGGATGCTCTTGATGACACGTTCCCCGCCGAAATGTCGTCCTCTGCGGCAGGTGCGATGGTGGTGGTGGTGGGATAAGATAAGGCAATGAATCGAGTGAACTGACAGTGACATTGGGAGTTTGCGATTGTACACATGAGGGTCCCAAAGACGTTGCAGGACTAGAGAGGATCCTTGTCGTCATCAGCAAATAAACGGTATTGTCCAGGGGGGCGTCGCAGCATTGGAAGAACGTGGACTTTTCTGCGCCTCCGATGATTGCAGGGAGGGGGGAAGAGGGTGGCAGAGATGGTAGTCGCGAAGTTGGTGGCGAGGGTGTTTATCCATACCAGGCTGCGGTCTGGGATTAGATACATCTTGTAAGCGTGTTTGGGCGTGGATGGAAGAGTAGGAGGGAGGAAGGGAGTAGGATTGTATGGGGGAGGGGGGGGGGGGGGGGTTTTTTTGCTTGTTTGTGAAAGCGTCGGAAGAATTGTTTGCGACTTTTTTTTTGTTCTGGTAGATTGTTTGTTATTCTAGACGAGGGCGTGTGGGGATATATAGGATGCTGAGTCGAGGATGCCGTTTTGTGCCCAAATCTCGGGCGCGACCAAAAAAGTGGGACAAGGGGTTCAAATCCAAGAACCGGATCAGTTGGTCATTCCCGGTAAGGTCTCATCTCATAAAGACAGGTGCTTTGACACTATGACAAACAGGTCTGTGCATATCATACCCTTCCTTTCAGTTTCATGCGCGCCGCTCTTACTCTAGTAATATGCTCTACCGTTACAAAGAGGCGATTAAACAAAAGGGACAAAGGACATTGCAGAGGGAAGACAAGAGAGAGACATGCAACGTGGAATATTGAAAAATGTTCCTCTCTCTGTTGTTTACTTCTGTACAACGGTCAAGCCAAGGGTCGAAACTTTCTTTATTTCCCCCCCCCCTTTTTTTTTACTTTTGGGTGAGAGCAAGAGAATTTATCTAGACAAAAGCGTACTGGAGAATCAAGGGGACAAACAACAAAAGCGCCGCTTTCTTGACAGTCCAACGGCCGCCATAATAAACAGAGGTTCCACTCGAGCCCTTGTTGGTAGGGGAGACAACAGCAGGTCCAGTTCCAGAACCCCCCGTAGGGATCAGTGCCCCGGTCGTCGAAAGAACGGGAGACGTCGCAAAGGTCGTCGTCGTGGTAATGTTGGTCACTGGTGGTGCGACTCCTCCAAGGCCACAACCCGTCTGTCCAACGGTATAACAATTGGAACTCTTTGCAGCGCCCAAGCTGACCTCCTCCACACAGTACGACGACCCAGTCGAACTCAGCCCAGAGACATACCCCGAATAAACGGCATACTTCTGCCCCAAATTCCCATTGAATCCCTGGTACCCAATACAACCCATCACGAACTGACAAGTCGTGGGTCCGCTAGGACAACAGACCCAATCGTCAAAGGAACTGCCGGTCCCCTCCAGACAAGTTTGCTTCTGCAGAAATGAGCCCAGCATGCTTGGGCAACAGGGTTTGTCGCGGGTAACGGTTAGGGAGCCCTCTTGGTAACAGGTCTGGGAGATTGCGGAGGAGTAGTCGTTGAAGTTGCACACGTATTTGGAGTTGCCGATGGTACAATGGAGATACCCGTAGGGACATTTGCCAGTGTAGTCGGAAGGACATACCCCTGGAGAGGTGCAGCAGTTAAAGAGGCGGGTGTCGGAGTATATGATGGAGCTGTTTGAGGCGTAGGCGTTGACGACGGTGTCGACCCAGGGGAAGTTGCAGGCGTCGTAAAGGGACATTTTGTTGATTGAGGTTTCCTTTTCGTTGAGTGTGGTGAGGGGTGAGGAGTGAGGAGTGGTGGTGTGGGAGTTAAAGGACAAAAGTCAAAGACGATAGTAGAGAAGAAAGAGGTGAACGGATGAAAAGTGCTCAATTTATTTCAAAATGGATGTGTGGTTGGGGATGAGGGGGAGTGCAGTTGCCACCCGTTATTTTTTTTCGAACACTTGCTCGGTATTGGTTTGGAGCACGAACCCTTGGTATGGATTGACTTTAGGCTGGAAAAAGAAAAAAGTTCAGAAGGATGGATAAGAGGAAATGCTGGGTGCTTGCTTGACTTGTTGTTTGTTTGTGTTGATGATGCAAGCTGATGACATTAGAGTCGACAAGCGATATAGTAGAACATCAACAAAGACATATGTGTCAAACATAAGAGTACAGTACCTGTCTATTCATTCTGGTTGCTGTAGTACTTCGTCGCGTTGTTTCAACAGACTTGGATGCAGTGGCAATTGAAGGAAAGGAAGATAGAAGATCAAACAGCGTCCATTCCCCTCACGCGAGAAACAGGGGTCACTTTCGTGTCACACCCGAGGCTGAGCGCAGCACTCTCCTCGAGTCCCCTATGCAATTTGTAGATTGAGCAAGGAGGTCGCAGTCACGAGGGAGAGTCTCGGGTCTCCTTTGCTGTTTGCGCTTCGGCGGAGAAGCAAAAGAGAAGTATTGTCCTGGGAAACACAAGCCCCGTTGCACTCCTTCTCACCTTTCTTTCAATCAACATTATTAACCATGGCCGGTCCTAAACTCGAAGTCTTCAAGGCACGTTCTTCGCCGCCACATTATGCTATTCATGCCCAGGACCTTTCGACAAAACTAAAGCGGACTCAATTCACCACATTCCATGGTCGGGGCTAACACATTACATTCTCTTTTACGATTCCCGGGTTCTCTTCACGGTTCACGGTGTTGTGCTTGGCGTTCCCATTAACCCTTTTCTCCACCTTCACTTCCCTGTCTCCAGTTCGGAGTCTACATCTTCACACCCGTCATGTTCATGGTGTACTTTGGTAAGTATCCTCCCTTCTACTCTCACACCCTGCTCTGCTTTTTTTTGGTCCCTCCTCGCGAGAAAAAAAAGTTCCGAGCAGCTTTTCCGGTCTCCTGCAGCATTGCTAACAATGAACCATATCCAACCCCCCCCCCCCCCAAAAAAAAATAATAATAATAATAATAATAATAATAATAATAATAATAATAATAATAATAATAATAATAATCTAGGTGCACCCGAGTTCTACGACAAGCACGTCCGCAACGTAAGTTTCTGTCTTTTTCAGCACTTTCTCATTATCTCCGAATGCGAGAATACACAAGTCTGCGTGCATGAATCACTAACGACGAATAATTTACATTCGAATTATTGGTTTCTTTTCACAGTCCAAGTTTTGGCCAGCTGCCGAAGTCGTGAACGTAAGTACTTTTGTCATTCAGGCTTTTCCATAGAGTATCAATAATCGTTGGCACACAATACTTCGACTTGCATCATCACCTCACGCAATCTTCTTCAAATTGGATTACAACAACGAATAGACGCGTACTGGAATTGATAAGAAGGAACTGTTGTACGAGGTCGAGCGTCTGAAGCAGGAGCGTCTTGCCCGCAAGGCTGCTCGTGAGGGCTTGTCCGACGACAAGAACGTGTAAAAACATACCAACCCAACCCAACCCAACCCAACCCAACCCAACCATTCGCCGTATTCACCATCCAACACTCAAAAAACAACACCGACAAATAAATGGACAAGTTATTGTACAAATCAGAGGTTTTTTTTGTTTTTTTTATTGCGAAACTGCCTGGAATAGTAAGCGAAAGAGAAAGGGAAGGCTCATTAAAGCAGGACGGCAAATACAGACAAGTGCAAGTGCATTGCGTATAGGAGAGAGACAGGCAGTTCTCGAAATGACGTCCACGAATGAGATATTCAGGGCGAGGAGCAGTAAACAACCGCAGCATCGGGACCGTGTCCTCCAGAGCTCATCCTCGCCTCCACCCATCGCTTCGAAAAGAACTCGATCACCTTGTTGCGATCCGCCCATGGCTCAGGACCAGTCTTAGCCTTCGAGCTCGCCAGCCAAGGCAGCTCAAAGTCCTTGACGCCCTCGAGTGGTGGCAGTGCATCGTAAAACAGCAAGTGCTGCAAGTGTTGCAATTGTTCCGAATCCGACTTCATTAGGGACTGTTGGTCTGGGGGTTCAACATGCGCCTGCGATTCCATCTGCGTCGGCGTCAACGACTGAGACTTCTCCTGGGATTGGGTCGAAAGTGAAAAGGAACGACGTTGCTCCTGTTTCTTGTGCTTATTCTTCTGGGACGCATGGGACGGAGGCTGAGGTGAGGTCGCCGTACCCATTCCAGGTCCTGTTGCGCGCTTGTTCTTGGGTTCTCCTGGAATCTGCAAAGATGCGACCAAAGCGGCGCTAGTGGTAGCACTCTTGTTCCTCTCGACTTCTGGTTTCTGTTTCGACTCAGCAGGTCCTTGATCATCGTGTGATCCTTGACAAGATACCCAGGCTGGCTTGGTAGATAAATGCGACGCGTTTTTCGGTTTGGTGGTAGCAATTGACTGCCACGCGTTATCAGCATTGTTTTTTGCTTTGTCTGCCTTGTCGCCTGCTTTAGACTGCATCAGAGAGACTTGGGCTTGAGTAGAACCAAAAGCAGGGCCAGGAGATGCCAGATGGCGCTGGCGCTGCTGTTGGTGCTGCTGTTGGTGTTTCTGCTGCTGACTGGCAGGCTGAGGGTGTGGAGGACGCAGCTGACCTTGAGGTTGACCCGAATAGTAGGTCTGATGTTGGAAGGGTGGACCAGACATCGGGCGCTGATGAGAGTGCGCGGGCGGTTCACTCATCAGAGGGCGATGTGGCATGCCAGGTTGATGTTTGGAAGGAGGTGGCTGGTGATAATCAGCCGGTCGCGCAGAGTATTTTCCGTAAGGTCGTTGGTGATAGTCGGAGTGTTGCTCGGAAAAATCGTGCCCAGGTTGCGCTTTGAAGGGTTGAGGTGCTGGCTCCCAACGACCGTAGCTCCTTCTGGTATCCGGCGCACTTGAAAAGCGGGCATCCTGAGATTGGACTGTGGCAACTTTAGTGACGATCGGTCCTTTATACACAAGATTTCTTGGAGCTGAGTCTTTCCAAGGGGCTTGTTGCGTGGATGTGCTCAAAGACGCCGCCGAAGTGGCAGGTGGGGCAGCGGTCGCAATAGAGTTAGGCGGAATGTGGTTCTGCTCGTACTCGTCAATGTCGTCCGCCCAGTTGCTCGTCGCGGTGTTCATAAAATCGTTGTTCAAGAAGCTCAAGTCGTCGTTGCCAGAAGCCGCAACCGCATACAGCACCTGCCTGCTGTGGATATCGTACTCGTTGTGGGAAGGCTCCACGCTATCGCCAACATTGACGGGCGCTTGCGCCACATAATTTCGTTCGTCGTCGAAATGCGCCTGAGAGGCCTTGAATCCTGCCTGCTCGGAAGGTTTTCCAGTTGCCACTTCTGCGGAAGCCTCTGCTGTTGCTACTGCAGCAGCCTTTTTCTTCGATTTGGACTTCTTACTGGCGGGCTTGGTGCCACTTTGAACGACACCGTCAAGCCAATCCAGAGACTCCTTGTTCAGCATTTCTTCCTGTTCGTTAATGGCGGAAGGAGCTGCTGGTGGCGTAGTTGATTCATCAGGAGCGAGGGAGGGGTCGGTCGAAGCAATCGCCTTTTTCTTCTTTTTCTTGTTCTTTTTCTTGCTTCCCTGTGCTTGTATCGGGTCGATAACTGTGTCTTCCTGCTGAGGCATCGATGGTGAAGAGGATGACGTTTGGTGTTGCTGTTGGTTATTTTGGCTGTTGCTACTGCTACTATTGTTGTTGTTGGGTAAGGAAGAGAGGGGCGAGAGTGGATCGGTTCTTGAGGTGGTCAGGTTGATGACGGGTGGGCCACGGCCTCCCGACGTCATGTCTCGTAAGAGGCCCATGTTGCTGTTATCGGGACTCTTAAGCGAGTGCAAAGAGGGGACAGTTGAGTTGTCCGCTTGCTGTTGTTTTAGTTGTGTGTGTCCGTCGAGTGTAATAAAGAAGGGTGGCGTGGGAGCACACGCTCGAAGAGAAAGAAAAAGGTTGTTGCTGTGGTGGTACGATTTTGTGTGTACTATGTGACAGACTCGTGTGAGTGGATGAGCAACAAACAATAGGGATCTGTTGGGCGAATGCAAAAGGACAAGGAGAGGGAAAATGACTGAATGAGTCCAAAAGTGGAAACAGAATGGTGGTGATGGGAGTAAGAGGAAGAAGAAAGGGAGGAAGAGAGAGACAGTGGTTTGCCCTATTTATGGGTAATTTGGGGTCAACTGTGGCGAGTCTCTGTCCCTTAGCATGAAATCATTAATAGTCTGTTTGTTGCATTTTGCCACTGCCCCTTGCTGTGGACCCGCATGGGAAGGTGGGGGAACAGACCAAATCCCTACCACCCGTTTCTGAAGCGCTGCGATACCCCTCACGCTCTCAGCCGCACCCACACATTTGATTAGGGCCACTAAAGGTTGTCTCAGTGACGCGTTGTGATTGGCTGATCAAAACAGGGAGAGACAAACGCGACTTTTGAAGAACAAGTACGTGTTCATCAGATCCAACGGATAGGATGTTGTTGCCGGGTAACCATACATGTTCATACAGATGTCCACCCCTCGTTTGAAGATCCTCCTTCTTCTTTCTCCTCTCGTTTGACTATTATTCTCTCCATCGCACTCCCAAGTCCTGTCCTAATGGAGTCTCAGTTGTATCAACATACAAGGAGTATCTTGGGTCCTCTTACATTCACCTTCCCCTTCTCCCTTTCCTTCCTCGCTTCAACATCTCCTTGCTTTCTCCTTCGTGTTATGTGTTTCTTCCTCTTCACCGTTTCCATGTATTGTTTTATCCTCTTCTCACATTGGGCTCACAAGGAGACACGACATTTTTGATGTTCCTCCAAGCTAAACAAAACAATAAAAGACACCATTCTCCTCAACTCGTGGCATGACAATTTGGTCAAGGAATTGACTGTTTGGCAGGCATGCCTTCAAAACTCTAGTGCTGGCGATTGGTGGGAAAAGGAGTCTCCTTGGATGGCCATCTGCCCAAATCCATCCCGGTATGCAGGCAGACAGACAGACAGACAGACAGCCAGAGTATGTAGGAGACACCCCCGTACTCCTATTCTTCCCAGCATATAATGGAGTTCAACCGTGCATTGTCAATCCTTATTTGACCACGCCATTTGTTGTCGGTGGTATAGGAGTGCATGGCTGTTAATGTCCAGTAGGTGCCGGACCCTTGTTTTTCACAACAATACTCATTCCATAATTGATATTATTCTGCTCCCAGATTTTGCTGGGACATCCTTCCGTCTCCTTACTTTTTCTCCTTTTAATCGATAGAACACAACGGAGAAGTGCTCATTGTCGCCATTCAAATGGCACAGACGGCTCCCTTTTTTTACACTTTATGAAATTGTCTGTGTCTTTCAATCGTCTTCTTCTCTTTCACTCTCGTGTCCTTATAGCCTTTCTAGTTTGTATTTTCCTTCTTTAACCTCTCTCTTTCCCGCTCTCTCTCTCTCGCCTCTCTTCCTCTCTTATTAGCGCTCGCTCTCACCTTTTTCCTTTTTTCTTTTCTTTCTTTTTCTTTGTTCCTTTTTGTTCCAAGGCAGCCACCTCTTTGCCGCCACTTAGGCTGCCGTTGTCATCGTCAGATCTCTTATTATTGGTTTCGCGCATCAGATTAGAATCCTTCGTCGTTGTTGTATTTTTAGGGCAGAGAGGGAGGCCAGTTTTTATCGCATTCCTTTCTTCCAGCTCTACCTTTTCATTCCTTTGTCACCCTGCGTGGGCATCTGTGTTACCAGCAACCATCCAATTTCGCCGCTGGCGCCTTCTTTCTCCACATCCACCTTTAATTCTTTTCCTTTTCGTTTGTCTCTCTTCCTCCCTCTCTTTACCAACACCACTCGAAAGCGTGTGCCTCCCACTACCTCTTTCCTCCTTCCTCCTTCCCATATCCTCCTTTCCCTACCTGCTCTCTGTTTTGTATGACCACTCCTCCTCCTCCTCCTCCACTCTTCTCCTTTCCTACAGTGAATGTCACCACTTGAATACCACATATATCTTCTCCATCACCCGAGATTCCACTGTGTCACCTCATTTATACAACCGCCAAAACAACAACAACACCAACAACAACAACAACAATAACAATAACAACAACAACGGGTCGCCACTTCTTCCATAACCCGCACAAACCCCGCCTGCTCCTCGATCGGCTTTGCTAAGTCATCAAGAGCCCATCTCACCTCCTCTTCTTCCCCTTCACCCCTTCATCATACTCATCTATCCCTCTTCCCTCCTGTAAACACGCCCTTCCTGTAGGCAAAGCAGTAGCAGTCGGCATCCCACCCGCCCTATATTACAGCTGTGGACGTCGACAGAGTATGAAACTGCCACTCATCATCCTCTAAACCTTCTACCGCTTTTTTACTTCAACAACAACCGACACAACCAACATCCACCTAATCTACAACCATTGGCCCGCATTCTTCTTCTTTCCACCTCTCTGCAATTCCAACCAAACTCCCCCTCACACAACAATTAGCCATGCGGTCTACCAGGATATCGGGATGCACACAGTTCTTTGTTGTTGTGATGGTACTCCTCCACTCGACCTTTGTCATTTCCGCAGTTGTCTTTCCAAAACTTCCACACTCATGGCCCGCGACAGATGCACGGCAATCCCGCTCTCCTGCCCTCTCCTCTTCCTCCCCATCTTCACTTGCCCCCGGGATGGAGCGGAGGGCTGATCTACAGCTACCAGTGACCGCAACGGGTGCACCAACGCCGGCAACAACAATAATCCCAACATCAGCCATTGGTACACCCATCCCAACTGTACTACCAGAGAATGAACCAGTCCCCTCTCGCAGAGTCTTCCCTTATACCCCAATGACTGGAGCCAACAACTCCCTGTACCTTACACCCAACGTCACCAGTCGCGAAGGTCTCGTCGAGATCAAAATCGGCCTCTTGCTGCCATACTCCCTCCCTAACAACCTCACACAGCAATTGACCTACAGGTACAACTTAAATCAAGATTTGCAAACACCTATCCTGTGTTCGTGTATAACGCGACCAATTTCCTCACTTCTTCAAATTACCTTCCTTCTGCTACATGACAAAACTGTATTCAACATAGTGGAACGACTGCTATCCGGTTAGCAGCTAGCGAGATCAATGAGAACCGTCTTATCCCCGGTGCCTACATCACGTTGGTCCTGAAAGACTCTTTCAACGGTGCCGACCCTGAGAACTCTGGAGCAGCTCAGGCCATCTTCTCAACTGTCTCTCTCTTGCAAACTGAAGGAGGCGTCTCTGGTGTCATTGGAGATGTGAGCAGTGCACTCACCGTTCAGTCGGCCCTATTGACCAGTCGTCTCGGCATCCCACAATGCTCCTACTCTGCTGGATCAAGTAAGACTCGCTTTTGATCATTGCTTTCTTGTGGGCAGTGGAAAATATTTGAATCTATTTCGCTAAGTCTTCAACATCACTCCTTTACTTTTGCTCTATCTTGCTTCTGTTAGCACAACTGTCAAGCAAAGATGATTACGGTTACTTCTTCAGGACTATCCCTACTGAGCTCATGTTTGGACGGGTGATGATGGAGTTTGTCGCCAGTCGAGGATGGAAAAAGGTGGCGGTGTTTTACACTGGAGACGAGCTAGGATCCCAGAGTAAGCAACCTCTCCTCTCTCACTTCAGCATTATGCAATCTCGCCACTTCACTTTGCACAAGAACTTTAAATACCCTGGAAGACTATTGGATGTGGAGGCAGTGACTAATGCGCGCATTTCATTTCATTCAAAAAGTGATGGATAGCATAGCATTGCAGGCAAGGAAGAGGAATATTACGATTGGGCACCGCAAGGCCTTCTGGGAGATGGAGTCCGGCTCGGACATTGGCCCTGGTTTGGATGCATTAAAAGCATCTGGTCAACAAATTGTCCTTGTTGCTGCCGTCGGTGAACCCCAGATCCGTCTTATGACAGAAGCAGTGTAAGTTTCAAGTCGAACCATCCTCCTCTCTCTACCACTCTTTGGACTAGACAACAAAGAAAGAGATAGGCAGTAATGGATCGATTGAAAAAGAGGGAGCGAAGCATCTATGCGCATCTACACAAGTGCATTAGCATCTTCATTTTGTTTTTATCCTTACTCCCCTTTCTCTCTCTTTTCTAGAAAGAGGGGTCTTATCTCAAAGAACTATGTTTGGCTGACAATCAATCAAGTCACCGAACCACTTCTGGGCTCTGCAGGATCGACTCTCAAGCCATCAGATCTGAATGGCCTCTTCATGTTTGACAACATGCTTCGACTACATGGCTATCCACCCTACGAAGAGTTTCTGGACAAGTGGGCAGCACTCAACCCGGAAGAGTACCCGTACTCGGGCAAGCGAGAGATCTCTAGCAACGAGGCGTAAGTGTTGACAGTCGATCTCCACTTATCGTGTGGTTGGTTATTTGTTATCAATAAGACCTTGCATCCAACTGAAAAATATAACCGACCATCCTCTTTATTTTTGTTCTAACAATATCCATATGTGGTCCGATCCTTTTCCTTCCTTCTCCTCAACTTTTTCTATATTCGTCCTTAGGCAAGCGTACTCCTGCATGATGGTGATGGCACATGGATTTGCCAATGCTGTCAAGGGCAATTGGACCGCCCTTCATTTACTTGCATCAGGGCGACTTGGACACAAATTGACACCAACAGACTTGAACACCAACTACACCGGCCCAGGGGGACCTATGGACTTTGATGATACGGGCGATGTTGTCTATGGGTAAGCACAGCATAAGCAAGTTGATTTCATTCAACTGTGGTTCACTGCATCGATAAACCTAAAGTTAACGCATTTTATTTCGTTCATTAGAAATTTCATTCTGTACAACTTCCAGAACGGACGCGTCGCTTCAATCGGCACCTCCTACTCGGGCGACTTCAACCTATCTTCACCACCCATGTACTTTGACGGAACCTATGACACCCCCTCTGATTCAGCACCTCTCCGCGTCCTCAATCCCGCCTTTGGGTCCGCCATCGGCATCGTCATCATCGCCATCGGTGGTCTAAGCATCCTCTTCTCCCTCGTCACCATGATCATCGTCATCCTTTACCGTAACTCAAAGATCATTAAGGCTTCCAGCCCTTTGTTCTGTTGTCTGGAGCTCTTTGGATTCATCATGCTATACTTTTCGACGATCATGGGTTTGGATATCCCTAGCAAGTTTGTGTGCATCGCGCGGCCCATGACGCTCAACATTGGGTTTGTCCTAGTAGTGAGCAATATTGTTGCAAAGAATTTTCGGGTGTACAGGATCTTTCATAACATCTATGTCACCAAACGGGTCATTCGCGACTCGCACCTCCTCAAAATCGTCGGCACCCTCATGTCCGTCAACCTGGTAAGAGTTAGTTCGTTTTCTTTTAGAGAAAGGAGATTCCCCAATGATATGAATGGGTCATGAGCTAACCAGTCATTCATTCGTTTTCTCGTTTGCTAGGCCATTATGACGGTGTGGTTTGTCAAAACACCTCCAAAGCTCCAACAGTACATCATGACCGACTCAACAACCTACTGGGACTGCAACAGCCAATCGGGCGAGAGCACCCCCTACTTTGTCACCCTCTTCATCTACAACGTCTCCCTCCTCCTCATCGCCACCTACCTCGCGTACCGGAATCGAAACGTCGCCGCAAACTACAACGAATGTCGCGAGATCGCCTTTGTGGTATACAACATCCTCCTCTCCGGTTGTATCGCCATGCCGACAGTCTTCTTGCCACAGGACCAGTACTTGACAAAGTTCTTCCTCTCGAATGTGGTTCTGCTATTTGGGACGACTGTTTCGTTGATGTTTATGTTTCTGCCAAAGCTGTGGAAGCTTTTTGCGCAGATTGAGCGGAATCTTCAGATGGGTCGCGGGAACGATGGTGGTGGGGCGACGGCGGATGAGGGTAGTTTTGATGGGTTCTTTAAGCAAGGACCTGGGGGTTGGTTGAGTGCTGCATCTGCTACTGGGGGTGGTGGGCATGGTGAAGGAGGGAGCTCCATTGGGGAGTACGGGCCTGGTGCTAGGAAGGACAGTGTGGGGACTGTGAACGATTCCAAGGGGGATACGTTGAAGGAGAGTCATATCGGGTACATGGGTATCAAGTTCCAGAACCGGTATATGCCCTTCTTGGCCAGTTGGTGTATGCGACGTGTTATTCTTTACCCTACCGACAAGTATTTTACCGCCTTTGAAGCCGTAAGTTGTTGTTTTTATCGCACCTTGTTTCGTCGCTGTATATTCTCCAACGCCTTTATTTTTAACACGTCTTTGTTGTTGCATATCTGGAATACATAGGGCAAGCCAGAAACAGCAAAGACATTCTCATATATCGCAGTCCAGATCCTAAGCCGAGAACCTGGAAACTACATCCTCCGAGTCGTCGGTACTGGCCGCCACATTTTCCTCCTCCAAGTCAAGGACGAGGACCGCCTCCTACACTGGCACAGTCTCTTTGAGAACAAAGAAGGCAACACTTTTACCACAGGATCCAACCACTCCCTGTTCACAGCCAGCGGCGTACCTATGATGTTGGCCCAGAGCCGGAACGAGAGCGATCAGACCCTACAGGCGACCTTGCGTGGGTTCCAATCGACTGCCAGTAGTAATGGTGGCAAGTGGGGCAACGGTCGGGGAGCGAAGAAGGTTAGCATGGATGAGAGTGATGGTGAATCTGGCGAAACTAGTGGTGGGGGATACTTTTCAGGGATCCATTCGACGGCGCACCTGCACGAGCCTCCTAGTCATCTCCATCCATCGCATCGACATAGCGCGAGTGCCTATACTGCGGCTACTTTCATGGCGAGTCCGCGAGGGAGTCAAGATGAGGATGACATTGGGAATGTGGTTGGTGGGCGGCCTCGGACGATGGTTGAGACATCGTCGTCGTTTAGGCAGATGACGTTTGGGCCTCTTGATCGGCGCCTTGACCCCTAGACCCGCGATCCTTTGTAGATGCCGTTCTTTTTTTTCCCCATCTTACTTATTTGTCACATCAATGTATACCCCTATGTCGAACTGGAAGTGTTGTAATTAGAGAGTTAAAAAAATTGTCCTATTGTTCCTTCGTCAAGGATGCGAATAGTTAGAAAATATTTACTTCTGCCGCTGACTACGAAAGCAAACCTATTATCTATGCGAAAAAAAGGCGTTAGCATGACCGATATGCAAGGACAGTGCACGGTTTATATCTGGTCCCTACAGCGTATCACGCGACATATCGCAGCCCCACGATAGAAAGACCAATAAACCCATAACGACCCACTACCCCTCCCGAAAAATACGTCTCACAAACGCGGTGAATACAGTGTCGCAATGACCCCCCAACCAGCCAAGCACCAGACCGGGTTCCTGCGTACATCTGCATTTCCATCTGTATCAAGAGTCCTAAGGTCAATGCCATATTTTTACAAATCGGGGGTAGGCCTTATCGCCCCATGAAGAAAAAGCCGACGAGGGAAATATTCTCTGGGGGTTGTCTTTCCAGTTGCAGAGTGGTAGAAAGCAAAGTCAAAGGACTCAGCCTTTTTAGGGACAGCATTTTTCATCTTGCTAAAAAAACGTGCTTTATTATGCTTCATCTTCTCCAATGACTATGGCAACATGATCTCACACAGAAAAGTCGCGATAACGAGGAGCTACTTCAACAACAGACTAGAATGACAGACAAGAAAAAAGGGGGGAGGAGGGGTTAGAAAAGGTTGAGGAGTACAGTCAAATCCAACCAAGTCCCGCCAAGTCATCATCCAAACCACCCACACATATCCAGAAGGAACAATGCCGGTCGAGAGTGCAGTTGGCGCACTGCTACCGCTCGAAGTACATCTTCTCCTCTTGATTGGAATACCTCCCAACAGTCGCAAAGATCATGGCCTTCTAAGAACTCGAATCAGTTGTCGTTCTCAAGTCTCGCGAATTGAACCTTCTTGACGGGATTGTAGCCTCCCACGAACTGTAATCGCCAATGTGGACATGGTTTTCTTATTTGCTCATTCTGAGCAAATAAGATGGCCTCCGTCAAGGTGTAAAACCAATTGTTGCAAAGAAGTGGGGGGATATCCTTCTTTGCAAAGCGAAACAGGCTGAGTGAGTTACTACAGTGGACCGTTTCCTGCTCAAGAGCAAAATAGCTACAAGCAGGGGTGATCAGTGGGAGGGTGTTGGTGATAGTAGGAGTGAAGCGCCAGAAGCGGTACCTCACAGATATGTGAGGGCGATGAGTCCACATGGCGGAAACCAGGAGTAGATAGTTGACGTCGTAGCACTTCCCTTGACAGCTCCTGAGCGGGCCAACAGACAGGTAAATTGGATAGGCTTTTGGGTGTGGTGTGAGTAAGAGGGAGCGGGGATGGTTGAGGAAGAGAGGAAAGAAGGACGAGGAAGAGGAAGAAGTGTGATATGCCCACTCATTATTTTATTCCGTTTGCAAATCAGAGAGCAACACAACATCGGTGGTTTTGATTGGACACGCCTCAGCCACGCTAAAACAAGGCCTCAACCTCAACGTAGTTCGCGAACCATTTCGTTTGAAGGTTCACTTGCCTATTCAAATCAAGGTGACCATGGCGGCAGATAACAGTGCGTCGTGCGGGTTTTTGCGGTTCTGCACCGTCATCTTGCCTTGTTTTTATTTTGGTCTCTATGGTCCACTCATTCGCCCTCTGCTCGTTGGCAAAAATCAATTGAGAAATGAACGCGAAGTTAACAAGTACGATTTCCGGTGACGTCAAAAATTCGCCCGCTGCTGGGGAGTGAGGACTGGCACGCTGGACGAGAGAGGGGACGAGGCACTCGTCATACGAGCGGTACGCGTCCCCTTTGTCCAAAGTCACTTTTTCGTGTTCTGTCTCTGTGGCTATCGAAACTTCAACAGGGCATTAATTGAACCAAAGACGACATCCCTCCTCTTTCCTCGACCAACACTTCTCAAGACTACATTCGACTCCAGCAACACCTTCGACACTCAACGTCTCTTACCCATAAAGCCAACAAACACAAACGTACATAACCGAAAAACAAGCAAGCAATGGACCACTTCCCAACAAACTGGGGTAACCCCCGCTCAGAGGACGTTGACAGCTACAACACCTACCCCGTCGCATCCAACAGCGGCACCGTCCCCCACAGCGTCCGCGAAATTGCTGGATTCGGTCATGCCGGCGGACACCCTACATCCCATACCCAGTATGTCTTTCTTTACTCTTCGCTTTCTCGCCGCTGTCGCTCTGTTTCAAAAGAGTTCACCACGTCGATGGCCCAGCAAAGCAATGCGATATCTATATTAGAATCTACATGCTAACATATATTTTCATTCATTACTCGTATCCGAATAGGCAGCCAGTGGTGACAGGAACGTCGGTATTGGGAATCAAGTACAAGGGCGGAGTCATGATGGCAGCAGACAACTTGGCCTCGTACGGATCTTTGGCCCGCTTCCGCGACGTCGAGCGTTTGCACCAGGTCGCCGACTTTACAGTCCTCGGCGCCTCTGGCGACATGTCCGACTACCAATACGTCAAGCACCTCCTCGACTCCCAGATGTAAGCTTTTTGAGTAAAACCCGCGAGCGATTGTCATTCGGGAGAACATTTACGGTGCACGCATGCAACACTAGACGAGTTCTTTCTAACCTTACATTGTTATTTGTTCGAATTGTTGCAATTAGGATCAAGGAATACAACGCAGATGATGGCCACACGTTAGCGACTCCCAACATTTACGAATACTTGTGGCGCGTCATGTACAACCGTCGTTCAAAGATGAACCCTCTCTGGAACACCTTTGTCCTCGGAGGCGTCCACAAGGGCGAAGGGTAGGCTTTTTTCATCGACTTTGCTTTTTCGTCTTCTTATTGTTTATTATATCTAGAACTCTTGCTTCTGAAACCACTATACTGATCTCGCCATTCTACAAATATGTGTCTAATAGCTTTCTGGGAGCAATTGATTTGAAGGGAACACCTTACCAGTCACCTTCGATCGCGACTGGATTCGGCTCGCACTTGGCCCAGCCCATCTTGCGCAAGGAGATTGAGAACCGTGGCGGCGAGGAAAACATCACCGAGGAGGACGCAACACAGATCTTGAAGAAGTGTATGAAGGTCCTCTTCTACAGAGACGCCAGGAGCATGAACAAGGTAACTATGTCTCTACCTTACCATTGAGGATAGTTAGGAACATTGGAGGATCTGATAACTGGGTACTTGTTCTTGAAAACTAATCGTCTTTTTTTTTTTGGCTGGTGCTTAGTTCCAATTGGCAACGATCTCGGCAGAGGGCGTAAAGATCTCGGAGCCCATGTCAGTCGAAACGGAATGGGCCTTTGCCGAGAAGATTCGTGGCTATGGTGCTTAAAGAATAACGGGATCACGACAACAAACAGCCAAATACACAACTAGGAAAGATGTCGTAAAGGGCTTCCTTACTTGTTTGTTGAACACGATCAAACAAGAGCGCTGCATGGGGATGATTGATACAAAACACGAACAAGGACAACAGTCGTCGTTGAATAAAACATATCAAAAATTACGCCGTAGCATGACAAGAGGATACAAGCAATTATTTGGGGTTTATTGGGCATGCTACTTGTTTCTCGGAATGTTGCTCAACCAACAACAGTATGGATGTTGGCAAGGAAAGCAAAGCACAAGTCGATAAAGAAGCATTGATATCGTCGGTCTATTCTACAAAGAGGGAGTTTGGGAGGTGTGGCAGTGGGGTAGTGGTAAAGTTGTGGTGGTGGGTTGCTTGAAAAGCGCTGTTTAGATGAACTCGCGGGGACGAAGTCCAGAGCCTTGCGAGTTAAAGTCAAAGACCAAGCCACCGATCCTGTGGGCGAGCTCATCGGTCTCGGAGCGAGTAGCTGCCTCGGCATAGACACGGACAACATCCTCAGTTCCGGAGGGACGCACAAACGAACGTCCGTCCCTGAATTTGAGCACAATAGCATCAATAGCATCCTGGAGTCCAGCAGGCTCAACAAGCTTGCGCTCAGCGTCGACAGTCTTGAAGATGGAGCGGTCCTGGACAACAACCTTGACAAGACGGTTGGGGAGGTCGGTGTAGGCCTGGTCCCAGACCTTGGGGGACCACTGACGCTGGGTCAAGATGGTCTCGACGAGGAGGAGGTCCGAGAAGGCATCGCCGACGGTCTGGTTGATGACTTCGGAGAGGGCGCGGAGGGATCGGATGGCAACAGCCTGGGCAGGGGACGAGCCCTCGGCCGAGTAGATGGTCTTGAGAGCCGAGGGGCTAAAGACGACGGTGCCGTGTCCGTTGGCCTCAAAGTAAACTCCGACATCGTACTTCAAAGCCTCATGATGCAAGTGCTTCACTCCGGTGGGGACGCATGAGACAGGAACGTTCTAAATATAATATAAAGTATCCCAGGACACATTAGACATTTTCATTTTTGCCACACACACACACACACACACACATCGATAAGACAGCCGAAGATAGCCAGGTACATGTAGCAATTAACTTACCAAGGTGTTGCGGAGGTACTGGGTCGAGGCTCCGTTAGCGTATGCAGTCTGGACAACACCGACTTTGATGCTGTCAATACCGGCAGCCTTGACAAGGTCGATAATGAACATGGCAGCGAGACCGGCAATCTTATCACCATCCAACAACTTGAAGGTGTTATCTATTAATTTGAAGTGAGTATCGTTCAGTTAGCAATCCATGGACGATGAAAAGTCTTCGGAATCGTTCCAGTTGCATGTAAGAGAGAAACGATGGCAACAAGCGGTCTTACCCTCATCCTGGTAGTAGTAGACGATGCGGTCAGCATCACCGTCAAAGGAAGCGCAACGATCCTGGGAGGTCAACTTGAGGCCGACAGGGGCTCTCTGGCCGGTCTTGACATAGTCAGCTCCAGACTAATAATACAGAAAAGAGCACAATTGTTAGCTTACGTTCGCAAGGCAACAAAACATTGAGCTTTTCAACCTCCAAAAGTAGACGAAGATATCACGTACGTTGAGGTTGAGCTTGGAAGGATTATCGATATCATCGTTGACAATCTTGACAGACAAGGAGTCGCCCAAGTAAGGCAAGAACTCTTGGAACTTGGGAGCACCAACACCGTTGGCACAATCCAGAGTCAAGGGCGACAGCTTGGTCTTGCCATCGACAAGGGTCTTGAAGGCAGCAGCTAACTTCTTGTAGTAGCCCTCAGCGCTGGGCTCGCCGTAGGCCTCGGGGGTGCCGGCGGTGTTGAGGCAGCGGGTGATGTAGTGGAGCTGAGGGGTGGTCAAGATGCCGTAGTCGGTCGACTTTGCGTCGAGGACCTTGAGACCGTCAACAAAGGCATTGACAAGAGCCACTCCACTGGGGCGAGTGTCGCGTCCAATGATGACGTTGGCGGGCTTAGTGAGGTCGATCTTTAAGGAGCTGACCATGGAGTGGATGTAATCGACCAACTGCTCGTCCGACTGGGCGTTGGACAGAGCGGTCGCATGAGCCTCCCAGGATCCCTCGAGCATCTCTCCCATAGGGTCAACCAGCTTGACACCATTGTCCTAGAAGTGTTGATAAACGTAAGGGGATCATCGCTCAGTTTTGATTGTTCATTGATTACAATTCCTCCTCTTATCATCATTTGAACGAACTAAGGAAAAAGAAAAACAGAGCGTGGCGGGGCAGAGACTTACAGCGGCGGGGTTGTGGGAAGCGGTGATCATGCATCCAATGACCTTGCCATCGAGCTTCTTGGAGCGAAGGGCGGCCAAGATACCGGTGCGGAAGATGACCGAGTCGAGAAGGTCAGCACTAGCGACGCACGAAAATGAACACGAAGAGAAGATACGAACACGTTCATATATTGGTTGGGTGAGTGTGGGAATTGGAAGCAAGGATGGGCGTGAGATAACAGAAATCGGCAGATCATGCTTGTATCTTCTCGCCCCTGAACGATGACATGCCGGCCTGTGCTCTCCTGCCCTGTCCTGCCCCTTCTCCTTCCATCCGTCCGTCTGTCTGTCTGGGTGACCCCTTAGCTTTCGTGACTTTGTTGGCGCTTTTCTTCCTTTTTTCCTATAGAGTCAACTCCAGCAGCGTGTCCTTGCTCTCTGACGCACTTTTTCGCCCTTGTTGTTGCTGTTGCTGCTGTTCGTGTATAACGTATCGTCTGGCTTGTCTGCTTGTTGTCTGACACGACGTCGGTCATTCCTGTCTGTTGATCACTTTTCTTTCTTTCTTCCTTCCTTTCATTCTTTCTTCTTTCTTTCTTTCTTTCCACGCCTGTCTCCATCAGTCAGCCAAGTTGCATGTGTCCTGAGAAGAAGAAGAAGAAAAAAAACATGAGCAAAAAAAAGAAAAGAAGTGGGAGGACTTACTTCATGCGGAAACCAGCGGTTCCGTAAGTGAAGGTGTTGGCAGGCTTGGGGTGCTTGGCGGAGAGGGCGCTGAGGTTTTCGACGTTGACGGAGGCCATTTTGATGGAGATGGGTTTTTGTTCAGAGAGAAGCATTGTCGGAATAAAAAAGAAGAAAAAGATGAGTTGGGTTGAGAAAAAAAGTTAAATATTCAGAGGAAATGAAAAAAAAAGTGAAGAGCCGTCATCATGGCTATTTATACACTAAGAAAGTCGCGTTGTGGTGCCAGGGCCATGTAAACAGCCTGCTGCTTACTCCTTTTCTCTTCGATTGAACCCCATCTCTGACCCATGCCACACCTCGTTCCTGGTTTATTTATTGCATTTTATTACACTTTTCCGTTACTAATCGATACTCGTGTGTGTCCCACGTCACACTTCCGAAGCCCTTTACTTCTATCATGGACCTTTGAACAAGCAAAGACTGCCACACTACAATGTTTCGGGAGGGTGACAGTCTTGGTGTATGGTGAGTCTACTCTTGCAGATATATGACACCCCGTGTATGCGCATCTTCATCAATTGAACAACTGGTAACCGCGACAAAGGCAACGACAGAAAACAACCATGGGAGTTTTGAGGTTTGTCTTTCTCCTCTCTTCCCAACATGCCATGAAGGCTACGCGCTTTGTGCTGGCGAAGCGCGTAGCCGAACGGAAGACGACATGGATGATGTTTCGATCGCTTGTCCTTTGGAGGAAGACATCACGTGTAGAAAGGCATGCTTGAAGGATAGGTCAGGAAGGTTGATAGGAACCTGAGAGCGGACGGAGGAACTGAATGAGAAGAATTCGTGTGCATCCTTGCGGGTATGCGGGTAACCCTTCCTCATCCTATCCCTTGACGTCGTTCGGACAAACATTCGAAATCAAGGAGGGAGGGGCTCATGCATGTGGGTGGTATGTTCTCGTCTAAGGGGTCGAAGACGCAAGAGAACTAGCGAACAAAGGACAGGGGGAGAAACACAAAGGCAAAAAAAAAAAAAAAGAAAGATGGGTGGGTGGGTAGGTCACACCGACGAATTGTGCCCATGGATACACATCGATGAGAGTGCCTGTGGGTACTCATGTGTGAGTACAAACAAGAGAGAGAGAAAAAGGAAAAGCGAGAGAGAGAGCCGAGGCAAAATAACTCTATCAAGGTTGGATATGTAGGGTGTGAATGAAATACATAAGTGACCGAGTGAGTGAGCCATCCATCGCACCAACCAAGGCAGGGCGATGGTTGAGATGGAGCAAGTGGAGGAAGGAAGGGGTCTAGAAAGATGGATGCTGTAGACAGAGGGACAGGAAGAGAGAAAGCCTAGAGAGAGCCAACTTGCTTCCAATTGTTTGTACTCCTGTTTGTTCATAGACGAGCAGAGGAAGGAGGAGGGAGAGAGGAGGATAGATGAGCAACAGCAACAGTAAAGTTTGTTTACTTGACAGTTCTGTCGTTGAGTGCTGAGTGCGTGTCTTTTGCGAGCAATTGAATAAAGAACAAAGACGATCCAACCCCACACCTTCAAAGCTATTTGTTCCCTCTCTCTCTCTCTCTCTCTCTCTCTCTTTCTGCCTTTAACCCCTCTTCCTTCCTCCCTCCCTCTTCCTTCCTCCCTTCCTTCCTTCCTTCCTTCCTCCCTTCTTTACATACTCCTTTCAATAATCGTTTCCTTCCCCTCATTCCTTTTCCCGCCAACTTCGTTCTTTCTCTCAGTCACTCCATTCATATCCCCCTTCTTCTCTCGCCACTCTACTCTTCGTTTTTCCTCTCCTAACCTTCACGGACGCACAATCGATACCAAAACAAACAGGGCTCTCTCGCTCCCTCCTTCTCTATCGTATTCTCCTTCCTCCCCCTCTTCCTCGGTGCCACTAAGAGAACACCTTCCCTTGCTCTACTCTGCTACCCTCCCCCTCTCACCTTCTCTCTTGCCTGGCTTGCCATCATGACCTCCCATCCTTCCTCAGGATGGAGGCGGACCGTCGGTGCCCAATGGTCCTCCGTCAAGCGCCAGCAGGATGCCAGTAGTCCGATCCCTCCCCATCCCATGCAGCAAGGAATGCACTCCTCCCTCCTCGTCGCCCTGTCCAGACCGGACCTTGACCAAGACTACCAACACCAACAGCAGCAACAGTTACTCTTACAGCAACAGCAGGAACTACAGCAGTTACAGCAACAACAGCAATACCAACAGGAGCAGCAGGCCTTGTTGTTACAACAGCAACAGCAGCAACAAGAACAACAGCAACAGGTTGCAACCAGTTCATATCCTGGATCGATGCTCGACCATGCAGCTGCCCACAATAATACCCAGTCCGAACACCAGCGGGCCCTCCAACAGTTCAACGAGAACCAGAAGCAACAACAACTCTACCTCCAGCAGCTTCAATTGATGCAGCGACTGCAGTCCATGCCCGGGAGCACTACTAGACCCTGGTACCCGACGTTTGGACCTGCTATCACCACGTCCTGCAGCGACAGTACCATCTTACTCGACAACCCGCACCAGTACCGCCTGATCAACAATGCCAAGCTCAATCGCCACGCAGTAGGACCCCACTGGCGGTCTATTCAGACATCATCCACCTACTCTCCTACACCCTCTCCACCTTCGTCATCACCACAACTCCAAGCAAGAACTCTTGCTCCTTCCTCCTCTTCCTTGTCTACTTCTTCTTCCTCGTCGTCGCTGTCGACCATGCCTGGTACCACCACAGCCCTACACGCATACCTGTCGTCCACGTACTCCTCTGCGGCGTCGATTGATCAAGCTCGGGCCACCTCTTTTCACCAACACCAACACCAACACGGACACGGACACGGAGACGGGATCGGATCAAATGCCCAGGACGAGCCCGTCCATCATCAATACTACCAGTCTCACTCCTACCCTCATGATCCTCGCCATCACCCTCACCCGGCCTATCACCCAGGGAACTCCAGAGAAGCCCGGGATACAATCCCGTTGGCCAATCGCGCTTCGCCTTTAACACCCGCTTCTGAGAGATTCGCGGATAGCTCTCGGAAGATGAAGCGCAAGGCTGCCTGGCAAGATCAGGATAACAGCAACAACAACATTAATAACAACGAAAACGATGACAGCAACGACGACGAGGATGGGGACGACAATGAAAGGAACAATAGAAACCGCCAGGATGAGAACGATAGCGAACAACGGATTAATCCATCGATGATGTCCTCTGATTCACCTCAAGGTTTCCAGTCCATGTCCTTATCAGCAGGAAGCCCATCCCGATCCGAGTCACAGACAGCATTGCGGCCTTTTTCTATGCAGAGCTCGGTCCAGCAGTTTGTTCCCATCACGACTTCCAGAGCCAATCAAGGGGTCGACGCGGCATCATCTCATCTTTTTGCTCCCAGTAGGAGTAATATGGCTGAACAGGACCAGGATCAAGACATGGGCAGTGTTGATTCTTTCAACGTGAGCACCAATGCTGCATCCTTTCCCACGCCCTCCTCCCGTCCTAGTCCGATGAGCATGGAGACCAGCAGTGTGGATCAGGAAGATATGGATGTAGTGCTCACATCAGCACCAGAGCCAGGAGTACCCAAGCAGTCGAAGCGGACCAAGCCACGACTCAACCCCAACGTCTTTGGAACTATGTCGATCGCAGAAACCTTAAGAGAGCAGTCAGGCGAACGGATACAGGATATCTTTCAAGAGTGCTTCTACAACGCTGCCTCCTCAACCCGCGAGACAGTATAGAGGTTTCTTTGTTATTGTAATGCCACCACCTCTTCCTTAAACCATTCCCTTAGTCCCCTCTTTTGGAGATACCTCAAGAGGAGGGCACCTTGTATCTTACCCAGCTTTTTGTAGAATAAAAAAAAGAACAAAAGAATTGAAACCCAGATCCCAGCGAAGCGAATGCCCGATAGTGCTAAAGAAACCTAAGAGTGTCAATTGAGAATGCCTGAAGAACGGAGACGTCAACTGAGAGACGGAGGTATTGTGCTTGACGAGCACAGTAAAAATTTTCATTTTTGCCAAAAATAATTAATTGGACGCGCCACGGTTAAGTAAACGTTCCCTGTCTTTTTGACGTCCCATTCCTTTGACGCGTCCTTCCTTCTGTTGCTTATTCACCGTCAATTGACTGCTATCGTTATTTTCTTTACCATCAGAAAACCACGCCACAGCCATCAGCTGTCAGACTGGATAAGACAACAAAGTGATATCAAAGAACCAAATACTGTTTCGCTTCGTTGCCCTTGCCGTGCCCTTGGAAAGTTGTTTGTTCTTTTTCTCTCTCGCACACACACACCCACTTTCTCCGAACGCACCAGATTGAGACTGTGGGTGACATTCTTATCTCTCAGCAACTGTCTCGGAGAGAGATCGCAGGGATCATGTCTTTCCGGACAAGGGCTCGGCGGAAGAAGGCTGAGAAGCAGAGTAAGGATGTTGCCTAGTCCCAATTGAACCAAACTCGTCGTTTACAGAGAGGTTTGGGGAAAGGAAGTTGAGGTAGATGGTGACCCTTGGATGATGCGAACGATTGTTTTCTGTTGACTGGTTCGAAAGAAGGAGAAGGAAGAAACAGTCCGTGTTAAGTTATCCATGCTCGCGTTCTGTTGTCAGCTCATTTATTTTCTATGAAAGAGAGAAAAATCAACACCCGACGCGTCTGTGACGTCCATTTCATTTATCCATAAAAAGCAAGCTTTTTTCCCCTTTCTCTTTTCTTCTTCACTCCTCTCGTATCCTACACACTTTCTTCACACCAACACCTACACTCACATCCATCTCTCCTACTCAACAATCCACCTAGAGTCATGTTTGTCAACAAGCGAGGTAAAAGCCCAGCTTCTTGCAATCTTTCATATGTCCGATGCATCCGATTCTTCTGACTGAATATTTGTCACTCACTCACCCGCTACCTCACCTCTCGCCGTCTATATTCTACCTCACACTCGCTTTGCCTGACCGTTCAAGATGGTAAGCAAACAGCCTCTCAATCCTCTTGTCCTGAATGCACAACTTTTGGAATCAACCTCATTGCGAATGCCTCATGCTGAATCAACATCAACACCCCTCTCTCTCATACCGAAAAATACAAACACCAAAAAAAAAAAAAACACCCAACTTCATACTCTCGACTAACGCCTTTATTTTTCATTCTCTCCTTCACGGAAAGGCCGCAAAGAACCGGTTGCATTTGACAAGATCACTTCCCGTATCCTAAAGCTGTGCTATGGCCTCGACATGAACTTTATTGATCCTGTACAGGTCACTCACAAGGTAATTCGCCATTTTTTGTTGCTGTCATTCAATGAAACGGAGTCTCTCTAACGAGCCATCGACAATACAAGTGCATCCAACTGACATGGATATGCTCTTCTTTGAACTTTGTCTAATGTAGGTCATCTCTGGTGTGTACATCGGTGTCAGTACCATTGAACTCGACAACCTGGCTGCCGAAACTGTAAGTCTTACTTGTTTGTTTGTAACACGGAAATGCGCCACCAAGTTTAATCACTCGTGGATTGTACTTGCCACCATAATAAACAAGCAAACATACGATGACTGACACAAATCATGCTCTTCCATCCTCCCATAGGCGGCATACATGACGGTGAAGCACCCGGACTATGCGATCCTGGCTGCTCGCATCGCAGTGTCGAACCTGCACAAGGAAACAAAGAAGGCCTTCTCACATGTCATCAAGGACCTCTACGAGTACATCAACCCCAAGACGGGCAAGCACGGTTCCATGATCGGCGAATCCACCTACTCAACCATCATGGCCCACGCCGACCGACTCGACTCGGTCATTGTCTACGACCGCGACTTCAACTACAATTACTTTGGTTTCAAGACCCTCGAGCGTTCTTACCTCCTCAAGATCAACGGCAAGATTGCAGAGCGTCCCCAGCACCTCCTCATGCGTGTCGCGGTCGGAATCCATGGCGAGGACATTGATGCCGTTATCGAGACTTACAACTACATGTCTGAGAAGTATTTCACCCACGGCTCTCCTACCCTCTTCAACGCCGGTACTCCTCGCCCTCAGATGTCGAGCTGCTTTCTTCTAACCATGAAGGATGATTCGATCGAGGGGATTTACGACACCCTCAAGACCTGTGCCATGATCTCCAAAACCGCCGGCGGCATTGGCCTCAACATCCACAACATCCGAGCCTCGGGGTCGTATATTGCTGGCACCAATGGGCACTCGAACGGTCTCATCCCCATGCTCAGGGTCTTCAACAACACTGCCCGCTATGTCGATCAAGGTGGCAACAAGCGTCCTGGTGCATTCGCCATGTATCTTGAGCCTTGGCACGCCGATGTCTTTGATTTCTTGGACCTCCGCAAGAACACTGGCAAGGAAGAGAACCGCGCTCGCGATCTGTTCTTTGCCCTCTGGATCCCTGATCTGTTCATGAAGCGTATTGAGGAGGACGGTGACTGGTCCTTGTTCTGCCCCGCCGAAGCGCCCGGTCTTCAGGATGTCTGGGGTGAAAAGTTTGAGACACTCTACACGACCTACGAACGCGAGGGTCGAGCACGCCGGACTATCAAGGCCCAGAAGCTGTGGTATGCGGTCCTGGAGGCACAGACCGAGACGGGCAACCCCTACATGCTCTACAAGGATGCCTGCAACCGCAAGTCGAATCAACAGAACCTGGGCACCATCAAGTGCAGCAACCTATGCACCGAAATTATTGAGTACTCGAGCCCCGACGAGATTGCAGTCTGTAACCTGGGCAGTCTTTCGCTCCCTGCCTTTGTCGAGAACGAGACCACGTACGACTTCAAGATGCTGCACAAGATCACCAAGGTCCTAACAAGGAACCTGAACAAGGTCATCGATGTCAACTATTATCCTGTCCCCGAAGCTGCCAACTCGAACATGCGCCATCGTCCTGTCGGTCTGGGAGTCCAGGGTCTGGCTGACGCGTTCATCAAGATGCGGATGCCCTTTGACTCTGTCGCGGCCCGCAAGTTGAACGTCCAGATCTTTGAGACCATTTACCATGCTGCTCTTGAGACATCGTGTGAACTGGCTCAGGAGGAAGGCCCTTACACAACCTATGAGGGCTCACCCGTCTCCAAGGGGATTCTGCAACCCGACATGTGGGGTGTCACCCCAACGGACCTCTGGGACTGGACTACCCTCCGCGCTAGCATTGCCCAACACGGAGTTCGCAACTCGCTCCTTGTCGCACCTATGCCCACCGCATCGACGTCCCAGATCCTGGGCAACAACGAGTGTTTTGAGCCCTACACGTCCAACATCTACACCCGTCGCGTCCTAGCAGGAGAGTTCCAGATCGTTAACCCCTGGCTGTTGAAAGACCTAGTCGAACGAGGACTCTGGAATGACGCCCTCAAGAATCGAATCATGGCCGAGAACGGATCCATCCAACGGATCGCCCACCTCCCCGAGGACCTCAAGCTGCTCTACCGGACCACGTGGGAGATCCCCCAGAAGGCGATTATTGATATGGCGGCCGACCGTGGCGCGTTCATTGATCAGTCGCAGTCGTTGAATATCCATATGTCCGATGTTAACTATGGCAAGTTGACCAGCATGGCGTTCTATGGGTGGAAGAAGGGTCTCAAGACCGGGATGTATTATCTTAGGACCAGGGCTGCTGTTGACGCCATCAAGTTTACAGTCGATTCCTCTGCTCTTGATTCGACCAAGGCTGCCGCTCTTGGCGGTGTTGTTGGTTCCGGCGGTGATGATGGTGTTGAGAGGAGCGAGAAAGAGGTCAAGGAGGCGAATGAGGCGGCGATGGCCTGTTCTATTGACAACCGTGATGATTGTATTGCCTGCAGTGGATAAAAAAGCAAGAGGTGACACAAACTTGTTTTTTTTATCTACTAAAAAATAAACACAACGAAAATCTCTAGAAACAACAAGCGCATTTACTTTTTTTTTTTCTACTGCAAGTGATAAATACAAGATCTCTTTAAAAGAAATGGAGAAGTAGCGCGTCGATTTTGGTGGGAGAGATCGATTGGGATAGCTCACTTAACATCTTTCTTCATTTTTCTACCTTCTCACATCTCTTATAAAAAAAATATATGATCGGTGACGGTGGACTACTGCAAAAAAGCGCGAAAAAAGGGAAGAAAACGCGAACCAAACGCGAGAAAACATAGCCTATCAAAGAAAGTGAGTAATGCTTCTTTGCAAAAAAGGCAAAAGAAACAAAAAAGATTAAGGAGAAAGAATGAGAAAGAAGGAAGGACAAAGATGGATACAGAAAGACAGGAGATCTTTGTATACAGTATCATCCCCCTTTTTTTCACACGAGGAATAATCCTCGATAACAGAACAACCGTTCAATTGCCGTTCGATTTTATTATTATACAGTAAAACTGTTCAATGCCCTGCTATGAGTGCGCATGGCCAAGAAAGTCTTTTATCTTGCAGTACCTCCTGGCGCCCTCTGTCCCTGTTTTATGCCCTCTGTCTCCATATGCACCCCTCGTTTCCATTCCCTTCCCAGCCTTCCATCTTGCGATTCAGTGACAAAAAAAAAGGGTCCATGACGGTGTGGCTGTTGCCAACTCGCGCTCTTTTTTCATAATGGCAATACCGTAAGCAGGATGCTCAGATGCTCACTACTACTGCTATTGGAGAAAGAGCGTGAGAAAGAGAACCGAACGCACAACATACCTTGATGACCCCGCTTAATGTCCCCCTGGTTGGATACGTCGCACTGGAAGCCTAAATAATCCACAGACGAATTGCTCCCATGAATCGGAGAGAGTTCTTTTTTGAGAACGTGATTGATGCGTTCTTGGTCTCGTTCCAGAGCGACAACGCGTGAACCATTGCGTGCATAGAGTTCAGCAGTTGCCTGACCTATTCCTCGCGTTCTGCATGGGATCAATGTCAAGGTGTTGGCCAGAGGCTGGGGCTGGTGACTATCGAAATATTCATTATTGGAAAAAATATAATGAAAAAGTGGTTAGCTCAACTGTAGATGCCTGTTGGCTACCCACGACGATTCATTGCTCCTTTAATACTGCTGCTTGCTTAGAGTAGCAGTGTGTAGTAGCACTTGGTTTGTTGCTATGGCATGAACTTGCAAGGCTCATGCATAGAATCGAGTAGTGGGAAAAGTAGTAACAGCAAGAGTGACGCTACTCGTTGGTCGTAAGCACTTGCCTCATGGACTGCTGTTGAGTATGCGCGTCTGAGGGATGAGAGCATGGAGTGAGTTGAGTGGTTTTGTGTATGTGCGTGTTGTGTGTGATGTGCGAGTAAGCGTAGTGAGGGTTGGTTTGTTACTGAAATGTGTCATGGTCAGAAAAAAAATGGCGGTTGCTCAAATGGAAAAATCGCCAGAGAAATAGACCAGCTACGTCTACGATCACCAAGAAGGCTCTTCCACTTTCACGTTTTTCCTTCCAGGGCAAAGAGACATCCATCTACTCGCTGACAGGAACGGTTTTTACTTTTCAAGGGGACGCACCGAAAAACGCACTACAAGAGGGTAAGGAGACCCTTGTTGGTACTAAAAAAATCACGCTCTATCGTTTGATGATGTTCAATTGCTTCCGGTGTTTATTGTTCTTGCGTTACGTACAGGAAGATACAAGCCATTGAACACTCGATGCGATATAAAGGTGTAAGCTTAAAAGATGAAGAGAATGATTGTCAGTCGGTATTTCTGGTTCCTTAGTGCTGTTAGGCAAGGGTGATAAGCATAATCCATGGTTAATGGTCAGGCGCCTGGCTGATCCTTTGGGTTTGTCGAGTGACATTTTGTTCCTCTAAATCCTCAGTCGCGACTTGGTCGTTCTCTTTGTTGGTTCCTGAAAAGACTTTTGATCCGCCTTCTATTCGTTATGTTCCCTGTTTTTTTAGTAGCAAAATATTAGTAGGCTGCCAGGCGTGGCCACTCAAATTGATAGAGCGTTTTGTCGGAATCTCAACAAATGAACTGTTTGGAGTTGAAGTATTCTACTCAACACAGTTCTTAAAGATGGCTCCTTTTTTCCCTATAAGGAGCTCTGATCGCAATTGAACAGCGGCAAGAGAGAGATGGATATCATGTTGTTAGTATTCAATTGATTCTGCCGTGATTAGAGCGACTTCCTGCGACAGAAGATCCCGATGTGGATCCACCATGGACAGAACATCTATTATTGCGATAAGATTCTGGGAGGTATGAGTGAAACAAAAGGCGATGGTTAAGACTGCATCTGACACCCGGCCCTAAGTATGTGGTCGCGTGCTTTGGATGCGTTTCTTTGTTGGTTGTGATGGAAGGTGAGGAAGAGGAAGAGGGAGAATAGTTGTGAGCCCCTTGGACATTCAGAGGGCAACAGAGTTGCCGTAGAAAAAAAAAGGTAATACCTTTATTTGCCATGCTAATTATCCTTGCGTTTGCTAATACCATCGCTATTAACAGCCAAGAACAAGGCCATCTAGGTTGCCAGAACAGCGAAGAAAAAATAGACTACATGGGCAACTCGGCGGGAATTGCTCGAGACTCTCTGCTTATCGCGCATGCCTCACAGGATATCGAGAACGTGATTTCAACCAACCTCATGGATACCATCTGGCCCAAAAAGGCTGTCGTCAAGGGAATGATGCGTCGTAAAAGGTGTAATGGTCTTTGTCTCTTTCTTACTCTTTCATACTCTTTCTCCCTCTTGTCAAGTCCATGGACTTCTCTCAAATCTTTGCATGCGTATACGCGTCTCCTCACTCTCCTTATCACAAAACCTCCTAGATGGCCACATTTGCCGTTTTGTTTGATCCAATCCTAAAGTGCAAACTTTTTCTACAGCCTATTTTTTTTTTGTTGTCTGTCCTTGTCTGGGGGGCCGGTATGGAAATCATTAGGATCCATCGTCAACATCTTGAGTGTCGTGGGTCTGCGAGGGAACATTGGTATAACCTTGCCCAGCTCCTTCAGGAAGGAAAAGTGCAGTAAATATTCCCAGCAGGAGCGGATCAAACTAAATGAGTACAGGTAATAGAACAACAACGGTTTGCTTTTGGTGGACGCCACTTCCCGAAAACAAAAGAAAGATAGATGGCGCGGAACCGTAATGCCAACGTCCTTTCGTCACACACACACTCTCTCTCTATTTCTCCATTCTCCCATCCAAACCCATTCCGTTATTTTGTCTTTCTTATTTTTATTACAAAAGAAAACCATCTAAAAAAATGCAAATGCGGGGGATGAATGTATGTGGATGTGCGAAGTGTGTATGTGAGCTGTCCGTGGAGAAATGAAAAAAAATGAAAGTGGATGATGAATTTACATCTTCAAGAACTTGCGCTTCTTTTCAGAGTCCTGCTTCTTCTCTTCGTCCTTGCGTAAGGCCTCCTCGTCAAAGAACTCTGACGTGTTGTTGGCCTCGTAGTCGCGGCGGATATAGTTGAGTGCAGCAACGTTGAATCCAATGACATCCTACAATACAAAAGCAATCAAACGGGAGTGAGAATTAATGCCTTGATTCAAGGAACGCGATCAAAAAAAAATTGTCGAATTTAAGAGAGTGAAGAAAAAAAGGTACCTTTTGCTTTTGGAGACCGGCGCGGAGGTTGCGGCGGACAGAATCGAGCATGGGACGCATGATCCTGTTGGCGACAATCTGGTTGTGGTGGGACTTGATCAGGAAGAACAAGACTCGGCAGACCAAGTTGATGTTGTATTCGCGCTGGACAAAGACATCGAGCCAGTTCAGCAGACTGGTGACGGCTGCAAAGGGCAAGACCAAGAGAGCCTCGTCCAACTCGGCAGGGCGAACACGCTGCAACTCGTTCCAGACATGCTGCTCGGGAGTCTGGCGCATCGAGATCAACAGAGGCGACCGCTGGGGCTTGCTCAAGCCACGCTCACCACGAGCAACGGCAGCGTTATAGGCCTTCCAGGCATCAATCTCCGCGTCGGCCATCTCGAGAGCCTCCATGATGCGCTCTCCAGACTTGAGGGTATCCAAGGTCTGCTTTCCGGCCGAGGCCAACTCGTCACCATTACTGGTCGAGGGTGCTCCAATGATACCCTCGCCATTGTCCACCATACCGCTCTTCTCGAACGACGCCGTCAAGGTAGCCTCGTAGAGATCATCCAACTCTTGCTCACGCTCCTCCTCCAAAAAGACCTGGTCCTCCGTCTTTTGCCAGATACGTAATGAGCGATCGTGCGAGGCCGAGACCACAATGTTTCCGTAGGTTCCGATAGCAAGCGCCCAGACCTCTCCGTGATGACCCTCCAACTTCAAAATGTTCTCAAACTTGTCTCCATCCCAGTACTTGACTGTCCGGTCCTTAGATGCTGTAAAGAAATAATGTGTGTTCCAGACAAACTGGACCGCCATGACCGACTCCTGGTGGGCGAACATCGACTTGTGACAATCTCCAAAGTCCAAACCCCACAGCTTGACGTTCTTATCGGCTGAGCAGGTCACCAACAGGTTCGAATCCGACGAGATATCCATCGACAGAACAGGCAGCTTGTGACCATAGAGCGACAGGAAGAACTTGAGTGTATCGTGGTAAAAGACCTTGACCGTCGCATCCAACAACGAGACAGCAACCATCTTCTGATCGGGTGAGTAGCGGACGCAGAGGACATCATCCGACATCTTGAGTGTACGCATGTGAACCAACGAGAGTCGCTTCTTGACTGACGAACCAACCTCCTCCTCCACCATATCGAAATCCCAGAACCTGACCTCCTTGTCTGCACTTCCTGTCACCAATCCACGTCTGTCGGGGCGGATCTGAAGCGACCAAATCGCGCCGTCGTGAGCCTCGATTGACTCGATCATTGACGACGATCCCAAATCAAACAACTCCAAATGACCCGACTTTGTTCCCACAATGACCTATTATTATGTACATAAAGTTATTCGTCTCGTGTTAGTGTGCGGCGCTCTGTCATGTTTTTTAGCGATGAGCATTCCAGTACAGAAAAAGGAAGGCGGACTTACGTGGCGGTTTCCGGGTAAGAAGGCACAGCAAAGAGCGTAGCCGCACTCCATTGTCCTGATGCACGATGTGGTCTTGACATTCCAGATCTTCAGTGAGTCTATAGCGAGAATGTAATAGTTAGGGTCAGTTGCTGGTATTAGGAAAAGTCTTTGAAATAAACGCACAAGTCTTAAAGCCATGGACTTACTGTTAGAGGCGGAGCAGAGCAACTCGTCGTCAGAACTGAGGGCAACGGTACGGATATCAGATCGGTGTCCAGCCAGTTCCAGAGTGTAGGCCTTGCTGGGCTCATCAGCAACCTCCTCATTCTTGGCAGCGTTGGGGTGGGGGACAGTCCAGACCTCAACTGTGTTGTTGTTGAGCGAGGTGACCAACTGGACATGTCCGACCTTCTCCACATCCTTGACAGGTGCGAAGTCGAACGATCGCAACTTGGCGCCCGTCCGGATAATGTGCCAAGGTGTAATCTCATCTGTTGCCTGAATACCCTCCTCTCCAATCGCTGCCTCTTCGGCAGCAGCACCCTCAGTATCACCCTTCTTCAGCAGCTGCTGTGCCTTCTCCCTCTGACGTCTCTTTCTGCGCGACATCTTCTTCTTGATCTCGTCAATAGTGCGTATCCTGAACAGCTCAATTGACTTGTCTGAAGCTTGACATCCCAAAAACTGCTGCGACGAGTGAAACTCCAGAGTCGTGACCCTCTCCTTGGACTGTCGAGGGATCGAACCGTAGAATGTGATGGCCTTGGGGACAGCGTTTACCAATTTTCCGTCCTCGTCCAGGGCGTTGTGCTCTTCCTCTTCCTCGCCAACCTCCTTGGCCTCCTCGCCAACAGCCAATCCTGTCTTCAAAACGCTAGCGTTGATCTTCCAGACCTTGATATCGGGATCGCCGCCTCCAGAGACCAACATGGTTTCGTCCTCATTGACATCGCAATCCCAGACCTCGTTCCTGTGAGCAACCAAGGTTTCCATGCAGTGCTGGGTTGAGAGATCCCAGAGCTTGATGAGTGTATCCTTGGACGATGAGAGAACATATCCATCTGTGGGTTTGCCACCCTCGACCATCGAAGGCCGCGACAAGAACCGAACCGATGTGACCTGATCCTTGTGTCCACGGAGACTATATTGTAGAAAACGGACCAAGAATAAAAATATGTTAGATAAGCACATTCCTTTGCAAGCAAAACACAATACCAAACATGTTGAAGAATGGAAATAGCTCTCGTACCGGTAGAGACCGACTTCTCCTTCGACATCCCAGACAATCAGATCAGTGTCCCTAGACCCAGAAACCAAAAGACTTCCAGACTTATCGAAGGCAAGGGCAGTGACGGCGGATCGGTGGCCGTTGAAGGTAACGAGGACCTCGCTGGTCTTCATGCTCCAGATGCGGATCGATCCGTTAGCATAACCGACTGCGTAGCTGTCCCGATCCGTGCTGCGAGCAATGCATGTCACCTCTGCCTTGTTGTCGCTATCGTGCCATGTTCCGACCTATTAGTTTTGTTTTTTTTTCGTATCATTTCGATTGTTAATATCCGTCTGCTGCGAAGGAACAAAACAAAGCAAAGTATGTCGCCTGATACCCCTTCGCATTAGCATATAAAACATACCAGCTCGCCCTTCTTGAGGTCCCAGATGCTGATATCTTCAAGAGTGGGGCTGATGGCGTATTTGCCAGCGGCATCATAGATGATGTTGGAGTTTCCACTGGCAACCACACCAAAGATGGTGCGGGGAGTGTAACGCTGATATGCCTTGACCATGGTGTCTCAAGGGTATGTATATGAATATTTCCTAAACTCCTTTGTTTGATAGTAAATCCAAAGAGTTTAGAAAATAGGGAGAGAGAGAGTTGAGCGAAGGAACGGTGTGGTGTGGGTGGGTGTGTGAAGTGTTTCGTCCTGGTTGGGTCGGTGTGAAAAGGGAGTCGGTTATGCGATGAGTCGGAGGGGGATGGTGAGATGGTTGAAAGGGTAACTGATGCAAAAGAAAGCAAGGGCCAGGCTCAAAAGAATAACACAGAGAGACAGGAGTATCGCAGTTCAAAGGACAAAAAAAAAAAAAAAAAGTAGAGGCATTCTTTGTTTACTGGCAGATGCTCAATTTAATTCAAAGCCACACGACAGTCACCTCAACTCAACACCAACGCGACGCTCTTTGCCATGTAGACAAGCAGAGCTCTTCTCTAAACACACACAACTCACTAGCAACCAAGCAGAAGACACAATGGTAAAGGATGGACACAAGAAGGAGAAACGCACCCATTGCCGATACCACCCGGACCATGGCACCATGAGAACAATGCTCAGGAAGAGTCATCACAGGAAAACAGGATGGTTCAGTCACGCAAACACCGTCTCTCAATGCCACGGCAGATGCCTGACGCCTTACTGCACTTCACTACCAAACTCCCTATCTGTTGCCACCATACCTCCAACGCACAATCACTACTACAGATAATAGGATATCCTCCCTTTCCAACAAGAACAATCGCGCCCACCTTCCCATGGCTCCATACATGAAAACTGACATAAACCTCACCCCACCTTCCAACAACTAAACAAAAAACCATAGGCTTCGATCGTTCAATCACTTTCGGTGCCGTCGACCTACAAGGACCAACAATACCAGGGCACCTCCTCTCAGCTTGCACTGGACCTCGCCAACTCGACCACCCTCTACGTCGGAAACCTGTCCTTCTTCACCACCGAGGAACAGATCTATGAACTCTTTTCCAAATGCGGCGAGATCAAGCGTATCATCATGGGGCTTGACCGCAACCAGAAGACTCCCTGCGGCTTCTGCTTTGTCGAGTAAGTACCTACTTTTATTTGAAGGGAAACTGAAGAACAGGGATGAGATCTAGGCAAAATAGTAAAGGGCTCGTTGTCTCGCATTAACACTCTTTGCCGAGAATTGTGCAGTACACACCTCAACAGCTAAACTTGCCTAACATCCATTTCTCTCTCCCTTTTCCATCGAATAGATACTACCATAATGCGGACGCACTGGATTGCATGAAATATATCAACAGCTCAAAATTGGATGAACGTATCGTCCGTTCAGATCTGGATCACGGATACAGAGAAGGACGTCAGTTTGGTCGTGGACGGAGTGGTGGTCAGGTCCGTGACGAATACCGTCTGGAATTCGATGCCGGTCGTGGAGGTTGGGGACATGTCCGTGCCAAACAGGAGGCTGAGCGTGAGAGAGACCAGAAGGCCAACTATGAGGCTATTACCACCATCCCCGAGGGTGCTAACCTCGACTACAAGGACAGGAAAGATGGTACTTATGCGATGCTTCTTTTGATTTACGCTGGTTTTTTTGTTCGCTCCAAGTGTATGTCGATTATACGTACTTTTGTTTACTGACTGAAAATGGTCCTCAACGTGAAAAATTAGAACCAAGCAAGAGATCGAGGGATGAAGAAGAGGACGAGGAAGAACAACAGCGGTCCAAGACAAATCCTCGCTTCAGGGAAGGTGATGAAGAGGAGGAGGATGCGTAAAGGTTTTCGCCGACCTACAACCTTGCTTCGTCTTTCTCCCTTTCTTACAGTGTATCAATTATTGCAATAACAACAACCAATTCAACCAGATGAACTTTTTTTTCGACCAGACAACACAGAACGGATATGAGTCGCATGCGCTGCAGCAGATCCTTGGCGTTTCCTCGGCTCGTTCTCGGTATCTTTATCATCGATCAAAAGGAGTGGATACAAGAGTGTGTTTTTTTTTGCATGTTTTTGATTATTTATTGCAAATGCTAAGAGGTGGATGAGGTATATTACAGAGGCGTTGTGTGTGAGGGGGAAAAGAAAGTATCATGAAAGAAAGTGGCAGCTAATTGTTTAATCGCGGCTTTGACCGGCCTGGTCGGGGTGGACAATGAACTCGTCAAGAGCATTGCTGGCAGCGGCCATGGGGTAGACGTGCTGGCGCTTGCAGACCTTGGCCTCCAAGACGACGGGACCATCGTGGGCCAAGAACTCGGCCATGGCGCCGGGGAGATCCTCCATTGAGGTGGCACGGAGACCCTTAACGTTCATGGCCTCGGCGAGCTTGACAAAGTCAGGGTTGAACATCTGAGTGCCCGAGTAACGCTCCTCGTAGAAGAGATCCTGCCATTGCTTGACCATACCCTGGAAGTCATTGTTGAGGATCAGGACCTTGACGCCAATGTTGTACTGTGCGGCCGTGGCCAACTCCATACCGGTCATGCAGAAACTGGCATCGCCATCAATGTCGACGACAATGTGGTCGGGCTTGCCAACCTTGGCGCCAATAGCGGCGGGGAGACCGAAGCCCATGGTTCCCAGACCACCCGAGGTGACGAGACTGCGGGGATGGCGCCAGCGGAAGTACTGAGCGGCCCACATCTGATGTTGGCCGACACCGGTGGTGATGATGACTTTCTCCTTCATGTGGGCGGTCTGCTTGTCGAGCTCCTGGATGACGGTCTGGGGGGCAAGGATGCCCTTGGGGTCCTGGACGTGGTAGAAGGGGAAACGGCTCTTCCAGTTGCTGAGCTTGGTGAACCACTCCTTGCGTTCGGATCCCTCGATCAAAGGCAAGAGCTTGGTCAAGTTCTCGGTGACATCACCCTCGATGGCCTCGGTGGCCTGAACGACCTTGTTGATGTTCTTGGGTGAGATCTCAAAGTGGATGATGCCTCCGCGCTTCTCGAGGGCGGCCTTCTTGGCCTCGGGGGCGAAACGGGCCACGTTGGCCGTGACACGATCGTCGAAACGGGCTCCGAGGGCAATGATGACATCGGCCTTTTGCATGGCCAAGTTGGCATAGGCAGATCCGTGCATACCAACCATGTGGAGCGAGCGGTGGTCCAATTCGTCAAAGGCACCCAAACCCTGGAGGGTGGTGGTAACGGGGATGTTTCCGTTGTGAGAGAGCTCCTTGAGGCGAGCAGGGCCATCGGGGTGAGCCAAGATACCCTGACCGGCATAGATGAGGGGGCGCTTGGCAGCGTTGATCAACTGAGCGGCGCGGAGGATCTGGGGGGAGGTGACCTGGGAGGCATCCTTGGCCAAGCCAGTGAAGAAGGTCGACTGGCTGGTGGGGGGTCTGACAGGGATGCCGGGGGCAGCGGGGATGGGCTTGTTGAGGATGGCGGCAGTGACATCCTTGGGCAGATCGACCAAGACGGGTCCGGGACGTCCAGAGGTAGCAATCTCGAAGGCCTCGTTGATGCGACGGGGGAGATCGGCAATGTCCTTGACCATGACGTTCCACTTTGTGCAGGCACGCGAGATTCCGACAACATCGGCCTCCTGGAAGGCATCTGAACCGATGGCACTGACGACGACCTGTCCTGTGAAGACGACCATAGGGGTTCCGTCTGAGAGGGCATCCTGCATGGCGGTGATGACGTTTGTTGCTCCGGGACCTATTATTGTTTGCGCAGATCAGATTTGCCACGTGAGGAAAGGGAGGTGAGTAATCGTGTCCTGGATGCTTTCAAGACTGACTGTTGCGATTAGGGTTTGACAATAAAGAAATGAATGAGATGCTTACCGGAGGTAACGAGGACGACACCAGGCTTGCCACTGGAGACATATACGATATATGTGACAATTAAGAGTCATGTGGGTCAAGAAGGACATTCCAACCAATCAGAGCAGGGAGAAGAACGACAACTGGTTAGCATCAACAAAGGAAAAAAAACCTTCTTTTCTTGTCCCGTTCTGACTTTTGATTAAAAAAAAAAGCACAAACCCACAATGCAACCCAGATAAGCGAAACCATAAAGAACAAAAAGGCGATGATGACCCTTTACAGTCAATCTCACCCAAGGAAGTAGATGGAAAATAAATACTTACGTGACGCGGGCATATCCCTCAGCGGCATGTCCAGCTCCCTGCTCAGCTCTGGGGAGGATGAACTCGAACTGCTTCGAGTTGTAGATGGCATCAAAGACGGGCAAAATGGCTCCTCCTGGGTATCCAAAAACATGCTTCACGTCGTGGCGCAACATCATCTCGTGGAAGATCTGGCCTCCAGACATGCCCACAAATGAGTGGTCATGGGCTGGCTTTGCTTTCTTTAGCTGTTGATATTGTCGTTGGCGTTCCAGAGGGTGAAGTTGTGGTGCTGCTGATTCTGCAACTGCAGGGCTATTTTGTTTGATAACGTTGTGGAGGGAGATGGTTAGTTAGCATGCAGTGTTTTATCGCCCGTTGCACAGAGTGGAACACAGTAATAAGCGAGTGAAAAAGTCGCGAGTGCAAGAGAAACTAAAAAAAAGTACCTAGAAGAGGAGGCTTCTGCGGTGGCGGCTGAGGAGCGGAAGCGGATCTGGGTAGAGGCGATCTTTGTTGCGGAGGAGAGGGAGAAGGTGCGGTTGAATGCCTGTCTGTTGACGGCGGAGTATGTGGATCTGGTCAAACGTGCTGCCTGCATCTTGTGTATGTATGTATGTATGTGTGTGGGTGAGTGAGGAGAGAGGAGGGGTATCGTTGAAAGTAGAAGAGAGAGAAAGTAGAAGACAGAGAAAGAGAAGAGTAGAGAAGAGTGGAGAGAGAGAGGATGATTTGTTTGGATAAGAAGAAAAACAAAAGGAGAAAATCCGAGAAGAGGAGCAGAGAGGACTGCGGTCAAAGAAGAGAGTCAAGAGAGGTGTTAGTATGTAAACGAAAACAAGAAGAGAGAAGGAAGAAAAAAAAGATCAAAAAAGAGGGGAGCACGGGAGGAGATATATATATTTAGGTGTCTGATGGTTGGAGGTGATTTGATCAACGGAGAAAGAGGGACACAAGTGTTAAGTCTTCTTACTGATCGATCAACTGGAGGGACTTTGACACATTTGACAACAATGGGCAAGTTGCACATGCAAGTGTGGGAGGACTCTCTCTCTCTCGGAGCAACGACTGGGAAGCGAGTAAATTGACTAATGCGCATAAGGAGTAACAGATAACAGCAATAACAGACTTACAAAAGTTAGTCATTCCTACGAACCAATCACATTCAATCGCCAGATCTGCTGGACTCACTCACATAAGCACTCAACCTTAAAAATACTACTGGCAAATAAAATAACTTATCCCTCTTCACAGACAAATGAACCCAAATGTTAGGAAGGAAAGAAAGAGAAGAAAGAACAGATCACCTGGCCTCTCAAGAGATCCCGGAAAGAGAGCTGACAAGCGCAATGAACACTCAACACAGCATGGCCAAACAGAAAAATGAAAAATGAAAAGAGGGGCGATCACTCTTCAAGTAAACAAGTAAACAAAATAACCCCTTCTCCTTCAACTGCACACTGGCTCATATTTTGACACGCGATCACCCACCCATTCTCCTTCATCCTTACTTCGATCCATGTCTTCTCGTCATGTCGAGTAGCGATCCTCATTCGATCATCGAAAAAGAAACAAAAAGCGCTACCAGCTTTTCTAGTTGATCGCATCCATTGATCACTGATGGTAACCCACGCCATAGTCCGCATGTCGAAAATACTGGGGAGCTGGAGATACCGATTAGAAAGCTCAATCACGATCACCTTATCGCGTGGGAGTAGAAGGGATAACAACAAGCGATCTGACCGTACTGTCAGCTTAAGCTGATTCCTTGATCTTGGTGAGAAAGAGAGAAGGCAAGCCGATTGAGAGCGTGAAGGCGAGAGAGGGATCGTCTCTGGATCTTATTATCACAGAGCGATTGAGAGAGGACCAGTAAGGTAGTCAACCTTAGTGTTTGCAAGTTAAGTTAACAAGGGAAAGGATGTCTTCGGGATATTCTTTATTTCATGTGCGTTGCAGTTGTTAACCTTATTTAAATAGTGCCTATGGGTCAACCATATCCAAATGACTGATTCGATCCAAGACGGGGACTGTTGACCCACAGACATCATTTGCTGAGCAACAACAAAAAAGAGACAAGTCCGTCCCTTGTATGTATGATGCACCTCACCCTTTATCGTTCAAGTGAACCCCTTGGCACACACCGATCCACTTACTATTTTTTTTTATCCGACCTTATATAAAAGCCTCCATCCCGACCTCTTCCTTCTCTTTTCTTTTCTTTTCTTCTTCATCACAACACACTCACACATCCTCACTCCAATACCCAGGTCCAGCCCTACTTGCCTTCTGGTCTTCCCTCTCCTTTCATAGCAACGACTTTCAATCCCTCTCCTCTCAACTCAACCCTACCAACAAACACATACACCACATATTCACAATGAGCTTCGCTGCCCGTACCGCCCTCCGCCAGTTGACTCGCGTCGCTGTCCCCACTGCCCGCTCCTTCTCCGTCATGGCCCGCTCTGCCGCCATTACCCACGTCCCTCGCGTTGCTGCCTGCAAGGTAACGTTTTTGATGAAGATATTCCGCTCCGATCTCTTGATTTTTGACTTCGCTGTCATTCATAATCAAAGCAGTACCGTTTATCCTTGTCGCACTAAAGCCAAAATGATATCGATCGCATTACTCACATCTACATATATATTGTATATATCTCTCTCACACATCCTTTGCGAATCAACAGGTTGCTTTCACCCAGACCCGCGGTGTCAAGACCATGGACTTTGGCGGCACCAAGGAGATTGTCTACGAGCGCTCTGATTACCCCCCTGCCAAGCTCCAGGAGACCTTCAAGGACGATACCCTCACCGTCCTCGGTTACGGCCCCATGGGTCGTGGCCAGGCCCTCAACCTCCGCGACAACAAGCTCAACGTCATCATTGGATCCCGCAAGGGTTCCTCCTGGGACAAGGCCGTCTCCGAGGGATGGGTCCCCGGAAAGAACCTCTTTGAGATCAACGAGGCCTGCGAGCGCGGTACCGTCATCATGAACTTGCTCTCCGACGCTGCCCAGTCCAAGCTCTGGAACGAGATCAAGCCCTACCTCACCAAGGGCAAGACCCTCTACTTCTCTCACGGATTCTCCGTCGTCTTCGCTGAGGACACTGGCGTCATTCCCCCCAAGGATATCGATGTCGTCCTCGTCGCCCCTAAGGGCTCCGGCACCACCGTCCGTAACCTCTTCCTCGAGGGCCGTGGCATCAACGGATCCGTTGCCGTCTACCAGGATGTCTCTGGCAAGGCCAAGGACCGTGCCGTCGCCCTCGGTGTCGGTGTCGGAACCGGTTACCTTTACGAGACCACCTTCAAGAACGAGGTCAACTCTGACCTCTACGGTGAGCGTGGTGTCCTCATGGGCGCCATCCAGGGTCTCTTCCGTGCCCAGTACGAGGTTCTCCGTGCCAAGGGTCACAGCCCCTCTGAGGCTTTCAACGAGACTGTCGAGGAGGCCACCCAGTCGCTCTACCCTTTGATCGGTGCCAACGGCATGGACTGGATGTACGCCAACTGCTCCACAACTGCCCAGCGAGGAGCTCTCGATTGGTGCGGTCCTTTCTATGGTATGTAGCCATCCCCATCGTTCTTTGCTTCATTGGATTGCGTTTTATGGTTTGTCAATGGTCATAGTGGTTTTGCATGGTCCGCACACAAAAAATTAATCAATTGTCGATTTTCTTTTCCTCTTAATTTTCCATAACAGATGCCACCAAGCCTATCTTTGAGTCCTTGTACGAGTCCGTCGCCAACGGCACCGAAACCCGCCGCTCTTTGACCAAGAACTCGACCCCCAACTACCGTGCCGAGCTCGAGGTCGAGTTGGCCGAGATCGCCAACCACGAGATGTGGCGCGTCGGAAAGACCGTCCGCCAGTTGCGCCCCGAGAACAACTAAGCGTTGCAACCTCAGGATCTCTCTCCCCTTCAACTCATCGCAATCTCTGGAAGCTGGCTTTTTTGATATAGATAACCCTGGCAACTGTCAGGGCACCCTTCAGCTCTCTACTCCTCTCCTCTAGTCTCTCCCCCTCGTATATATATACTCACCTTGTACCTTAGCTTGAATACATTTTTTCATTTGTTATCATATCCATTGCCTGGTTCAACAGCTTGACAATCGGTACCTGGCTGCATGCAGTCTTATCCTTGGCCGTCTTTATCAGAAAGAGGTGTGACTGTTTTTGAGGGCATGGAAAAAAACTGTTCGCAAGGGAGGTGATCACTGATTAAATCAATCGTCCACGGTTTCGGTTAGAGGGCTTAGCAAGGAGTTTGCGCACGCGTCTCTTCCAATAAGTCATTTCCCACCCTTTTTCTTTCAGACCACACCAAGCGTCGTTTGAACCTGTCACATCTTTCCTTATTTGTTTGTCCTTTATTTACCTTGACCTTGTTGCCTGTCCTCTATTCTCTCCCTTTCAACTATACACTCATACTCAGTTACGCTATCAACTGGCAGCACCCGTTCTATGGTATGTAGCTATCCCAGTCTTCCTTTGCCTCATTGCGAAGCATGTTTTCATTTTTGCCGGTTCATTCTCATAAACCATTCGATCAGGATGGAGTCCTTTGGTCTCTCGAGACCAGCTCCATCCATGCCCACAAACTATTTAATCGAGCACAATAGTAATGATCAGTTGCCGTTGAAAAATGAAGAATAGCAGCAAGGCACATTAATTACACTTGAGAGGATGATATTTACCTGAGAGCCCACAAGTTCGACTGCCGCATTTCCAAGATGAACGCGATCGGCCGGAGAGGTGTGACACAGATGGCTGGAAGATAATGACACCTTCTCTTTGGTAGATTGGGGAAAACCCCCCAGGACGACATCCAGGTAACGGCGATATGCTCGGGTCGAGTGCGGTACGGGCTCCTCTGATGGTTGGGAGAACGAAGCTGATTCGCCACGCGAATTGTCAAGGAGGTTGTTGCCCTTGGTTGTTTGCTGAAGTCAAGCCGATTTCTGAGGGAGAGGCGCATTCTTTCGTCTTTCGTACTGAGAGTTAACACCCAGGGTGCCCTTCAATAACAACGTGGCGAGCTGGCGAAATAACGCTGGTTCAGTTCTAGTGATGTCCTGCAGGTCAGCTTTTTCCTGAGGGGACAACTGGATGGGCGATGATGTTGATACAACTTGAGGTACTCTCTGTCTGTCCGCTGCTGGATGTGCTGTTGAAAGCGTTGGCGCAGTGATAGGTTTACGAAGACAGGGAGCCGACGATGAGGACGGTGGGGCTGGCCATGACCTTGAATATGGGAGGAAGAAGGCGCGGAGATCAATTCCTCTGCTGTTGACGAGATGTCGATCTTGTATCTCGGCCCCATAATGGTGTCAATATCCAGCGCCACCACCACCTTGTACAAGTTAGAGCACAAAGTATCGACCTGAACTGTCGCATTCATGATGGTGTCGCGAACGTCTCTAGATTCCTTGCTCTCCTGTCCCCGATTGAGTGTCCGCTTGATATTGACGTGAAGAGAGCCGACTGTAAGGGATTTTGTGTTGCATTCCTCCAAACCGTGCGGGCCTCCGCTAGCGGTGTTTAGCGTTGTTAACGCGGTACTGCATGAATTATGATATTGCCGACTTCTTGGCACATTTTTTGCTGCCTGCGATCTCGCATCTAGACAATACGTGTGTGCTGCTTGGCATTGTTGTTGACACGATATTTTATAATTATGATTCTGTCCTTTTCCCCGTATCCGAGGTCGTTGCTGACCCTGTCAAATGATAATCAAGGAGGGCGCCCGGGATTACATCTCCCCTAGACTTTTTGGCGATTGAACGAAGGCTTCCACCATGTCACCTCCAGATCTTTCAACCAAGTCCTCCGCCCGCGATCGTTACTTAAATGGTGGAGCCTGCCACCCTTTGGCCTTTCTGCGACTACTCCTCCGATACTTGGGGCATTCATCGATATGCAGCAAGACCTCGCTTGAAGGTTGGCGTGTCCTTGAGGTGCAGTGGCGGCCGGACTTGGTCTTGAGATTTATTTATTTTTATGCTGGAGAATTACATTTCTCGTCCAGTCGGAGTTAAGGGATCGACGTCCTTGTTGGTTTTTGGCGACAAGCTCCTTTTTTTGCGTCCTTGCCTGTCCAAGTTGTCGATTCGAAGCATTGCGTATATGTTGTGACGGGGAGGCGCTGTCCTGATCCGATTTGAATTAAGCCGACTGAGAGTGGCGATAGGTTCCTGCCATGCAGGTCGTCCGCGCTGTCTCACCAGAAAACCCCAACAATAATGGGTGTTAATTAGCGGTTAATAAACAATCTCCATTATCCACCTAACATGACCTTTAGATGAGACTTACGCTGGTCTTTCATACAGTCGTTGATCAGCTTCGTTGTCGCGACGTTCCCCCCTTCAGTTCTCTCCTGTCCTCAGGGGGTATCCCGTAAAGCAACTGACGGACCATGACGCCTTATGAAACAGTGGATTTCTTGCCCATACTTCGTTTCTTTTGACAGGACCTCTGGAGCCCAAACCCCAGGTGACCCGACACGGCCGCTGTACATTGTGTAACCATGTAGTGGCAGGTTAGAATGCATGTAATGGCTGGAGTTTCGAACTGTTAAGAATATACATTAGTGGACAACTTGTAATGGCTTGCGGAGCTCATAATTGATAAATAGTATAACAAAATACTTACCCATAAGGTCGTCTTGTAGGGACAGCATTTGAACTCAAATTGAAAATCCCATTACCTACTTCTCTAGACCTTGCGACAGAACGAAGCTGGATCCAAAGTCGGCTACTCTGGCGTTTCCTTGAGCATCCAAGAGAATATTGGCCGGTTTCAAGTCCCTATGTACCACGTCTAGGCCATTATGAAGGTAAATGGACGCCTCGAGGACTTGCCACATCCACTTGGAAACGTCGGCATCAGGAAGACCCATCATGTTCTCGCTACCCCTACCGCGCGCGAATTCGGCATGCAGATCCTATGTGACAAGATGTCAGTTGGTTAGTACACTGAGATATAAGCATACGCGTTTCAAGGCTCAAGACATTTTTACTAATGCAAACTTACCCGGGATACCGCAAAATCGAAAATAAAAATACCCCTCAACAAGGGCATATAATGATCCTTCAGACTTTCACCGATACCGTGCAGCAAGAAACATTTCCAATATCTGGCTCGAATATGTGACAACGTCGCACCTTACTGATGTTCGTTCCTTTTTCCCTGTTCCGTTCCTTTTTCGATTCAGATAGGCAGTAAGAATTTTTCAATATGTCGCGGCCGGATCTCGAAGTAGGGACGGACGTTCAACAGCTTTTCTTTGACCTGATTGATACCCTGCATCGACGCCGCCACCGATCCCTGTTTCTGATTGAGCGATGAATTCGACTAGCCCTGCGAGACGGCTCAGACCATTACTACCCCCCGTTTTGAACTAGAAACAAGAAGAACACGTACAAATAGAAAGTGTCAGTTGCATGATATTGGAAAGGCAAGGCAGTCTACACCCTCGAACACAGAACAGGGTGGGTGATCTCTCAATGAGCAAATGAAAAAAATGGTACTTACAGCCTGGATCGTAAAACGATTATTCAGTGTGGACGATTTGCGCTTGATCAGGCAGGAATGCCTTTTAGGTTTTTCTTGTCTTTTCAACCTCGCCGATAATAGTACTACGAGGACCAAGTCGGTGCACTATACCCAGCAACAGGCCCGGCGTGTTGAATGTACTCCACGTTCAGTCTTTTTTTTTGTGGTTCCATGGAGCTGGCGCAATGGAATCTGACTGTTTGTTTTCCTCTAGGGTTTCGATCCTTCCCTGCAACATAACCGTCGTGTCTTTCAAACTGAGCATGGATACGAAAAGAGAACAGAGAACATTGGTAAGAACTTAAGAAGCCATTATTGAACACAAGTCTTGTAGGGCAAACACTTTATAAAGACAGCGCCATGAGTTGTGCCATTGGACTAGAACTGAGCAGGTTCGACGATAGCTACATGCACGTCTTTAGATTTTTCTAGTTGTGTTTTCTTAAGATGGGTGGGCAAAGAAGGGAATTGGAAGAGAGAGAGAAAAGCGAAACAGACTCGAAAAAAAGGAGCGCGTGAGTGATGGTGATATGGGATGATGTGTATGGACCTAAGCTTCTTTTATTTTTTCTTTTTGTTGGGAGGCGTGGGAAACTTTGAGGGGCACTAGGAAAGTCGATCCATTCCACACTTTGAACAAAACAACCAATTGACCCTCTTTCTGAAATTTGTTTTCTTCAAGGGTATGTCTCCTTCATTGCTACTGTGAACGAGCTTGTTCGCTGAGTGGCACTGTCAACGGTGTGAAGTGGCCAGATCCAGCATGCCCTATCCCTCAACCAAGAAGTTGAAACCCAGAGCTCTTGATCTGCATGAAGCCTGTACCTGAGAGGCGATTTCCACTACGTCATTAAAATTTTTCATACCCACGGTTCACGGTTCGGCCTGTGTTTTGTCTGTGTTTCGGCTTCCCACACTCTCTTCATTCACTCATTCACAAAAACCCCAACAGAAAACAACCATGTTGCGCCAGACAATCCGCATGACCGCCGCCTCCAAGGTGTCGTTGCCCTCGACTGTCGCCATGAACCGCATCCGCATGGTCAACAACTGGCTCGGTACCCGTGTCAACGTACGGATCCTCCTTTTTTTTGGCAGTTGCGGGAGAGCAAGGACAAAGTGGGACCGTTACTGAAACATAGGAAGGGCCCGGCAGGAGCAGCAGGAGCCGGGAACCGGGACTCGGGAATCAAAACGGCCACTTGGAGGACATATCGTCGCTCTTACGACACACGAGGGATTATCGGGGCTACCCACAAGGGTTCAACAAACCACTCAAGCCTACTCAACAAAGACCGAGCACGGACAACTCACGCTACTTTTTTCGATGCGGTCTATCCGTACCTGTTCAAAAACACATATAGATGTCTACCACTGCTGCCAAGGCCGACGCTGTTGAGGTATGGATTATTGCTTTGAAGCATTGCACGAAGGACCATCGTTTTCGCGCATGTACAAGGAATTCGAGGATAATCACGGAAGAATGCGCAGGATACTAAACTCAACTCTCCAACGATCCCCTCATAAACTACAATAGGCTGATGTGTTGCACCGTAAGCACCTCTCTTCCCGTACCTTTGTTCTCAACCGCCCCAAGGCATTGAACGCCCTCAACTTGAGCATGGTCAGAAACATGACTCCTCAGCTCCAGGTATGCATTAGGACTCTATGTGTTTATGATCCGCATGCTCAGGGCATGGAATTTTTGTGCTTTGCACTGAGCGGGATGGGACTGCTTGTCTATTGAACTCTGTTGTTCTAATAGGACCTTTTTTTGTATGTAGGCTTGGGATGCATCGGACTTGTGCAAGGTTATTGTGATCAAGGGAGCAGGAGGAAGAGCTTTCTGTGCTGGAGGAGATGTCCGTCAGGTCGTCGAATTGGCCGGCGCCGGAAAGCACAGCGAGGCCTTGGACTTCTTTGCCGAGGAGTACAAGCTGAACCATATGATCGCCACCTTGAAGACCCCCTTTGTCGCCATCCTCGATGGCATTACCAGTAAGGAGAAATTGCCCAATTGTGTTGTTTTCGTTAACTACCACGTGCTCTCAAGCTAGGAGAATGGGCCAATGCTTCTCAATCCAATTTGCTTAACCAAAGTGCACCTTCCCTCCTTTTTCCTTTAACTAGTGGGTGGCGGAGTCGGCCTTTCTGTCCATGCTCCTTTCAGAATTGCAACTGAGAAGACTGTCTTTGCCATGCCCGAGACCAACATTGGATTGTTCCCTGATGTCGGAGGATCCTTCTTCTTGCCTCGTTTGGATGGCGAGACTGGTACCTACCTTGGTCTTATTGGCTCCCAGCTCAAGGGCATTGACACTGTGTAAGGAAGCAGAAACTTTATCCTCTTGTGCGAGATGGTGTCACTTTCATTCACGCAGCCGCATTGTTGTTTTTTATTGACCTTAACTCGTCCTAATTAACTAAAGGTACTCTCTCTTCTCCGTTTAACTACTCGTACAGTCTTGCAGGAATCGCTACTCACTACGTTCCTTCGGATCGCTTGGCTGCATTGGAGGATCGCCTGAGTGAGCTGGAGACCGACAACCACGACGTAATTAACATGGCTATTGAGGACTTTGTCAGCGAACCCCTTCACGAACACAAGTACGCCCTTTCGGAGCACCGCGACGCCATTGATCGCTGCTTCCATTTCAACACTGTCGAGGAAATTGTTGCCGCATTGGAGCAGGAAAAGACCCCCTTCGCAGAAAAGGCCTTGAAGACCCTTCGTAAAGTCTCGCCTACCTCTTTGAAGGTCACCCTCCAGCAGATCCGCGAGGGCGCTAACTTGGGCATTGCTGACTGCTTCAGGATGGAGCACCAGTTGGCTCGTCAGTTCTTGCACGGATCTGATTTCGCCGAGGGCGTTCGCGCTCTTTTGATCGAGAAGACCCTCGACCCCAAGTGGAAGCCCGCCACCATCGAGGAGGTTGACCGTGAGCAGATGTTGGGACAGTACTTTAGAAACCAGGCCCCAAAGGCATTGTCGTTGTCAAGCAGTGCTACCTGGAATGAGTACCCTTACTCCCGATATGCTCTTCCCTCGGAGGACGAGATCCGCAAGATTGTCCTTGGTCAGTCTGCGGGCAGCGGACCTCTGCAGTTGACTTCTGAGGAAGTTGCTGATGTCTGTGTCAAGAAGAGTGGAGGAAAGATTGGTGTCAGGGAGAAGGTCATGGAGGTCTTGTCGCGCAAGGTCACCAAGGGCACCGAGGGTGAGCTCAAGTGGATCAACTAAAGAGTTGGATTGGCATTTAGAGCAGTTTTTGTATGTTAGTTTTTTATCATTATCAGTAAAGCAATAGAAATTTCATGTTAGTACCATCGTTCCCATCCATTGTTCATTGCCATTGCCATTGAAGAGACGGGCTGGTTGGGGCAACCAAGACTGGAGGCGCACCCATTGGCATTGGGAGGAAGCAACACTGCAGCAATGAGTGTGGCGTTGGGGTGAGAGATATGAGTAAGGTTGCTCGCCGAGATAGGAAAGGAGAGAAATATGACTGGAAGAGCAGAAGGGCAGGGGAATTTGGTTGATTGGAGTTGGAGTCCGAACAGCAAACAAGGTTGCACCCCTTGTTCCTGGCGTTGTCCAGTTTTATTATCATCGATAAGAACATCACATGCGATGGATGTGATTGGTCACTTGTTGTTTCGTCAACCTTGTCATCGAGTTAACGCTTTTTACTATTGTTACTCATTTTTTGACTTAACGGTTGTTTGCGTTATCGGTTTAGAGTTTATCTTAACTTTTTCTCCACTCCATCGATCTCTGTTTCTTGACACTCACAAAGGGATCACACACACGGATCACATACACCAACGACCGAGAACCGAGGACTGGCAACCCTTCCTTTTTTTTTTTTTCTTTTTCTCGAGGATTTCCCCTTTCTTTTTTCTCTTCTTCTTCATTCAACCCTCTCTCCACTCATCACCACCCTTCTCCTCATGTGGGCTTCAAGGATCCTCAGCTCCGCAACAAGAGCAGCGCCATTGGTAACCAACAACTACCTTCCTCCTCATTGCCATTGCATTCAGGACAAGAAAACACATATGGACCAACTTTACACTTTTGCTGCTGGCTTGACCAACGACCTCTGGACACATTGGACTTTATTTTTTTCTCGTGCTTCGTCTCACCTTCAACAATAACAACAAAAAAAGGATGCTAACCATGGAAGGAAAACGACCTTTGTTCACATGGATCCAATAGGCCAATTCGGCATTGGCAGCAATCAAGCCCGCCCGCACCCTCACCACTCCCATGATGACCCTCCGTCAATCATCCTCCTCAACCTCGGCAATCTCCTACAAGCGTTCGCACCCTCACAAGCGCCACCCAGCCCTGACATCCGACTACCTCCACCCAGCCCCACCCTCGGCCGAAGAAGCCGTCTCCAACATTCTCTACAACACCCCGCCCATCGGCATGACGCGTACGAAGCAACGCCACATCTTTAACTGTCTTGTCCAGAACGAGCCCGGAGTCTTAAGTCGCGTTTCAGGGATCTTGGCTGGACGTGGGTTTAACATTGATTCGTTGGTGGTTGCCAAGACGGAGGTGGCCGATCTGTCGAGGATGACGATTGTGTTGAGGGGCGAGTCGAATACTATTGAGCAGGCCCGGAGGCAATTGGAGGACCTTGTAAGTCTTTTTTTTATTTTGTCTGTTTGCGGTTTGTTGTGCGCATGTTGGCTTAACAGTTTGTTACTTCTCCGTGAGAAAGAAAAAGGAAGAGATCAATGCGTCTGACAGTGCCTTCTGCTTTACCCCTATTCCTGGTAACATAAAAAATAGGTTCCAGTGTGGGCGGTGTTGGATTACACCGGATTCAAGGTTATTGAGCGCGAGTTGCTGTTGATCAAAGTCTCGATCCTCGGACCAGAACACGTCCGCGCCCAGATGAACTCGCGTTCCCCTAATGGCTGGCAGTTATTGCAGGAAGATGCTGACGAGGATATGACCCCCTCAAACGCACTCCGTCAGACCCACGGCCACTTAAAGTCGTTGACAGAGTTGTCCAAGTTGTTCCAGGGTAAAGTGGTCGATGTCAGTGGCGACTGTGCCGTGATCGAGTTGTCGGCCAAGCCTGATCGTATCGATGCCTTTGTCAAGTTGGTTAAACCTTTTGGTATCCTTGAGGCTGCCAGGAGTGGAATGATGGCTATGCCTCGTTCGCCTATCTATGATCGCCATGAGTTGGAGGAGGATGAGGCCCAGGAGGAGGGATCTGGCGTCGATGCCTCCATGTTGCCCCCTGGATAAGCGCATTTTGTAGTTTCTACCCCGTCCTTTTCTATCGTACTCTTTCCAGCAAAACACAAACAACCAAAAACATAATAAACGCGCACCCCAATGTAGACCATATTCGTTCATGATCTCGATCGCTCTTTCTTGTTTTTACGCTCGGGTTTATAAAAAAAAGATGGCAATTGAACTTGAACCGATGACCCACAACTCTCACTCTATTATGATACACGATTCAACTCACAACAACACGCGACCAATTCTGTGTCAATAAGATAGCCGAGTGTTGGTTGAGCGATAGCATTGATACCATAATGGTTCTCTGCCGTTCTACTGGAGTCTGGCAATGGTGACATGGAGTGTTGCATCTCCATCAGGGGCAGGGGTAGTTTATCCATTTTACCCTGGTTTATCCTCCTTCCCCCTGTGTGTATGCGATATGCGATATGCGAAGATGTTTGGATGTTTTGTTTTCTTCTTTGGGTTTCTCCGTTTTTCCTTTGGCTGTGTACCTGACCAAGCAAGCAAGCAAGTCGACACGCAATTGCAAATGAGTGAGTACGAGTGGGGTGAGTGAAGTGAGTTAGTGAGTGAGTGAGTGAGCAGTAGCTGGAAAGAGGGAAAGAGAGGTGAGTAACCTCTAGCTCGGACAGATCAGAGTCATACAAGTCACTCGTGCAATTTGATTGGGACAGCCAGGGCAGATGGATGCCACTGTATTGAATCCTTATACTTTTGTGTATTCTAATTCTAATCGGTAGCATTCACCTCGGACTTTTTTATTGCTTTTCATGCGCATGCTCTTCGCGCTTAAAAGGTCGCGGCATTTTCTTCCCTTTTTTGCTTTTCTCTTCTTTATTTCCCTCATACACATCTTCTCCCTTTTTCTTCCCTTTCCACCACCTATTCTTTCTCTTCTCTTTTGCAACAAGCAATACCCCTTTTGATCTACATCTTTCTTCCCACACAGCTGTTGCCCCTCTTCTCCTACCTTTCCTCTTCGTTTATCTCATTGTACGCTTACTCTTTGTCACATACACACCCACTTCCTTTCGTCTGTACACTTTCACACACCCTTTGCACATAACAATATCAATATCATGACGGTAGTTGCTAAAAAGTCCACAGTCGTCCTCCTCCCCGGAGACGGTGTCGGTCCCGAGGTCATTGCCGAGGCCCAGCGTGTCCTCGAGCTCGTCGCCAAGATCCGCGCACACAAGGTCTCTATTGACTTCAAGACCGAGTTGATCGGAGGTGCCTCTATCGATGCCCACGGTATGTCCCTTATTCTTTGTTCTATTTAGTTGTTCTAGTATTTGTTCTTGTCTTTCTTGGATGGAGTCACCTTATGAGCTTGGATCATGGGGCATCATCCATTTTTGTATGAGAGATACGACGCCAAGTGGACAAGATAACTAATCGTGACTACTTCTCTCTCTCTCCTTTTGATCTGATATCTTAATTCTCTTGAACTGGACCATTATGACAAACAGGCACCGCGCTCACAGATGAGGCGCTTGCGTCTTGCAAGGCCGCCGACGCCATCCTCCTCGGAGCAGTAGGAGGCCCCAAGTGGGCCACAGGAAACCCCAGACCTGAGCAAGGACTCCTCGCCCTCAGAAAGTCCCTCGACCTCTACGCCAACCTCCGCCCCTGCACCTTTGCCTCCGATTCCCTTATCTCCCACTCCCCCCTCAAGGAATCTATCGTCAAGGGTGTTGACTTCATGATGATCCGTGAGCTCGTCGGTGGTATTTATTTCGGTGACCGCAAGGAGGCTACGGAGGAGGATGGCTATGCCTATGACACCCTTCCTTACTCCAAGGCTGAGGTCGAGCGTATTACTCATCTTGCTGCTGCCCTTGCTCTCCAGCATGAGCCCCACTGGCCTATTCATTCGATCGATAAGGCTAACGTCTTGGCCTCGTCCCGTCTCTGGCGCAAGACTGTCACGGAGGTTATCGAGAAGGAGTACCCCCAGCTCAAGGTCGACCACCACCTCGTTGATTCCGCCGCTATGTTCCTCGTCAAGAACCCTCGTGGACTCAACGGTGTCATCTTGACCGAGAACATGTTTGGCGATATCCTCTCGGATGAGGCTTCTGTCATCCCAGGTTCCCTTGGTCTCCTCCCCTCGGCATCTTTGAGCGGTCTCCCCGAGAAGGGCAAGCCCTGCTTGGGAGTCTATGAGCCCATCCACGGATCTGCCCCCGATATTGCAGGCAAGGGTATTGCCAACCCCGTCGGTACCATCCTCTCAGCCGCCATGTTGCTCCGCTACTCGCTCGATTTGGAGGCTGAGGCCGTTGCTGTCGAGGATGCTGTCCGCAAGGTCTTGGATGGCCCCGATACTGCTGGTTACGAATTCCGCACCCGCGACTTGGGTGGTGAGAAAACCACCAAGGAGATGGGTGACAAGATTCTTGAGGTCCTCGAGAAGGAGCTTCTTGGTCTCAACGCTGCCGAGGGTGCCCCTATCTTCCGTCCCTTGGCTATTGGCCGCCCTGCCGGCCGCCGTGGCATGACCATCTCTGAGAAGATTATCGCCCACAACGCCATTGGTCTCACTGGCCCCGGTAACGTCAAGCCCGGTGACATGGTCTGTGTCTCTGTCGATTGGACCTTGGCCTCCGAGTTGACCTGGAAGGGTATGGACAAGACCTACGACCAGATGGGTCGCCCCTCCGTCTACCGTAATGACCGCTTCTGGCTCGCCGTCGACCACACCGTCGATCCCAGCATCAACCACCTCCCCAAGCCCACCGAGCTCATTAAGGCCTCGACCGATTTCGCAAAGGAGGCAAAGTTGATCGACTTCTACGGCGCCAACTACTCGATTCTCCACACTGAGTTCTATCGTGAGCGTGCCCAGCCCGGTCAGATGATCATCGGTGCCGACTCGCACTCTTGCTCTGCTGGTGCCGTCGGTGCCTTTGCTGTCGGTCTTGGTGCTGCTGATGTCGTCATGCCCTTGGTCACCGGTGAGACCTGGTTCAAGGTTCCCGAGACTGTCGAGATCCGCTTCGTTAACCAGCCTCCCTTCGGTATCGGTGGAAAGGACGCTATCCTCTACGTCCTCCAGCAGCTCAAGCGTAACACTGTCGCCTTTGAGCGTTCCGTCGAGTACACCGGTCCCGGTTTGAAGCACTTGTCGTGCGATGCCCGTTTCGCCCTCGCCAACATGGCCACCGAGTTTGGAGGTATTGCCGGAGTCTGTGAGGCCGATGAGACCACCGCCGCCTACATTGCCAAGCGTAAGAACCCCCAGCACAAGAACTCTGCCCTTTACTTCAAGGCCGACGAGGATGCCGAGTACGCCGAGACCCACGTCATCGATCTCTCCAAGGTCGAGTCCCTCGTTGCCCTCTACCCCGATCCCGATAACTGTGTCGATGTTGATGCCTGCTCTGGAACTAAACTCGACGGATGCTTCATTGGAGCCTGTACCACCGCCGAGGAGGATCTCATCTTGGCTGCCCTTGTCCTTGAGGCTGGTATGAAGAAGGGTCTTGTCCCCGCTCTCGGAGGCAAGCGTAAGGTTACCCCTGGCTCGGTCCCCATCGTCGCCAAGCTCCGTCGTCTCGGACTCCTCAAGATCTACGAGCAAGCCGGTTTCATCGTCGGTGCCCCCGGATGCTCTTACTGTATCGCCGTCGCTGCCGACCAAGCCGGCGAAGGTGAAGTCTGGCTCTCGTCCCAGAACCGTAACTTCCGTAACCGTATGGGTAAGGGCGCCATCGGAAACCTCGCCTCTGCCGCCACCGTCGCCGCCTCATCCTTCGACATGAAGATCCGCAACCCCCGCGACCTCCTCGACTCGATCGACCGTGTCCGCTACGAAGAGATGCTCGAGCAGTGGATCGAGAAGGGCAAGCCCGTCGTCTACTCCGAGCCCGTCCCCATCCTTTTCGATGAGACCGCCGCCGCCGGTGCCTCCCTCCCCGCCCCTCCACCCTCCTTCTCGGCCACCATCAAGGGCCGCGTCCAGCGCTTCGATGACAACATCGATACCGACGCCATCATCCCCGCCCAGTTCATGCCCGGAACTTCCGACGTCGACCTCGGCACCCACGCCTTCCAATTCGTCAAGCCCGAATTCCGCGACCTCGCCAAGCAAGGCTTCAACATTGTCGTCGGAGGCAGCGGTTTCGGTTCCGGTTCCTCTCGCGAGGAAGCCCCTCGTGCTCTCCTCGGTGCCGGTATTAAGGCCGTGATCGCCAAATCCTACGCTTTCATCTACGCCCGTAACCAGCCCAACATGTCCCTCCTCGGAATCACCATCGACAACGAGGCCTTCTACAAGGATGCTCAGGAGGGTGCCGAGATTGCGATTGATGTCAAGGATCGCAAGGTCCACTGTAACGGAAAGGAGTATCCCTTTGGATTGTCTTTGATGGAGGAGCGTCTGTTGGCTGGTGGTGGTGTGACAGAGATGTACAAGACCTATGGCAAGCAGCTCTTCCGTGTTGCCACTGCTCCCGAGACGGCATCTAGCTGTGGTAGTGAATCTGCTGCTGCTGCTGCTCCTTCCAAGAGCAGCTGTGGCGACGAGAGCGAGCTCGCCTGGTAAAATCCGTTTTCTGCAACACTTCAATCTCTCATTTTCATTCACATTGTAACAAACTTGTAAATAAACATCTTTCAAAGAAACATATCCGTCTTTTTTTTTTTGGGGGGGGGGGTGTTTCATTGATTTGAAAATGGGTCGGAGAAAAGATACAGCCGGATTATGAAGGATTTTTTAGTCACCAATGGTGCAGTAGACATTCAAAGCACGGTTCACAACAAGACAAGACAAACACCTTAAATACATTCCAAGACAGTGTGGAACACATATTCAAATTTAATTACAAAAGACATTCTCTCAAAAGTTACACCTCCTTGGTTTCCTTATCATAGTAACGATCAAGAACCTCCTTGGTCCACTCTCCAAAGCTGCGTCCATCCTCAGTAACAACAGTCTCAAGCGAAGGCTGCATGAAAACGGCAAACGTGTTCCTGGCCAAGGTCGCATACCTAGCAGGATCCCCCTCAGGGGCAGTCGCACCCCTCACACAATGTGGCGTGGCAGCCAACAAACCCCGGGTTGCCAACTGCAAAGCCTCACCAGTCTGGAATGCCAAATGGTCCCGAGGAATCGAGACCTGAATGACCTGCTGGCCACGGTTGCGGATATACAACCCAGCCTCCTTATCCGGACACGCGACTTCCTGGAGTCCATCCTTGGACTCATCAACAAACATGGCGCTCGTGAGACCAGTCAAGGACCCATGATCCAAATGCCACCCACACCACGAATCCATATCATCCCGCTTCTCGCCCTCGGTGACGCCGGTCTGTGGGAAGTAATGCAACAGTCTCGCCTTGGTCGTCTTGGATTTCTGGATGACATCTTGGAGGTGGGTGGGGGAGAAGGTGGTAGGGAGTTGGGCGTGGACAAAGGCATCACAGGTTTTGGCGACCTGCGCTCCGACGCCGACGATGAACTGGCCTAATTCCTTGAAGGCCTGCTCGAGTTCCGGGAGGGAGTCCTTGGGCCAGACGTTAGGGTGGCAGTATTCGGGGAACTGCTCCTGGAGGGCCTTAGAGGCCTCGGGCTCGTCCATCATCGGGTTGGCGTAGTAACTTCCCTTGGATACATCTATGTTCAGCGTGAGAAGAATATTAATGAGAAAATAATGGTCAGCCGAGGAAAAGTGCGCAAGAAAAAAAAAAGTGGGTCAACATGCATTGTGAAAATGTGGAGTGCAGATTCCTGGTCGCACAAACTAGTCTAAACAACACGGCGGGTTCCCGTCCTCTTCCTCTTCTACCTCTAGTTTTTCTCTTTTTCCGTTTGGCGCCCTTTTTCGTTTTCGTTTTGAGCATTTTTGTGTTGTCCTTGTGTTCCGTCGTGTTGACCTTGATGTGAATTCATGCTCCAGGAAACGGATTATTTTCAACCCCAGCAGAGAAAAAGTACTCCTCGTCGTGATAAAACGTCAACTTCCGAGAGAGTCGCTCCGTTTGATGTTCATGTTTCCCACGGAATATCCCAGTTCGTTGGCAAGTTCGGCTCCGTCATGTATCCGAACAGTTCCCCCCCACTCCCCCATTTGCGGCGCCCTCCTCTACTTCCTCTCAGGTCTCCAATGCCCGTCTACCCATGGTCCCGGACCCGCAACAAAACCAACAAAACAACAAAACCAAAAAAGGACCTATCATTACCAGGCTTGCCGTTCATGATTTCCTTGCCACAGCTCCACCCAAAAGAATACCGACTCGCGGCATGAACAGTCTTGTCCTTTGCATCCTCGGGAAGCGCAGCAAAGACAGAAGCCAATCTCAAAAGACGCTCTCGGAGGGCAAGGTAAGTAGGGGGGAGGTTCTTAACGAGCAAGAGGCCAAGACAGTGGTCGTGGGATCCAAAGGCTTCTTCGATTTGGGCCGAGACATCCTTGTTGGTGACCAGGTCCTGGTAGTCGATGACGACGGCTTTGTTCTATTAGTGGAAAAAATGTCCGAGAAACAAGGGAGATGAGCAGAAAGAGTTGAATGTCAGTTGAAAAAGTGTTTTGTGGTAATGAGGTTTATGGCTCATTCCGAAAGGCGAGAGGGGAGCGTCGGTGTTGGGTGTAACTTGTTGTTGACGGCGTATTACCTGGGTCATGGTGTTATGGTTGTGGTTGTTGTGGTTGTTGTTCTGGCGTGGGAGAGTACAGAAAAGGGGAAGAAGAGAAAAGTTGGAGGCAAAGGGGATTAAGAACAAGTGGTTTGTGGGGAAAAGCGAGGCTAGGGATTGGACTGCTTTTGAGACATAGGGGATGGTGCTTGACTGACAGTCGCCTCTCATCTCCAATGCCACGAACTACACTCTGCTGAAGCTGTTAATTTACCTGGACAACACATGGTAGGATATTGATAGTGGTGTATCATGCAGCATGTACGATACCCTCCGGCCTTTGAATGATTGTCCTATCCCTCGCTTCCATGCCCATGCAAATTGTCCCGCAGGCTAGCCCGACGGCTGACTCCCTTCTACTACAGTGCACGTGAGCCACGGAGCAACGGGTGAAGTCTCAAAGCGAAACCGTCACTTTCGAGTGGGAGAGACAGGGAGATCACCTTTCAGCGTTTCAGGGCACTCCGCACCTTTTTTTCAAGCCTTTTCATCGCACTTCACATCTCTCCTTCACTCACTCACCCAAACACAACAACTCATCCAACAGCAACCATGGGTCTCCGCAGTTATTTCAAGCAACTCAACTACAGCTACGAGGTCACCACAGGACTCTACATGCTCGAGCCATGGGAGAAGGCCGTCTTCAGTACGTTTCCTTTCACCCATCTATGCGAGATGAGAACAAGCACACAAGGAACGAAGGATGCAGGATACTCTAGCGAGATGATGAGATGCAACGAGGGAGACAAGATGGGTTTTTCATCATGACTCTCTTTCTGTGTTCAACTTGGAGACTATTCCAATTGCTTTCTTCTGGATGCCGCCAAAGAAACCCGCACAGAAGCAACAAACAGCTTGACAGGAACGAACCCTGTCGACTTTTATAGCGTGAACGAAAGGAGATAAACTAACGTCTACCTCCCCTCACTTCATTTGTACAACCACCTTCTTTTCCATTGTAGACTCGGTTGTGATGCTGGGACTCTTGTTGACAACATACGCGACCTACAACTACCTCTCCAAGCTCACAGGAGGATTGTTTTAAGCAGCCCATTTCTGCCCTTGTCCCTCTTGTCTCCTTTCTACGATCTCATAGCTCCTTCTTGTCTACTAGTTAACCCTCCTAATCTGAAATACATTTCTTCTCTTTCCAGCTATGTTCCTTGTACAGAGGTTCACTATGCAATGCTACCAACGCGTCTTCAAATATTATTTTTCTTTTGCTTTTCTCCGTTCTTTGCCTACAAAAACTATCTGTGGACGACCAAGTGCTGGGTCTGGGTCTAGACGACTTTTACTGGGAACTGGGGCCAGAAAGGCGAAATGAATGAGTGAATGATATCTCAGATGTACAAGCGACATGGTATCTGAGTTGCACGTCTCGTTAATGAGTCTCGGCCCTTATGGATCCAAACTACATTCCTTCGCGACCATTCGACTCTCTCTCTCTATCTTTACCTGTTTCTGACACCAAATATGTAAATATGACCTCTTACTACGTCCATCAGTCTCTCCCTCGTGGCAAGTTCATAATAACAATCCAGTTGACATGCTCGCAGCAATAGAATACTTCTTCACCAAGAGCCGCTCCTTTGGAGGAAGAGTACTAGATTACTGACGTGCAAGCGAGCGTGGCAATCAACCCTAGACTTAGCCTAACTCTGCGAGTGACAAGAAAAGGATAAGAGCAAAGACGACACCATCAAAAAAAAGTCCAAACTTAGGCGCACGGAATGATCGTGTGGCCACTACTTTCCTGAAACGACCAAACAGGCCCAAAAAAAAAAAAAAAAAAAAAAAAAAAAAAACAAACAAACAAACAAACAAAAGGCAACAATGCGAGTTAGGCTCCCTTTGGATCATGCGAGTCCACACTTTGCATAGATTTGAGATCTCTCCTTTTTGTTCCTTCCCTTTTTGTTCTGTGGGTCGCTTACCTACAGTAATGTTGTCTTACTGTCAATGGCTTACTCGCCGAGGATTATTCCTCCCGCGGGGAAAGAAGGATGTATAACCTAAATAATAACAAAGTTGTTCGTTCACTTTGTCTTTTTTTGATAGCTTTTTTTAACTTTGCCACCATTATTCTTGATGAGCTGTCTGGATGATGAAACAAGTGTGTATATGCGTAGGTGTACGAGTACATGCATGCTGAAAGGAGATCGAAAAAAAAACCCCAGTATGTGAGCCAACATGCCAAAGGAAAATGAACATTGATGATCCGGTGGCGCCGAGGAGAAAAAATGTGGAAACGAAATAATAAACGGCAAAGAGTTGAGGGAAAGGAATTTGGGTCATGCTGCTGGCATCTTTTTGAATCCGTTTGGTGTATGACAAAGGAGACAGGGGTAGCCAATGTGGCAGTGCGAAGGAAGGAGAAAGAAGGAGAAGGAGGGTTTGTAATGATGGATTGAGTTGGGTAGATTTGCGATCATCCGAAGGAGGGACCCCTCGCCGCCTGGATGCGGGATCCATCAGAAAAGGCGGTGCAAAAGTTAAACAAAAAAATGAACGCCATGTGTGCAAGAGCGAACTCGCCGGGGAGAAAATAAAAGCGAGGGCTCTCGCTAGCGAGAAAGGGGAATGAAGTTTGAGAACTGCTCTCATACATCTGGGCTTGGTAAGTTGGAGGCGAAGTTTATTATTTCTGTTCCTGTTGTTCAAAAAGGGTAAAAGTACGGAGGAGGGATGGATAGTTGCAAGGCTCAGAGAGGCAGGGCTGAGGGTGTTCAAGTTGCACGACAGACAGGTGAGTAGATGAAAGTTAAAGAAGTGAGTGAGAGCGTAGAAGACCCAGTTTGTCCTTTTCGGTCGCACCATTTCCCCCACTTGCCCTGTTATTGTTATAATGTATCATAACGAGGAGATCACCCCCATCTGTACAGCACATCCGTCGCCATTGATGCATGGTGTATGTGCGTGGTTGAGTGAGAATGAGTGTGACAGGATAAACCATCGCCGCGAAAGCAAGGAGAAAGCACAAGGAAATAAACAAATGCCAGGGGATAGTAGAAAGAAACAGAGACTAGGCCAAAGCAAGGGTAAGAGGATACCCGAAGATGAAAATTGCGGAAAAAGAAAAATCAGGCCGATGGTGCATGTCCGCATCACTCGACAAAAGGGCAGTAATGGGGACAAGAACGGAGGAGAGAAGGCAGGAGAAGAGAAGGGGGAGGCAATTGGACGAAGAAAGTGGGAGAGAACGATGAAGCAAAGGGAAAGAGGACAGGGACAGGCAGGAAGGGGCGTCTTCCACCTCTTTCTTTATCTTTATCTTTTTACACTCTGCTTTGCATAGAGGAGTGCAACATGACTTTCACTTCAACCCTTCTGCTCTCACACCTCCAGCTCCTTTAAATTTCGCCACTTTTGTTCTCCTTCCACTTTTTTTTTTCTCTTCTTCTTCTCTCTTCTTCTCCACTCTTCTTCTCTACTCTTCTTCTCCACTCTTCTTCTCTACTCTTCTCACACACTTCCACACATTCTCTCTTTCACTCTCGGATCTTTTTGTTTTCACCCCCTCCTTTCAACCTCTTATCGTTCTGTTCCACAAAAAGCTTTACTCTTGATCCCCTCCTTTCGCCCAAATCCTATCTCAGGAACACACCCTTCTCTCTCACACGCACGCACTCTCTCTCCCACACATACACAGCACAATCATGGTTCATGAAGCATACTTCAAGCGCCCGGCCGAGTATTACCGACGCACCCAGTGGACTTATCCAGGTATATCATTCTTGCCTCGCTTTTGCACCTAAATGATCCCACTCCGGGAATGATCAGTCATTCAAGTTGAACCTCTCTCGAACAATGGAAACTGAGTGTTGTGAAAAGGAAAAGGAGGGGGGAAATGAACGACATTCAGTTTTTTGTGCCTGGGCGGTCTCGACCAATTGGACAAAGATCGGTAAATGGCAAGTCAGTAACCAACCAACCACCGCAGAAGAGGAGGAGGACGAAGGAAGAACAATGACGAGAAGTGAGAAACTCAATTTCGTAGTCAAATTAGCTGTCCACATGTCCTCGAAAAACTTTATTCCGTACCTATTTTTCCACTCGCGTGCATGAGAAGGAAGGCCAAAGCGAACAAAGAACAAAGCAAAGAGCAATGGCTAGGTTGGAGGCGTAACTTGTGTGCAATACACAAAACACACATGCATACACCAACAAACATGCTTCTATTTGTTTGCTAACCATTTTTTTATGCGATGTGTTCATTCCTTACCTCCCGCCCAAACGATAAACAGACACCCTTCGAATCCGCGGATCGGTAATCCCTTCGGTCATCACAGACGTTATCATCATCACATCCTTTGCTGCCACGCTCCTCGCCGTCGAAAAGTCAAATGTCCTGGGCAGGTCACTCAACGTCGCCTCCGTCATCGGTAAGTTGCCCATCTTGATGCTGATTCTGAAGCAATCGAACGAAGCAAACTCACGTCGATACTCATCGTAAACACGCTCCTCTTTTCACCCAATAGTGCCGGCACTGTCGGTGGTGGTCGGTTTGATTCTAGCCTTTCGTACAAACACTGCTTACGATCGCTTTTGGGAGGGTCGCAAGCTGTGGGCCAGTCTAGATGTGCAGATTCGCAACTTTTCGCGTATGGTTTGGGTCGGTGTGAAGGATACCCCTCACGTTCATGATGGGGGTTCATCATCCTCGTCGGGTGGAAGCAGCCCCAAGCGCAACCTCCTTCACAGTCACCTCCTCTTTGGCCGAAGCAACAGCTCGCTCAAGACGAAAGGTGGTGCAAACGGCAACGGAAGCGGCAGCGGAGTTGTTGAGAGTCGCGTCCAGAACGTGTCGAGTTCGACCTTAATCGACATTGACTCTCCCCCTACTCTTCAGCAGCAACAGGTTGATTCCGAGGTTCACGCGGATGACTATGAGAAGCTTGTGTGCATTCGTCTGTTGTTGGCGTTTGCAGTCTCGGTCAAGCACCATCTCCGTCAAGAGTTTGGCGTCCGTTACTTTGACTTGGAAGGACTCCTGCCCAAAGATTACGAACCCTGTGCTGCCTACGAGACTGCTGAGATAAGAATGGAGCATGACAAAGCCCTTGGAGACCGCCAGCTTCACCGCCATTACAACGAGGATCTGTGGACCATTGTGTCAGGAAACGAAGATGGTCAAATGTCGCTTCCCTTGGAGATTGCGCATGGTCTGTCGCTGTGGGTGATTACCCAGTCGCGGGCCAGCCAGATCGAGAGCGCGCTGGTCGGCAACCTGTTCACCTCGATCAACTCTATGACCGACATCTTCACCAACATGGAGCGCATCGTCTTCACTCCTATCCCTCTCGCCTACAGTATCCACTTGTAAGTTTCTTTTTGTTGCTGCACACTACACCGATTGCCCACTTTTTTGGTTTCGGGGGAAGGGATGCTTTGCTTTGCTGCACTCTTTCTCTCTCTCTCTATCTCTCTCTGCTATTTTCCTATTTCGAGGCTGTGCTTCTGGACAAAGAAGGGGACAAACAGGAGCGACGAAGGGACAGGATGGCCAAAGCAGAACAAAAGGCAGGACGGGATTCCTATCTCTCCCCACTAGCACAAGCTAGACCTATCTGCATCCACCTGTCTATTGAGATCAACCGCCCTTCTCTCCCCCATAACGATCATGCAAACCACACGTACACTCTCACTTTTCTTCTCTTTCTTTCGTTTGCCTATCCTTCACTCTCTCTTCTAACTTGTCTGTCTTCTCCTTCTTCTCTCACCTATTGTCTCTTCTAGGCGTCAAGTGGTATACCTGTACTGCCTCGCTCTACCATTCACCTTCCTAAACGTTTTGGGTTGGCTTGCCGTCCCCCTGATGTGCCTTGTATCCTTCACGCTCTTTGGAATGGAAGCCATTGGTCGCGAGATCGAGAACCCGTTCGGAAAAGACGAGAATGATCTGCACATGGATGAGTTCTGTCGTGACCTGAAGAGGGAGTTGGATTATACTATCAACCTGAAGAACACTGTTCCTGGATGCCACTTGTAGATACCTGTATAGAGAGTTAGGATAGGATAGGATAGGATAGGGGGAACCCCCCCCCCCCCATCCTTTTCCGTTCGAGATCAAGCCATAGATACTGCAGGCAGTTCTGTTTTCTTTTTGACTTGTTTGTTTTTTTTCTTTTCCTTATCAGTTGCATATTAAAATATTGAAGAAAAAAAAAATCTTTCCACAGCTCAACACCATAACGCAGATGTTCAGGACACGACAAAAAGCGGTTCCACTTGCAGTGTGTGGATGGACAGGAACAGGTTGCACAAAAACGATTGCAAATGCCTTCCTTGACGAATAGTCCTCCACGACCCTAGACCTTTGTTCTCTTCTCCCTTCTCATTCTTTCATCGCGTGGATAGGTGGCAAATTGAGAGAGAGGGAAGGGGGAAAAAAAAGAGCCCAAAGGCAGAGGATCAGAAGAGAGAGAGAGAGAGAGAGAAGATCGGGCAAAAAAAAGAATTTGTGATAGAGTAGGTTGTGAGCAATTAGTATGCCGGTAGGTGGGTGAAGGTACTGGGCCGGGGCGTCTTTTTTTTTTTCTATTAATCAGTGATGAGCACCAGGGAAGAAAGGGACTGGGGAAAGACAATACGCTCGTATTTTTTTCCCCTGTTTCTCCTTTTTGTCTGTGGTAAACGGGAACAAGGCGTACATAACGGCGGTGGCAGTGTATCTTTCAACAAGCAACTGACGTTGAACGACAAGAAGATATGCATCAAAATGCAGTGATGATGATACAAAAAAATGAATGAGAGTATATTTTTGAATGTGGGTAGTGCATGAAGAAAAAAAACAAAAATAGAAAAAAGGAATAACGATAAAATAGTCCGTTCTGTGCGTTTTTTTGTGTTTCTCTTTTTTTTCTTTTGTGCTATGATGGAAGGGTGCAGGGAGTAGGAGAATAGCTGTTCTAATAAGTGCGTGTGGTAGGTCTAATAAGGGGAAGAGGCATTGATTTAAGCTTGATCGTCGCGGTAACGCTCCTGGCGTCCCGACCGGTGCTGACGGCGGCTATCGACCTCATCCTCATCCTCCTCATCATCCTCATCGCCAATCTCGAACGAGTTCTGGCCACCACGACCGCTGTTGGTAAGCAAGATATCGCCGTCCCGATGACCACCGACTCTGTTGTAAGGAAGAACACCTTTACCCTTGTCCTCGACCAACTTCTTGCCTGCCGTCTTCCAGAAAATGAGTCCTCCGACCGAGAGGACAACGAGTGAACCAACGACGCCTCCAAAGAATGTCGAAGATGATGACGATGAGTTGTCGGGGGTCTTGACCTCGGGCTCGCTGGCGTGGGCGCTGTCAGGGTTGGTGGTGGCGGGAGGGGTGGTACCGGGGTTCAGTCCACCAGGAGGGGCGGTATGTGTGTCGTCACCGGGAGTGGCCGCATCGCCCTGGCCGCTGATAGGTACTTTGTTGAAGTACTCGCCGAGGTTGGTCTCGTCCCATCCGACCCACTTGTACGATCGAGCGGCGCCGGGGTATCCTCCATAGTATCCATCGAGACCGAACGTAAACGTCTCGCAGTTCGAGTCGGTATAAAAGTTGATGGTCGAGTTCTTGGGGGCAAAGGTCAGGTAGGAGTAAGGCAGGAAGGCATTCTCGGAGGCATAGCAGGTGTTGAAGAGGACCTCCTCTGTTGCGAGTTCGATGTTGCCGTCGTTCGAATAGAGAATGCTGACTTTATCGGTTGCCAGGGGAGGGGCGGCGCCTGCACCGGTGTCCTGTGCTTGTGCGGAGGTGGCGAGGAACATGGCCAGGGCGGATGCGCCCAAGAGAGATGTGGCGAAGTGCATGATGAGTCGAGTTTGCCGGGATCCGGATGTGCGTATTCTTGAGTGGTGGGTGTTATGTGATGAAAGGAAAGGAAGGGGGAATGGAAGGGGTGACGGAGAAAAGGGAAAAGATGATGGAGAAAAGGGCACCCATACTCTGAATACTCTGAACTGAAAGAAAGTGGCTTGGTCTTTTTTTTCTTGTCTTCTCTTTTTTTTTTTCTATTTTTATCCAGCAAAATCTCCTTTGGGCGTGGGCGAGGGCACTGCTGGACATGCATTCGATGTCCAACACACCCTAGCCACAAAGGAGTCGACTCTTCTATTACTTCTTTTTTGAGGTGTGGGGCGGCAGTGGGAACAGACGCCTTTGCTTGTCAGTGACCGCCAAATGCCACATGCGATAAACACAAGTCTGCTGGACACACACGCCTCCCACGTTCAAGCATCTTTGTTACTTTGAGACCTGGACCTTCTCACTTCTGCAGTTGCAGATGAGAGTAATTAATCTGCCAATTGACGAACAGCGATGCTTATTAAATTGATTCTTTTTAGCGAATAAAGGATGTTCTTGCTCGCTTGTACATTTTTTTCAAGGTAAAGATGCCTTTAAAAGTGGAACTGGCGAAGTGTCCCTGCTTGCACATTGTCAACCTCACTTTCCATAATATCCATGCACCTCAGACCCAACAGGATGTCGATGATTGATCAGACACTCGAGTAGCTCTGCTCGCCTGGGCACGGTTGTTCCCTGTATTCTGCTACAGCTCGTCCGCAAAGGCACCCGTCCTCTCGGAGTTCCCACCCATCTGTTTGTGGTCACATGTAGATCTGTGTCCACTGTGCCCTCTGGTCCTTGGTTGTGCGTGTGCGCTTCATGCTGTTGATGATGCTGTTCTTCTGGGAGAAGCTGCCTTATGGCGTGGCACAATGTACCCATTTACACGTGACTTGTCCGACTGGGCTTCGACATTATTTTTTTTCTTCATTTTACACTTTTCCCCTACAACCGACCCTGTTGAATCACCAACGCCACCATCACCTTCAGGGACATGGTCTACTCTTTCCGACAAGGGTCCCTCTCACACCCAGGACACTTTTGGGCACTTGACGTCACTTACTCTCTTTGCCTGGACGCACTTCGGCAGAGCTCAGGATCTCTTGAGGAGCGAGAAGCCCGCACTCTTTTGGGTGTGACCCTAGACTACAATAAGCCTCCGTTATCTAGATGGAGCAGGTGCTCTTAAGGATTCTTACTTGTGCTAAGATTAACCCATGTCCTTTGGGTCGTGATGGAAGAGGCGTTAGCGACGGCAGCAGAGGCCAAATTGCCATTGGAAAAGCTCTTTTCCTTGGCGATAGAACAGAGTGTGCGATCTTCCTAGCGTTTCTTTTTTTCCTTTATTGACGAAAGTGGAGTACTGTTCATCCATCGCCATTGCACAATCAGATATTCGTCTTGTCAATAAACAGGAGACACGGGCATTACGCCTTTAATCGGACAGTGCGCACGGATGATATCATGGCTCTTGAAATTTACTCACTTCCGTTCATAAAATAAAAGGCTCCAAGAAAGACGCGACATGGTAATGGAGAAACAATGGGAATGGTCGACAATTCTTCAGGGTTTCGTGACTGCTTCGGGAGTCTGTGGAGGAGATGAAGAAAAAATTATGTGCGTCTCGTTTCATTTGGATCCTGCAGACATTCTCACGCACTCACTTACTTTTTGTCCACTTCCGCTCTCTTTTCTACTTTCTCGTTTCTTCTTCCTTCCCAACCCATCCCTATCCTTCCACATCCACAGATCATATCTACTCCGCGCACTTGATTGTGTAGCACTAATACTCCTCTCCACTTGTAAATATCCCTTCTCCCTTGTACATATTTTTCATTTTTCTTTGTGCTCTGCGGAAGTACAAGCTGTACAACACAACACCCTACACTGTTACGCTATAATACTTCAACAGAACGCTTTTCACTTTTTTTGACGTCAGTAAAACACGCATACTACAAACATGGTTCACTCCATCATGCGCGTAAGTTTGCATTTCAGACTTTTTATGTTGTTCTTTCTGTGTGGGAAAATACAGGCAGGGGAGTGAAAACAAGTACATGGACACCAGACTCAACTCGGTGCATTCCTCTTGCCCTTCTTAGCCCATGACAATCGCTGCTGCTGCCGCGCTTGTCGCCAGCAGTGTTCGCGCTTCGTTCAACCCTGTCTATGCCGACGAGACTGTAAGTCCTTTGTGCTGTGGTTATTCACTTGTACAGAAATGAGAAAGTGAGCACAGACCAAGAGGGCCAACTTCTTGTGTACTCACTGTTTGTGGCCTGTTCCCCGTTGTTTTTGTTGCATGGTTGGTGGGATAGGAGGAACAGAGCGGACTCGATCACGGCCACCGTGCGAGTTTGTTCCCCCACCTTGCAGACAAGTCCGAGATTAAACCCGAGGAGGTCAAGTCAAAGTTCCGTCGCGAGGCCAACAGCCGGAACCATAACCACGCCAACACGCGCTCGGTCATTGCACCCGAGGAGGATCTCTTCCCTGGGCTTGCTTATGTCGCCATTGCTGGTCTGACTGGATCCCTTGCCGCCCGCCAAGGTATAGATTCCTCTACTTGTGTCATCACGATATAATAATTCCTCGCGTCATGTTCCGAGTTTCACATTCCAACAAAACAGTTTAAACTTTTTCTTTGATCAACGAACGAATAGGTGGTACACTATTGAAAGCCTTATCTCCAGTGGCCTTCGCCTCCGCCGCCGGATACTACTTCCTCCCCCACACCACTCGCAACCTCCTCGGTGTCGACCAACCCTCATACGACAGATGGGCTTCTTCCCATGTCTCATCCTCCTCATCCCACTCCTCAACTTCAGCCCTCCCCCGCGCTGATCTAGCTTACAAGGCCCGCGAGGCCTGGCACACCGCCGAAGTCAAGTCCGACAAGATCGACACCAAGATCGACAACAAGACCCAGGAGGTCAAGCACATCGCCGAGGACTCCATCAAGACCCAGGTCAACGACGCAAAGGCCAAGGCCACTGACGCTATCGGTAACGCCAAGGGCTGGGTCGAGGACAAGTCTCGCCTTGTTGGGCGCACTATTGGGAATGCCTCTGCATCTATCCCATCTGGCTCTGGCTCGCCGTCCCTCAAGTCAGAGACTGAGAAGAGTTGGTTCCATCACGATCAGAATCGTCACCCAGAGTCGACCACTCGTACTTCCAAGTACTGGTTCTCAACCCGCTCCGGAACTGCTGGTGTTGGTGCTGCCGGTGCTGCCTCTGGCCCCGAATCTCATGACCACTGGAGTACTGGTGAGGAGCAAGGCACCTCCAAGGTCCGCGAAGATGATGGGTACTGGTTCCGTCAGGCTGGTTTCAACAGCAGCGGTGGTCTTGACAACAAGGACGTCGATGTCTGGTCATCGACCAAGGAGGAGATGGGAACTTCTCGTGTGGGTGAGTCTCCCTATGCCAACAGCCACCGCAACATCTTTATCAGCAGTCACCTCCCCCACGAGACCGAGTATTGGACCAACGGCCAAGAGATCTCCTCGGCTGATATCCGTGATGCCAGCTACTACAACTGGCCAGGTAGCCTCAACTCTGCCTCCCTGGGTCGCTCTTCCTGGTGGGACCGTCGCTTCCGTAGCTCTCCTGGTGATTTGGACGCCAGCGTCTCTATCAAGCCCAGCACCGAGTCTATCGCCTGGGAGTCCAAGCAAGCTGCTGAGCGCGCTGCTCTCGATCTTGCCAACCGTCTCGCCCAGGAGCAGTCTAATCTCGAAAAGAAGGTTTTCGATACCAGGACCAGAGCTGAGGCTGCCGCTCGTCAGGCCAAGGTTACCAGTGATGCTTTGATCCACGAGCGCCAGGTCTCGATGGAGCGTAGCGCCAAGGAACTCGAGAAGCGTTTCGCTACTGAGAAGGCTGCTGCCGATCGTGCTGTTGCTGACGCCAAGGCCCGCGCCCAGGCTTGGGAGCTTGAGCAACGCACTTTGGCTGAGCAGACCGCCCGCGAGGTTCAGGAGCGTGTCTTGCGCGAGAAGGCTGAGGCTGATGCTGCTGCTCGTGAGGCCAAGGCTCGCGCCGAAGCTATGCTCCTGGAGAAAAAGCGGCATGCTGAGTTAGCTGCCAAGGAGATGAAGCAGAAGCTCTCTGCTGAGAGAGCTGAGGCTGAGGCCCTTGCTGCCAAGAACCGTGCCGAGTCCAACCTTGCCGAGAGAAAGCGCGCCGCCGAGTTGTCTGCCCGTGAGTCTTCCAGCTCGATCTCCCGTGAGCACAGCGCCGACATTGAACGTGAGGCTCGTCTCCGTTCTCAGTTGGATGGTTTGAAGGCCGAGATGCGTGATAACGCCTCTTCGTCTTCCTCTAGCAGCAGCTGGAGCTGGCCTTGGTCTCAATCGTCGACCACCACTACTACCAGCACTACCTCGACCAAGCACACTCACGACCACAGCCACGATGGTTTCGACACCACCGGACATCTCATGGAACACATTGTTGAGGACATCAAGCAGACCAAGGATGATATTTCCGATGGTCTTCACAACTTGAAGGATGCCGTCCTTGGTGCTGAGGCTAAGGCTGCAGAGGCCACCACCAAGACTAAGGAGAGCATCGTCGGAGCCGTCAACGCTGCCATGCCCGAGCGTCGTAGCTGGTGGTCATCTGGTTCCTCATCCTCCACCTCCTCCCCCGACATCACCACCAAGATCTCCGAGCTCGGAACCGGCATCGAACATGTTGCCACCAAAGCCGAACGCGACGTCAATGCCAAAACCGAAGCCGTTGGCAGAGACATGTCCGAGACCGCCCGCAAGGCCTACGACAATGTCATCGATGCCGCCGTCACCGCCGAGGGCCAACGTGTCTACACTCACCACCACCACGAGCACCAAGGTTCCGCTAATGGCCGCGACGACCACAACCTGATGGATCACATCCGTGATGACCTCCAAACCACCAAAGAAAACCTCCAAAGTGGCATCGATTCCCTGAAGGAAACCATCTTTGGAGCCGAACAGACCGCGAACAAGGCCGCGTCCGAGATCCAGGACGGAGTGAAACAAGCCAAGGATGAGGGTCGCCGGTGGTGGAGTGCCAAGACCCACGAGACCGAAAAGTCTGCGAACCGGTTGGAATCTGAACTCCATGCTGGGTTGAACAAAGCTGGTGATAAAATCCAGGAATTTGATGAGAGCTTGAACAATGTTCCTGCAGATCGTGAGGCGGCTTCGGATGATGATTATTGGTTCCATGCTGAGCAGGCCCGTCAGCAGAAGTCGAGACGCGGATCCGGTCGTGCCATGTAAAAAAAAAAAACTAGACGGTTTGCCAAAAATGAAGCGCTTTGCTTTGCTTTAAAATAAAGAATCGTGTCATTGAAGCTGAACGCGTCCCTCCTCGCTCCCAGACAAAAAAGAGAGAGAGCCGCCTCAAAAGCGACAAAAGATGATGGTAGAAGTGGGATTTGAACCCACGCCTCTCTCGAGACCGCAACTTGAGTGCGGCGCCTTAGACCAACTCGGCCATCCTACCAGATCTTGTGAATAGATGTTTCATTTGCATATTTGAGCCTACTGTAACAATTCCGCATTGCACGTGACCATATTAAGGGGTAGGATATGGTCACGTTTACCCTCGCCTTTACCCTGAGGCCCCGTGTCCGGACCCTAATGTCTATTACTAAGACGGTCCTGCACAAGTTTTTCTTTTGGCTACCAGGAGACGCAGGCCTCGGAGCTGATCTAGAAACCTTGGTGCTCCAAGACGATCGCATGGGAACAGACTCAGGGTATCTCTGCCAAGAACAAGATATCCAAGCACACAGGCCCGCAAGGCGGCTGGAGTCAAGGATACGGTTACATCACCCGCGATGGTTTCTGCCCGTGTAGCGCGCTTCGCTAGCCACACATGATGAAGGAAGGTGCCCTGGAGCGACCAAGGACCCACGCGCTGCTGACGAGCGGTTGTTGGAGAGTTTTTTAGGAAGGAGGAGGTTGTTAATGATGGAGAGGATGGGAAGAATCCCCTTTATTCGTATCTAATTTTATTTCTTCTGTTTTAAGCTTTTGTCTTCCGTTTAAGCTGTATGAAGCAGCGACAGGTGCTGTGCTAGAGCCAGGGTTTTAGGCCGGACTGTAACTGGTGGATGCACTGAACAGTTTGGTCTGTAGCCCCGTTACTCCCAACAAATGCCTTCTTCGTGTTGTTTGTCAGAGAAAATAAAATCATGAAAAAAAAGAGGGGGTGAGGTCGAGGCGCTGGCGAAAAACGAAGCCTGAAGGACCGCTATCGATGGTAATAGTATGCGAGTGAAATTGATGTAGGGGTAAAATGCAAATGCTTGAATATATGTATCCTCTTCGGAGGTGAGATAGGTGTTGCAGGTGGAAGGTGTGGGGGAAGCAGGGAGGCGAGGGGAGGCGAGGGGAGGAGGATCACGTATGGACCCACAGGACGGGAGCAACAAAATACGCGTTTCGAAAAAAATAAAAAAGAGTAGTCTACCGGAATAAATGCACAGAGCTCCTTGAGATGGATCTCAACACAACGGCAATAAGATATCATTGAGCAAACAGAAAAGAGGGGTGAATTGCTTATGCAAAGGGAATGTAAAACGACACTGGAACAAGAAGGATAGCAGACGGATGAATGACCAAGAGGGACGGAGGAGGAAGAGGAAAACGCTCAAATGACCTACATTAGCATTTGCGCCCTGAATCACGTCCTCGTGAACTGAACGGATCAAAAGTGCAAAAATAATTCGAAATAGGGGCATTGACCACTTGGCAATGGAAGTCTTTTTGTTGTTGTCATGTCATTTGTTTTTTCTTTTCTCTCTTTCTTTCTTTCTTTTCTTTTCAGTTCTTGCTCTTCATCCACCACCATCACAATCTCTCCACTCCCCACTCTCGGGAGCGCCCTTTCCTTCAGGAATCACCATCCTTTTAATGACCCTTTGATCCAACTGCCTTTTTTTCTTTTTTTTGTTATCAGCCTCTTCGTTTTTTTCCTGCATTTTTCTTCTTGTTTATATCGTACATCGCCTCCAAATCCTTTACCCTTCACCTTGTATTTATTTTACCGTTCTCGTTAACATCTTTCTACAATGGATCCAATCATCACCTCCTTCGCCACCACGGACCCCACCACAACCACAACCGCCAGCCCCCGAGACGAGTCCGACGCATCGATCACCTCTGGGTCCTACCGTTACAAGAAGGTCCATGTCCCATTGGCATACCCCTCCGAAGCCATCCAGCAGTCGACAACAAAGGCCTACATCTACCCACCCCTCATGTCCCCCTCTGACGACGCCTTCTACAAATCCGCCCTCCCTTCCCAAGCAACGCCCCCAACCCCCGCATCCAACTCTTCCCACTCGGCGTCTGTGGCCTTTTCGACACAACCGATCAATATCCCGTCCTCGAATGCCTCGCGATCGAGGGAGACGGAGAGTGGCCGGTTTGGTGGACGACCGCTTCGGTCGTCTGCTTCCTTCCCTAACTCTCGTCTTGGCTCGCTTCCAAACATGTCCCCTTTGCCCTCTTCTCCAGTGCAGCAGCAGCAACCGATGCCGTCGCCACCACCATCGCCCTGGAAACGATCCAACAGTTTCTCACGCCCATCGGTTCATCGATCGGCGACGTTGATCGTGGATGAGACGCCGTATCCAGATCTGCCGGCGGAGGTGCGGGCATGGAGTAGTGCCCATGTAGCCGAGTACCTTGGGTACAGTCTGCGACGGTACCCTCGTGCCATTACTGAGGACCTTGGACGTTATGTCCGCCAGGCAAGTTGGAAGCGCTAAAAAGAAATAGGGTGTGATGATCTGTCCTCTTGATCAGTCTGATATGCCCCTTTATTTTGGATCGGATTGCAGGGGTTTGTTTCTAGTCGTGGTCACTGGATGTTTGTTTGTCTTGCATTCTGATGTAATCATTCTGTGTTTGTAAAATAGACGGCGTGCCTGAATGGGGCCCAGTTCCTGGATCTGTCCGAGGAGGACCTTGGTAAGCATCATTGAAGAGACACACCATTTCGTCGAATATATGCATGCATTTATGCACAATGGCGAATACAAACTTACATGCTTGTCACTAACCTTTTAACTCTCCCCTCTCTCTACCACATCCTTCTCTACAACCATAAAAAAAAATAGAACGGATGGAAATCAACCTAAAGTGGAGGTCGATGATCATGAAGGCCGTGGGAATGCTCCGCCGCGAGACCCTGCGTGCCAGTCGAGTCGTCTCAATGAACTGGGAAGATGGGTATAACCCCGAGAAGGATGGCGGCGCCCAAACCGTCAGTCCCGGCCCTTCCTCGCCCATTCACTGTAAGTCCTTTGCAGAAAAAAAAACAAGGGATCATCTGGTCGTCGCCTTAACGTCGTCGGTGTGACAACGTGGGCGAATATTAATTTCTTTTGTCACTCTTGTTTGCTCACTCACTCGCACCTCTCATCCCCTTTCTCTCTCTCTTTTTTTTTTCTCATCTGATCTTTTTCTCAAAGCCGACGAGGAGGATAGATCCATTAGCCATTCAGCATCAGCATCAACCTCATCCGACCCAACTCATTCCCAAGAGACCTCCCAAAGCCAAACCCAGCCCCACAACCGTCGTAGTATCGCCCTCTCCTCCATCACCACTACCGATAACAACAGCAGTACTATGGAGAACACCAAGGTCCAACCAGTCGACGCCCAAGAGCTCCGCCGTGGCATTGTCGAAGACATCTCAAGCATCCTCCTCTCTTGGAAGAAGGACCAAGAAGTAGCCCTGGCCAAGAAAGCTACCGAGTCTTCCTCAACCATCGGAGGACTTGGGTTCATGGAGGGCGTGGTCATTGGTGGATTGATCGTCGCCTTCATGATGCGCTTTGCTCGTTAATAGCTCAGTGACAAAACATATACATATCTGAAGTGTTGTGCGTTGTTTGTTCTTTTAATTGTCTGCAAATAAAGCCAGTTTTTGTAAATAGCAAACACTCACAAAAAAAAGAGATGTAAATGCGCTGCTCCTTATACCAACCGCTTGCCGCCGGGGTAGAGAGCATAGACGCTCTGCGATCCATCGTCGTTCTCGACAATCTCCAGTGCAGCCAAGTGACCACCTAAAATAAGAACAATAACCGCACAATAAGATTAGTTCTCCAACACAAACCATAGATGAACACCAAACCATGAGGCCTTCCTTATATCCATCTCATAAGATCCGCAGATCTTCGCCAAAAAAAAGCAAGGAAGAGCAAGTATGAAGTAGTCGTACCATAGTACTTGCTGATGCCCACATCGATGACCATGTAACCGCCATTGCAGATCGAAAGGATCTTTCCTGTTCGATATTGGGGAGTATGTCCCGAGATCAAACGATTCACCTAGGTCAAACGGCAATGCAGGAGTAATAATAAACAAAAGTACGCGTTTGAGCATCTCTTTCTTGGACTCGTTTCAATCATCTGCTCCAAAATGAGATTGCTCAATGGAAAAGAGAGTATGTATGTCTTTGAATGTCCCATCCAGGGATGGTACTTACTCCGAGCGCCTTCTTGACGGCATCGACACTTTTGCAAGTCTCTTCCATGCCGTCCTCCTGTGTCGCATGGGAGCGACTCCAGATGGGGCCTATTTGATCATAAGGAGGGCGAACAAAACCATATGTAAGTATTTACCACAGAGGATAACACACCAAATGGTAAAAGCAACAAGCTCCATGAGTGCCCTTTCTCTCTCCTTGCTAACATAGAAAAAAAAAGACACTTGCCTGATCCCTGGAAAATAGGAGCGTGTCTAAAGTCGCCCTTCCAGATGGCCTCGCGGGACAACATGTTGAGGGTGTTGGCACCGAGTCGAGCCCATTCGGGTTCCATATCGCCATGAGTAAAGATGGTGTGTCCGTTCTGGATGTGGGTGATGTTGAAGTTGTTGTAGATCTCCTGTCCGAGCCAGCCTGTCTTGACATCCCAGGCCTCCTTGCGCTTCTGTCGACCTCCGAACGAGGCATAATCCTCCTCTGTCACGTAGCGCAAATCTCCGCCCAAGTTCATCACCTCATGGCTAACATGAGTGAAGGAAAGAGAGAGATGCATCGTGTGAGTTGAATCTGTTCCTCGCTGGTTGTTTCGCCATTCCGTACACTTGTCATCAGTTCATTTTTCTTGCTTCCTGGTAGCATGTCCTTACTTTCCGTAGACATTGACAACCTATACAAGTTCAGCAAAAGGTAAAGTTGACTGTCAGCAAAGCTCTTTTCTCTACATACAGAACTCAAGTATATTAGACAGCGGGGTTCTCCTTGGTAAAGGTTGGTTGTTCCAATGCGACGAAGTACCTTTCCTCCAGCCTCCTTGGCCTGTTTGCGGAGCTTGTTAAAAAGATTGTAAATGGCAATGGTGTCTGGTCCACGATCTACGATATCACCCTATCATTGCACATATCAATAGAAAGCAGAATGTCAGTAACCCTGATCAACGCGACAACGAGGGGAAAACAAAGATGGTGCGTCTATACCCGCGACAACGACAACAAAAACGACGACGATGACTAACAGTTTGGACGAGGGTGTCGTGTCCTCCGGACCAGTTCGAGTCAGCGTCGACGACGTTGGCGAGACGGAGGACGGCCAGGGTTTGTGCGAGGTCGCTGTGGAGGTCCCCGACGGCGACTGTCCTTCCGTTCTTTGGCGGCTGCTGTTGGTGTTGTTGTTTAATGGAGGTCTTGACTGTCTTAGAGTGGATGGGTGATGAGTTGGGTGGTTGTCTGAAGTAGAGGATGAGCAGGGCCAGGAGGGCCAGGAGAAGGATGGGTCGCAGCATTGATCGACTCTTCCTCTGGGTGGTTGAATGGGGGGCTCGAGTGCAGGTATGGGTGAGGAAGTACGCAGGAAAGAGGAGAGGGGCAAGAAAAGGTGGAAGGAGAGAGAAGAGAAAAGAAAAGACAAAAGGAGGCAAGGAATTCACAGTCCAACAGGTGTTGCAGCTTGCAGGAAAGGGCCAAAGTGTAAAGGTGTCGGGGGGCGGATGGGCAAATACAATGCAACGAGTCGCAGATCAGGTTCTGTGCCGTGTGCCGTGTGAAAAAAAGGAAAAAAGTCATGCAATTAGGGTGGAATGAATTCGTAGTGGGATGTGATTTGTGCGCCAAAGCAAATTGGCCATTCATCGACAGGTATAAAAGCGTTGGAACATTTGCATTCTTATCCTCCCCTTTTCATATCAACACAACGCAACTCCAACTGCACTACCACCACCACCACCACCACTGCCACCACTAACAACAACAACGTCGACAATACCAACGACTCTTCTATCCCCATCACTCTCTCATTACTCTCACTCACTCACTCACCCTCTCTCTCTCTCTCATTACTCTCCCATTCACCACTTTCTAACACTCTCCGGTGAATCTCATTCAGCATGTCCTCCTGGCTGCAATCAAAGAGTACGTCATTCCCTTCCTTCTCCCCTGGTCAATCCTACCTTCCTTCCTTGCACGTTCTCGTACTATACTATCCTACGAAAAAAACAACACATCCCACGCCAAATAATGCACACATCCTCCTTGCATGCATATCTCTCTCTCTTTTACACTCGACACTCACTCATGATTTACCATCGCTCATGTCATATTTGCACCTTTTGATAGAGAATAAAGAAAAGGAACGTGAAAGGGAACGAGACAAGGATTCCGCTTACTTCAGCCCCCCGTCTTCTGGTCAGACCAAGGTCCTCTCTCCACCCTCGCCACCAAGCCCCAACCACCAATACCTCCACAACAACAACACCAACAATAACGGAAACGGAACTGCCCCAGCCTCAACCTTTCAGAACAGTAGAAGTATCAGTCCAACATCATCCATAGACCCATCTAAGAGCGGCACGCTCGTGATTCGGGTTGTTGAGGCCCGCGGACTGACGCTCCCTACGGGTTTCGACAGTACGATGACGAATCATCCCCATTACGGCAGCCCGACAAACAGCAGCCGCGAGTCGCTCCAGCGCAAGTGGTGGCTGCCCTACGCAGTCCTAGAGTTTGACAAGAACGAGGTCCTGATCGATGCTCTCGGTGGAGAGATGTCCAACCCAGTATGGCAATACAGAGCTCACTTGTAAGTTGCTAATTCGTTGTCTCTCTTCACTCTTTTTTTCCCGCCTCTTCTCACTCCCCACCCATTCATTCATTTTTGACAATGGTGGTGCTCTCGGGTTTATCTTCTATTCCTGGGCTGGTCCAGGAACAGGCCACACGCACACTCATACACACATTCACGCATACACAAAACAAAGAAAATCACCCGCCCAAAATCACCCGCCAAAAAACAAAAAAAAAGAGAGGGAAAAAAAAGGCTGAATGACAACACCAAAGTAACAATGGAGATATGAGCGAGCCACAAGTGTGTCTTCCGCCCTAAGGTTTATGCACATTGGAGATGGTAATTTCATTTCCCTACACCGTACCCTTCCTCTTCATTTTTTACATTGGCCTGGACTAAAGAACCAAAAGAGGAGCCTACATGCATACATGGACACATACATACGTGACCAACAAAAGAAAAAAAAACGAGATCTCCTTTTACTTTCGGGTGATATCTTCCATCTCGCCACCATGGGGATCTCTTATTCAAGAACAAGCGCAAACAACAAGAAAAAAAAACATGCAGGGTACATGGGACTGAATGGAGGAGCAAAAAAAAAATAGGCGCTATTTTGGAAATGGACCACCGGCTTGTGTGGATCATGAAGTCATAGAGCAGGTGGTGAAAGTTGTGGTGGTGTTGGTGGCCATGGTGCGAGTGGGATAGAGAAGGGGGTAAAAAAGGAGGAAAGAAGCAATGATCAGTCGATTTCTTTGGGTAGGGGCACGAGAACATGTGAACTGCCATGAATCGTTCTTCATCCTTCCATGCTGCTCAATTATTGCTTAGTATAAAGCGAGGAAGCAGGAGGTTATTCTTATCATCGGACCCAACATCCTCACTCACTTATAAACCCATTTGATTCAATGCTCAGCACCCATGGATATATTCTCTCAAAAAAGAATTGCACCTGCTGACACTGGACCATGCTCTCTTTTTTCATTTCTGACCAACCTTCAACTCAATCTAGTGATGTGTCAAGATTCACCGAGGCACAATTGTCGCTCTATGTCCGCGCTCCATATCCCTCAAAGTCAGGCGACATGATGGACTGTGACGCTTCGAGTCAAGATATCTTCCTCGGCAACGTCCTTCTAGAGCCTCTTTTCGACGATCAGATGCAAGACGAATGGTTTCCCCTCCTCAGCGGCACCGGCAAAGTCCGCATCCAGCTTGTCTTCAAGAGCCACATTGTAAGCACAGCACCTTTTTTGTTTCCTTCTCTGAGACCAATTATGAACTGTCTGGGTTCAAATCGGTAATGGATACCTTTTTTATTGAGCGCATGTTACAACGCTACAAGTCGACTGACAGAAAAGCACACTCTTTTTCATCTTCAAAACTCTTAGGGCAACACCCATCTGGCCGTTGACGCATTTGACTTGCTCAAGGTTATCGGCAAAGGGAGCTTCGGCAAGGTAATATTGCAGACACAAGGCACAAGGCGCAAATGGCCCGAACGCTCAGCATACAAACACACTTTTGTGTTTTCCCGCCATAATTTCTCTAGACTGACTTGGCCGTTTCCTTTCGACTCTCTCATGCATTTAGGTCATGCAAGTACGCAAGCGCGATACCAATCGCATTTATGCCATGAAAATCCTGCGCAAAGCGCATATTATCTCTCGTAGCGAGGTCAATCATACCCTTGCAGAGAGAACGGTCCTGGCCCAGATCAACAACCCATTCATCGTCCCCCTCAAGTTCTCGTTCCAGTCGCCCGAGAAGCTGTACCTCGTCCTTGCCTTTGTCAATGGCGGAGAGCTCTTTCACCACCTCCAACGAGAGGGCCGTTTCAGTGAAGAGAGGTCCCGCTTCTACGCTGCCGAACTCTTGTGCGCCTTGGAGTGCCTCCACGGCTTCAACGTAGTTTACCGCGATCTCAAGCCAGAAAATATCCTTTTGGACTATACCGGCCACATTGCGCTGTGTGATTTCGGCTTGTGCAAGCTGGGAATGACCGAGACCGAGACGACCAACACGTTCTGTGGCACCCCCGAGTACCTTGCCCCCGAGTTGCTGCTGGGCCAGGGCTATACCAAGACGGTCGACTGGTGGACCTTGGGTGTCTTACTCTATGAGATGCTCACGGGCCTGCCTCCTTTTTACGACGAAAATATCCACGAGATGTACCGAAAGATCCTACAGGACGAGCTCCGATTCCCTGACGAGATTTCCACCGATGCCAGGTCCTTGCTGTCTGACCTTCTTACCCGAGATCCCAATGAGCGTCTAGGAAACAGTGGTTCGAGTGCGATCAAGCAACACCCATTCTTCAAGCCCATCTCGTTCCCTCATCTCATGGCCAAGAAGATCCAACCGCCCTTTAAGCCCTCGGTCTCGTCTGCGATTGACACCTCCAACTTTGACGAGGAATTTACCAGCGAGGAGCCCTTGGATTCTGTGGTCGAGGAGTCGTTTCTGAGCGAGACGGTGCAATTGCAGTTCAAGGGGTTCACGTACAACCCCTCACAGGATGGGGTTCTGGGGGGTAGCATGGTCGGCAATCCTGGACTGAGCACATCCGGACACCGTGACTCGCACAGTGAATCTGGTGGTCGTAGGTAATGGTGCTGGTTCACCCACGCCGCGGCTCCTAGCAGGCTTTTTATTATTCTATCTTTTCTTTTCTTTTCTTTTCATTCTTATTTGTTTCGATTGTACACACCTAGTCCTTTGACAGGATAAAAGCACTAATAAAAGTAATCAAGCAATTCACCTAGATAACAATGCACAAACATATCTTAACCACAAACAAATGACGAACGGAATGACAACAACTTCACCGTTTGTTTCCTCAACAGCGCTATAATTGAGAAGAGAGAGAGATACTAGGTAGGTCCGCTAATCGTTGGTGCAAGTGTCTCTGAAAAGGGGCAAAGAACACAAGAACCACCGTGCTTCCCATATTTTACCTGCAAAGTATCTACATTATTCTAGTACGAGGTAGACGTTTTGGACATAAGTTTCGACCTGTGGTAACAAAGTGATTATGAAGCACCCTTCTCTCCCTCCCACCACACTCACCACCACAACCCTCATCAGCCATGCTTATTTTCCAGGATATCGTCACCGGCGACCAACTCTTCTCTGATGAATTCGATATCAAGGAGGTTGGCAGTACTTACGAGATTGAGTGCGCCATGATCCTGCCTGAAGACTTCGTTGTCGATGCCACAAACTACCCCTCTGTAGAGGACGCCATGGAAGACGTTAAGAGCGGTGTCTTTGACGTCAACAACGTTGTCCACTATTTCGGTCTCGTGCGCCTCGACAATATCAGCAAGAAGGAGTACACCGACTACATGAGGCGTTACTTCGCAAAGCTCAAGGCTAAAATGGGTATCACCGAGGAGGCTGATGTCAAGGCTCTCGAGATGGAGGTTTCCTCTGAGATCATGAAGGCCCGCGATAGCTTCGATGACTACTTTTTCTACACTGGAGCGTCCTGTGACGATGGTGCTCTATGCGCCTCGCCTGCCGCGATGGATCCACCCTGATTTTCACCGTCCACAAGCACGCCGTCGAGATCGTGGAGGTCTAAGTTGGATGCTGTCCCCCTTTGTGTCCAACGTCTACCTCACCGTACTAGAATAATGTAGATACTTAGCAGATAAAAAATGGGAAGCATGTTGGTTCTTGTGTTCTATGCCCTTTTCAGAGGCACTTGCACCAATGATTGGCTGACCATCATTCCAGGCACATATTTTTACTACGAAGGGCAGGATTCGAGACAAAGTGTGGGTCTGTGTGCCTTGTTTGTTTGTGCGCCTTTTTTCAGAGAGAGAAGAGAAGAGAGGGAAAAATTAGAGCTGCACGATGATGCGCCCGCAGTACTGCGGGTCGCTCTGATTGGTCAATTGCACATTGACTTATTTTCCTGCGGGGCGGGGAGGCGGGGAGAGACAGAAGGACAGACGGACAGAAGAGATAGGCTCAGACACGGATGAACAGACGGACGGACGGACCCGCAATTTCATTTCTGGTCGAAGAACGAACTCCTCTTCCCTTTTAAAAGAGTCCCTCCTTCCCACCTTTTTCTTGTACTTCACTCACACCTACAACCACTTCAACTACTTCAACTACAACAACAACTACAACAACTACAACAACACGCTACAAGATACCAGCGCAAAGCAACATACCCACAGCTCATATCACAACAACAGATCTCACCATCCCAGCTCTATTCTTGACCAAGCACCAACAAGCCTACCTCCACACCTACATGAACGCTCTTCAATCCCTTACCTCCACCTCTATTACCATCGCGTCTGACGATTCCATTCTCACCTCTGCCACCACCACCACATCTACCTCTACCAACATCTCTACCCTAAACACTTACAAGACGGTCGCACCAATCGACCTGTTCCACTACCCCGAAAGCGACTTCAAGGACTCGAACCGCCACCGCGCCTACCTAGGTCAAAAATCTCGTGAACGTGCGACAAAGAACTTTATTTGGCGCAAGATCCAGCAGGGCGCTGCTAGTCAGAAGGATAAGGAGCGGATTGAACGGAAATTGAACCAGCGGAGGAATAAGAACTCTGGTTCTTCTGAGGATAACACCAGCGACGAGGACGAGCACGATAACGACGGGGCATATTTCAAGGATGATGTCAGCGACAGCAACACCAAAAAGTCTGCCAAGAAGGCACTGGGTCTGGACACTATCTCTACCGTTCCCGCTTCCCCAAAACGCCGCTCCAACAAGCGCGCTGACCGTCGCCGCCGCCCTGAAGACGACGACGACAACAATACCAACAACGCCACGCCATCTCTCTCTTCTTCCGCATCATCCAGCGACGAGGGCGACGACGACCAGGACGAAGCTGACGACGAGACCTTCCTCGGCGAAGAGGAACGTATCCGATTCAAACACAACCTCACCTTCAAGACCGACGACCAGTCGAGCATGTCATCCCCGCGTGTGGATCTCCGCTCCTGGAAGCGCGCGTTTGTCCAGCGATTGGATGAGCAGGATCAGGCCCGTTCTTCCGGTACCGAGTCCAATGGCCGTAGCAAGCAGAGCAAGCAGAAGCAGAAGAAGAACAAGGGCTCTCGCGAGTACTACTGATGCTAGTCATTCGTGCGAGTTTGTTTTCTCTTTTTCGGGTTCGTTGGTGATCCCACCGCCTCCACGGTTAGGGATGTGCTTTTGGTGGTTACCTTTGTTTGTGTCTTTTATCGTATACCCCCCCCCCCCCCATTTGCATTTTTTTCATTCCTCTCAGTAATAAATAAGACGAGCACGTCTCCCAAGCATCCTCTTACATGAACTGAAAGCAATGACAGTGAAATTGAGTGTGGTCAACAACAATTCGTACCAGTTGCAAATGCACTGGAGGGAAAGAAGGAATGCTATGTCTAACTTCCATTCGTGACGTTCTTTTGCGGGGTCGAATTAGTGTTTGGCTTCCCTGTGCCCATGTCGCTCGCCTTGCTTCCAGGGTAATTGTCAACAGCGTCAACTGGATGATAGTTTGGTCTCTCTTGGTTCTTTAGATGACCGCACCAGTTGGAAGCAAACGAGGCTACCTTTTTTTTTATAATTGTTGATATTCCCCGTTGAACAAATGGGACGTTGATTTCGTCTTACATCGACCGACCGAGCACAGCACTAGGTGTTGAGGAGAAAGCACGGCTGGCCAAACTGTTCCTCAAGGATGTGATCAAGAAGCTCTTTCGAGATTTTCGTGCCTCATCGTTCCCCCCCATTATCGAGAATATCCTTCCTGACAATCCGTTCCCCTTTGCTAACAGTGGAAAAAAAAATCTTGACAAATTACTCTTTTTTATTTAATAGCGCTTCTAACTTGGCGTCGATTTCGTTCAATTTCTCCCACTTTCTATCGTGGAATATTTGCAAGCGAGAGTCGTGGTTCTTTTCCAGTTTCTTGAAATCTCCATCCAACTGGTGGTGCCACGGATACAAGACTCCGATTTGGAAGGAAAGAGCCGTCGATCCCACGACAAAGTTTACAATTGTAAGGATCTTGTATTTATCCATTCTCGAAAAGTCCTGTTTATTCCCTAAAGCATCAGAAGGCAAATCATTAAGTCAAGAAATCTGGGGGTGCTTATCACTGCATGAACTTATCGTCGGTTTGGAGCACCTGTACATTTAAACACACGAGCTTGAACCGTTTTGCACAATAGAAACCCATACCTGAATTAGCTGGTGCGGGACAATATGGCTGGCTGCAGTTTCAAGGGAATGGAGCTGGGGAGAGGAAGGATAAAGTAAAAGAGAGGAGCAATTCCTAGAAAAAAAGTCCCATGGATGCCGCCTTATAAGCATAATTAAGGCGGCGAGAATCGAATTGGGTCGGATTGCTATATTTGGTCAATTATAGATATTTGACTCATGCGGTAAGTAATTTTTATTTGAATGTTCAATTAAAGCGCACATGTTAACCTCTGAAATATCTATAATTGAACGAGCCGATGATGACGGTCAAGGAAGCGGAGAAAGTAGGGATGCCAAAGTACAATGTTGATATGCATTTCCCTGACCTCTACACGAACCAGTCCCTGTCTCGCTGTGCCCTCTGTGTGGTCCTCTTCAAAAATCATGCGTCTCTTATCTCACTCGCCTCCCCTTCGACCACCATACATTAAACACTAAAAACAGATTGCTCCTCTGCTCGTTGTAGTTACACCCCCATAACACAGTCAGTTATCTCCCCCACATCATGCCGCTTCGTTTCGATTGGCCCCTGGTCATTGCCTTCGCCACTCTTGCCTGTTTGCCTCGCCACTCTTGCCTGTTTGCCTCGCCCCAGACACGACCAAGTGAGCTTATACTCCCCCATTTGCAGAAAAAAAAAACGCGGCTGTTACTGCCATTCTCTCTGACCTTGTTTTGTTCTACTTGTGTACCGTATTTGCACAACTGCTTTTATTTAAGTCCAAGTGGTAACTTGACCTTGATCCCACACTGGTTCGGACAAACCCACTTACCACTCTATCAATGGAGAGTACAACCACGACGTCACTCTAGAGGTCAATGAACCTGGGCAAGTTGAAGTATGATGTAGAAGGAGGGGGGGTTACGAATATATGCCATGATTACAGAGACTGGTGCGTGGCTTGTAGTGACCCTATCAACTACGAGTTCTGGATCTATTACAAGGAGATCTACTATCATCACACCAAGCTGACAGAGTATTGCACGACCAAGGACCCCAACCATGAGTTTTGTGCCATGCATATGGATGCTATGGCGCTTTAGAAATGGGAGGGAGGTGGTAGTGTGTGTGTGTGTGTGTGTGTGTGTGTGTGTGTGTGTGTTGGGATGGTTGGATGGTTTGCTGGCGGTCATGTACAATTTAGCACTTAATTTCATTTACGCCCAGCATGTTCCTTATTTTCTTTGTCTTGCTCAGCCCCTTTGACTGCAATTGAAATCGTCTTCACTTGGTACGGTTCATGGTCGCTCGTTTCCTTGACTTAAATGGAGAAGAAAAGAGAGGTGGAATGGTGGGTTTCCATTGACTTATGGATTAACTGACAAGTAGGCCAACAACAAAGGCTACGGGTCTGTAGCTCTTCTGTCACCAGAGCAGATACAACAAAGAACTGCGTTATTTTTAGTCCTTAGTGGGAGGCCTCTATTGTCATCCAGTGCATGTCCACCTTCCATCCGACGTCAACGGCGGACAATCATCGTCCCTGTATGGTCCTCGGTCATATATTCTTGAGCTCGAAATGATCGCGCTTGGGTGTGGCTGCAAATACTGAATAAAAGGATGCATATCCCAGCACTTTTATACTCGTTCAAAACGACGGTCTCCCATCACCACGCCGACTACTATCATTATCGCATCACACACACTACACACTGCACACTACACACTGTTACTTCCTTCCTTCCTTCCTCCTTCCTTCCTTCCTCCTTCACCCTCTCCTGCTACCCAAGCAGCTCTCATATAATGGCGTGCCTTTTCTCTTTGTTTTCGATTATTGTTCTCGCCACTGTGGCTCACTTCGCCTTGTTCTTTAGAACCGCACTCGCAGTCCCCCTCTCGAACTCGACCAGGTGAGATGCATAACAATAGCCAGCATCAACGTCCCTACCAATAGAAGAAACGGCGGTACTTGTTTTTCTGTATCCCACTTTTATGTACTTCGCTATCCTCATGTCCAGTTGCTTTTCACCTAATTTTTTTAGCTTGGTCGCCGCATCGAAAGAAGGTCCAGGCCCGAACCTGACCTCGGAGTTCAGGTGGTGGACTAACAAGTCCTTCTTTAACGATCCAAACGAGGTGTTTCACCACGATATCTTTTTCACCGTCGACGAAACCCCTTTGGGCCGACTGATGTTTGATTCCAGCGGATTCGCAACCAACTGCCATGAGTATTACGAATGGTGTATTACTCAGGATTACCCTCAAACTATGGACTTTTATGTCAGGTACAAGGGGTACACTTACGGACGCTCTAGAGAGGTGTGGAACTGTGGAGATGTCAGATACGAGTCTTGTAGACTGTTCATTGACTTTGTTGATCCTTCTTAGAAGGAAGAGAGTAGGGGGATGGCGGTTCATGGCGGTTGGAGAATGTTGGAGATGTTCAAGTTTGCGGTTCGTTCATGCAACACCCTTAGTGCGCAGATGTCCCACAAGGCCCAATTATTTTTTTCAGCCACTCCACCCATCCTGCAGCATCATGGTCACTCTTGCTTTAAGCCTTCGAAACAATACATCCAAAGCATCGCTTTATTTTCATTCTTGAACAACTCTATATTGTTTTTCTAAGTTATTAAAGTAGCTTTTGCATTTGTTGTCACCTGTCTTAAGACAGAAAGAAAAGGAAGGCGTGTTGATGTTCAAGGGTGTATCCAGCATTTTCAAGTATATATTTGTGATCTTTCGATCTTTCCAAGATGCAGGGACGAGTTTTTGATCATTGGCTGAGAACATTTTCGCGTCGCTTCAAACCTTCTCTGAGCAATACTCTAACTGTTCAATGGAATGTTCTCTCTTGTGTCACTCCCGACCGCTATTCCGGTTGTTTTGTTCCTTGCTGAAGGCAATCACCGCATTATTACCAAACCATAAGTGGTTCTGTCTCATGTCTCCGGTTGGGCAGTACTATCCTCTTGCTGCTTTGTTTTCCAACTTTCAAGTCTGTCTTGGCCGGAGCACGCTGTATCTGTCATATTCTGAGATGGGATTTCCTGAGCTGGAAGAGTACCTGACGCCAAGGGAGCAATGAGATGCCACAAGAGAGGTAATGATCGCCCCTGTTGCCTTCAACGAGCTGCGGAACAACCTTCAAGAAGAGGACAATGAAGTTCCGGATGTATACCTTTTTAATATTTTTTTTTCTTCTCGAGTAAAACTATCATTGATATTATTTTCTCTCTTTTTGTTTGTAACCGTACGTTGTTTCTGTGGGCTGCCACGCCACAAACATGCCGTTGCTGTCGCTGTTGTTGTGACTGATAGGGATCGCGCTACTATTGCTGCTACTGCTGTGGCTGAATTGACTGAAGTTGCTGTTGTTGCTGCTAGAATGGGCGAAATCGTAGCAATGGGACATATTATTCCCCATGGGCGCCGGCGGGTGAGAAGAAAGACGATAGCGTTTGATATCATCCATGTCGTTCAAAACCTCGTCGAGTCGCCTTTTTGTGAAGACAGTGTTTCCCTAAGGTCGGTAAGGTGTGATTGAATGGTGTCGATCCTGTTATTGGCGCAGGTCGAGGTCCCGCTGATGTCCGTTCGAAGAAGCATGGCAGTTCCCTGGATAGTGTCCACAGCCGACGTAGTCGCCCTCACATCCTTCTGCAAACCACCAACAGCCTCATCCAAGTACCCGATCGCCTTTTCTCTATGCAGCAAGCGCTGATGAAGCGAATCCAACGAAATGCGAGTGCTATTTCCTTGCCCTTTGTGTGCTGCTCTCCATCATGTCCATTCGTTCCTTCAACTTCTCCACAGTTGTCAGCACAACGCGTTGAAGCTCACTGTAATTGTTGTTAAGTCGATAATAGGTTAACTGTAAGGATGTAGCTCCGAATCCTGGCGCAGCTGTCGAACTGTAGTTGGATGCCGTAGCGGAATTGTGTCGCACAAGTGCCGGAGATGCTGGTTGCCGAGGCGCAGTGGTTGAAGAAGTCGAGCGGGATGTAGACGGTCGTACAACAGCAGATTGTGCCGCGTGATCGAAGGTGTTGGGGCAGACACGGAGGACCCGGTAGCGGACAAGGGTAGGATGGGATTCGAGGGAAGCAAAGGTTCGGTGTTATCCTCAATATACTCCAACCGTGTCTACTGTTGCTGTTGTTGCTGTCGTTGATTTTCCTTGGCTCTGGAGTGCTCTGTACTCGGCGCCTGTCATCATTACGGAACCAACAGCATCCTCGTTCATAGTGGCGACCTCAGCTGTTTGGCGTTGCCCGTCATCCTGTTTTTGTTGGGTCTGATTTTTCATGATATTGTATGTGTCATTCAGAGCCACCAACTCCTCTGCCAAGTCGGAAAGCCGTGTTGAAGTCCATCGTCCTCCTGTTTCCGTGGTAAGAACCAAAGCAAGTTCAGTAGAGAGCTTGACGATCCGCATGTGCATGGTCTGCAAGGCCGATCCTGTTACACCTTGTAGAGTTGGTTCTAATCCTGACAGTTCCCGGGCAAGCATCTTGAAGCAGCGACCATTCTTGGAGGTTGAGAACTCCACCACATCTCCCTGCAACAGCTCTGAGATCCGCCCGTTCAGATAACGCACAGCGAGAAAGACTTTTTTTTTTGGTTGGCACCATTCTTTTTAAAGTTGAGTCCACGAAATCGTCTGCCGCCATCTTGAGCCTCCTCCTCCTCAATGCCGGGATCAGAGTCGATGTTGTCGCCATCCCCTGCTGCCTCGTCTTCAGTGCCGCCGCCGTCACCCTGTGTAGGAGCTGCTGCCTCGGCCATTTCTATAAGAGGCAAGGAGATGTCAGAAGTGAAAACGAAAATATGAAAAAATAAAAAAGGCATCACATTTCTTTCAACTAATCCTTGTCGGCATCGTGAGCGGCTGTCCTCAGTTGGTAATTCATAAGAGCGTCGGCATTGGGTGGATCTTCAAACTGCTCCCTGAACTTCTTGTACTTCTCCGTTTGTCCACTCGTTGCGGTGGTTCCATCGGTGGTTCTTTTCTTTGGAGGCATGGCAATGGTATGAAAACGAAGTAAGGGCAAGGAGCGAAGTAAGAACAGTTCTTATCTTTTTCCAAAACAAGGACAATCAGGCTCGACCACATCACATGACACAAGTAATCAGTCTTAAAAAGGAAATCAATTTATTTGTATTTAATAGTCATCGAAATATAGGGGTCCAGGACTTATTAGCGCGACCTCTGATGAGTTTTAACTCCCTCTTCCAACGTGTCTGCGCGCTGAATTGAGTCGAATCGAAAAAAATCTAGGAAACCTTCCTTCTCCCCATCACACCCTCCCTTCACTACGCCACCGAGGGATCGATATAATTATCGTACTGGCGACAAAACATAGGCATCTTGGAGTTACAGTCAGCTGTAACCGTATTATGCTGATAGTTGTACCCTTTGTACCAGATACCCATCTCCAGACTCTGTGGATCGCCATGAGTGACACACCAGACTCCATCCTCGTGGCAGTGACTCTTGAAATCCCTCGAGACGTAACCCATGTTTCCGTTGTAGGACCCTACGAGCAAGGTAACTTCGTGGTTGTATTTGCTGTCGAAGAAGTGCCACTGGGAGAACCTAGAATACCATATTAGGTTTAAGTGGACCCCTGAAGCTTTAATAGCGCCAGCGATCGTGCTAAATACAAAAACGTCGAGTGAGTGATGATTAGGATTTGGTAGGAGAGAAAGAATATGGGGTTGCAACTGGATGAAAAACTTACTTTCCCGACTCCAAGATGGGACTAAAAGCGGCCGCGTTCGAGATGGGACGAGCAGAGGCAAACCAGGAGAGCAGGGCAATGTAAACAAGAGCGGTGCGAACTACGGTAGGAAATCGAAAGAAAAGGCGCGACATGGTGTGGGTGGTGATAATGTCCGGTTATGATATGGAGATGAGGACGCGAAAGAGGGAGATTCTTTGGTGTGTAGTGCTCAGGGCGTCGAGCGTGTACATGACAGCTACCAACGTAGAGAGAGCGATGGGAAAGCTATGTTCTTGTTGGGAAAGAAAAACCTGAGACTGTGCGCATCCTTTTTATTCGCTACCACGCCTGGATGCGGCTCTTGTGAGAAAAAAAATGCCCTGCTTTCAGCAATAGACAAAAAAAACAGGCGAGACCAGTTATTTTTGGTCCCGTCTTTTGTCCATGCAAGAAACCAAGGATCACGATGACAATGTCCATGCGCCATGTAAGGTAGAAAGACGCATTGCGTCGACGACGCTTCTTTTGATTTTTTTTTTGCTTGTCAGAATCAAACTGCTGGAATGGAATGGGGCTCAATCGATGATTTTATCAATAAGAATCATCATGAAGGTAGTGGTTGCAGCCAAGACAAGAGTAATCGAGGAAGGATATCATTGATATGAATAAGCAATGCCCAGGGTCTATCGTCTTGAGAAAAAGAAACAATGTGCTAAGGTTGCATTTGCGAAGATAAAAAAAAGATTTATTGTGGCTCGGAGCCGCTGGATGTGACGCGACAACGGCGAAGCCCCATGCGAAAACAATCGTCCAGACCACCATTCATCCACCCATCAAAACACACAGCTTCCTTTCCTTCCTCCCCGTTCCTTTCTCTCTCACTCTAGAAGGGCGTAATATAATTAACGTACTCAGAACACTCATTGCCGTCTGTATTAAGGCACCGCTTTGTCCTTACGTCATGTTGGTAGTTGTACCCCTTGTACCAGATACCCACTTCCGGACTCTGTGGATCACCGTGAGTGACACACCAGGCTCCATCGTCATGACAGTGGGTGTTGAATCCCTTTGACTCATACGCCATGCCTGAACCGTAGTGTGCGCGGTGGACGAATAAGACATCGTGCTTGTACTTTCCGGTGAAAAAGTGCCATGTTGTTTTGGAGGACACCCACTGTAACGATGCGTATTGGCACTCAATGGTGCTATTTTTTTGTTCGAAATATCATGGGAAAATAAGTGTTATGGCGTGAGAGACAAAAGAGAGCGAGTAAAATGAGCAGAGGTTTCAGGAACAACCGAGCTTCTGGTTATTGTACTCAGAACTTACTAGTACGGGTCAGACAGGTCAGGGGTGCAGGGTTGCTCTTTGGAGTCGATGCCGGAGAGTAGGGCAATGTGGGCAAGAACGACAAGAACAATGGTTGGAAGCGAAAAAAAAAGACGCGACATAGTGTGTGTTTCTGGGGTTATTGTCTGATCGAGATTGGATGATGAGGATGTGGAGGAGGAAGCAGTAGGTAGTGTGCACTGCTTATTGTGCAGTTATAGACGACGGTTGAGTATAAGGAAGGAAGGAAGTATGTTTTTGAGGGCGGGAAGAGGATGTGTATCCTTTTTATGCGAAAGGGACACTTGAACGCTACGAGTGTGATTCTAAAAAGGATAGTAGGGCTGGGAGCCAAACGCGAGCTATGATGACCAAATGGGAGCGATGATTGTTCAATTCTTCGCTGCTCTCAACATAACAACCAGGGGTCCTAATTTTTAGCCTCCTTCTTTGTCCATCCATGATGTTATAGATGAGTATGACCATGCTCATGCACATGCCAAGTAAAAAAAATTCCCTGCAATTGTTGAACCATAAAAGTGGTGGGTGGGCTATTGTGCACATTTTTTTTCTTTTAGGGGTTGAGGTTGCTGCGAAGTCTCGTCCAACCATTTTACCATCATGAGTAACATTGAGCTGACGGTCATCATGGTGAATGTATTTGCAACCAGGTCAATGGGGAGCAAGGAAGGTTCTTGTTGAAAAGAAGAAAAGCCCAACGGGTCATTTCAAGGGAAAAAAAGACGTGGACAATAGAGAAGGAAATGAAGCGGACCATGCTCTCAAATATTTTATTGATATTGTTTGGGTCGACATAATGACGGTAACTCCCTCGTGCAGCAATCACCCGATCCATCATACAGCCTTCCCACCGCACATCCTTACCCTTGTGACACAGTAACAACCATGGCCACCGAAACAAGAATCACGAGGCGCTCATATACGACTAAGGAAACAGCATTCATTTGAAGGTCGAGGAAACATAAAATATTATGTAGAGCTTGACAAATCCCCTTCCTCCCACTAGCACACCCCCAAAACTGTCCAGCCAACACTCAACCCCATCACAACACGCCACCACAACCCTCCTCTATGCCCTCGAGCGTTTGACAATATCATTATACTGGTCACAGGTATCCTGGTCGCCGGGCCAGCAGCCTTCTGACACGGTATTGTGTTGATAGTTGTATCCTTTGTACCAGATCGTCACTTCCGGGCTCATGGGATCACCATGAGTGACACACCAGATTCCATCCTCATGGCAGTGGGTGTTGAAGTCTTTTGACTGGTACTTCATTTTGCCCTGGTAGATTTCCCAGACCTCCAAGTCGACGTAGTGGATGTACTCTCTGGTGAAAAGCCACCATGTAGACCGGACAGGATACCTCAATAGGGTCATTTCTAGGCACAGGTCACCGTTCTCCCATCCGGCGGCAGTGACTGAGCTAAAGAACGCGAATAACATAGTACGGTTAATATAAACTGGGTTGAGAGAAAGGAGAAAGTGAAAGAGAGTGCGAAAGATATAGCAATCAACCGAAAAGGGTTTGATACAAGTATGTTACATATAACCCACTCTATCACGCTTGAATTGGGACTGGCAGAGGTCGCATTTGAGGCTGGGCGGGCAGAAGCGGATACAGAGAATAGGGTAACGTGGGCAAGAATAATGGTCAGGAGTAAAAGCAAAAAGTGCATAATGATGCAGGTGTAGGATACGGCTGATTATGTTTTGAGAAAGAGAACGACGAGGAGGGAGCTGCAAGTTGCGAATGTGTATATGAAAGTCTAGAGTGTATGAAAGTGCGGTTGGCGAGGCGTGTGTTCTCAGAGAGGGGTGAAATCAGACCCTTTATTCTCGCTCGCCATTGAACACGCCTCTTGCCTGAGAACCAAATGGTCGATGCCTTTTGTTCTCTGATACTCGCGATCCGTTTGTTGCTTGACCGCTTCATCCCTTTTTTATTACAAGTGCGATCTTTGGAGAAAAGAGCAATGGAAGACGGCAATTCACGCGTAAGAAACAATGGAGGGCTAGGCAAGGATCAAGAAGAAAGCAATGCTCTTCCTGATGCTTGTAGAATGATGGTGTTTTAGGCTGGCTATATAAAATAGTCATTATGGTCTCTCTTCGTGCCCGTCTAGGAGGCGGCAGTTTCGATGTATATACGTTATTGTGTTATTTACAACAGAACAAATAAAAAAAGAGACCGTTTTTCCGTGTTTTGTTTGTCATGACACGCATGACAACGCTCACATTTCGTTGAATAAAAATGGCAGGCAGGAAACTTGAAGAAAAGGAAAAGACTGTCAACTCAAAAGCAAACTATTTCAATTGAAACTTAAAGGTGTCTTCGATCTCTAACAATGACTACGTATGCTGCACTGAAAAAACGCCACCTGTCCAAATACCATACGTTTCCTTCCAACACACCCTCTTCTCCTCTTCCGCCCACTATGCCACCGCGCTATCAATAAAAGTAACGTACTCGTGGCATGTGTTAAATCCTTCGACGTAGCAACCAATTGTCATAGTTGGGAACTGAAAGTTGTGCCCCTTGTACCAAATCGCCATCTCTTGGCTCTTAGGACCGCCATGGGTCGCACACCAAATTCCATCGTCATGACAGTGGGTGTTGAAATCTTTCGACGAGTACTTCATACTGCCCGTGTAGGAATGGTCGACGGTCAGGGTGATTTCGTGGCTGTACTTTCGGGTAAAGAGCCACCAGGTGTCCATGTTGGACAGCCATTTCACGTCCAATTTTACGGTGGTTCGACGTTGCAGTGTGACGAACGAGCTAACATCGCACAAGAAAACGAGGGCGTGCATAAGTAATAAGATGAGAGGAGGAAAACAGAGTCGTGAGAGTGGAATAATCATTGCAATGGGAGGTTTTTTTTGAACACAAGTGAATGAAAGCAAACTCACCCAGTCGCGTTTGAGTCTGAGCGGGCAGAGATCGAGTCTGAGGCGGGGAGGGCCAAGGTGAGTCTGGAAAACAGGGCGACTTGAGCAAGCGTGACGAGAAAAATGGAAGGGAGAAAAAAAAAAGGCGCGACATGGTGTGGGTAACAGAATTGCCTTGTTATATTTTGAGAGAGGAGGCGAAGAGGAGTGAACAAAAGTGCGTGTGAACGAACGTTCAAAAAGTGTAACAAGGCGCGATTTGAGAGTCGTTTGTTTTCGGAGGGAGTAAGTACCACAAAAAAAAAAGAACGTTGTCTTTTATTAACAATCAGATTGCACTAGGAACAAGAACAAAAGCAAAACACAAGGCCTGTTGTTCAGTATTGACAATAGCCTGTTACTACTTGGCCTCTTACTCACCTTTTGCCTTTTAGAAATGATCCTTTTTTGTTTCTGGTCTTCTCTTTTATCTACCATGCTACACATGAACAAAACCAAACCCTTTCAGTCTCTCCCTCTCCATTTCACCTGCATTCATGGCAAGAACGAGAGATATAGCATAATGTAAAACGAAAGTCCTCGTAACAATTATTATCGCGCAAAAAAACAAAAACGCTATTCATATTTTTATTTCAGCCCCTTTTCTAACAAACCAAGCTTGAAAGCTACAACTGACCAACTGTCCACTACTTCTTTAACTTTGGAACGATCCCCACGTATACCTCATGCGTGGTGATGTACCAATTGTTCCTGGCTCGCGGTTTCAGAATTGAAAGTAAGAAAAATTACACAACAAGGAGGCGAAGGCAGCGGGCCACTCAACTCAACAAGAAAAAATGTATTAAAGTTTGGGATGTGCCTCTAATCATAGAGGATGCCGTCTCTAAAAAATTATACAATCCCAGTACTGGAAACAAGCAACCCGCGGATTGTCTTTCCGGTAAGCAGGGTGGCTGGTAGAATGTCGGTACTCATAACCTTTGTACAGGATCGCCATTTCCGAGCTTTCAGGGTCAATTTGGGTTACACGCCAAAGTCCATCGTCCATGTAGTGAGTCGAGGTGCCCTTTGACCTGTATCTCAGATTGCTCCAGAGGGTCCCATCAATGATCACAGTCATGTTGTGATGATAATCGTCGTTTTCCGAGTAATCCCTGAAAGACCACCAGAAAAGTGTTGAGGAGAGGCACGCTTCGGTTTCCAATGCGGCAAACCACCCACAACAGAAAAGGGATATATTGATATTAGGACGTGAGAAGAGGAGAGATAAAGGATCACAGGCACAACAACCACCGTTATTCAGGTTGGGAATGAGGGCCTTACGACGTACCTAGTGGAGTTCGACAGAGGGGCCGCGAAGATGGTTTCAAATATCAAGGCGACGATGACTAGGATGACGAGAAAAAAATGGCGTAACATGGTGTCGGAAGCACGGTCTGGTTGTGTGATGCGGATGAAGACAAAACGGGCGAGAACAATACGTATAGTGTGCGTTTGATGGTTTAGAGGTGCCCGGGTGTGATGAGAGACGTATACCTTAATTGGGCGAAAAATAAATGAACTGGTTTGTATCCTTTCACATCTCCACATCTGAACATGAGTGAAAAAAAATTGAGATAGGACGAGAGCTAAGAATGTGCGATGACTGTCTACCTTTTTTTTCTTAGATGGTAAGTGAAGTAAGATCCAATTTTATTTCGAGAACAAGAACAATAGGGCTTGCCCCTCTCCATCTTTTTCATCGGATGATGAGTTAATTTAAATGAAAGGGTTGAGAAGGGGCCGAGCAGAGATTTAATTTTTGTGAGTGCTTGCTTTTGCACAGGGCAGCAAAGGTGTGACAGGGAAGGTGATTCGCAAGGAATAGAGCGAGTAATAAAGCGAAGATATGGATAAGACACGACCCAGAGTGACGCGAGAGAACATTCCATTGAACGGTTAGAGTGTTGTTCAGAGATGGTTTCAAATTGCGACGCGAAAATGCTCTCAGCCATTGACCAAAAACTCATCCCTGCATCTTGAAAAGACCATAACATCTACTTGAAAACTGGATACACCCTTGAACATCAACACGCCTTCCTATTCTTTCTGTCTCAAGAGAGGTGACAACAAATGCAAAAGCTAATTTAATAACTTAGAAAAACAATATAGAGTTGTTCAAAAATGAAAATAAAGCGATGCTTTGGATGTATTTGTTTCGAAGGCTTAAAGCAAGAGTGACCATGATGCTGCAGGATGGGTGGAGTGGCGTCGTATTTTTGTGGCGATGAAAAGAGGCTGAAAAAAATAATTGGGCCTTGTGGGACATCTGCGCACTAAGGGTGTTGCATGAACGAAACGCAAGCTTGCACATCTCCAACATTCTCTAATCACCGTGAACCACCATCCCCCTACTCTCTTCCTTCTAAGAAGGATCAACAAAGTCAATGAACAGTCTACAAGACTCGTATCTGACATCTCCACAGTTCCACACCTCTCTAGAGCGTCCGTAAGTGTACCCCTTGTACCTGACATAAAAGTCCATAGTTTGAGGGTAATCCTGAGTAATACACCATTCGTAATACTCATGGCAGTTGGTTGCGAATCCGCTGGAATCAAACATCAGTCGGCCCAAAGGGGTTTCGTCGACGGTGAAAAAGATATCGTGGTGAAACACCTCGTTTGGATCGTTAAAGAAGGACTTGTTAGTCCACCACCTGAACTCCGAGGTCAGGTTCGGGCCTGGACCTTCTTTCGATGCGGCGACCAAGCTAAAAAAATTAGGTGAAAAGCAACTGGACATGAGGATAGCGAAGTACATAAAAGTGGGATACAGAAAAACAAGTACCGCCGTTTCTTCTATTGGTAGGGACGTTGATGCTGGCTATTGTTATGCATCTCACCTGGTCGAGTTCGAGAGGGGGACTGCGAGTGCGGTTCTAAAGAACAAGGCGAAGTGAGCCACAGTGGCGAGAACAATAATCGAAAACAAAGAGAAAAGGCACGCCATTATATGAGAGCTGCTTGGGTAGCAGGAGAGGGTGAAGGAGGAAGGAAGGAAGGAGGAAGGAAGGAAGGAAGTAACAGTGTGTAGTGTGCAGTGTGTAGTGTGTGTGATGCGATAATGATAGTAGTCGGCGTGGTGATGGGAGACCGTCGTTTTGAACGAGTATAAAAGTGCTGGGATATGCATCCTTTTATTCAGTATTTGCAGCCACACCCAAGCGCGATCATTTCGAGCTCAAGAATATATGACCGAGGACCATACAGGGACGATGATTGTCCGCCGTTGACGTCGGATGGAAGGTGGACATGCATGTCTAGGGTGGGGCGAGCAGAGGCAGTCAGGGACACTGGACAACATAGGCAAGAGTGGCGAGAGCAATGGCCAGGGGCCAGTCGAAACGAAGCAGCATTATGTAGAAGGAGATATCTGACTGTGTTGAGTGGGGTAGCTACGAGGAGGAAAGGAGCAGTCTGTAATTTCTAGTCTTTAATGTATGGTGTGTAGATGCTAGTTGAAGGGGAGGCGAGTAAGATGAGACACAGCGAAGTCAAGAACAAAAAAAAATCAAACAGACAGGCGATACTCATACTAATTTAACCTTGAGAGGCGAGTCAAGATGCAATTGTTATAGAGGTGACCTTAGAAAACAATAGAGGCGCTATCAGGGGTCTGCAATAGAGAGCTTCTTTGCACACTATTGTTTTTACGGCGAAAGCGGAAAAAACGCATGCTCTACTCTGCCCATCTGTAAAGTTGCCGCCCTCCGATGGTAAGGAGGGTCATGAGATCTTTTCGTACAAGTTGGAGGCCAAGTATTGTGTGCACATATCGCATGTGAGAAGTGCAGATTGCAAAACAAAAACAGAGACACCTCTTTTTTGCATTCTTCTTTTGTTTATTTTAGTACCTTCCAGTTACCGACCACTCGCCATTCACCCTATCTTTCCCTTCTTCGTACTGTTTCTCTTTTTATCTTGGCCAAGAAAGTCACCATGCATGGCAGGAGGCGCGTATAGAAGCGAGCATCACCACCTAGCCAAGAAACGCGAGCAGCAAATAACAATGAGGAAACCCAAGACTTTGCGTGAACAATTTAGTGGAAGCATTTGTACAAGACTATATCGTATGAAAATAAGACACGCCCACCGCGAAACCCCTCTTTTGATAAGCATATCACTAGAACTGACCCAGTGCCATCCAGTCATCCCAAACCTTACCTCCACTTCTCTCTCCATTCTAACGAGGGTTGGTGAAGTTGGTGTACAGCATACACCAAGCCCATCCTTGGCTGTCACAACGTTGCGATCTGAGTGTATCGCCGTAAATGTAACCCTTATACCACAAATAAAGGACCGAATCTTCCTTGTCAGGGTCATCGTGAGTAATACACCAGTCTCTGTGCTCATGACAGCTGGACTCAAGCCTGATTGAATCAGCCTTCAAGTCGCCAGTATCAAGTCCGTCGACGTAGAGCTTGAATTGGTTGGTGTACTCCCCGTCCACATCGTGGTTGGGGCCCTTGTTAGCCCACCACCACAGTTGCGAGTTCAGGGGAGACGATGGAAAATACATTTCCGATTGGCGGGGCGCACTAGATGGTAAACGAAAAGTTCCAGTGAATAAAGGTTAGAACGAGAAAAAAGAAAAACGGTGAGAGTGAAGTAGACATAGCCAACGGTAGGTTATCGACTATTATTTTTCTGATGTAAGTAGATGATGTGAAGCTCACATTGTGGGAGGACTGGCAGAAGCAGGTCCGAGGAGCATGGCAAGGTAGGTAATGGCTATGATGCCACTGGTCGAAGGCCAAAAGAAGAGGCACGGCATGGTGTAAGAGCTACCTTTTGAATGGTGAAAACAATGTGGAAAGAGCAGCAGTGCGTAGATGAGAGTTGAAAGTGTAAATGTGCCTGATGTTTGAATTGTGTTTCTTGAGAGGAGAGGAAAAAAAGGGATATATGGGCATTCTTTTTATTCATGTCTGGACTTGAGGCGTGAGCAAAAAACAACAAGAATCTGAACAAAAAGTGACCAAGCAAACATAGCGTAAAAGAAGAAGAAACAAGAGACAAGCCAACGATATTTGATCTCCTTTTATCTCGGGGGCCAATTAACAAAGGGAGTATTAGGTGCTCAATCAGCCCAACATAACAATAAGAGTTGTGTCAAGGATGCAAAACTCATGTGGTATGCTAAAAGGTACATAACAAGCAGAGGCAACTCTTTCTTTTGATAATTTTTTTTTGTTTATTATTCTACACGCGACAAAATGCCCCCTATCCCGCCCCTCTCTTGCGTCTCTATCGAAGGCAAGGACACAGCAGCAACTACGATGCATCATGTCAAGCAAGAGGCCCATTTACATGCGGAATAAGGCCCTTTAATACACCATATCCTCCGCCGTGCTCCACGCCCCCGGAATAGAGAGATACCGCAGGTTCAAAACAAAAACCACTCCTGTCACAGCCCGTTTGTCTTGCGAGACTTATCTCTCATGGCCCCACTTGAATACTCGTTTGGTCTGTGTAACACTTTTAAATGTTCATTGCTGAACAGAACGATATCTTTCATTCCTCCTTCCCCTACCACATTGACAAAGATTTGCACACATGATCGACTTGGGCATATCCATGTAACAATGCTATTTTTCTTGTTAGGCGTTCGCGACACTCTCGTTCCTTTTGACATGATATTTTAATTCGTTTGGGGAAGAGAAGCAAGTACGAAACAACAAAAAGTAAAAAAAGAAGTGAAAGAACAGGCGATAGAAAGAAGAGAGCAGCGAGATAACGTGGTGCAATCCCAAAAAAAAAAAAGTCAGGAAGCGTCACCAAAAAAAGACAGACTAATTTCACGTCGAGGCAGTAATAGTAGTTGTAGGTAAACTTGTCTCCGCTCGCCGAGCCATCATCCTTCGTCTCACGAGAGTAAGACTTGCCCTTATACACAAAAAGCATTCTCTCATCCTGAGGGCCGTCAAAGTGGAACACACGGAACGCCTTGTCATCCGAGTCGATTCCGAGGTAAGTATAGCGGTGCTTCCCGACGTGGCCGTTGTAATGGTTAGGAACTTCGAGCCAGATTTCTTTTTGGTATCCATCTTGAGCTGTCCAGGTCAAGGTGGCCGAGATACAATCCGCATTGAGCTCGATGTTAAAGTAAATGAATGGACGGTTGAAAAAGAAGGCGAGAAGGACCGAAGATAAAAATACGCGATGATTAATGAAGATCCATTTGTTTTCTTTCCCTAAATGTGTTAGGGGCGACGAAACGCGTACCTTGTAGTGTGTCCAGTAGGGAAGGTAGAGGTGTCTCCAGTGGGGAGAGCAGAGGCAACGGCGGCAATGAGACCAAGGAGGACAATTCCAAGCGTCATTGTTGAGGCGAGTGAGAGTGGGGCTGCAGAGGAGTGGGTTGTGAAAAAATACCGAGAAAGATAGAATGGTTTGAAGAAAAAAGAGAAAAGAGAGAAGTGAAAAGGAAAGAAGACGGAAGAATGAAAACTTTTATAGTGGCATGAGTATTCTATATATTCTTGACTGTCGAATGACCATCCGCCACCCCTGAAAACATACGCCCCACTCTCCTCCCAGTGCTCAACCCTTAGCAAGGTTGACATCACTTGGAAAAAACGTGTCAGGCCATGCCAACCAGGTAGTCCCACTCTTGAAAATGACGTTGAGAATGATTTTGCGATTAGAACACCAGTCTCCTCTGGGACTTTTAGTGACATGGATATTCATGTTCGATCGGATGGACGGATGGTCAGAGGTGCAAACAATACGTGCGCGCTATTGTTCTCTTTCGGTCCGCCTCTGGCTCTCAGTGCCCCAGTCCGGGCTGTATGTTTGCTGGCTGATATCCGGTTTGGTATCAGTTTGGTCAGTGCATCTTGCTCTCATGGCGCCATCTCAAAAAAATGATCCGTGTAACGTGAGGGGTGCGAAAATGATCATGCCACTTGCTTTAGAGCTCTTGCCATTTTAACCGCTCCTACTGTCGTTGGAATATATTTGTTTACTTCGAAGAGGGGTTTCTCTTTCATAGACCACACATAATGTCAATAGGACACAAACCATCCGCATTGTGTGTACTCTTGAAGCATCAAAAAGAAAAAGAAAATGGAAGAAAGATAATCTGAAAAATGTTCTCTGGTCTGTGCGACGTCAGAATCCATCCACACATTTGAGGTTTCAAATGGGCGTTCACCTCCCCTCCTCCAGCCATTCGGGGTGGGTCGCCCGGCATCCCTTTGCACTGCTGTTTGATTGTTAGTATCTTGCATTAATGTCTGTCGAAATAACATTTCACTCAACTACATTCGAGTTTGCCATCTTGTCTAGAGGAGTCATCCCGTGTTGGTATTATCTGTTTTACCATGTCAAAGAACACACATGTATTTCTTTCCCACGAAGTTCTCACTGCGAACGTGAAGTTTTAAATCCAGTAAGGTTGAGAGTTACTTTTTATTTAAGTCTGTCTTAGAAAGAGAAGAAAAACAAAAAAAAAAGCAAAAAACGCGACCAGGGCCTTAGAGGGTTAGAGGATCCACCTCACTCACCCCCCTCCCACCATCACAATAAAAAAACGATTTGAGTGTTATTCACTCAATAAGCAACACAATCCCAGTACTCCACGTCCCAATCTGCATACCCAATTTGAAGTTTATGGACGTAGCTGGGATCTTTATAATAGTACTTGCGGTTGCCAAACTCGAGGATGACATCCATTTCCACGGGTCCAAAACCATGCGTCACACAGAACATTCCGTCCCCCGAACAATATCTAGTACGGCGCATAGGGTCCTCGTGAGGGAGAATGGCGCCCCTGTAGTAGTTGCCGACTAACGTGAAACTGAGGAGACTGTTGTAATCTCCCGCTCCTTGGGGATCTCGCCACCATCGAAGGGTGGAGGACTTGCAGTCTTGTGCGGAGACGGCGTTGGGCGATGTGCTAGATGGAGGAAGGGGAAGTAGGAGTAGAAGTGCAACATGGCTTAATATAACTTTCTTTCTCATGTGTTGCTCGATGAGAGAATAACCACAAAGGGAAAAAGAAGACTTACTGGGTCGAATTCCTTGCAAAGCTGGAAAGGGTACCGGTTTGGTTTCGGGCAGGGAGTGCGGCGGCGACACTGGCGGCCAAACCAAGGAGAAGGATTTCAATCTTCATGGCGATGAATGGACAGGAGGAGGTATAGATGGTGGGGACAATGGAGTGATGATGCGTGGAAGGAATGGGTCGACTGCTAAGGAACGAAGAGGAATGATATGTAGCAAGAAACAGTTGTCAAAAGACAAGGAAGGAGAGGAGACAACAGAAAGAAAGAGGATTTTTTATCCCAGGCACGCCTGACGTTATATAGGTTTGACTCTGCTTGCTATGTCGACGAGGGAGTTGCATTAACATGGGCAAAGGGCGCGCCTGAACATGAACATTGTTTTTTATTGTCAATTCACTCCCCATTCTTCTTCCTATCTCCTTTCTCCCATCACATGCGTACTCTTCCTGTTTGTACTATTGATTTGCCATCTCGGTACCCCATGGATACATTGGAGGCTCTCAGCCAACAGTGGAAGATGATACTGTTTTTCTTTGGTGCGACACAAAGGACCCAACATACGAGTATATTTTCTCAGACCCAATAGAAGTTGCAAACGGAGAGTGTTGTGAAGGGGCATCCAATACTGACAGGAGGACAAGCGTGTTCAACAGGAGGGATGGATATGGCGTTGAAAGATTGTTCCTCCGCTACATGCCCGAGTGCCTTACTTTTGTTCCCTTTGCGCGCCTCTGTTTGTGCGTAAAAAAAAGGAGTGCTCTTGGTGTAATCGGGATTACTGATGTTCTATCGTTCGGCATTGATGCCCTTTCAACCGCCTCTGTATTCTTCGAGCTTCGAACGAGTCACTTTCAACTGGACACAAAAGGCTCACTTTGTTTGCGCTCCTCTCTTGCGCTAACCAAAGAAAATATAAGAGGAAAGAAAAACTACATGGGAACCCGGTCTGTGCGACGTGAGCACGCATCCACCTTTGTAAATCGCATGACTGTCTTCCCATCATCTGCCCCAGAGTCTCGCAACTCCGTTGTTTGTTTTCGTGAGCAAAAAAACAGTTCAGATAAGAACATGCACGTACATTCGTGTTCATGAGTTTGCATAACGGCAGAACAGAATCCTCTGTGCGAGAAAATAAAACCCATGTCACAAACATCGATGTCCGGGTATGTCAAAAAAAAGAAGACATCTATCTTGCCATAAGTGTAGTCATTCTCATTGTAATTCGTGGAGCATGAAACCTGTAAGGTTGAACACAGTTTTTATGACTATCAAACTCAATGAGAAAAAAACGCGCGGGGTCCCACCAACAGGACTAAAGGGCGTCAGAAAAAAAGAACCTCACCATCCTCCCCCCATTCCCCAAGAAAACTAGACCTCCATTAAGAGACACAACCCCAATACTCATAATTAAAAGCATCAGGGTCATTAGTATAGATCTTGTTCGGCACAGGATGATAATAGAGCAGTGAATTGAACATGATCGTGACACTTTTGTCCACGGCTCCAGATGCATGGGTCACGCAGAAATTTTGATCGTCGGAACACCATTGCTTCTGGTAATCCGTGTCCTTGTGGAATGGTAGTCTACCATAATAGTAGCGACCCCCATATGTTAATTCGAAGGTAATCTTGGAATGTAATGAGGAAAATAGTGTTGGTCGGATCTGGCCCCAGCGCAGGGTTGTGGACGCGCAGCCACTTGCGGACATTGTGTTGTTGCGTGGTGAGCTGCTGGAGTAGAAATGAGGTAAGAGGGAAAATGAGGGGGCATTAGGATGCAGCTCGTTAGCTTGCTATTTTTCGGATTTCATTGGTTTTACGAGGATGCAACGATACCTACCTTGTCGAATTCCTTGCAGGGGTAGGAGGGACAGTGGGTTGGTTTCGGGCGGGGGATGCAGTGGCGACACTGGCGATCAAGCCGAGGAGAAGAATTCCGATCTTCATGGTCAGAAACAGAAACAGAAAGGGGTATAGACGGAGGGATGATGGAGCGATGGGGTGTGGGAGAAATGAGTCGAGGGCCAGGAAACGAAGAGAAATGGTGAAGAGTGATACAATGGTCGAAAGGCAAGGAAAAGAAAGGAGAAAATAGAAACAAAGAAAAATTGACGCCTGGTACATATGAATTTTTATATTCCCATGATTCTGTTCGCCATGTCCTTGACGGAATCGCGTGGACATGAGCATAGGGTACATTTAAAGGCAAACGTCGTTCGTTATTGTCAATTGGCGCCCGTAGTTCTTCTCTTTATTCCTTCTCCCATCGCATGTTGATCTTTTCTTGTTTGCGCAATCGATTTGCCATCTCGGTGGCCCATGTCCACATTGGAGGGGCTCTCAGTCAACAACCGAGGAAAGGAAGAAGGAAAAAAGATGTGTTCGATTGTGTACGACACAAACACCCAACAGACGACGATGTCTTTTATTTTTTGTTTCTCAACCCCAGTAGAAGTTGCATGGGAGGAGCCCGCATGTTGTCTTGAAGAAAGAGTTCAAATTACTGACAGGCCCTTGGCCAAGCATCTTGGAGAAGCCCAAAGACTGAGAAGAGAATAGGGGTTGAGAGAGGATGTGTTCAACAGTAGGATGTAGATGGCGCTCAGAGAGCATTGTCCTCCGCAGGCTGTCTAGATACCTTTTCTTTTTGTGTTTGTTCGCGTGTGAAAAAAATGAGCATTATGCAGTCGCTATTGGTCATGTTTTTCTTTCAGCGCCTTTCTTGCCTTCCGCTCCATCTGTAGTCGAGCTTCGAACAAGATTTTATATCTTCGAATGGGCACAAAATGCTCACTTTGCTGGCCACAAAAGAAAAAAGAAAAAAAGAGGAAAGAAAAACTACAGGCGTCTCCGGACTGGGCGACCTGAAATATACTGCTTCTTGAACCGTTTGATTTGTTGTCGCTTCACATGCCTTCTCCCAGTACCCGGAGCGATTGCTTTTCCAACGCTCCGTTTCTTGCACGTTTTTATTGATTTTTTTTTTTCAGTTCTGACATCATAATACCAAGAACGCAACCATTAGGCGCATGAATATAGGTTTACAACATGTTTTTGCATGTCATGACACCAAAGCAAATTGAATTACAAGGTACCGACCATGGGATACAAACGGCTGGGGATTATCTTTTGTGCGTTGCAAAAGCACAAACAGCTGAACGCACATTTAACTAGCCCTTCATCTCTTTTACACCCTAATCTCGAATCATATTCATAGTAGCTTGGAAGAAGCGAGGGCATATCAGCAAGTGTAGACTTGACTTTATTTTGGGAAGAGACTCAACGACGCACCCCTGAATCAGTGGTGATGCTAACACCCTGAGGTGACATTTTCGAAGATCGCCAAAAAGCGCCATCAATCATTTCAGCTACCGGATTGATAAAAAAGAGTGTCTGCGCCCCCCACCCCCACCCCTCGTCATATCACCACCAACGTTTTAGAATGATATATATCAACGTGTATTTTTATTTTATTCTCGTTTATGAATGTAGTGCTGTTTCTTTTCGGTTGCAGACTGCTGTTTCGTGTAGAGGTGAAGGGGGGAGGGTAATAGGGAGGGCGAAACAAATAATAAAAAGGAATAGCAGAGCAACAAAAAAAAATACAACCGTCAATCGCGTCTTATCTCAAAACAATATCAACAAAGAACTCTCGCTCTAGTCCCTCGAGATCCAGGTAAGCTTGGTCTGTGCATCGTTGATGAACCAAATGTTCATATCCTCATACTCGCGCAAGCAATCCTCCAACTCCTGGAGCTTGAAGCCCTTGGCCAGGACACGGTCTCGAATCTCCTGTAGCCTCAACTCTTCAACCAGACGCCAGCCATCCTCAGGGTCCTTGCTCATCGTGCGAATAATGTCGTAGATCTTGTCAGTGGGCGACTGGTAGTTGCGTCCGTCTCTTCCGTTTTGACCACCGTCGTTATCGTAGAGTGATGCCTTCGAGACATCGATTAAGCGCAGAGCCTCGTTCACATCCTCAACCGAAACAACATCCGAGAACCGGAGACGAGCCATTGCCTGTGCCAAACGAAGAACACCGAGCAAAGTACGCGCACTGACGTACGTGAATTCCTGTCCGCTCTCTCTCTCGGCCTTTCCGTTCTGGCGCGATTGCACATAGGCGTCCACAATGTGCTCCGAGACTGCCTTGGGGACAGTAGGCCTCCTTTGCCGTGCTGCAGCAATATATTGTCTGTTTGCAAAAGTAGAACCAATGAATTGTTAGTTTTCGTTCAACTCATTGAATGCACCCGCGTGTAAAGACGACCCAAAGCAAAAAAATGTTGACGCTTACCTCATCAAGCTTGCGCTGTAGGGCTCGAAATCCATCTTGGGAGCTTGGTTGTGCATGTGGACGTAGGTAATATGGGCGGCGAGGCGCGAATCGTTCTCTTCGTTGGCAGTGTCGAGAATCAAGAAGAGAATATCGAAACGTGAGAGCAAAGCGGCAGGCAAGTTGATGTTCTCGACAGGCGATTTGCGGGGGTTGTAGCGACCGTAAATAGGGTTGGCGGCGGCCAAGATCGAGGCACGTGCGTTAAGGGTAGTTGTGATACCGGCCTTGGAGATCGAGATAGTCTGCTGTTCCATGACCTCGTGAATTGCCGTTCTGTCCGACTCGTCCATCTTGTCGAACTCATCGATACAGCAGATACCGTTATCAGCCAAAACCAATGCTCCTCCCTCTATAGTATCAAAAATACGGTTGGGGTCAGTCAACAAAGTTGATTGCACAGGTCCTGGAAGCACACTTCAATAAGTGCTAAGGTGCAGTCAGTCAAAGCAACTTACCGAGGATCATCTCGTCTGTGACAGGGTCCCTCATGACGGCAGCGGTCAAACCGACACCGGAACTTCCCTTACCAGTGGTGTAAACACCACGGGGGGCAACCTTGGTGATGTATTTCAACAACTGCGACTTGGCCACTCCTGGGTCACCCATCAAGCAAACGTTGATATCTCCACGAATTTTCATGCCATCGCCCATGGCCTTAGTGGGGGCGCCAATCATCAGCAACAGCAATGCCTTCTTCACATCCTCGTGACCGTAAATCTCGGGAGCGATCGAACGAGCCATCTTGTTGTAGACATCGGGATCCTGAGCCATATCCTCCAATTCCTCCTGAGCCTGGGCTGTGAGCGTCATCTCCGAGTATTGCTTCTTAGACTGTTCAACATGGTGGCCCTCCAAGTAAGTATCGGTCAAAAGTCCTGCGCGCATGGCCTGGAATCCAGTGTAAGGGATAGGAACATAAATACCGGAAACTGCAACAGTGTCACCGGGGTTCATGCTTCTGGTCATCACACCAAAGAGGTGCACCTTGATCGAACGAGGGATGTGTCCAACGGGGACTTGGTGGGTCTAATAGCGGAGATTTTTTCAAGTGTTCTTTTGAGGTCAGCGTGCCATCCTTAACAGAAATACATAACGCGTCAAAAATTTCTTCCTGTTCTCTGCGAAAATCCAGAAAAGGTGGCACGTACAAGTTCTTGAATCTTGACCTCCTGGAACTCCAAGAACTTGTTGGCACGAGTTTGCTCGTGAAGTTTTCCTTTCGTTTGGTTGGTCTTGCAGGCCAGGGAGTTGCACTCGGTCATAGGCATGTACTGGCGGGCGGTAATCTCCTGGAAGTTTTCAGTTCCACATAATTCGCAAGTATAGGCGGCCACCTCGACGAAGGGCTTGACAGCAGTGACACGGGTGACGATTCCCTGAAGAGTGACCAACTTTCCGAGGTATTCAGCCTTGATCTCGCGGACAGAGAGCGCCTTTTGGCTGGTTGGGGGTTTGAAGACGATTTGGCTAGAAGAAAGGGAAATTTCATAGTTGATGGGCACGAATTGGTGTGAGTTGCTTATCCATGATAGTGAGAAGTTCCAGTCCTCTGCCGTTGATCCTGTTGTAACGGTGTAAGGAAGACTTACTATCTTCTGGTCAACGCAGGAGGATAGGGAAGCTCCTCCAGGGGAACCTCTCCGTTGGCATTGACAAAGTTGGCGTTGTGACTCCTGCGCTGACTGAGAACAACATCGAGGACAGAAGCTTTAGCCTCCATATCCTCCGTGGGAAGTGGCATGATAGCGTCCTATATCCGCGTCCGATATAAAGTAAAAAAGGTATTAAGTTTTGAGCGGCAGAGCGGCAAAGGTTCCTGATGGCAGTCCGGCGTGATCGTAATAACATGCTGCGATGTGGTGGTTGAATCTCTTATCCGTACAATGGCGCTACAGAAAAGGCTCACGTAACGCTTCGTGTTGGCCATGACGTGAGGAGCCAGGTTTGAGGCCTTGGTGCGATCAAACTAATAGGTGAAAGCGGACGAAGGGGGACGGGCGTGTTAGTTGATTCCTTCTGTGTCCTCTTGCTACTAATAACACCAGTGGCCAAAAAACAGAAACATGGCGCGTTGTTGGTCCTGTTCGTCTCCGTGATAACACTTGCCTTGATAACATCGTTGAGGTGAATGACCAGCTTCTTCTGTCTGCGGTTGGCAATCATTTGCTATCGGAACATAGAGCAATGATGACAAAGGTTAATGGACTTTTGTTATTTGAAGGTTATTGGCGGTGTGCGGAACGTGTTATTCAAAAGTGTGCTTACCAACTGCATGAAATACTTGAGCTGAGGGTCGAGGTTGCCGTCGAGCTCAAGAGAGGTATCCTCAACATCAGCCTCCGACAAAACAGCCTTGTAGGTCTCGAGAAAGTCCTTAATGTGCGCTATTGGTTTCGATAACAAACCGACAGTGACTCGATGTTAGCTCACTGGTATCAGAAGCACCGCTGCCGTCTCGCTTCGTTGCATTGTCTCTGAGATGCTGGTTGTTGTTTGTTGTGAGGATGTGCATTGGCGGTATGATGAGAGAGCGGCGGTTGAGTTTGTTTGTTTGTTGAGATGAAGCCTTGCCTGTCCCTGAGGCGTGATTCCTTTCCTGCTGGTACTCCGGGTGTCTTCTCCTGCAATATAAGAAGGAACGGCGGTCTTACCAATCTCGTCCGCGTATTTGACCCGTGTATTCATGGCCATCGTTGTAAGTTGATGTAAATGTTGATTCCTGTGAGGTTGATGAGAGAGAAGACAAAAAGGCAAAACACAAAAGGTGGCGATAGATATTATGCAGCACAAGGGCAAAGAGGTGACTTTTTTTCGGTCGCTTCTCAGACGCGTCAAAAAGCAAGCCAGCAAAAAAATAAACAATATCACGTGCTCTAATTCATTTACTGGAATTGAAAGTCTACTCGAGTTTCTGCAGCTCGGCCATCACCAGCTCGTAGACAAAGAAGGTCACAGCATTGACGGGGAAGGCGCGAAGCAGCGCAGGGGTAGCTCCTCTCATGAACACGCCCATTCCCTCGCTCTTGTAGGATCGGATTGCACAGTCAACCATGCCCTTGTAGGGTGCACTCGAAAGGGTCTTCGAGTGACCCTGTCGATTCGTCTGGTGCACCAATCCACGGGCCTCGATGTGGCTCTTAGAAAGAAGACTCGTCGATGGCGTAGGGATCCTTGCAGTGGCAGTAGTAGGGAGAGTCCTCAAGGCGTCTGTCGACATCAAATGAGGTTGTGTCTGCAAGCGTGTTTTGATCACATCTATGGACGAGCAAGGATATCGGGATAGAGGGTAAGGAAGGGTTGGTGGTAAGTAAACGGTCGTTGTATTATAGTTATTCGAAAATCTGTTTCCACATAGCATTGTTTCCACACAGGACTGCAGTAAAAGAAAAAAGTCTCACCTAGAGGGTATATGCTTGCCCAAGAAAGTGTTCCAGCCACTCCTCCCGCAAAGAGCAGTTTCCATGTGTTGATTCCTCCCGTTTCTCCAGCCGGGATTTCTAGACCCCTCTTCAGTCCCTCGTACGCACTATGCAAGAAAGGTGTGAGAGTTTTCACGGTTAGTTTTGAAACAGCAATTGAAGAAGGTGTCACCCGATCCATAAGAAGGCACAAAAACAAACAAACACGATAATATTTCTCTGTTTGTGCAACTTACAGAAAGTACACGCCATAGCCTGGAGCATCTCGTAGCATTGTGACCAAACCGCCCTGGTATAGACCTCGCAGCCCGAACCGTCTGATCACATCTTTGGTGACATGCCAAGATCCTGATTCGCTCAGGATGGCCTTTTGAGCGGCAGCCGAGGATGTAGGGTCCAGTCTTGATGCAATGACCTGCGCCCTGCATTTGACCAGTTCTGTCGGAGTACTGACCAAGAAGCAGGCGACGCCGGCAACGAATCCCGCTGCAAAGACATGTGACAGTGGTTGGAGGGCTTCACCCGCTGCTGCGTAGAGGGATGGGGTTGTGGAGGATGGTGGTGCCACGACTTCAAAGAAGCGCATTGATGCCGAGTATGAGGCGAACAAGATAGAGTTGAGTCCTGCCAGGCCCACAATCGGTGAGCTGATACCCTTGAACAATGACTTGATCTTCAAGGTGCAGAGGCACAAAGATGTGGAAAAAGTGGGAGGAGAACGGAGTTTAGCATTATTGTTCCACAAGGAAGCATAAGAAAGGGAGGGAACAATGCGTCCATGTGTTTTCTTGTGTAGTTGCGTATTACCCCTTCATTCTGGACCATTGCGGATAGACTGGGGTTCCTGGCTCCTTGGCTCCTTGTTGCTGTCCCCGAGGCATCACCCTGTGCTTGCAATCTGACCTATTAGAAGTGAATTAGCCAATTAGAAAGTCAATTTCTTTGTACTTTTCTCAGTCTATCAGTCCATCATCTTGGAAGGAAGGAGTGTCTCTTCAAAGTGTCAAAAGGTCTTCTTCTCTGACTTGGTTGGTTACCTTGAGGACATCCAAGGGGCTTCCGATGATCAATCCTGCGACGCCACTGATATAGCCTATATGTGATAGACGATAGACTCTTGGGGTTAATTTGGATCATGGCAGGCAGGAGGGTGAATGATACTCCATTCCCTGCAGCCGGGTGTTCGGTGGACAAAAAGGAGCTTGCTGCAGTCTGAGGGTCCCAACGGCCATTATTTCTCCCCGCTCACTTGCCTGCAATAAAATCGTTGACACTGCTAGCTAGGAGAACAGAGAAAAAGGGGGTAAGGGAAGAAGAGGGTTGGTTGAGTTAGACAAATGCTCATTGTCGACGGCGTTCGGGTCATGAGTTGAATGAGACAAAGAAAGAGTGATGCTGGGAATGAGCATGTACCCATTGTGAAAATGTACTCGTCTGTGAGTGTGGAGTAGTGTGGAGTAGTGTGGAGAGTGTGAGTGTGTTGGTGTGAGTGAATGTGGAGTGTCAAAGGAGGGGAAAGCAGCAGGCGAGTGAGACGGTTGCAGGCGAAAGGAAGGGAAGGCAGGGAGACGGGTATAGAGAAAGAGGGAGGGAGAGGTGAGACGAAGAAGAAGACAAAGAAGAAAGAAAAGAAAGAGAACCGGCGGAGAGTTCAGGCAAAGCAAGAAAAAGTAAAAAAAAAAAAAAACGGCTGACAAAAGGAAGGAAGGAAGAAAGAAGGAAAGAAATGACGGGCAAAGGAAGGAAGGAAGATCGGTCTCTCTTTTATTCTATGTTCAACACACTCTCTTCTATCAGCACCATTCCGATCGCAATGAGAGTAAAGAGACCGAGGGTGCAATGGATCCACTGGGATGTCGCTCCGAAGCAGATCTTCATTTTTAGTATTTCCTCCTTTTTTTTTTCCAGCATTTGCCTCTTTGTTCCTGCATTCGTTTGAGTTAGATCAGAAATGTTGTCGTCTGCCACAGTCTGTGTCCTCCATTCTGTGTTTATCCCACATGGCCTTCAAAAAAAATGACCCAGGCACCCTCGTTCCTCAGCCTATGCTGTCATAGATTTTTTTATGTTCCCTCGGTCGACCTTCCACCCCATTTTGACCTTAACCTCTCAAACGAACCCGACATGCTCGTTCTTGCTACGGCGATAGACCGTATTGGAGCTCGGCACTTGTCCTATTCCTCCTTCACTGTCAACCCTTTTTCTCCTTTTCCCCTTATTCACTGACTTTGCAGCCCCACGTTAACCCCAAGTGGTGACGAATTAGAAAGCGATCTGGACGCATCAGCAAGGTCTACACGTGACTTGACCCTGCCCCTGCCCTAGTTCCCGTTCTCCAGAGGAGCGAATTGCATAAAGAGTTTTTTTATGTTTTGTTTTTGTTCTTTTCTGTTCTTTACTTCACTCCACTTCCCTTCCACAACACATACTTCAAAATGGTCCTTGAGCGCACTTACATTATGGTACGGATACCTTCTCTCTTCAAGAAACACACGTCTGCAAGGAACTTACGGAAACGACAAAGGAACAAACCCAGAATAGCAGTGTGCTAATCTTTTTTTTTTTCCATGTCCATTCACTTCATTCCATCCCTCAATAGGTTAAGCCCGACGGTGTCGAGCGTGGTCTCGTTGGTGAGATCATCAAGCGTTTCGAGAACAAGGGTTTCCAGCTCATTGCCCTCGAGCTCAAGACCGTACGTCCTTTCTTTTCTCCCTTTCTCTCACGCAAAGACATTTTACTTTATCGCTCAAATGCATCGCATGCCTTTATATCGTTTTCTCCCACGTTTCCTCCTCCCTTGCACGCCCTGTGCAATGTGTGCAATGGGTCATGTTATATGGTGTTGTGTACTGACAGTGTCCTCCTACACGTCTTGCTTTTTCTGAACCTCATAGCCCACCCGTGACCTTCTCGAGAAGCACTACGCTGACCTCTCCTCCAAGCCCTTCTTTGGTGGTCTCATGAACTACATGACCTCCGGCCCCGTTGTACGTTCTCGTCTTCATTTTCTCTGACAGTCGCTTTGTTCTTTGATTATGTCGTTTGATGACGTTGTATCTTTGCATGCACTCGATTGGAATCCTCCTCTAACTCGCCATCTTCTAACCTTATCAATTGACTCCAATAGGTCGCCATGGTCTGGTCCGGAAAGGGTGTTGTCAAGTCTGGCCGTGTCCTCCTCGGTGAGACCAACCCCCTCGCCTCCCTCCCCGGCACCATCCGCGGTGACTTCTGCATTGATGTCGGCCGCAACCTCTGCCACGGTTCCGACTCTGTCGAGAACGCCGAGAAGGAGATCTCCCTCTGGTTCCCCCACGGTGTCATCTCCCACACCCGCGTCATGGAGAAGCTCATCTACGAGTAAATCCTTGTGGTATCTTCACCGATGCACCAACAGACTTTTTATCGAAACTCTTTTGAATAAAAAAAACACTATCAAAACCCAGTCTTCGTTCACATTTTATTTTTGCAATTGATACGGAACGCGGCTTTTCAAAAGACGAGTGAACAAAACGCTGATAAAGAAGCATTTGGAATTTGAAAGAGCGCACTGCAGTGGAATGGCAGAGAAGCTGTAAGGGTTCCCGATCCAATTGAGGGCATTACGCCCGCCTGTCTCTCTTCTGTGGTTGTTTCTCGATGTGATGGAGGACGGACCACGCAAACAATTGGAAGATGAGGCTCGTGCCAAATGGATAGGGGGAAAGAGTGACAACAAGACACTAAAAGAAATGGCATGGGTGCAGGGAAGAAGTAGGAGGCAGATAGTGGGAATATCGCCCCTCAAAAAACCACTCTGTTTTTTGTGTTCGAACTGGGCTCACCTGGTGGGCATGAATGAATCAGATCCATTCTCTACTTTCCTCGCCATCTCACAACATCGCGTCGAAAACGTGGAGCACCGATTTCTTTGATTCATTTTTTATTTGTATAGTACAGTACATGGACATTAGGAGGAAGAGGAGGGTAGATATTTGCCACAAAGAGATAATGGCATGTAAAAGAGAAACTGTATAAGTATGGAGAACAGGAGACAAGAAATTGGAAGACGATAAGAAAGGCCGGCCATTGATCAGCCAGGCGCCGCCTACAGTTCAGGGACTTAACACGCCTTCTTGGGTATTCGACCATGTATTCGCCGTCACTTTGATTTTTCCAGTGAGTAATTCCGTCTATTAAGTGAGGTAGTGGACGATGGCCCACAAAGCCAACAAGGTAACGCAGACACCGGCGTAAAAGATCCACTTGTCTTCACTGCTCCTGCGCTCAATCAGTTGGATCACATTGCGGGACAGGCCCAGGGTATTCGCAGCATCCAGCATCTTGCGTTGAGTCGACTATTTATCGTATCAGTTAAAAGGACATACATGATTAGTTCTATATGGTCCTCCAAAACTGTTGGTCACCCTCCAGCACTCTCAATTAGCAAAAATAACAACGCCAACGTACCTTGAGCATAGTCTTTTGTTGATAGAGGTTGTCGAGGGCTGCCTTTCCTTGGTGCAACATATCGTCGAGCTGCATTCCGGTCCTCTGAGCAAAGTCGCGTTCCCTCATCGCATGTGCCTGTTGCAAGTAAGGTGAGCCAGATGTTGCCTGGTAAGGATGTTCCACTGGGACATTCACCCGCGATTGTCTTCTCTCCAGCAACTGTGTACGATTCCTTCCATGTGAAAGCTATCAGTCATGAGAGGTAGTAAGTAAATTAAGAATGAGTCCTTGCTCCCGCCATAAGTTTCAATACATGTCTTCTACGCGGAATTGTCAATTGAAGGATATCTGTCCAATGACTCCGTACCTGCTCCTCTCGGCTCTTCAGCTGTGCAAAACTCCTGTTGATGGCATCATAGTCCTCGCGGAACTTTGTCACACGTCTATTTGTCGAGTCATTTCATACAGTTGAGACGATAAGTTAGATCAAGCAGTCGATCCAATGATTCCATTTGATCCAGCAGTACCAACAAAGTCTTCTCAAGCCCAGATCGACAAGAGTACTCACGCGAATGCCTTCTCCCGTTTAGCGTCAATCATCTCCTTTTTGGCCATGGTGTCGTAGTCGTCAATGGATCTCTTGAAGGCGTTGACGGTAGCGGTAATCTGACCTAATCGAGAGAAATGAGATCATTTTCCACACGAATATTAATATCATTACCAAAAAAAAAGAGCACAGAGTGGAACGGGGGGTTGTGAGACGGTAGCCTAGCGGTGTAACATGCGGCGGTGAAGTAGAGGACGCTGACACAGGCCAACAACTTGTTGATACCGCTACTGTCCACAGTAGCATGGCGTCAGCAACGTCCCCATAACACGTATGGGCTCAATTAGTTGTTCATGTAGTAAAGTCGGCTGCATGATTTGTCGGTAGGTCGACGGATCCAAAAATATCAAACGTGGCAGAAAAAGACAAAAGAGGTCTACAGCCCAAAGCGTTGTCTCCTGTTCATTCCTTCCTCCTGCTCTCCTCCATCCACGTTCCGCTCGAACTGTCGTTCATCCTGCCATCTGTTGTCTACTCAAAAAACGTGTCAACCTCCTGCCTCCTCTCCCCTCATCTGTGTTTTCCTCATCTATTTCCAGTAAAGGGTTCGTCGAGAGTTGCTGAGTGCGCATGCTGGTTGCTGTTTCGCTTGCTTGTGTTCAGTGTGTCCTGTTCCTGACATTGAGAAACTCTTCCCGTTGATACCAGTTTTTTGTTTGGGAAAAAGGGCGAGAGGGGTGGTGGAAATGGCACGGTTATTACCCTGTAGGGCGGCACTGGTGTCTTCGCCGGTTTGGAACTTATCCAGGTCCCGCTGCAGGGCGTTGACCTGCTTCAGGGCGTGGTTGTATAATGAGTTCATCCTGTGTCTGCGTCTGGGTGTTGTCTTGCTGTTGTTCTTGGTGGCCCTGCGTCGAGTTTGTTGATGGAGAGTTGAGTAGAGAGTGAGAGAGTAAGGGGAGGAATAGGAAAAAAAAAGATGAGACTAAAAGTGCATGCACGCCTGGTCTACCCTCCACTTCATTTCTCGTACCCAATGAAAATGGAGCAAAGCAGGAGGGTAAGCACATATACACGTGACAAGTACATCTCACTATCGCATGCACAACGGTCTTTCTTTCTGCCTGTTTCTCCATCCATCCTACCTTCATTTTTTTTCCATTTTGAGCGTACACATGTACCTTATCCCGAAAAAGGTGTTTTTCTGCGATCTAGAGTTCGTAGTTTTGTACCCCCTTGCCTTCATGGCTGTCATATCGACCTTCTGTGCATTGCTCAATAGCTTCATAATTTCCTTTCATATCCATCTACTCTGAACTCTCTTCATTGTGGCTGTCTTTGTTTCTTGGCCAAGAAAGTATATAAAGGTTCGTCTTCGTCGTTCTCTTGTTTCTCTTAATTATCCGCAAACAATCAACATAAACAAAGAAGATCAAGCAAACTTCAACAGCACCAACTCATCTTCAACCTCTTCCACAGCTCTCCTTCTCTACATTAAGCAAAAAAATAATAATCACAATGCTGCCCGCCTCGAATCCAATGGCTCGTCTAGTCTCCGTCGCCAACGCAGCTAGACTCCTCCGCACCCTCCCAAAACGCTCCTTCACCTCCGCCTCACCCTCTGCCACCTCTGCCAAATTCAATGGTTTCTTCAACTCTTCCTCGCCCTACAACCGTTTCGCCGCCACTCCTTCTTCAGCTTCAACCACACCACTCTCGCGCTTCGCGGCTCAGTCCTCGCAAAAGTTTCAACAACCACGATTCTTCTCCTCCTCCCCACTCGGACCATCCGCTGCTGCCTTGAAGGTACCCAAGTCCTCCTCCCAACTGAAGCAAGGCCAATCCGTCCGGAACTACTCTCACCACTCCTGGCACGGCGAGTCCCACGAAGGTCGACGCGCCGCCTGGTTCGGTCGTTTCGGCCGTCACCACCGAGGCGGCGACGCTGCCGCCGGAAAAGCCGCCGCCGGCCTCCACGGCGCCAAGATCGAAGCCGACGTCCACCGACACATCCGCGACAGCTGGAACTACGGCTGTCGCCGCGGATACCACCACCACCAATTCCATCACCGCCGCCACCGTCCTCGTCGGTTCCTCTTCCGAATGATGGTCCTTTCCACCGTCCTGGTCGCCGTCCCCATGGTCATGATCTTTGACGCTCCTTGCAACACCCTTGCCTATGTTCCTTTGACCGTTGGAGGTGCCGGGTTGGCGCTCATGTTAACCGGTCGGTTGTTGTACGTTGCTCTGCCCATCTTTGCCATCGGTGGCGCGGCCATGTTCTGGGCTACTACTATGCCTGCCGCAAACACTATCAAGGACCTAAAAAAGATCCTGGAGCGTAATGAAATGTCGAACGGAAACGGTCGGTACGCCCCTACAGCTCTGTCGGCCCTAGGCGGCGATTGGGAAGTCCAGCCCGCAAGGCCCGATGAATGGTTCCGTTGGACCTTCCCCACCGTCTCCTCCTCTACTTCCAAAGGTGTCAAGCCTGACGCCGCATCCCTTGACAAGCTGAGTGTCCGCATGGCGATCTTGGACCCGCATGACCAAAGCGAGCACAAGGCCAAGACCATGAAGTTCCTCGACAAGCTCCAAGACAAAAAAGAACGCTCCTCCAAGATGCGCCGTCACTTCAAGGACCACGCCGACTCTGACTCCATGAACCCACACCATCGCGAATGCCACCGCATGCTTGAATCGCTCAAAGTCCAACGCGACGGAGACCACATCCTCGTCCAGATGGAAGATGACGGTGCCAAAATGATGGATCAACCCTGGGCCAAGAAATACCTCGCCCTGGGCCAGATTGTCGACCGTGCCGCTTCAGAAATGGAGGCTGGCCGTCCCGGTATGAAGTTGGGCGAGCAGGTGGTCCTGGTCCACAAGAACGATAAGAGACGTAGTGGAGAGGATTCATTCTGGCGTCGTTGGTCGCCTTATGGCGACTTGTCGATCCGGATCCCTTTTGACCGCACTTGGGTCAACGACCTTAGTGAGTAAGTGAATCTTGCACTACCCCTATTCACCACTTTCAATTTGTTTTTCTTTTTTTCATGATCAACGCAACCAACACCAGCAACACCATTCCTATTTATGTATGTATGTATGTAATGAACACCAATAAATCTGTACTTTTAGTTTTATTCACACACCAACCATCGAGTGCATGGAAGTTGGAAGCAAAAACAGATTATTCGAAAAAAAAGGAACGCAGCTAGAAGAAACTATATTTTTGGGAAGGCGAGAAAAAAAAAAAGGAAGAGAGAAGGGTAGAGTACAAGAGTGGGTCAAAGTCATTTAGAGGTAAAAAGCAACAACATGGGTATAGATTAATCTATATCACAGAGCGAAAGAAAAAAAAAAGATATATGAGTGTGAGCACCCATAAAGAAAAAATAATAATTCATTCCTGTCATTCTAGTTTCAAGCGCTCTTTTCTCATTCTCGGACATCTCTACTGGACTTACATAAATGATAACAGGGTGAAAAGGCTCTAGAAATGAAGGAAGGAGATGGGTGGCACAGGATGGAGTTTTTTCGTGGGTCGTATCCTGTCGACACCTATTATTCTATGGACCATCGCTTGCCCGGTCCATTGACAGATTCCATAGGGTAAATGTTGGTTCCTGATACTTTCCCGACTATGAGAGGAAGAAATGCGAATTAGAGATTGAGAGGGTACGTTAGTAGGAAAGCAAAACAAAAAAAAATACCATTCATAAACACTACGAACACGCGTAGTCAAACCAAACACGTACTGTGGGCATTGAGGCCGTTGTTGAAGTTCTTCGTGCATTGCCAGGCGAGATAGAGTGTGACAACTCCAAGCAGTAGATTGAGAATCACTAGAACAAAGAATGAAAGATATTAGCCTTGCCAGCTTGGGTCAAACAAAAATGGTGCAACCAAGGATCGATGTGAGGGGCTTTGACTTACAAAAGAACGTCAGAAACTTGTTGGCTCCAGCGAATCGCCCTGGATCCACAAACACTTGGTTAAGCTTGATAATGTTATAGACGAGCGTTCCTATGCCTCCGCAGATGAAAGCAGCCATCGAGTACTTGGATTCGCGCTTTAGCTAAGGTTCATTGCAATTGAGGAAGAAGAAAACAAATGCGTATTAGTCGGAAGGGCAAATAATATGTTTGTTGGAGAGCAATTACAAAATGCAAAGGTCGAATTCGATTGAGCAGAATGTATGTGCCGACCATGGAAGAAAGATAGAGAAAGCACTTACACCTCGCCAGGCAAGAACGGGCAATACGATGCACGCTCCCACGGATAAAACCAGATGGATGATTAGGACATTCCTGAAAGCCACCTGAGCTGCTGGGGTCGGTCCCCCTTTGTCCTCGTCAATAGAGTTGTACGCAAGTACAATGACTGAGATGAACTGCGCCGAAAATCCGAGTTGGAAAAAGATATCAAACTTGAGAATCATGATAAAGATCTGATAGATCTTGTACATGTCTATGTCAAATAGACAAGGGTCAAAGAAGGTGAGCAAAAGTGTCAGTGTGCACAAGACGACACCGCGGTCAAGGCTCATGGACGCAAACTGCCCCAAAATTGATAATCCTGTGCTTACCTCGCATGGCCAAGTCGGCTCCAATTTTCTTGTAGATGCTCCAACCGAACTCCTTGTATAACTTGTAGGCGATAACGGCGAATCCTGATGCAAAGATGACCATGAGTGCCACAACGGCAATCTCGTACGGTTTTGAGGCGTGATAGGGTGTTGCGCTGGGGTTGAGTGCAAGAATGCTGAGGATCATGTTGGCCAGCGTGTTTGCCCCTTCTGTCCTGACAAGAATATCGGAAGCCTGCTTCACTTGAACTCCTGCGTAGGCGACCATTGCGGCGTTGAAGGCGACCAGGGCCATGATCTGGATGGTGTTTTTGTTGAACATCTATCGACAACAATCAAATAATAGAACAAACATATAAGCGCCACATAACCTAAGTAAAACACCACAACTGGCCCATTCCTCAAGACCGCTTGACCTACCGCGTCGCACAAGAGGATGAGCTGAAAGATTTGGGCGACGATAAATAACACATGGTACACTGAGAGGACGCTAGTGGTCTGCGCGATCACGTCCTTGGTTGGTCCTGTTACGTCGTGCTGTGTAAACTGAGCAAGTGCTAGTCCAAATGCCTGTTTAATGTCGGCGGTTTCGATTGTGTGGAGTCGAAAGATGACGGCCTCGAGTGCTATGATAACGACCGCCTGGATCCCGGACAAAGCCAAAGAATACCTAGACCAAATCGAGTCACCGGCCTAACAGACGGCAGAGTTCGCAAGCAGCCATTGTTAGCAACAGTAACAAACAACAAGATGATATGTATGAAATTGAATAAAAGGAGCCACAGCCACCGGTGTGGAAGTGACAGTAGGGTGGCAAAAAAATAAGGCCGCTTGAGTAAGTGCGCCGTAGCAGACATTACGCCCTCTCGGATAGTTGCGATATTCTTTTTATATCTGTTTGGGCTGATGTTGTTATTTTTTTGTCGAAAGAGTCCTGTTTGGTTGTGTATTGGATGACACCAAAGCAAACAAGCAAAAAAAGGGTTGCGCCAGCTAGTCCAGTCAGGTATCGAACAATTGCTCCTATCCAGCTCCTGCTCAGTTCCTGCTCTGATAGTCATACAAAATAGACAATTGGATGAATGCGAATTATGTATTCCAAACTGTCGTGGTCCAGTCCCTTGAGGCACAAAAAAAAAATCGAGACGAGAAGAGAAGGGAGCACTGACAATTGAAGGCACAAGTGAAAAAGGGAAGAATAAAACACCGTTATGCAAATGGAGTGATGTACTTTGGTTCCTGGTCCTGTTCCTGTTCCTGTTGATGTCCTTCCTTGTCCATAATAAGAAAGAAGGAGGGTGCTCTATTGAGTGAAAGGTATGATGGATGAAGGGCCAACTTACAAGCCTTGAAATCATTCTTGACAACCTATTTTGTTGGTTTGTTGGTTTGTTGGTTGTTGTTGAGTAGGAGGGTGAGAGGGTTGCGGTCAGTTATAAGCCAACCCAGGCAGGGAATAGATGTGGTGGTCAAGTAGAAGGAGTAGACCTGGGTGATGAGAGTGAGAGTGAGTTGTTTGTGGTTGCTGTTGCAGTGGTGGTGGTGGTGGAGTGAGTGCGAGCTGGCTGTGGTGCAGGTGTGAAGGAGATAGAGCAGTGAAGAGTGTGCGAGTGGGCTTGACGAATGTATGTGGGTGAGGAATGAGCAGAGTGCGAGTAAGGAGTAGGAGTAAACAGTGCAGAGAGAGCGAGGGAGGTGTGTGTGAGTGGGATGCTTGTTGTTGTGAATGGATGGATGGGTGTCTGGTATTCTTCAGAGATGTTATGGAATGAAATAAAAAGGAAAAAGGGGAGAAAGGAAAGGAGTGGAGGAGGATAAGGAAGAAGAGAGTGGGAGAGAAATGGGACAACACAACAAAACAAACAAAAAAATGAACGACACAAACAAAGCAGACAAACAAAACAAAGAAACAGGTGAACAAAGAAACAGGTGAACAACTGGTCCATCTCTCTCTCTCTGTCTCCCTTGTAGATTGGCCGTCTCCAGCTTTCTTTATTCCTATTACGCATCCCGAATAGATGGTTTCCATGAGTATTCGACGTTTTCTTTATTGTCCTCCAAAGCAAATCCGACACAAACAAACTGATCAGCGATGGTGCCTGGGATCAAAATCAAGACAGAGGGCAGATGGTGATGGTGCCTTGATGGATCATTCTTTAAATGAAAGAAGGGTAAAACCCGTGTGTTGTCACTTGTTGCGTGGCGAGTGAGAGGCCCGTCGATTGCGTTTTGCCATTGTGTTGCTCCCCGGGAGACACACAAAGTGCGTGGGTATCTTCAAAAGAAAGGGTTCTCTTAACCAACACGAACGTGTGCTGGAGTGACCCTGCATTTTTATTTTTTCTTGGGAAATTGTAGAAAAACGAAAATTGGTTCCCCGGACCATTTCATTCAATTGAGATAATGTAATACATGTCCATCATGGGACAGATGGATGGATGAATGCATTATTGCCGCCCACTATCTTCCCTCTTTTCATTAGGGCTAGCCATCCCATGGATCGGGCGGGAAAAAGAACTAAAGAGAATCTCGCATTGACAATGCTAGTGCCAGTGTGCTTCCCCTTCAAACGAAAAGGGACACGATTGTAATAAATGACTTCATAAAGAGAGGCATATTGACACAGGGGCCCATGGCCTCTTCTTTATTTCATTATCGCAACCATTCTAGAGGGGTGGTGAGAGAAGAGACAGAGAGATGGAAACGAGTTGTTCAGTTCATTGTTCACCAACCAAGTCACCTCTCTAAAACACTGCCGATCGTCGACATATTTCCTCTATTCGTTCCAATGCATGCATGCAAGAGGACACTGACTCCACTCTATACCTTACTCTTTATATCGTACGACCACAGCCTGCCCGCCTGTGCAAGTAAAGCAAGCAAACAAGAAGGAACAAATCGGTTTCTAGATCTAAAATATTTCATCTGCTTACAAAACACCGCCCAGGCCGCATAAACCAACTTACTTTTCCCAAGGAACAACCTCCGGACATTCTGGACCCTGGCTGGCGATGTTTGTATTTCTTTTTCTCTTTTTTCGACTTTTGGGCCTCAGCCCTCGTTAGTGCTTAGCCCAGCCTGCATCCTGCTCCGCATTGTACACATGGCATTCGTGTGGGAGATTCTTCCTCATGCGATGTGGATCAACATGGACAAATTGTTGTACTCGTACTCCCTAAGTCCATCGTCTCAGCTGTGAACCACCAGATCGGTTCAGGAACCTCTCCCGAAGTTGAGTAAATGATTCTGGAAGGTCTGCTGCCATCCCGCATCCGTAATTAAAAAAACACACCACGTTGTTTATCATTTCATGAAAAATGGTCCTAGTCTTCTTCCCAATCCTCACGAGTCTTACCCGTTTTCTCCCATTGAACCAGTTCCTATGTGTTAGCAGCCTATCAAAGGGGGTCTGGTGTGTATATCAATTGCCTAGCGTATCCATTTTGTCCTCTCCGTCACTTTTCTTGTGCCCTGTGCTGTGTTTTCGTCGTCAATGAAAAATGGAAAGCAGAAAAAAATAGGAGTGAGAGGGGTGGAAGAAAAAGCAAGTTAGTTCAAAAGGGGGTAAGGAACGATGAATGAATGGGAGATGACCATGCTCTTTCTCATTCAGCAAACGTCTTCCTTTTTTTTTTCTCATTCAAAGATAAGACACCCTCACCAACAGTCACCTCCAACGCAAACAACAGGGCAAGGCAGCAACTTTTTTGAAACCATATCACTATCACCAAACAATGGGCGCGGAAGAAGTGACACCAGGACACGGATCCAGCAGAAGAACAGCAACAACACTATTACCAACACACCGGTTCCTGACCACAGTCGCACGGCACACCTCACCCTTCTACTCCGTCCCTTTACACTACCTCAAACGTCGAGGCGTTTTCTTGGTCCTCCTCTGCATGGGCGGGATTGCGTTTTTGCACTCGGCTTACCTCTTTTCTTCCGATAACGACCTCCTCCACGGAAGTAGTTCCAGCAGCAGGAATCCTAAGAAGAACCCGTTTATGACCCTGGGCCATATCCGAGAACCACCGTCTTATGGATCTGCACCCGTTAATGGAGTCGACGAGGATGGGTTTGAGATTGTTGTGGAGGAGCCCTTCGCGGAGAGGAAGAAGGGCGGGATTGGATATCGACAGCCTTCCGGACAGGAATCATCCAGTCAGCAACAACAACAACAGCAACAACAAAAGGGAACGCGTAGACCGCCACGGATCCAGTTCGACTTCGTGGAATCTCCTATGCATAACGCAGAAGCAAGGGCCGATTGGAACAAGTATCGATTTGTGGCAGTCAAGAAGATGATCCGTCATGCATGGTTCGGATTCGTACCCACAATGGTCAAGAGGACGGAAGATATCAAAACCAAGTCACAACGGCTGCAGGTCCGAGGCGAATGGATCGATGTCATGGACACTCTTTTGTTGGCATGGATGCCGGACGAGTACGAGCTCGCCAAAACAAAGGTTCAGGAACTGACAGGACCACGCCGCCTGTCAAATCCTGCTCTATTTGGGTCTGGCCCTTGGCAAGGGGATGGCCAAGGACAGCTGGAAGTAGAGCACCTGGAACATGAGACGGCATTGGATGAGATACCGGAGGATGATGGGGATGGGGCCAATGACAGTGAAGACCGCGGGATTGGGTTCTTTGACAATGTTGTCAAGCAGTTGGGCGGCTTCTTGTCAATCTATGAATTGGAACGATCACGATTGAACGAGGACCCTGAGATTTTGAAGGCAGCTGTTGAACTGGGAGATCAACTGGCGCTTGCTTTCCAAGGTCCCAACAACGCCCTTCCAGCCAGAACCATCTTTGAAAGGTATTGTCCACGGCATGTACATCTCGTTCTCTTGCTTTGTTTTTTTTTTCGAATTGCATCTAACGCCATCGTCTCTGAAAATGTAGTGGGAGAGTTGGTCTGAACAAGGTCCTGGCAGGAAAGGTCTCCTTGGCCGAAGTGTCGACATTCCAACTCGAGTTCCGTCAGCTCAGCTATTTGACCTCCAATGACAAGTACAGAGAGCTGGTAGAGGAAACATTCCTACTGAACGGTCAGAATGTCATGGCATACCCAAAGGCGCATTAGAGTAAACATTTTATTCACATTGGTTAATTCTTCTATAGGCCGAAAGCAATTTTAAGTATCTGGCTTCATTGAACCTGAAAATCCCAGGACTCTATCCAGCTTACTTTGATCCAAATGACGGCGCCGCTCGTAAGTGTACCTACAGCAGGTGTTTGATACTTTTTGTCTAATCTGCAACTGCTCTGATGTTAATCCTCTTTTCGCACTGTAATTGTCGCATTAGCCGAATACGTGGCGTCCTTTGGAAGTCTGAGTGATGGGTTCTACGAGGTAACAAACGAGTTATGAACCGCCCCTCATTGTCGTACCTGCCTATTTGTCCCACTTGCATTAACCATGACTTCCTTGCCACAGTATCTCTTGAAGACCTATCTCTTGACAGGCGATGAAAAATTCAAGGACCTTTGTAAGCATACAAAGACTGAAAGACTGCAAATAAGATAATATCCTCGAAGCCATACAAAACTCTCACACCGCGTTTTTCTTTTCTCTAATAGATATCTCGTCTATCGAGGCGATGCACAGGCACCTCATCAGCCACTCCCAAAAGCCCTCAGAAACCCACCTCGTCTTGGGCGTCTACGACACCGCTACCGACTCCCTCGTCCCCAAAATGGACCACCTCGTAACGTCTAACCTACTACCAAAGTCGCCATTCTCTTTTCGACCGGATGTATATCGTCAGCCCACTCACAATCCTCTTCACATTTTGATCCGACTAAATTAGAGCTGCTTTGCACCAGGTCTACTAGCATTAGGAGCCAAGGTCCTAAACCGACCCAAGGACCTAATCGCCGCCAGTGGTTTGATGGAGACCTGCATCATGAGCTACCAGAATTCTGCGACTGGATTGGGAGCTGATGAGATTGCGTTCTTGAGGCCTGAGTTTTCCAAGGGTAAAGAGTTTGAGATGCTCCCGAAGGACGCTGGGTTTTACTTGATCGACCCCGAGTATGCGCTTCGACCAGGTAAACCGAAACGTGGATCAAGGGGGGAGTTTTTTTTTTTTTTTTTTTTTTTTTGGCTTATAGTAATTAATATCTCTGGTATTTACTGCTTACTGTTTGCTGACATGTTTGTGCGCGTAACTTTCTATCTTCGTAGAAACTGTTGAGAGTTTGTTCATACTTTACAGGATCACAGGGGAGGGGAAGTACCAGGAATACGCCTGGGAGATCGTTCAGGTAAGAAGCCAGCATGCACGCGGTCTACTTTTCAATTTTCGCTTTGTGGCTTCTACAATTGATAACCGACATGCCCTCTCCTTCTCAAACTGCATGGTATCTCAGTCCATTGAGAAGCAGTGCAGGACCAAAGATGGGTACTCGGGCCTGGTCAATGTCATGGATGCCTCTGAGGGCTTGACCAACACTATGCCAAGGTAACCCATAAGAAACGGTGATATTCTGCTGCAGTGTTTGAGTCCCAAAGTGAGACGTTAACCATCTGTGTCCACATCCTTCTACGTAGCTACTTCTTGTCTCAAACGCTCAAATACTTGTATTTGATCTTTGACAACCCCGAGGTCGCGTCCTTAGACGACTACATCTTCAATACGGAAGGCCATCTCATCAAATATCCCATCCCTTGAACAGAGGCTTCCACAATTATTATTATTATTATTATTTTTGGTTGGTTGGTTGGTTGGTTGGTTTAATAAGCCATGTAGTTCAGTTTGATTCCCTGCCATGGTCGTAAAAACAAAGTATAGTTGAGGTGATAGTAGTTCAATGAGCAAGAAAAGGGATTTGGATACAGCTGCTTAGTGCTCGTGCTCGACCTTCTTGAGGGCAGACATGTCGGTGCCGTCCAGGGAGCTTCCAATAAAGATCAACTGCTTGATTTGTGTCGTCTCCTCGTCGCCCAAGTTGTCCTCAACAAACAAAATCACATTGGTCACGTTCTGGAACTTGACAAAGCGGAGCGAGATCAGACCATTGCCCTCATAGTCCTTCTCTGTCAACGTAATCGTCTGGGTCTCCTCAACACTGTCGGCCTCATCGAATCCAAGATGCAACTTATTGACATACAACTTGACCGTCTTAGGCGCATGGGCAATATCCTTGGGGATGATCCTGAGCGAGTGCAACTTGATGGCCTGGTTGAAAGGTACAGAGATGATCAGCTGCTCATCAACATCACTCTCGAGGTAGGTGTCGTCGCTCTTGAGAGCGTTCCTGACATGGTTGGCGGTTTGCTGGTTCAGGCAGTCGACCTGGTTGAGGGTGATCTGCTCGCTCACATCGCTGTGTCCTGCAACCAAGGGTGCTGCTGATCCTGCACCTCCCTCCTCGACGGGTCCCTGGTGCTGCTTGATCAATGCCTCCAGGTTTGCGGCGTTAGCGCCCTTCATCTCGGCAATCTTCTTGCTAGCCTTGAAGAGCTGGAATGTAGGCCTACATATCCACGGAAAAGGGTCCAAAAGGGACATGTGTGAGTGCGAAGCCCAATCAGAAATATTCCGGGGTGAATGAAAAAAGACGCCATTCGCTGCCCTCTCTTGCATTTGCTTACATGGCAGTGACTCCAGCGACCGCAGCAACCTCCTGAAACTCATCCACATCGACCTATTCCCATAGAAAATAAAGAAGAGGGGATAGTCAGTCATTTGGTAATGATTCTCTCTGCAACCATCTCCTCAGTGCTGCGTGATACTGTGTGTTGTTCGTATATTCTCCGTCGTACTCTTAAACTAGCCCTTTCTGATCCTTCTCATACCTTGACAAAGACAACGTGGCGGTAGGTGTTGGAAAGCTTTTCAAAGATGGGCTTGATAACCTGACAAGGTCCGCACCATGCCTATTTCGAGTACACACAGGAGGGTCGTAGAAAAGGATGTTCTGCCTGTTAGTTGTTTGTATCCATGGTATGAGGTTCACTGTGCGGTTTGAAGAACAACATCCATTTCTGAACAACTCGCTGTCACGTACAGCTGTGAAGTCGACAACAACCTATCGTAAAGTAAAAAAAAAAGGGAGAGGGGAACAGGGTGTCAGCATGGTTGTCTCACTGTGAACATCGATTGCGGCACCGTTCTTGCCATGCAATGTGCATACGGTCCCTGGTCATTCATAAACAAGGTGTGCACACGAGTTGCATTACAAGCTTGGTGGGTCCTGCGGCGGAAAGGATGGACTGGTAGTCGGCCTGGCTGGTGATTGCTTTGACGGGCATGGTTGAAGTCTGTGTGAATGTCGGTGTTGTGGGTTGTCGGAATCGGTGGTGTTGAGGAAGAAAGAAAGAGAGAAAAGGAGGTCGATGGAAAATGGTTGAATAGTAGAAACAAAAGTGCCTCTGTGTGTACCCCCTCTTGACAAATCTGTGTGTCCCATAGTGACGCGTAATCAGACAATTTTTCGCAGTCGCGATATTGGCCCTGAAAAACGCGCCCAGCATCGAGTAGCAGTAAGTAGGATAGGATGGAGTGAAACCGATGAGTTGTGGAAGGGTCGGTCACAAGACACTTAACATTAGTAAGAGAATACTGTCAACGATATCGCATCGAGGTTGGAGAAACTCCTTCAACAACGACGCAAGGTGAGCAAAGGGAGGTAAACCGCGAAGAGGAAAAAAACTGTGTTAATAAGTCGAACCGTAAAGAGTGTGCATAGCCATGATCTATCCAGAGCCATATCGAATAGGTGATATCGTTCCAAGATGAAGGACAGTAAAGGCAGTTGACGGCTGCTACCGTCACCGATACAACCACAGCGCAGGGTGCGTCAAGACCCCAGCGCTCGAACATAGAAACTGCAGACCGCCTTTGCGAACGCAAACTATCAAGCCAAAGGTCAGAAAGCCATGCCAGGGTTGCAGTCTAGGGTATTTAGCCTTCAAGGTACTGGACTATTGCTCGCAGCGGCAGTGAATCGCCCAGTTGGTCCGTTTTCATTTCCTTGCAGAGGCAAAAGGGCATGTGAGTGGAACTTGGTCAGGTGGGCTGCAAGTTGTTTGCCTGGCCTGCTTACAGGCTAAGAGGCGTTCGAAGCCTTGTCTAGGATATAGTGAAAGTAAAGAAACAAGTAGGGGATGGGGTATGGTGTAAAGAGAAGTGAAGAATGTGAGAAACGATGAAAGCATTTCGGCAACTCTCTGCAAGCTGTATTTTTGAGAGCTGTGGTCAGATCTCCCCTATGCAAATTGCAGAGGAGCATCGTCCCTGCCACTTTCCTTACTACTCTTACACCTCTTGAAAGTGTATGTGTACTTTTACCAATGCAACTTATGTCCCGTAATGCGAATGATATATTTACAGAGATTGGACATCAGACGCGTCGTTCTTCTCGCGTCTCGGGATTTCGAATTGAGTTTACAATCGGCCAAGGAAGCTTTCACACTTCTTTCTCCTCTTCACTTGCACACTCACATATTCTTGAATTGGTTTTTTATTACGAGAACAACATTTGGCATTGAAGGAGCGAAGATCAAAAGGAAAAGAAGGAAGAGAAGCACAAAGAAAGGGTTATCAAGAGGGCGTAATTTCTTTGGCGTATATTTTGAATTCTGGGCGCAGAAGTGGTGAATGGGGAACGAAGGAAAGGTACAAGGAAGACAAATAGACACATACTACAAGAACTTGACTATATCTAGTAGTCCGTTCAGTCAAGAAGAGGAATGAAGGAGGTGGAGGCGGGTGCCCGATGGCGGATGGTGGAGGGACGGCTTGCCTTATGTAAAGGCGTTTTTGAGTTGTTGTTAGAATTATGATAACTGGTGCTTGGAAAAGACTATGTCTCTTATCCTTGTCATTTAGAACACCGCGGCGCCTGGACGCGCTGCGTGCCGATCAACCTGCTCCGGCTAAGTTTCAAGTTAGCAAACGCGGCTCAAGGGTTAGTGATATAGTGTTTCCTTCTAACAACATTTTTCAGGGATCGACTCTGACAGGCGGAGATGTCAAGGAAGGAGAGAGGGAGAAGGAGAGTAGAAAGTCGGATCCCTTCGTTCAGGGTGTAATATCTCTCGATGTTGGTTGGAGGGCTTATCGTCCGCAATACAACGAACGCTCAAAACAGTTGCAACACCAGGTGCGCATGGTACTTACTGCGTGGTTGGTAGCAGGGTCTTGGTTTTCGGGCTGGATGGGAATGGTCTTGAGCATGGGGATGGGCGTGTTGACATCCAATTTCAAGCACGCTGCAACCTCTGCCATCTGGTTCTTGATCTTTTCCGGCTATTTTTTGCATGAATTACAATTGATGGAGAGGATGGGTCAGCAAGTGGGTGGACACACAAAACGTAAAACACAAAATTCAAAAAGAATTGAGCAAACGGTAGCAGGAGGGGTAGGAAGAGAGGGAAGAGAGGGAAGGGAAGGGAGGGACGAATGGCTGGATGGAAGGACGGAAAGGTGGAAAGGTGGGAGGGTGAGGGGTCGTAGGTGGGCGGGTAAACGTGTGTATGTGTAATGTGTGAATCCGGTCCAGGAACAGAATACGTGAATGCAAGGATCCAAGTGTGATGTCCTCCATGCGGAATTTTTTCTTTACAACCAGGGCGAACAGGAACAATTACATGGAAATGTAAAGAGAGAAGAGGAGGTTATAACTTACATCGATCTGGCCGCTGCGAACCTCACCTGCACCAATATGTCCAGTATGCTACAAGATCCCCCCAACAGACAAAGTAAAGTAACGGGCATTACGCATACACACAGAGACAAGAGAGCAGAGAGAAAATAACGTTAGAACAATAGGTTTGTACGGTGTGGTTAAACAAGAACACTATACAAAACTAAGCGTGCAATGTTCTCCACCTCAAATGTATGCAAACAAAAGAAACTGCAAACGTACTCGGAAGTCCGAGGGGAGACTGATCAAGTTCTTGGTGATAACCTTCCTCTGCCCACCAGCCTTGGGATCCAGCTTGAGGAGTAACATGATCTTTGAAGACTTTTGCTGCTTCTTCCTTGTTGCCGCAAGACTATTCGTGTTGTTGTTGTTATTGTTGCTCCTGCTGTCGAGTGTACTCAGGGTCTGGGACCGAGGTTGCGCGGACTGTTGGTATCCATATGCGCCTCCGTTACTTCCACTTGGTTGGCTGTAATTGTTGTAGTTTGGAGAGGAGGAAGAGGACGCGGCGCCGGGGAGTGGGGTGTTGGGTCCAATGCCTTGCCACTTTGGGTCCTTTGATTTGTGGGTCCTAGAGGACTTTGAGAAGAAGCCACCCATGGTTGTTGTTGAATTGTTCGATGGAAGGAGAGGAGGAAAGAGAAGGGAGGAAGGAGGGGTGGGTTTCAAGAGGTGGAAGGAAGCGGGCGAGAAAGAGAGAGAGAGAGAGAGAGAGAAAGAGACAGAGAGAGAAAGAGGAAGAGAGAGAGAGGAAGAGAGAGGTAGGAAGAGAGAGGTAGGAAGAGATAGTGCGGATGAAGCTGCAGTGGAGTAGGTTTCGTTGAAGGAGGAAGCTAAAGGAAAGAAAAGAGAAGGAAGGAGAAAGAGAAGGGGACAGAAGATTTGGGGTCGAGTCGAATTTAGTGGCAGAAGAAAAATGCGTTGGGAAAAAGTAAGAAAAGATTGTAAATTAAAGGCACGGGGGACGCGAAAGAAGTAACGGCTTTCGTGGTTCAAAGTGTGTGGATGTTCACCGTAGATAACAAGCTGGAGTAATGAGGAGGAGGAGCAAAGAGGTGAGAGGGGAAGGGAGAGAGATGGGAGGAGTGAGTCTTCGAGTCGTTACAGAATTGATAATTACAAGAGAGTGTGGACGCTTTTTGGATTGGATCGAAAGAAATATAAACGAGAGGCTGAAGTGATCGTCAGGAGGAAATTCAAAGGAGGAGGAAAGGAACGACCGGAAGAAGATTAGAAAATGAAGATGAGACAGGAAGAGAGGCCAAGCCAAGTGGCGACAAGGAGAAGCACTGAAGAAAAAGAAAGAGGAGGAGAGGGTTGGGTATGGTTTGGAGATGTCAAAAGAGAAAAGAAGAAAAGGGAGAGAAAGAAGAAGGATCGAAAAAAAAAACATCAAGAAAAGAGAACACTGACACACCAACCTTCAGACACACTCACTCGTTTGAGTCCATCGACTTCTTTGAAAAGTGGTCAGGTCAGGCTGGTGAGGGCTAAGTGAAAGGGTGTGTGCATGACACGCAGGCACAGAGAGAGAGAAAAAATTGGGCACACGGGCAAAAAAAAGGGGGTGGTGGGGGGTGAACAGAGCGGATGATGAATGATGAACAAACAACTCTTTGTCTGTACCTGGGTGACACTACGAACAGACACGAAGACAAAAAAATAGGAGTTCACGTCTTGGTCACCAGCACAACTATATTTTTACTTTTCTGTCTCCTGTCTGCGCCGTGCGCCTAACGAGAGACAAAGAGTAGACCGGTGACAAACAACAATGCATTTACCGACTGCAAAAAAAACCTGCTGAGGAGGTGGCGAATGCGGCAATGGAATGACCCACAGTGGAGGATATTCTCCGTAATCGTCTTTTTGTTTCTAAATAACATACAATAAACGAAAACCCTGAACGGACAGACTGTCTGTGCTTCGAGTGTGTATCGTTGTCGTTGTGTGTTTCGTTAGCTGCTGACACCGTCAGCAGAAATCACTGAAGTACATAGAAGTTGGTGAACGGAGTGCATAGGTGTCGATTCAATTCACGAGCAACGGTCGTTTTCTTCACGAGTCCTGCCACACTATCTACACATTACATTGGATTCAGTTTAGTCTTGTAAATGGTATATGGTCCATTCTTTATGGGGCTATTGGCTGTTACTCCAGATCGGAGAACTACAGGAGAGGTTTGGGGAGGAAAAAAGATATATGGATAACAGCGAACTAGGTCCGGTGCATCAATCAGCAGGTGGCGGCAGAATGGGTCCGATGGAGTAAAAGCGTGCATGGAGAGACAAAGACATCGAATATTCTCCGATGTTCAACAATGATCACGTCCAGGTGTGGTTCCTGCGGAACCATATGCATTTGGCGTATGCATTTTTTTAAAAAAAAGCGTGTGTGCATGTGTCGGAGAGAGTCCATGGAGAAGTGAAAGTAATAGCACGGTGGTCCCAAAGGTTCTCCATTCATTCATGTCCTCGCTCCAGCGATTCGCTTCCTGTGAAGGCTCAACCTATTCTCAATCGACCGGATCACTATGTCGAAGTGGTAAAGAAAACAAAAGTCAACACACAATGTTTCGCATTCAAATAACCGTTGTTGGACAAAACGAACAAGAGAACAAAGCTGCTCATCTTACGTTTGTTCAAGATGTCGCGGTCGTCGTCTTCGATGGCATCGCTTCGTCCGTCCTCACCGGCACCATCCAAGATCGCATGCAACATCCAGATCGATGTCTGGTACGACTTTTCACTTTCACCATAGTAGTCGCTCACCAGCTCCTTCAGAGCTGCCGATTTACTCTACCGTGAGACCATTTACAACACGCGAATTGTTAGTAAAAAAGTAGACTTTTGCCACCAAAAAAACAGTGCCTTGGTGAAACCCTGATGCACTTACAAGCTCCAATGCGCGTTCATAGATCAGTTTCTCAATGACGACGCCGCTTTCGTCCCGATGGTCAATTCCTGAACGGTGCCTGGCAGCCTCGGCCTTTTCAAGACATTCGTTGAATCGGTCGCGGATCCACTGGACACCACTGTTGAGTCGCATCGATGCCGGCTTCGTATCCTGTCGTCTCTCTTCCCAGTACTGGCGGGCAGTATCCATACCTGCCTGTAACAAGGCAAGCGCGCGGAGGTAAAGAAAGAATGCTTCCTCTGCCAAAAGACTGTCCCGACTTGGCTCATGGTCTTCTGAGGGCGAGAATCCCATCTCATCCAATGGACGAATACCCTGCATCTTGGAGTCGGCAAACTGTGAGACAACATAGGCCTTATGGGCTGTATCTTCTATGGACTGCAAAACAGGACTCTCCTCTGGTGGCACTTCTGCCGTCCCCCCATTCCTGTTGGGTGTGTCGTCAAACCCGATCAGCGAAGTGTTGCTCTTCCATGAGGGTGGAGACGAGGAGGCGCCAAAAAGTCGCATAGAGGCCATAGAGATGGCTTTGGCAAGTGCAGAGGTGGCGCCGCTTTCACGCGGACTTCCAGAACGCACGCTCACAGGCGAAGGCAGTGACTGGATCTGACCCAAGATGGGTCGCTGCAGCTGTGGGATAGGTTTGGGTTCTTCTGGTGCTGGGGTGTTTGGTAGAGCAAAAGGCGGAGTTGTGGAGAAGAGGTGGGCGTTGGAAGGCGGTGACTGGTTTGTAGTCGAGTGCGGGTAGGGTATAAACGGTGGTGGCGGTGTCCGATAGTTGGTCAACGATGTAGGTATGGGCGGTGAAAGAATGTTGCCTTGCTGGTATCCATTCTTGGTGCGGGTAGAGCTAGGCGTCGGTGATCCTGCCACCTCTACCATATTAAATGAAAGCATAGGTTAAAATCTGCTTCCATATTCATATACATGGATATTAATTACTGCGAAATTTCAGACAAACTGAAAAAATACCATCTGCAAGCACATTCAACTCCACGGCACGCTTCTCAATGACGACGTAGTCTGTATCCAGGAGTGAATCATCTTCAGGTGCGCTGTACCGGCGTGCATCAGGGATCCCGACAAGAGTGTTGCGACGATACGGTTGTGAAGAGGGCTGTGGTGTTAATGTCCGGTTGGAAGGGTCCGTTGAGCCGATATCCGTGGTTCGCGTCCGCCGGCTGGAAGGGTTGATGGGTAGGGAAGATGGTTGGGTCTGGTAATCCGTGTGAGATGGTTGGTTGCCAAGACCATTTACATACGCGTGGTGGGATTTTGGCGACGAAAGGGGTAGTTGAAGTGGAGGTCGACTATCAGGTGCAGACGAGGGCGATCCGCTCCGGGTGGGTCTTGGTCTTGACCGAAGAGTGGTCTCGATGACCCTATCTGAGGGCTCCCGCGCATGGCCCGTACTGGATGTCCGCCTATCGTTCCTGTCCCGCTGCGATGATAAATCGTAGTAGTGCTGTGACGGGTTAGGAACTGACGATTTCCTGGGAGACTCCATTGGGAATGAATCATTCCTAGCAAAGTCCTGACCAGACGCGCCATTCGCAGATGATCGAGACCGGACACGGGGCGCCAGATTGGAGACTGTTGGGTTCATAAAGAACTCCTCGAACGAGATTCTCTCTACGGGGTTCCGTTTTAGCAGCTGTCGGATCAAGTCCTTAATGTCGTCGCTGATAGGGATGATATTGGCGTGGCTGTGGGGAGAAGATCCAGACCGGTCTTCCGTGATAGTCTCTCCAGGAAAAGTGATTGCGTCCTGTGCCTTCTCTATCCTCTTGAGGAGCTCGACGTGGTTTTGCGCCCTGAATGGTGGTTTTCCAGTGCACATCTCGTACAAAACAGTGCCGACACTCCACAAATCTGCCTTAGCATCGTATTTTTCGTAGCGGAGAATCTCTGGTGCCATGTAAAGTGGGGAACCACAAAGTGTCTCTGCCAGGCTAAGGTGAGGCAATGAGCGGGCGAATCCAAAATCTGCAATCTTGAGCACTGGCAACCCATATCCGCTTCCTTCCTTAGCACTACTCGAAGGGTGCAAAAGTAGATTCTAGAAAAGGAAATAAAAAAGCGAAAAGAATGAGGACATGGTTTGCGATATGGCGAGACAGGGGTTGCCACTTCTCAAAAAAAGAAAGGGTTTCGATGAGGCCCATTTTACCTGTGGTTTGAGATCGCGATGAATGAGATTTTTGGAACGAAGGAACTCCAGGGCAGAAGCTACATGAAGAGGGACACAAAGACGACAGGGACAAGCAACAAAAAAATGAGCCTAAGAGAAGAGTCGATCATCCCATCGTCGCACAAGGGCAAAAGAGCAAAAAAGCAGAAGGAAGGAAGAACATGAACGTTTGAACATACCCAACTGCTTCAAGAAATGACGAACGACGACTTCATGGAGACCACCGCCTGGAGGGGAAGGCAACGACGGAGGTCCGTCGCCCTTCCTCTTGATGTACTGTGAAAGGTCTCCCTGTGAGCAGTACTCCATGACTAGATGTATGTGAGTCTCGGTTTCCTATAGGGAGAGCAGGAGGAATAAAGTAAAGTAACAAGTGAGTCAGTATGTGTGACAATAACAAGTGAGAGAAGGACGCACAACGGGGCGACGTTGAACGACTGCTTGCTTCAATATGTTGTTAATAAACTGCTGCAGTAGCGAGAGGACACAAACCCTCAATATCCATTTACCCTGCAGTCGACAAGGGCGACGATATGATCATGTCGAATGCCTTTGAGAATGTTGATCTCGCTGGCAAGGTTCTCAAGCAGCTTCTTTGTGAGCTTAGAACGAAGGACAGACTTGATGGCAACAGGTTCTTTAGTCACCTAATAGATAAGTGGAAGATATTAGGCGTCAATTGTCATCGATGAAAGAGTTGACTGCAATGCACGCAGCACATATCGCAAAGCAAGGTTGCCAAGGCCAAAGAACGGAGTTGTAAAAAGCAAAACCAAGTTGAAGAAGGCGCGGCCACCTCCACCACTCCGCGCGTGCGAACTCACCCTGTGGTGACCTTTGTAGACGGTTGCAAAGGATCCTCGGCCAATCTCGTACTCGACAATATAGTCTCCCACTTGAGTAGCCTCTGGAACAGCTTTTGCGGTGCTGGCCATGGTGGCAATGTGAATAGGCTTCTATTAGTTTCGCTTGTCAGAATGAAAGTCAAAAAGAGAAGGTGAAAAAAGGAATGTGAGGATGGCTAGAGGATGGTATAAGTAGAGAGAAGGAAGTGTTGATGAGGGAGGAGGGGTGTCTGTCGATGGTGTGTTAGTGGTAGTTGTTGAGTAGTCAGTGAGTAAGAGATGGTAAAAAGACGAGAATTGTGTGGCAAAGGGCAAAGTGCCTTTCCCCACCCCATGCACTTTTTCTGAACCTCAGGCGCAGTCACTTGAAGAGAGAGTGGAGTCACGTGGATTAATTGCATCATAAGGTGCACCTTGTTTGCCCAGCCTATCGAATACCGAAGACGTAACATGTTCGCTAAGTGGGGCAATCCTCACCAAGACGCCAGGGAGTGAGCACAAAGAAGTGCCAGCCCATTGCTCATTATCCAGCACTCGTCATCTATGATAAAAGCAATGTATGTCTTCTCATTTTGAGTGTCATGGCAGTAAAAAAGAAGAAGCCAACCTGCACAACAAAACTTGAGGAGCGCCGATCGTTTTACATCAGCTGCAACGATAAGCATTGGAAAAGAGGAACTCAACCCATCTACTATCAATGAATGGTTTCAATACCTATATGATCGACCTGAGTGCATATTCTATATAGCGAATAAAAGTAAAAGGGTTGAGCAGTCAGGTTGGAGACTTGAGTATCCGTGGGTGCAAGTCTCCCATTTCCTGTTCGTACGAAGTTCAAAATTAGAATTACATTTTTCTTTTTTTAACTTTCATTCATTGATAGACATCTTTCGCAATCAAAATAGATTAGGCAGGTGAAAATTGAGTTAGTCAACAGTTTTAACCTCCACAAATGCAATCAATGCCGAAAGGATATCAATAATTGGATGATCGATGGAAAACTTACCCACTATTCTCTATGTACATAGAGATCCAACAGGGTGCGGATCATAGCCACATTGCCGGATTGATTGTTGATTCCAGTTGCACTGGTGCTGTTGGGGTTGGTGTGTGCTGCATGCAGGGTTGATGGTCGAGAAGGTCGGGTTCGCAGCCGAAAAGGAGGCAGCGGCTGATTGTCTGTAGAGAGCAATGTTGAAAGTCCCGAGAGTCCGATACAGGTGGCTGCGTTTCTATCCCGGTTGGATGACGCCTTTTGTTGATAAACAAGTGGGCACACGGCGTTCTGGCAGATAACGCTTCCATTGATTCGAACTGTGCGGATCTGTCCTCCGATGATCCTTCGGGCAGAGGCAAGGCGTACAGGCTCCAGGCAGACACAGCAGAGTTTAGACGTCAAATTCTCGTTGGTTATGCCCACGACACAGTAGCGTCTGTGTTGCTCACGCGTCTTTCCTCCTCCTCTCCTTGAAAAGCCCTTGATGGTAGAGCCGACGCCAGTACCGGCTCCTCCATAAAATATCACCGGCAGAGCCTTGGGATAGCGACGGGGACAATGCGACCCATGACGGTAGGATCCATAGGTATGGTTCGAAATGTGATACATGCCACATTCGCAAAAGCCATCGTCGATTTCAAGCGGCGGGGAGAGCTGGTTGGTTGCTGGTGTTGTCGATAGTGTAACATTCGATGATCCAGATTCCGTTGGCAAAAGTATAGGAACTTGGCTCGATGCAGGTGCCGTTGTCAGATCAACCAACAAAGGAGGAGTAGTGGTGGTCGACGAGTCCTGCCTTTTCGCCTTCTCCGTCGTTAACCCTGGCACAGTATCTAAGTAAAGTGAAATCGTCGAAAGGCAGCATAAGAAAATTTCCAAAGATAATAAATTCAGTGCAATAAAGAGCCTTGTTCTTACCACATGACTGAATGAAACGGCGCTCTTTGGCTGCCAAAGCAGCATACGCCTTCTTGGTCAGCAGTTCTGTGGTTCTCCTGTCCTTTGAATTCGCCTTAGTTCGTTCAAAGTCGCGCAGCAGGGACCGTGTTGCCGACTTGGCTGCACGGGCGTTATTCAGGTCCTGGGGTGTGTAGATATGCTGCACTGAATTGTTGCTGAGAGTGTTGTATGCGGCAGTTATATCCTGGGTTATGCGGCGTTGTCGCTTTTTGGCACTCTGTGTTGACTGTGCGAGATGATTGATTTGAGGTGCTGTAGTAGTAATCACAGGGGGAACGGCTACTGGCTCCTGCAGCTCCTGCGCCAGCTCGTGTTGGAGGAGTAAAGTCCTTTCCGTGTCCTGTGTGTCTGCAAGGTCTATTTGTTTTTGAGCAGAAAAAATCATTTAGTATCCTAAATAATATTAGGCAGCTTCATACCGTTCTGGAGATACGTTTGATCACCAACATAATACCGTGTGTTACCTTGTAGCATATTGTAGATGTTTAAGCGGCGCGACATATCCCTGACCGAAATTCCCACCGTTTGCAGCATCTTGGCCATTCCTGGGTCTGTTGCTCCAAAAGTAACGTGATGTCTACCGCGAGAAACCAGCCCCGACAAATCAATGCGCTCAGTGTGATTTTCACACACGGGCCTTGTCCATGTTGGCTGCGAATGAACTCCAGAGCTGCTGGATGTGCTGTCCGTTGTACGGTCGGGCTTTTCGGGCGTTGTGTAGTACTGCAGTTTTTTCCAGTAGTAGACTCGCTGTCGTAGTTCCTTGACCTGACGTTGGGCGTCCTGCACAGGTTTGATGTGAGCCTGGTACTTGTCCAAACGAGTTGAGAATTCCGCCCGAGCCACGCTCAAACTCTGCAAGGTCTCGTCCGATGTATCACCCCGACGACGCAATCGACCCAATTTCCTCCGACGCCTCGCAGCGTCTTTTTTGTCCTCTTCCAAGAGTTCCAAGTTGAGGCGCAGACCATTCAGCTTCTTCTCAGCCAATTCCAGTTCCCGAAGGCCTTGATCTAGTTCCGCCTGAGCCAATGCATCATCAGCGTTCATACGGTGGACCTCGGACTTCCAATCAATTGTGGACGGAGACGGTGTCTTGTTTTTTCTGTTTATGTCGAAGCTGCTGGTGACTGGGTAGCCTTGTCGTAGGTCGTCCTGATGAGGTAGCGGGTGTCCCATAACTCTGATGCGCCATCTGTCAACAAACACAATCCTACGTTTAAAAATACGCATTTGAACAGAAAAGGGTTAGATAAAATAGTTACTTCATGCTTCATTTCATCGAACATCATTATCACAATAAAATCGAGTTATCTTACCGATGGGCAAACTGTAGTTTTCTCTTGTAGCACGCGGATTCGATGGCCAATCGATTGAAGACGGAAAAGAATAACCTCGGCTTCTGCTGCTTTGTCGGAAAGGTGGATATAGTGTTGTTGCTGTTGTCGTTGGCATCGAATTGTCGTGGTTGTGAACTGAAGAGTGTCTCGAATAGAGAGGTACCGGTTAGGGGTAGTGAGTAGTTTGTTGATGGTGACACGTCGGGAGTGAAGCGGCGAGTGAGGGATGAATAACCGGAAATGTGGAGTGTGGCGTCGGCGAGGATGATGAAGGGAGCCATGGTAACGACGTGGGGCAGGGCTTTGAATGTGTATCCCTGAGGCAACTCTTCTTCCTGGGAGCGTGACGCAGACTCCGGTAATCGTCTTTTTGGTATGTATGGCCGGAGGAGTTCCACTAGATTCGCGATAGTAGCACACTCCTCCTCTGTCGGGTCCACCCCCTTACAGCATCGTCGAACATAGGATGAGAGGACCTTGCGATGGATCGACGGTGACTGCAGAAGCATCTTAAAGACGGCTAGGAGCGCTTTCATCCTGTTGGGGGGTGTTTCCATGGCTAAACAATCAAATAAATAATAAAGCGAATGTATTAACACGCCTTATCCTTTCACCTAGGATCATTTATTTTTCATATAAAGCACTTACCCATCCGTAGCACCCGCTCATCCACTGGTTTTGAGGCATGTTTCAACTCATCCCTTGCCCAATCTAAAAAAAACGTAGACGTGAAACAAGAGCAATTGTTAGTTGTTGTTATAGTAAATAGAAATGATAATGTCACAAAGCATATAACATTTCCTTCAAAAACTCACCTTCAACGGCACCCTGCTCTTCTTGCAGTAGAAAGTCGCAATGTTGATCTTCTGCTTCAACTCTGCTGCATAGCGCGTCAATCAGAGAATCGCCCACTGGTGTCGTAGCAGATGTCCTTCCCATAGCCTCCAACTGTTCCTCCAGGCCTGGCAACTGAACATGAAGAATCTCAGGCTCTGACCCCGCCAGTCCTCGCAACGCATTGGTGATGGTGTTCAGTCTGACTGCCTTCTTGTCTGATCCCGGCTGACGGAGACAATGGGCCAAATCTGACTGTAGGCTTCGCAGACGTTTCCACCAGCACTTTCGACTCTTGGAGGTCTTCATAGTCGACTCCTCCTTCTTGGCGTCCCGCTCCTGCTTTTGCCGAGCCTCGCGTTTTCTACACTCCTCCTCCTTTGTCGGTGTGAGATGTAGTCGTAAAATAATGTTGCAGAATGTGTGAAATATTTTGTCGAATAACGGACCATCCCAGATGTTGGTAAAATTAGACGAGATGTCGTTAAGCATGGCCCTGGTGGTCTTTGAAAAGTTGGTAAGAGGGTGGCTGTTTGTATCGATATTTGGTGAAGGTGCTGATGGTGACGAGGCGCGTATGCTGTCAGAGAGGTCCTGCCAAAAGGTGTGGTCGACTGGTGAGGAGGTGCTTCTGTTTCCTGAGGTGTTGTCCTCGTCTGCGTGGACGCCAAGATGCCTTACAGACAAAAACGACAGCGCTACTGAAGATAAAATACTTCGGACATCCTTGCCTCGAGGTGTATCGTCCTTGGTCTCGATCAATCTCTCGAGCTCCGGATCCAGGGCTGCTACGGGCACCCGTACAGTATCGAGATCGACATTGGGCAGACGAGACTGAAAGCCGGCCGGGAATATCTGGCTCAAAAGAAAGCCGTCATCAGTCCTACCCTTGAACTGCAATCCGGCCTAATTACGATATGAAAACAACAACCACATATTAGTAAAAACGATCTCTTCCTTCCTTGTGTATCGTTGCCAGCTGGAAATGCATGCATGCATGTATGCATTCAAAGCAACACAACAAAGCTAGTACCTCCAAGACCACCTTCCTTCCGAGAAGGGCAACATCTGATGCGAAATCAGATGCAATATCCTGCTTTGCTTCCAGTATCTCTGCAATCTCGTCGTGCTGTTCGTGTAAATCGGGCCTCAGAGACTGTAGAAGCGTCATGGTGAACGACTGGTACCCATTACTAGGGCCTGCATCATCCTCATCAGTATCGGACTTGCTGCCAAGATCCACGACGTTGCTCTCTCCTCCATCGTCGACATCCATGTCCTTGTCCATATCCACACTTGCCTTGTCCACCATATCCCCTGAAGGCCTTGGAGTTGTTGTTGATGACGATCCAACCGGGGGCGTCATGGCCTTGCTCTCACTGCTTGCGACGTTGTTCCTTGCAGCAGATCCCATGGACTTCTTGCCCTTGGGTTGATAGTCGGACCCTTGAACTACTCCATCGACTGTCTCCTTCCACCGGACCTCCATGTCATCGCTCACTACCCGTCGCCAAATCATCACCGGTCCTTTTCCGAGTTTGCCTTCAGCCCTCCTGCGGGTGATTTTGGTGTTGTTGAGCTCCTTTTGCATCAACTCCATGTACTCCATGAAGACTCCGTCGGGGGTGTGAGGTTTTGCCATCAGACGTGCTTTGAGATCCTGCATAATGGCGTTTCTGTTCTTGGGATTGGACTTGGGCGACATTTTCCGAATTTTGTCGGCCTCAGCAAGAATGAAGTTGTCCAACCGGTGACGACTATAAACAGATTGAAAGAAAAAAATTGATTAGAGGTCTGCAGTCTTTATCCATGGCGTTTCCATTGAGTGGCGTTGCTTTCTTTTGGATAAAAGGGCAATAACTTACCAAGCAGAGGCATACAGCTCAATCGCCGCACTATCGTCAAACTCTGTCAGTTCCCGATCCCGTTTGGCTCCTTTCCTCGCGCGTTTCTCATGACGAAGGATGGCGGGGTGTGGGTGTTGGGGATCGTAAAAAGGCGCAGGAGGAGAAGGCGTAGAGGAGGGACGGGGCTCTGCATGACGAGCAGGGCCCAGGACAAAGTACTCCACGAGTGTTCCAATGCCATCACACGCCCTCAAAAACCCCATCGAGAAGCAGGGCGTCTTGTCGTCTCCAGGGGCGAATCGATCCACTGTTCCAACCGAGGTGAACTCGTAGATGATACAGTTGAAATGCCTCGCCAGGAATTCAAACAAAAGAGGGCCACGGTGGTTAAGACGCAAAGACAACACGGTGGACGGTGGAGGGTCGGGGTCGACATCTTGGTGTGAGTGATGCTCATTTGGACCCTTGATGTTTAGCGCAAAACCGTGAAGAATCCCGCTCTGACTCCGACCACCCTGCATCCGGATTCCAGCGTTCAGCAAGGTTTCTGCCACATAGTGGGGGAAGGCTGTCAGAGGTGATATTTGTTGAAGTTGTGCGCTCGTCGCGTTTCTATCAGATAGAGTCTCAATAGCCAACAATTTATCTAGAAGTCGAGCCTTCACGTCGGCCACATCTCCGGTGAACTCCGTGTCCTTGAGAGCGTGAAACGCTTCATACAGTTGATACTGATGCGACGTGTCGTCCATTAGAGCAGGTGCCCTTGCCATCCATTCTTGGTCGTGCGAAATGTAGAGTAATTCGGTCTGTAATAACAAAACAAGACAAACATGTCAGTGGCGCCTCCAGTCCAGGTAGCAGACATAGCTGTTATAGACATGAAAGAAAAATAAGACATTACCAGAGTTGTCATGTCCATGGGATTTTAGAGACTGTGTCAATGTTTGAAGAGGATTAAAAAGGTTTGGCAATGAGTTAATTGTGTGTGTGGCAGAAGGAAAAAGGTCAACCAATCCTTTAAAAAAAAGTTTAATTTATAGAGCTTTTTGCAGGAAGAAGGGTAGCTCGCATTTGCTTTATGCCATGTCTTCCTTGAATGCTGCTACAGACCATCGCTCTTCATTCATTCAAGATGGCCGTCCTTCTCGTGCCGGTAATCGCGGCACAACTCGCTATGCTCTATGGCCTTGACGACAACGAGTTCGACCAGGACGACGAGGACGAGAATCCAGTTCTACACCGCCCGTTTCTGCTTGATGCCTCATTTGACGTACGCCAATATTCCGACGAGTACTGCGTACAAGAATTTCGGTTCACTTGTGCCCAACTGGAGGAGATCCTTGAGGTCCCACAGGTTCCCCCAAGGATCAAAAGCCGCGACAGGGACAACGTTGATTCGCTTACGGTACTTTGCATGGCCGTATACCGTTTGACCTACCCGGCCCGGCTTAACAGGATGGAGGCCATATTCCGCAGGAGTATTGGCGCCATTTCCCGTCTCATCAATCATCTTGTCAAGTGGATCATGCTACGTTGGAACCAGCTGTTAATCTGGGATCATCATCGATTGACACCATCCAAGCTTGAAGAGTATGCTGAGCTGTGCTATGAGCAGAGCAACCATGAGTGTAACGCGGTATTCGGATTCATCGATGGCACCGTACGCAGGATCAATCGACCAACAGTCAGTCAAGCGTCAATGTACAACGGACACAAGCATGTACGTGCTCTGAAGTATCAGAGCGTCGTTGGTCCAGACGGCATCATTCTGCATCTCAGCAAGGCATACACCGGCACCACTCACGACATCACTATATATCAGCAATCCGGCATCATGGACATCTTGGAGCAGCACGCTTTTGATACAACTGGCCGGCCCCTTGCTCTTTACGAGGATTCCGCTTATATGCCCGACCCGCACATGATCGTTGGCTACACAGGCGCGAACCTCACCCCGGAGGCAAAGACGTTCAATCAGACGATGTCGGGTCTTCGCATCGTTATAGAGTGGGCATTCGGGGAGGTAACTAGATATTTCTCAGGCATTGACTTTCCTAAGAGTCACCGCTTATTGTCCACTTGTATTGATCCCATAATCGCTTTGCTATTTTGTTAACCAATATTCACACTTGTTACTATGGTGTTAAGATAAATGAGCAGTTTGGTATTGATCCTCCTACACTGCGAGAGTACATCCATCCAGCTATCATGGAACAAGTTGGAATAAATCAATCTTTTTTTATTGCATCCCGCCATAATTGCGAGGATAAGGCGCTCCGTGCTTGCCGCCTGCTCCTTCGTGGTTTGTGATTGTTGGGTGGCGATTCGCTCCATGCTCTCCGTTTGTAATGCCATCAAGTCCATGAGCGCCTTCTGCTGTCTCTCCTGTACTGCGGCCTGTTCCCGCCTAGTGTCCTCCTCCGTCTTCCTCCGCTCCTCCTCAATCTTCCTTCGCTCTTCCTCCACCTTCCTTCGCTCTTCCTCCATCTTCCTTCGCTCCTCCTGATCCTCGATCATCATGTCCAGTTGCCTACACTGGTTTTCGGCCTGGGTCGTTAAAAATGCGCTCGCTTCCTGAAGCTGCCGTGTCAACAGTGTTGTCATGGCCCGTTTTCTCATCCCGGGAGTCTTTGGGGTATGATCGGAGATAACGGAGACACTGGACTCAGACTCCGTCCCTGACATAGAGCCTTGTATGGGCTGAAGCAGGTCTGGTACTACTCGAACAGGGCCTGTTCGAGACCTTTCCAACAAAAGAAGACCTTCCACTCGGCTACTCTCTGTCCGCGCCTTCTTGCGATGTCTTTTGTCCTTGTTATCATCGGCTGTCTTCCTGCAGGCCTGTTCAAACTCGTACACGGGCTGCATGTACTTCAGTCGGTCGGTTATCTGTGGATTGACTCCAGTAGCTCTCAGCATAGCGGCCTCGTGCTCAGCATATTCGCTCGACAAGTTTTTCCATCTGGCTCGACATACACGGGGATTGACTCGTCGAACACTGTTGGGCGACCTTCGGCTCGTTCCTTGTCATCATAATCCTTCAGATACTGAACAACTCTCGACCAAGCAGCTCGTGTTTATCCGTGTTGGATACCGAACGGCCTGACCGCATCCAAAGCCTTTAGTAGCAAAAACTCATGAGCAGGGTCCTTGAAACCGTTGAATGTAGTTGCTCGAGGCTGCGGTGTACGACGAACTGTCCCGTCGCTCGTTCCCTCCCTTGCAGTCTCTCTCCTGTTACCAACGTCATCTTCAACCTCCTCGTCCTTTGTCTGATCGTCGTTGTTGCTGTCAGAGTCCCTCTCATCTGTGTCTTCATTATTGGTATCCGCCTGCGCGATAAGCTCTTCAACAGCAGGGTGAAGTTGATCGATGTCGCGTGCGTGATTGCTTCTTGAAGGAGTCGGAGACCGCTGACGCTTGCGATGAAGGTCAGATGATGCTTGTGACATGATGGAGGAGTGTGGTTGAGAAGAGGTGTGTGGTTGAGAAGAGATGTGTGGTTGTGGTTGCGCTTTGTGTGTTGTTGGTAGTAGCCGGACTGCGATATCAGATAGTCACGGCTCAAAGAATATTCATTCAAAAGCACGAGCGCCAATGTACTGTAATTTTGGTTTTGCGAAAAAGCAAGGATGTCCCCAAACGGGAACCTTGGCTGTGTTGTTCCTGACCCAACATACTTTGGTTCTTGCTGGATGGAAATGAGAGCTAAGATCCAATTGAACTTGACCTGGCGATAGGTCCCACGCCCCCTTACCTGAACTGCTTTGCAGTGGAAACCCTGCAGATGACGAAAATGGGGAGGAAGAAGAAATGGGGAAGAGTGCGCTCCTTCTCTTGATGTAATTGTTGCTGGGAGAGAAATTACATGTCCGAAGGACAGGAGTCACACAAGGGAAGGAACAGGTCAAAGGAAAAAGAATAGAGAGACTTCAAGTGGGCGGAAGAGGGGAGCAATTAGGGATACTCGTACATACGCATCATGACCAAGCGTTATTCTTCCCGCAACTCCCGCACCTTAATGCATGTTCTGTGTGCATGTTCAATCAATTGACGAACAAATGCAGCGAAGGCATATTTCCGCCTTTTTGGAGCAGAGAAAAGGGCCAGTCGACTCCAGTTCTCTGTCCTGTTCACACACAAGGATGAACAGGAACCCAGGGACTGACGGATGGAGGGAAGTCTCTCCTTCTCTGCCATTTTTTTTTACTCCTGAAAAAATGAAAATGCACGATAAGCATCTCATAAAGGAACATGCGAGAGAACAAGACGGAAAAAAAGGGCAATACCATGCGCTGCGTTTGTGTTTGAACCAGAGCCAGAGCAAACTGAGCGTGTGAAAATGATTGAAGGATAAGTGAGATAAAAGAAAAAAAGGTCCATAAGTCTTTGTAGTGAGATGGGATTGGAAAAAAGGTTCAATAGTGCACAATGGTTAGACATGAAGGCAACGCATGGTGAGGTTTCTGGCTTCTGTCTGCCACTGGCTATGCTATTGCTATACACTCAGTTCATGACAGAAACGAATTCAATGAATGGCCGGCTAAAATTAAGTGACTCTCTGACCCTCAGACCAGGCCAGAGAGAAGTATAAATGGTCCGTCCTCGCCCTTTTCTTCGTCTGCTCTTCTCCTTTCACATCATTCCTACCCTCCCTCCAAAAAATCAACACTTCTTCCTTCTTTCTTCTCTCCCTCATATTCTTCTTACTCACCTTCTTCTCCTTCCTTCCACATACCCATAACAACACACTTCAGCACAAGCTTGATCTACATATATCCAGACAATGTGCGGAATCTTTGCCTACCTCAACTACCTCACTGCCGTCGACCGTCGGACCATTGCCGACATCTTGACCAACGGTCTCAAGCGTCTTGAGTACCGTGGATATGACTCTGCCGGTAAGATCCTGCTCTTCTCCCTCTCTTCCTTCACACACACATACTCTCTTGAACAAAATGAAGGATCAAAGAACATGTATGCGGCTTTCATTGTCAGATTTTCCCACACGTTAAGAGCAATTGGGAATGTGTTAAAAGAACAAACCCCTTTATTCTTTTCGCATTGGGACACTCCTTCATTGGGTTGACTTGAGATGGTGGATACCAATCAAACGCAGTGGGAGACATGAGAACAAAAAAAAGGCGCTCTATGAGTGGAGCGGCGAAGGAGAGGGGTGAGAAAGAGATAACTGACACAGGTGTACGTATTGTATAATGATAACTACCAATAGGTTTGGCCATTGACGGCGATAGTGACAAGGAGGTCCTGATCTACAAGGAGGTCGGAAAGGTCGCTGCCCTCCAGAAGCTCATTAACGAACAGACGACAGTCCAATGGGACCGCACCTTCACTTCCCACTGCGGTATGGCCCACACCCGCTGGGCTACCCACGGCCAGCCCTCGCCCATCAACTCTCACCCTCACCGTTCGGACCCCAAGAACGAGTTCACGGTCGTCCACAACGGTATCATCACCAACTACCGCGAGCTCCGTCTTGTCCTCGAGAAGAAGGGATACGCATTCGAGTCTGAGACCGATACCGAGGCTATTGCCAAGCTTGCTAAGTACATCTGGGACTCTCAGAAGGGCAACAAGCAGCTTACCTTCACCGATCTCGTCAAGGGTGTTGTCAAGGAGTTGGTATGCTTTCTTTTTGATATTGACCAATTGTTTGTGTTGAAAATAAGATCGGTGTAGGACAACAATAGGAATGCGCACTAATGGATCCCTCGCCCTGTGTCCTCGTGGCCATTCGCTTGAACATCATAGGAGGGAGCGTTTGCCATGATCTTTAAGTCCGTCCACTTCCCCAACGAGATCGTCGCTACCCGCCGTGGCTCACCCTTGTTGGTTGGTGTCAAGACCCCCAAGAAGCTGAAAGTCGACTTTGTCGATGTCGAGTTTGGCGGCATTGCCGAGGAGCGTGATCGTAAGTTCAGCCACCGGGAACAGTAAGGAAGATGAATGCATTGCTCAATTGTTTCTATCATCACCATTCTAATTCCTGTAACATCCAATGTTCAATGGCATTAGTCCCCGGTCAGTTGGATGCTGCTGCCGCCCCCATGGCCGGCCTTGAGGTCCCCAAGTTGCGCCGTAGCGAGTCCCGTGCCTTCTTGAGCGAGGATGGTCTTCCCCAGCAGATCGAATACTTCTTGGCCTCAGACCCCTCGGCTGTCGTCGAGCACACCAAGACTGTCCTGTACCTTCTCGATGACGATATTGCCAACATCCGCGAGGGAGAGCTCCGCATTCACCGTCTCCGTCGTGACGACGGCATCTCGTCGATCCGCTCCATCCAGACCTTGGAAATTGAGTTGGCCGAAATCATGAAGGGGTCCTTTGACCACTTCATGCAGAAGGAGATCTATGAGCAGCCCGAGTCTGTTGTCAACACCATGCGTGGTCGCGTCAACTTTGACAGCCACAAGGTCACCTTGGGAGGTCTCAAGACTTACTTGCCCACCATCCGCCGCTGCCGTCGCATTGTCTTTATTGCCTGCGGAACTTCTTACCACAGTGCCCTTGCTGTAAGTACTCCTTCATTCTTTGCTGCTTGATGTTGACATGGTTCTAACCATAGAAGAAACAAGACGGCTCATATATGTTCCAATATGTCAATGATAAAATAGACACGCGCAATTTTTGAGGAGTTGACCGAGATCCCGGTCTCAACCGAGTTGGCCAGTGACTTTTTGGATCGCAAGACTCCCATCTTCCGTGACGATGTCTGTGTCTTCATCTCCCAGTCTGGAGAGACCGCCGATACCATCCTCGCCATGAGATACTGCATTGAGCGTGGTGCCCTCTGCGTCGGTGTCACTAACACTGTCGGATCTTCCATCTCCCGCGAATCCCATTGCGGTGTCCACATCAATGCCGGCCCCGAGATCGGTGTCGCCTCCACCAAGGTAAGCCTAACTTCGCTACTTCTATTCTTTGTTTTTGTCCTTGTCCTTGTCCTTTTTTGCTGTCTTTGTTCTATTTTTTTTCCTTCCTTTGCCCTCTTGTTTCTTTCTTGATTCCTTAAGTCCATCATATCTCCTTATATGATTCTGTAATTAACCATGACCTATTCTTTCTAACTCATGTAGGCATACACGTCGCAGTTCATTGCGTTGGTGATGATTGCCATCCAACTTTCAGAAGACCGCACTTCGATGACTGAGCGCCGTAACGAAATTATCGATGGTCTCCACGCTCTCCCTGGACACATCAAGGAGGTCTTGGCGATCGACCAGGAGCTTCAGCATCTTGCCCGCGATGTCCTTCACAAGGAAAAGTCGCTCCTCATCATGGGCCGTGGTTTCCAGAACGCTACTTGTCTCGAGGGTGCGTTGAAGATCAAGGAAGTCTCGTACATGCACAGCGAGGGTATTTTGGCCGGAGAGCTCAAGCATGGGCCCTTGGCGCTTGTGGATGAGAACATGCCTGTGATCTTGATCATGACCCGGGACTCGTTGTACCCCAAGGTCCGGTCTGCGTTGGAGCAGGTCACAGCTCGTAAGGGCCAGCCGATTGTTATCTGCAACAAGGGCGATGATGCGATCGGTACCGAGTCCAAGACGATCCGTGTGCCCCAGACGATCGACTGTCTCCAGGGTCTGTTGACGATCATCCCCTTGCAGTTGTTGTCGTACCACTTGGCTTGCTTGGCCGGCGTCGATGTTGACTTCCCCCGTAACCTGGCCAAGTCTGTCACCGTCGAGTAAATACAGGGAACGATGCCAGTTGATGTTGAAGACCAATGACCCTTCTCTCATTTCTTTTTGTTCTTTGACGAGACAACAATCCGTTATTGAACATGGCGACTGTATCTTTTCTTTTCATGATACTCTTTACCCTTTCACCCAACCTTTGTACATTCTCCCACACTCATGAAATAAACCAATAAAATAACAGCAGTCTCCCCAATTTACACACACTTTTCTCTCGTTGTGATCCATTCAATTCAGGATTCCAACGAGCACAACATGTCATTCCCCATTCACACTCGCATGCACTCACACCTCAAATGTCTGATCACCCCCTTCCTCCAGCAAATCACCAGACTGCCACGCACGAATACTAGCCTACTCCAACACGCTTATTCCACAAAAGGAAGCACACCCACGACTACGCGCACAATAAAGTCTAGTCGAGACTCCCCCACCACCTCCTCATCCTCAGTCTCAGGACGATATCGCAAAGATGGATCAGGAGTCTCGGACCTGAGAAAGACGGTCATGGGCGAGGTGGCTATCCCTGGCCGATATCAACAATACTTTCGGCCCGATAAGCGCTCCACCCGCAAAGCAGTAACGTCCCCCGCTTGAACCCTCTATCTCTCTTTCTGTCCATCTCTTCTTCTCCCGTGTCCAGAGCATTTTTTCTTTTGGGTAACTGACCATAATTATCAATTCAATTGCGTAGGAGGGATCGGTGCTTTCGATGGATCGATCTAGGTCGCCCAAGAAGGTGTCTGCCGCCAAGTGGAGTCAACACGATAGCAACCTGGAGGGCTTTGTCTTGGATGGTGAATCGAGCTTGGACATCGATGGACAAGATGTTACTGGTGAAGTAGAGCCGAGACCGTCGTCTGTCTCAAGTAGGACCTCACGGCGCGGGTTCGATAATGTGGGCTGGAGAGCGTTGGAGGAGACCTTTGCGCGAGATGTCCTGCCGCACCCTTACTTTCACCAAGACTATCTTGACATTACTGAGGTAAAACGTAACTTTGCGTTGAAGCGGGTACTTTATTTTTTGCTGCGACTCGCCCCTAGATGACTTATTGACTCGAACATGTTCGTTGCTTTTGGTGGACGTGATATAGATCAAGCTGCTGCCGGACAGGAAGACCTTCCAGCTGTGGTACCGTCCTAAACCCGACGACAGGGTATCAGCCGTAAGTTGGCTTGTTGTTGGTTTCTTTTCGCCTTCCAAGAATTTAAGCTCATCCAATCCAGATGAAGGTTGCCACCAAAAAATTAACTTTCACAAACTGAGGTTTCTTTTGCTCCTTGATTGTCAAACCATAGGATGAAATAGCAGAGGTGATAATGAAGCATGGACATGCATTCAAGGCGATGCTGGCAAGACATGCACCCCGATCTTCATCAGCGTCGTCGAGGCTTGTGTTTCAGTTGGTTCGACAGAGCGATCGGCAGGCAGATATGTCCGATCTTTGGAGGAAATTGGAGGAGCAGGTTGACCTGAATTCAGGGCAGAACGATATCAGCGATGTTGAGAAGCAGGCGGAGGAAAAGGCGTCAACTAGAGGAGTAGTAGGTCGTAGAAGAAAATAAGATGCCTACCTGTATCTTTGCATTATCTCACACACGGTTCATGCTCTTTGATGAATTGAGTGGGTGAAGGGGTGAAAGGAAGAATGGGATAGGTTGTTCCAACTGGTTCGCACCAACCAGATTCATTGATTGACGGCGCGAGTAATTGAATGAAATGCCTCACGCAAGGAAGCGAGACCTAAACACTCTGTCCCCTTGTTTCTTTCCATTACAACACACCCTAAATGTTGTTTTGTTTCTTGTCGTTGGAACCCGACCCCTCTCCTTTCTCCAGAGCCCTGACTTGTATCTCTGCCAGTACCATCTGGTGGAGGAGACTGACAAGGGATGCAGAAATTAGGTTGAAAAATCTTGTTCGCTCTTTCCTCGGCTGAAACGTCAAAGACCCATCCCTCACCCCCTTACTTTTTTTTCTGTGGGCGTCGAGTAATGAAGACCCTACTTGAACCAAACCAATGAGGCATGGGATGTAATGCGGGTCATTAAAAGTGAGCGCCCACATGTTCATCACCTCCGTCGTGTCTCCTTCAAGATGATCCAGACTAAATAGCTTGAACTACCTACTGGGGCTGGGGAGGGAATGTGTTGACTAGACAACGTCTCTTTGACGACACAGTCCTTTTTTCTCTTTTGTTTTGTTTTGTTTTGAGTGCTATCATACAAGGAAACTGAATTAGAGTGTATGGTGTCTGTGTTAGATCTATTCTTTGTGCGCCTCTTCCCTTTTGTCTTTGACCTTGTCCCCACCCATCCCTCAAACCCCTCAACTATGCCCCTCTTCAGTACCTTGTGATCTATCTCGTCAGCAACACATGTTCACGCGGATCGCAAAGTCTCTCTCTATGGCTTTTTCTGTGTGTCTTTGTATCGTTTTTGTTCCTCCTCTGTTACTCCACCTTGGACCAGATGTGCCATTACTACTCATATCACATACCCCCTTTCTTTTCTTCTTGATTTTTTGCATGCTTGGATGCTTGAACTTTCTCTCTCTCCCTCCTCCCTCTTGATACCTACTGCTGCAACTACTACTTGATATTTTCTCTCCCCCTGTTGAAAAGGCCAAGACTTGTAGGGTTGCGATGGAGGAGTGAGCAATGAGGTGATTTAGACCTAGACAATGCTATGTGGTTCGAGGTCAGCCCTCCTTTCAAAATAAACAACAAACAACGTCTTGCAATAGCAACGTGTCCAGACAAAAAAAAATGGCTTCTGCATTGTAGATATTGACAATATTGTGTTATCTCTAGTAAACATCGGTGGCTCTAATGCAAAAAGGCAAAGGGGGGAAGGGGAAAATGGACTTGAGGGGATCGGGCGCGACGGGCGGAGAAGGGTGATGGTTGGGCGATGTTGTTGATTTTCTTTTTTCGTTGCAGGAAAAAAAAAAAGTGAGGAGCGGGAATGGAAAAAAATGTGGGCACATGGTCAGTGAGTAAACCCTGTTCTTTTGCTTTCGGCATTATTTTTTATTCCAAGCTGACAAAAGAAGTGTGCACAAGAAGAAAAAAAAAGAACGCATTGAGAGAGACACAGTTTTAATAAAGTAAAAATAAAAATAAGTAGCCAGGAGATAGGCGACCGTGTGAGTAAGAAAGTGAACATGGCAGAGAGTTAAGGTCGTTCAATTGATGCCAATTGAACGTGATTTCTTCGAATAAACCACAACGCGGAAGAACGCGAAGGAAATGAAGGGAGCGAAGGCCATGACAAGAAATGAGAAACATACTTTTTCGTTGACATGATAGCATTTACTAATGCTGTGTATGTATAAATGGGCATGATAGTGGCTTGACCATGGCATCGTGATTTTTGGTTCTGAATCCCAAACCAAAGTTTTCCGGACACCCCCCCTTCTTCCTCTTCTCGTACTCCTTCCCATCGCGACCAGCTCACCTGCCCACACACCATCATGGCGTCGTTGTTTATCGTGTTTGTCATAGCTTTTTTGAGACGACGTGGTGGTGGTGGTGGTGGTGTAATGTTACAAAGCTGTGTCTGGGAAGAAAGAGATGAAGGGGGCGGGGGTGGGGTGTCATGGATGGTGTCAGTCAGTCAGCCAGTCAGGCAAAGAATGGAACAAAAGGAAAAATAGGTGTGATCGATCATCCATGCATTCGGAAGCTGAACAAAAACAAAACAAACAAACAACAAAAACAAACTACTTTTTGCATTACAAAGGGAAACAAGAGAATATAAAAAGCGTCTTCAGACATGGGAATGGCTTGTATGTGAACCCCTTTTCGCCTGGTTGTTGTTCACTCGTTGGGAATAACAACGACGGGCATCGAGGGTGAGAAGGAGAGGAAAGAAAGGAGCAGACGAAGAGGGATGAGTGAGAAAAAAGAAAGGACGGACGAGATAAAGAAGAGACATCAGCCGCACGTCAACAGCAAGCTTTCTCTTTCTTGGAAAGAGTTGGACTCCCCTGTGAAATGTACCATGTGCTCAAACGCAAGGCAAGACATGGCATGGCAGATATCTATGATGCCCAGAGGTATAATCGTCCAGCCTTGCAGAAATAAAATAAAAAAGCGAGGGGGTTGACAGAAAACGGCGACGACGACAACAGAAGAGGAGGAGGAGTGAGAGTGAATAAAGGGCCACAAGAAAAAACAAAAGAAAAAAGGGCGGAAGAGGGCATCCCTCTTCTTCTTCCTCTGAAGGACTGGATGTATGTTTTGATTGAAGGATGCAAACAACATTAGCAGCGACAACAGCTTCTCTCTCTTCTCTTTTCTCATTCTCTCTTTCTTCTTTCCTTCGTCTTTCTTCTTTCTTCTTGCTTCTTTCTTTCTTCTTTCTTCTTGCTTCTTTCTTTCTTCTTTCTCTTTTCTCTCCTTCTCCCTCTCTTTCCTTCTTCGCTCGTTCTTGTTTTTTATTTTCCGCATCCTATCAATCGGTATTCCTCCCACTTGGTTCCCCATCCCCTCATCGTCCAATTGACTTTATCCTTCATCGATCGTTCACTTTCCTTCCGTCCTACCTTGACCTTCACGTTTTTCTATTCAACGTCCATATCTCCACCCTTGTCATCCACTTTTGCCTTTCTGCTGTATATTTTTATCTTTCAAATCACAATCCAATCTGCCCTGAACACCACCCACCTTCACAAACCAATCCTTTCTCTGCTCTCGTCCTCCTGAAAAGCACTTGACCTTCTTTCCTTTTCTTCAACCTTTTCTTCACCCTTGTTACTCTTTTCTCCACTTTTCACCTTTCCTCGTTTGTATCTGTTTGTAACTTGTCTGTGTTCCCTGTTCCTGTTGCCTTCTTGTTCACACACACTCCTTCACAATTCACTTTTCCCTGCTGAACACCTTGTTCCCTCTCTTATCACATACCGTCGTCCATCCATCCTTCTTTCACGCGCCAAAAACCACTCTCCTTCTGTCTCCCTCTCTCTCTCTTTCCTCTCGTTCTCCTTTCACTTTGCAATTGCACTCACTCCCACACTCTCTTTCCACTCTACTTTCTCTCTCCTCCTCTTTCTTCTCTCTCTTCTTGTTTACTTCACCGCAACCCACCAACTTGGCCATACAATTATAACCCCCGAAACGCCACAATCCCAATCGACGACCATAGGTCTTCCTTTCCACTCCTCCCTTTCTAACTCGCCCAAAGGAGACTACCCATTGGAGACTACCCATTGGAGAACCCATAGGACAAGGGACCTTTTTTCCTCTTTAGAAACAAGGTCCAAACGAGGTACGTGCCAAATAGGAACAGAGCCGCGATCCTTCTACTGGTCTTTTCTGATTTACACTTTTTCACACCTTTTGTCTTCTCGCCATGGCCCATCTTCTAGAGAGAAAGAATCGTTCGCCTTTCCTCTCCCTCTCAGCAACAGCAACAACTACTACTACAACAAAAAGGCGCCTTTTGGAATAAAAAGGTCGTTTCAATGTCCTCACACGTATCCTTTGATTCCACACACCCGTCCCTCCTCTCGGCCCCTGCAAACGCTGTTCACCCGACCGCCCTCGATCCCCTGACCTTCACTAACTACAGTCCACGCCGGATCCAAGCTTGCCTCGACTCCACCATTATGACCTATCTCCAGCAGCAACAGCAACAGCAACCACAGCTACTGCTGCAGCAGCAACAACATCAACCTCCCCCTTTACCTCCACAGGCACTAGCCCTTCAACAGCAGCAACTCCAACAGCATCAATTGCTCCTCCAGCAACACCAACAACAGCAACAACTTTTGCGTAACCAACAGCAGCTCAAACAACAAGCACGCTACCAGCAACTCTCAAAGAACAATAATACCCAGCAGCCACAACAACCAAAACAAACACATCCACTCCAACAGCAACAGCAACTTCTGCAGCAGCATCAAGCACACCATCAACATCGACAATTACTAAAGCAGCAGCAGCAACAGCATCAACATCATATGCAACACCGGATATCACCTAGAACAAAGGCGACCCATCCGGCGGCGCATAGGTCCAGCAAGGACCCTTCTTCGGCTCACCAGCTTGTCCACCCAACGGACGATCCAAAGATCACGTTCGCTCCTCGCAGTCCAAGGGATCAAACAAAGGAGCAAGAGCTCATTTTGCCCAAGGCCGACAAGGACCAGCAGCCCAGGCACGACTCGCTCTACTCTCCAGAGGCACCTCTTCATCTTCTCATGGCAAAACCTGCTCGTAACAATGCGCCAACTGTCAGTTCTGATGACAGCGATGATATCGATAAGGAGGGAAGGGGGCACCGTGGTCAAGTTCGCAACAACGGGGAGGAGGAGGACGATGACGAGGAAGAGGACGATGATGATAGCGAATACGACGAGGACAGCATGGATGACGAGGATGAGAGCGAGTTGGACGACAGCGATATTGACGACGATGATTACTCGGACAGCGGGAGCGACCACACCGAGACAGAGTCCTCGACCCATATGTCTTTGGCGAGAGACGATCCTCACCAGATACTGCCAATAAGTAGCGAAACCACTGTCTCCCATCCCGCCATTAACATCAACACCAATACCAACACCAACAACAGCAACGCTGTGTCGCTGACGACTACCCCTGACCTCTTGTCCAAAGGCGTTCACCCCATCAGCGCACAGCGAGCTCAGCAAGAAGTGTTCAAGCAGCTGACCTTGGCGGCAGGCGCTTGGAACATCAACCCCGACAGTAGCAATATGCAGGAACCCTATCGTGCCGAATATAGCAGCACCGAGAGCAACTCAGGCAGCAAAAGCAATAACGATCGCAGTATCTCCTCCACAAACGCACCCATCCATGTGAGAGACAACGGGATGGATGAGCGTGTGTTGATGCTTGAGACAGTCAGGCCGCGAGACGGACGACCCTTGTCCTCGACCACACATAGTCCAACCTCACGCGGTCACGCATCTGCCTTACCGCCGTTACCATCGACAGATACAAATACACCGACCACGCGGATGTCTCACCAACAGCAGCAACAGCACCTCCAGCAGCAGAATCGGCAACGGATACCAGATCAAGGCACAACTTCGAGTCGCTCTTCGACCAGTGGATCTTTGTCGTCCCCTGGTGATGCGTCTCAAGTTGCAAAAGCTCGGATGCTTCCTTACGTGGAGGACGACGCCGAGGACGAGGACGATTATTCGGGAGAAGATGAAGACGAGGATGAGGACGAAGACGACTATTCGTACTCGGAGGATGAGGATGACGAGGAAGAAGAGGATGAGGAGGATGAAGACTCGTCTTCTGAATACCACTATGGCGCCAAGGATGACCCAACCAACAAGTCCAACAAACCTCGAGCACCACCACCTGGACAATATACCCGATCCATGTACACTCATTACCGACCCCCGAGATTGGATGAGAACTACCTGCGGAAGCGAGCCATCACCAAGCAGGTCGTCCGTAGGTCCAGCCTCACCGCTTTGTTGGGGGAGGTATCTCAACCGGCACCACCTCCCCTCACTCTTCAAGCCAAAAACTTTACGATCCATCCTACTGGCTCGCCTCTCGGTCAACAAGTTCATCAGAGCGCCCAAGTCGCACGTCGTCCAGGACTCACGGATGTCTGGCCAGCGCCTGGTCCCTTTCCCGAGCCCCTGTCAGCACAGCATCAGGAAGAGCACAACGCACTGAAGCCTTACAGTGGCAGTTCAGACAGTGGACGTACCACTTCCACCGTGCCTGGGCTTCGACCAGGCAGCAATCTCTCCGAGCAGAACCGTCGACTCATGTTGGGACCCAACGCAGCCGCAGCCGTCCTGTCTCAAGAGCCAAACCGACCACGTCGAACGGATTCTGGAGTTGAGGTCAAGGGTTCGCCACATCAGCATCGCAGCTCCGGCTCTGGTAGTAGCGATAGTAGGAACTCGAATGAGCGCCAGTCGACTCGACGGGCTGACGTCTCGGTGACGGAATCGTCGTCGCCGGTGCAGTCTTCCAACGGGCCAAGTCAAATCCCCACCATCATCATCGTCCCAGCTCGTCGCCCGAGAATGAAGTCAGAAGGAGACGCTCCTGATGTGCAGGAGTCATCTTCGGTCGGGGCCAACTTTAATGTATCGACGACCGCTTCTCCGAACGGAGCCACAGATGTCTCGCAGGTCGTCAAGCAGCCGTTAAAGTCCTCGATCAGCTGCCATACCTTCCCTCGCGCCGCTGGCAAGCGTGTTGGTCGGAAACACGTTTCCTGGCACCACTCACTCTTCCCTACTGAGCGTGTCCTGCGTGTCAAGCCAAGTATACCCAGTCTGTCGAACGTTGCGGTCGAGTCGGCCGAGGCGACGCTTTCGCAGCTCCCCACTATCCCTGTGATGGCCAGGGACAATATCAAGGACTTTCAGCAATCAATTCGCTGTCTGCGCACCCTTTCTCGGGAAGAGATCACCAAGATGAGCTACAAGCAGCAAGGACGACAAGAGCTGACATCGACTGTGCCTATCTCCAAGTCTGCCAACGACGCATCTTCGTGGTGGAGTCTCTCACGCTGGCTTAAAGGACCTCCAACAGTTGACAAGAGGCATTGGAAGGTAACCACTAGCTTTGTTATTTCATGCAGTGCAAAAGGACGCATTCATATTTGGATTCATGCGGGACAAACACGAACGCCTACTTACCATCTACCCCTCTTTTTCCGTCAATGTTTTCATACTTCTCTCTGTACCCCCTATTTTTCATATAGCCTGACTCCTCCCGCGAGACATGCGCCTTTTGCTTTGCCCCTTTCCATCGACTGACCAACCCACGCCATCACTGCCGCAAATGCGGCGATATCTTTTGCGGCAAATGTGCAAGCGCTGAGATCTTGATGGATGCCAAGAACTGCGTCTATGTCCAGCAATCCCAGCTCGCCCGGTGGTCGCGCAGAGTCGACATTCAGCGCCACAACCTCTGGATCGATACTCTCCCACAGCTACACCCTGTTCGCACAGCTGCCGAATCTGCCCTGGTTGCAGGATCAGGTGTAGGTAGCGCGCCAATGCTCGGAACAATGGACGGCACTGGCTCAGTCGGACACGCGTCTGGAATGAATGGCGGCCTTGGCGGAGTCGGCATGGGTCAGCGCAGTTTGAACGGAAGTGGCAGCGGAGGTAGACGAGGATCCTGGCAAATGGCTCCGTCGGCGATGAAAAAGTCTCGAGTCAGTATTTTCGGACTGTTTGGACAAGGGACCACAGGCACAGGCCCCGCACCTCACCAGTCGGATTCGAGACGAGGCAGTGTCGACATCAGCGCTGCCGAGAATGTCTATGCCAATCACTACGGTCACCTGCAACCTCACCACTCTGTGGCCTTTTCATTGGGCAGACGATCCAGCTCGTCCTCTATCTTGAGGGGTAATAACACTGTGGGAGGATCCGGACACATGATGAACATGGGACCCTCACCTCTGGCTTTGAGCAACGAAGGTGCGATCGCAATGTCTCGGAGGATGAGCTCTGGTGGCGTTGGTGAGGTCTGCCTGGCAAGGATCTGTGTCGGATGTGAGCGAGAGTTGCTCAAGCCAGTTCCGAGATGTACTTCGATTGCAAAGTACTATGGCTCCCTCGGCCCCAGGAATGGGGCGAGACGTCAGATGCATGGATACTCCAGTCTAGGCCCCCATTCAGGTCGACAGCAGCAGCAACCGCAGCACCATCAGCAACAGCACCATGCCAGTCCGCCTCGGCACCCTATGGACGACAATGCGGATCGAGATCCTGACCCAACTGTGACGGCACACAATGACTATCTTGCTCATGGTGTTCGTCGCCACTCTCCCCTCCGACAGACAACGATTTACTCGTCCAACATGGACCACACTGCTGTAGAGCACCAGCCTCAACAACAACGACCAATGTCGCCTGGAGGAGCGGGCACTGGAGGACATCGACATCAACAACAGCAACAATACCACTACCAACAGCACCAGCATAACAACGACAACCATAATGGCGGCTGGGCATCGAGAGATGAGCCTGTGGGACCCCACGGCGAGTCGAGATACTGCCCCAGTGTCTTGACATTCCAGGAACAACAGCTCCACTACACGCAGCAGACGAACGGACCTCTGTCTCGCGAACTGTGTTGAGTGTGTTGAGGAACATTATTATTTTTGCTCTCCCTTTTTTTTTCTTGACATAATACCTAACCCTTTTGTACTTTTATATCATCTTGAATAAATTCTTTTCGATAATAAATACCCAATCACTCATCCCGTTGACCATTGCGACAAAGCTGTTCATCCTGGTCCGCCTGTTTTTAATCTTCTCTTGAATCGACGCCACCAAAATTTTAAGTGGCTCGTCAAGTGTGGGTACGACATAAATCGTCAGAGTCTACGCAGGCCAGCTCTCTCTTTCTTTTTCAATTTATTAACAAGAAAAATGTAAATATCACGTGAGCGTTTCCTCTACCTGGGCAACAACAAACATCTGGAGCATCCATCGATAACCTTGCCCCGGATCGAAGCAACTGTAGCAATGGTACCATCCATCCGTCGCAACGATACTTATCTTGAATAACGGAACCCTTTCGAGTCGTATCGGGATTATTGACGCTATTCGGAACTATGGACTCTCGAATTGAAGCGAGATGAGAGATCTAGTCCTGGAGGATGATCTAGATTCGACTTGGAACACACCACATACTCGATGTCAAGTAGATCGCCAATACTGACCAAGATCTTTTCTTTATTTTCTTAATATTATTAGCAAATGGCTGACGCAGCAACGGCCGATACTCGTGGTGAGGACCCATCCTTGACACCCCTTTTGTGAACTCTTTTTTTTTCAACGGACGGGCTGGCACATATTTGGACGAGCACGGATATCAAGCTTATCGTTGGTTGCAGAAGCGGATCGAATGCAGAACAATTGAAGGGTCACCCCAACATCAAGCGGACGGGAGTAATTAGACCTGGCGGTCGTATTGGGACGAGTATGCGAGTATCAGAGACGACTACCAGGAATAAGGGGGAAACCTAACGTCCATTGGATACTGGCGGGCGAATACTTGCCTCCGGTTGCTTGGAGGAAAGGGAGATCCTGATTCCGACTTTTGAATCGCAAAGCGAATGACATCGCACCCTCAGCAAACAACGAAACGAGACGAAGCGACGCAGCAACACCCAACAACGTTCCTTGGTTCCCGTTGTTGCAGGCGCAGTTTGGGAGAGAAGGTTTCTTCGGCTTTGCGGAAAATAAGGCACAGCTCGCTCCCGGTTTGACTGACTGTGACACAAAGAGGGTTTACTGGTTTGCGATTAGACCACCGACTCGTGGACACTGCACAGATGAGGAGTTGAACACTCTTCTGAAGAGGTTGTCGACACCATCCCGATTGCAACTCGCTCTTCATCATCGACCCAAGGAACCTTTTAGTCAACGACGCTGGACACAGGAGGAATTATTTTCTATCGCAACACTACCATTCGCACCTCTACATCTGCGAAAACGACAAAATGTTCTAAACAATAGCTTTTCTTGTTCCTTTCTTTCCTTTTTCGCTTATCAAGGACGTGGTGGATTTGGACGTGGACGTGGACGCGGTGGTGACCGCGGCCGTGGTCGCGGACGTGGACGTGGAGGTAAGGACGAGAAGGAGACCTGGACCCCCGTCACCAAGCTTGGACGTCTTGTCAAGGACCGCAAGATCCAGTCGATCGAGCAGATCTACCTCTTCTCTCTCCCCATCAAGGAGTACCAGATTGTCGACTACTTCTTGCCCTCGCTCAAGGACGAGGTCATGAAGATTATGCCTGTCCAGAAGCAAACCCGTGCCGGTCAGCGTACCCGCTTTAAGGCTTTCGTCGTCATTGGTGACTCCAACGGCCACGTCGGTCTCGGTGTCAAGTGCTCCAAGGAGGTCGCCACTGCCATCCGTGGTGCCATCATCCTCGCCAAGCTCTCGGTCATCCCCGTCCGTCGCGGATACTGGGGTTCGATCTTGAACGAGCCCCACACCGTTCCCTGCAAGGTCACTGGCAAGTGCGGTTCTGCCGTCACCCGTTTGGTCCCTGCCCCCCGCGGTACCGGCATTGTCGCTGCCCCTGTCCCCAAGAAGCTTCTCCAGCTCGCTGGTGTCACTGACTGTTACACCCAGGCTTTCGGCTCCACCCGCACCTTGGGCAACTTCGTTAAGGCTACCTTTGCCGCCATCGGTAACACCTACAGCTACTTGACCCCCGACCTCTGGGCCGAGACTCAGTTCACCATGTCTCCCTACCAGCAGTACACCGACTTCTTGGCCAAGCCCCAGGACAAGCGTCGCGCCTAAGCGTTTCTCTTACCCACCCAAACAAAAAGCATTTTTTGGACCTTTTTTGAAAGGCGGAATGGTTGTGTCTTGAAATAAATGCATTCCTGTTTCCCAGTAATTCTTTTCTTTGTTCGTTTGTTGCATGGCTTGTTAGATGGTTGTTGCCTGTAGGTTTATGATGGATTTAGCGTGTAGTCATAGCCCGGTGCTATGCTTTGTCGGACACCGATCAGGTTCAGAGTTCAAATCCGTAGGGCATCCCACCACGGTATAATACTGCTTGGCTTGTGCATTTTATTTCTTGCAGAGAGAAAAGCGAGCATGCAAAACTGAGAGATATCCGATTAGTAAGGTCTATGGGATACCGGCCAAGGATCGGTCGAGTGATATGAACCCAAACCCGACTGGATATATAGGAACTGCTAGTGAAGGAGCAAAAACTGAGAATGATCTACTCGTCTTATTGAGTAGAGAGGATAATGGGATCTGTCCGACCGATCACCGGCCTTGAACCTTGTTTGAAGAGTGTGTGGCCGAGCCAGTCAGCCAGCCAGAAATCAAGCCGACTCGGGCACACGGGCGGGACGGTCCTCTCCGACGGAGTACTACACGCACCCCACACTCACTCTCTTTCATAACTTTCAGTCTTAACATAACCCTCTTTTCTTTTTCTTTTTTATCCTTTTTCTCATCGTTTGCCTCAAACTCCATTCATACCCACTCTTTACTCCCTACTCTTTTATTATACCTCTCTCTCATTCGCAACCATGGCTCCCAAGGAACACGGACAGAACACGACTGCCGTACGCACAGGGTACGACATCAACATGAACACACTTTAAGAAAACACATGGACAATTCACGCAATTCACAGCAAGCGCCACCCTTTCCTTCCCTTCTACAAACTCTCGGCTAACACAGATGACCCTTGTTTCCTCTCCGTCTACCGCGCATACACACCCTTCGGTCTTTGCACCTCTGTTTCGTCGATTCTGTTCAATTGCACCTTGTTAATCACTCATATATTTTTTGGTGCTATGCGAATGCTTTCTTGTTTTAGATATCAATTGGATGCCGCTCAGTTGGAGCCCTACCTGGCAAAGGCCATCTCAGGAATCTCGCTCCCCATCAAGGTCTCCCAGTTCAAGCTCGGCCAGAGTAATCCCACCTACCTCCTGACTGACGCAAAGTAAGATCTTCCTCCCATCTTTTCTGTGGCCCGTGAGAGAACCTGTCGAACTCCTGGCAATTGTACTGCCTTTTATTCGAGCTATCGTTTGATCGCCTCCACAAAGCCAGCCGAAAGTTCACACCAGCACAAACTCTTTTTTCCCTTGATTTTACGCCTATTGTCACTTTCTTTGGTTTACTGTTCACTTACTCTTACCTGCGATCGTTGTGCATGAACAAAAAAAAGAGGCCAGCGCTTTGTCCTCCGCAAGAAACCCGCAGGAGCACTGTTGTCGTCGACAGCCCATGCTGTCGAGCGTGAGTACAGGATCTTGAAGGCCCTTGGCGAGAACACCAATGTCCCTGTTCCTAAAGTCTATACCCTCTGCGAGGACGTTTCTGTCATTGGAACTCCCTTCTACGTAAGTTGAATAAGGCCGTGGGGTAGCTAGGAGGAGAGGAATCCCTTTGCGTTTTGCCAGGGTGGAATGTAGCCTTTTTATATTGTTGTGGCCATAACTGCTGACCTGACTTGAATTGTCATCGTGTGTGCATGTCTGATAGGTGATGGAGTTCTTGCAGGGACGCATCTTCTCGGACATTACCCTCTCCAAGTTGCCCTTCGAGGAGAGACGCCTTTGGTACGATTCGCGAGCTGCTTTGTGCAAACATCGATTTTGGTCGTAATATTGTAATGTACAATGACCACGCGCTGCATGGCTAACCATCTCTAATCTCATTATCGAAATAGCTGGTTGTCAGCGATCGATACGTTGGCCAAGTTGCACCAGGTGGACCATGTGGCGGTCGGTCTTGAGAGTTATGGCAAACCTACTGGCTTCTACCGTCGCCAGATCGGATCGTTGAGCAAAGTCGCTGCTGCTCAGGCTGCAGCTAAGGATAGTGAAGGTAATGCGGTTGGACCTATCCCTGGAATTGAGGAGATGGCTGTCTGGTTCAAGAACAATGAGGTCAAGGACTCCACCTCGATTGTTCACGGCGACTACAAGGTAATTTACTGGAAAGACTCAGAGTTTGATCAGTGGCGAAGACATGGGAATTGTTCGAATTATTTCTGATCGGTTTGCCACCAATTTTTCATCTTTTGCTCCTTTCATATTTGTGTGTGTAGATGGATAACTTGGTGTTCCATCCAACGGAGCCTCGCGTGATTGGAATGCTGGACTGGGAGCTGTCGACAATCGGACACCCTTACTCGGATCTCGCCAACCTGCTGAACCCTTATTACACACCCGCCATCGAAGGCAGCCCCATGGTAGGATTGGGCGGCATTGCCGACAAAGACTTGCCCATCCCCCCTGTTAACATCCTCCTCGAGCGGTACTGCAACCAGACCTCGAGACCCTTTCCTATTGACAACTGGCTCTTCTGCATCGCCTTTTCCTTCTTCCGCGTACGTATACCTCACTTCTGTGTCAGCGAGAAAGAAAAAAGTCGATTATTTGGAGATGGACAAGACATGGCATGTACTAATACGCTGCTGTTTAACTGCGTGGATGCATTCAATGAAATAGATGTCAGTGATTCTTCACGGAATCAAGGCACGCGTGGCTCGTGGTCAGGCCAGTTCTGCAGAGGCACAGTTCTATGCCAACTTGGCTAATCCCGTCGCAGAACTTGCACTCCAGATCGCACAACAGTCTACCGCTACCAAGGCCAAATTGTAAAAGAGAACAACGTAGGGTGGATATCGCCTATCTCTTTGTTGCAAGTGGTATAAATATAAACATGTTTTTACTTGTGTCCCCTGGATGAGCAGTGAATGAGGTCCGTCACAGCTCATCTTATATCATAAAATTATCGATCGAAACAGCCCAATTTTTTTTGGTGTTTTGCGATCGATTAAGATTGAGTGAGAAAAATTAACGGGTTTCTTGTGCCTGAATGGTTTGTCCTGCCTCTCTTTCCCAAGTGAGACATAATCCTCCACAACATACCAGGAAAATCTCTTTGTTTCAATGGAGTGACAGTGGTAACTGACGACAAAGAATGACAATGCAAGACAAGTTCTTGGGAAAAAAAATGATATTTGAAGACAATGAAGCGAAGTGGAAAACAGCACGCACAGCATGCCATCAACCTCATCCCAACGTTTTTTACTTTACTGGTGATACATTACAAGACGGAAACGAAGTAGGGTGGGGGGGGGGGGGGATATGGTGTTTTTCTATGCATACTTTTGGTATTTACTAAAACTAAAAGGATATAAAAAAAAGGGACAAAAACTTTTTTTTTTTTTACTTAAAGCATGTAAACAGCAGACAAGAGAAGACCAGCAGCTCCGAGAATGATGGAGTTCTTGTTGGAGGCAGCACCAGAGTTCTTGGTATCAGTCTTGACGGAGGGGGTGGCACCAGCAGCGGCTGAGGTGGTGGCGGCGGCACCAGCACTGGTACCAGCGGCAGGGGTGGAAGGCTTGGCAGTGGGGATGGTCACAGTTCCGTTACCAGCGCTAGGGAGGGTGGTAGCGGCAGGAGGGGTAACGCCGGTCGCGGTGGCAGCGGGGCCCTTGGTGTAAGGAGCGGGGTCCCACAAGTTGGGCTGGGCGGGGGCGCCGTCCTGGGGAACGATGGCTCCCTTGGGGTTCTCCTTGAGGCAGCAGTCGCCCTTGGTAACGGAGACACAGAGGGGGTAGCCGACATCCAAGTTAAGGCAGTCGGGGCGCAACTTGTCGTTCCACTTGAGGAGATCGGCGAAGGTGATACCAAACTTGGTAGCGAAGGCCTCGCAACTAGGGGTGCCGGCTAATTGTGATAAGGAAGTAGAGATTGTCAGGACAAAGGGGTTTGAGAAACAAGGCAATTGAATATGGGGGAGCAATAATGCAAAGGTGGTGCTACGTACGTTCGACAACGTAGGAGTGGGTGCACTCCTTGACGGGGATGGGGACGACGGCGGCAGCCTGGGAGGCGGCAAGGGCGAGAACAACGACGGCGGAGAGAGTGAACTTCATTGTGCTTAAGAGTGTGGTCGTAAAGGGAGAGGAGTGTGTGGTTGGTGGGCTGTAGGGTATGAGTGAGAGGTAAGGGTAAGGAGAGAGTTTTTTGTTAAAAAAACGTAGAAAAAAATGGAAGGTGTTTGTGTGGTGGTGGAGGGAAGGGAAGGTGTTTTGTGAAGAAGAAAAGAGAAAAGAAGAAAAGAAAAAAAGGAAAAGGATACCAGTGGGTATAAATATCAAGGACAAAGAAACGGTCAAAAGGAGACAATACCTGTCCATCCACCCCACTCTCCTATTCTCTGCGTAACCATTCTGGCAGAAGAGTTATCAAGTTGGATGCCAGCAGTAAGTCCATCCGGACACCCATACCTGCTGAGGTATACAAACGCAGATACAGGGGTGGGGGGCGAGAGAGAACGAGACAGAAGAAAAGCGAAGAGAAGAAAAATGCTCTCATCTTTTCATTATTTTCGTCTCACTATAGTGTCCTCTCAATTTCAAGAATTATTACAAAGGGAGCAAGAAAGGCACCCAAATGACCACAAAACCATAAATGACAACCATCTTCCCAATGTACCTTTCCTTACCCCTAATGCAGTCAGCTCGACCTTGTCCTTCCACTCCCATTTTTCTCATTTCGATTGCATTCATTTCCACTTCTCTATTACACCCTGCACTTCATTTGAAAGAGAGGCTGTTGCTTAACAAACCCGAGGGATTATTCAATCTGAACGACAACAAGGTACATTTTTCTACAACGATAATAAGAATGTGGAAAAACGAGAACGAGGAAACAGACAGACAAAACAAACAAAACCAGGATAAACCTCTTTGATTTTTGGGTTAAAGCGGGTTCAGTTTAGCTCAAAGGGCATTCGAGACCCCTCCATCTCACATAACTCTCCTTTGTTATTTTGCCTCATCCAGTGGACAGAGTTTTTCTTTTCCTCTCACCTCTTTTTTCGCGATGAAATGTTGAGAGCCATTTTCTCGTTTGGAGCAGGCTGAAGATGCAGTGGGTGAGTGGGTTTGTTGATAGGTCTCTATTGCTTGAAAAGCAGGCTGGCAGGGGAAGGGCTCTCTCGCTCATTCGTTATTTTTCTTTATTACGGACATGATACGAGGTAAACGTTATTTTTCCTTGCCCAGGCACTGTTATCCGATGAAAGGGCAACGACATACATAAACTGATCCACTTTTAGAACAAGGTCATTCTGCTGCATGCATAAACAGACGAGAACAAAAACAAGACAGCCAGACTCGCTGACTGGCTGGCTGGCTTACCGGGATGTGGCTGACTGGTTTTATTTCCTCGGTATCGTACTATTTCCTTCTTATTGGCGTTGTTGGCGCTGAAGAATGTTTGTATGTGTGTAATGAAAGTATGAAGGGCGCTTTATTATGGCAGGGGACCGGTGAGCATAAAAAGTCAAATGGCATGAGAGCTCAGCTCGCTAGCTTTGCCAGGTACACCTTTTTCGCATTGCGCGAACCTCCTCATTTTTCTTCCTTCCCCGGGTTTGTACATTTCGATTTTTTAATTGGAGTGAAGCTAACTGTAGCAGAGTGTGGCAATTCGCCGACAACTCTTGTCATTCTCCTTGTTTTTCTGTCAATGAGATGTTGCCGTGAGGAGGGAGACATGCCTCCGTGTTATTTCTACGGCGTTGTTCATTGTCGCGGCCCCACACAAAGAATGATGATGCAGGGTCACAAAGTCTAATTTTGAAGGGATGGATGACATATGTCGCAACCTTTGACGTCGATCAACATGTTGCATTGGCGTCTCCGTACGTTTCTGACGAAGACTCTTTCATAAAAAATAAACAAAACTCGACTTGGAAATGTCCTCCTAAAGGAACGGTGTCGTTGAACTTGCTCTTTTGCTTGCTAGAGTCTGCCTTTAATGTTTACCCACAACCGCAAACTGGATAGCATTTTTAATCGCATCGCTTCAAGCTTATTTTTGCTGGTAAAGTTACTTCACAACGATACGATATCAATGTAGCAGCGTCCTTTGCCTAAGAAATGTACTTGACCCCGCGCACGAAGATCGCACTTTCATTTCCATGCTCTAAGATAGAGTCATTTCTTTGCATAGCGCCCTCTTCGATGTGAGAACCCTATCTCAATTGACTTTTCGCACGCAACTGACTCTCTGTATCATAATGGGCATAATGAGGTCTATCGTTCTACATACTCCTGGTATGAAATATGATCTCAGATATGCCGTTGGGTTGTACCATCCTTTTACCAAGGCCTCATCTTTTTCAGCGATCGGGTGTGATGTGACCCGCTCGCTCCTCATAGCACGATACGTGGGCTTCTGTGTTCTTCGCCTTTTCAATGTAATGTAAAAACAAGCGGATGTGAGTAAACCATATTTCTCATGGCACTTTAAGATAACAAAATGGACAAGAGGGATATCACTGCTTGTGGAGAGATCCTTATTACATCCATGCTACTTGCCTTCTTTGCATTTATTGATTTTGCATCTTGCTCACTAAGATGCTACTGTCTGTTGCCTCATACCAGCGTCTTTTACATTTAGAATACATTAGTGCTTCGCAAGTCGGATTGTCGTGCCCATTGGTTTCATTGTTTGATTCCGAATAGGTGACAAAAGTAGATGAACGATTTGGTCAAAAGATAACAGAAACGTTTGTTTTCTTTGGCCATGCAAACATGTTCCTTGCTTTTTATACTTGTTGATATCCCCGATCTCTCCAAAGACGTAAAATGTCTTTCTGTACAACAATTATCAACTACAGAGGACAACAAACAATGACCAAGAGAAAGATATTAACTTACATTGTTTTTATATTTATCGCATCTCCCGGCCACGTCGATGGTCGATTTTGGTCCAATCCGTAATCCTCTTTTTGCTTCTTTTCACAACAGGATCAAGGCTACCCTTGTCAGTCGCCCTTGTCTAATGTATGCCATGAAAAAAAGCGCGTTTGATATGATACAAACATGATCAGCCAGTCGATGAAGGTATCTCAGGGCCCTGCATTGTGGCGATTGTTTTTTGAGAACTAGTTCACGGTGGATTGTGGATTGCATAGGGTGAAGTTGAATCATTTAAAAAACAATAAAAAACACGCGACCTAATCGGTTTGGCGATGATGCCCTTTCTTTGCGATTCCCCTTTCCGTTATTGTGAACCCACGCGATTGGAGTGGCCCTCGGTCGGATGGCGCTCTTTTTTCAATCTGAGGTAAAGACTTGTCATCACCCGTGGATAACAAAGCTCCAAGTAAAAAGGTTGAACTTCAAGGATGCCTGAAAAGTCTCAAGTGTTCTGTCACTAGGTTATGAACAAGCCCACCTTTATTGATCTTGTGTGCTCTAATTACTCTTATTCAATCTGTTCTTTTTTATTTATGTTTTCATCATCGGATGGGTGGTTCCATCTTGATCAGAACGTCATTGCCCAATGTATCACGTCTGTATTCTTTGGCGACTGGAACCTGACAGGCGACGAGCTTACATCGGATTGGGTGACTTTGATTACCTTCCATTTGAACATTCTCGGTATCAGATGCATGGAACAAAGAAGTTCATCATGTACCCTGATCAAGAGTAGAACACGTCCTCTGATTTGACTTTAATATTTTTTGAAAAAGACCCCCTTTTTTACTTTTGTCACAAAATAGTTCTCTGATGTCCTAGACACATCGTTCTGTCATCTTTCCCATGGCAACGTAACAATAACAGACCTATATTCCCCTTATCTTTGAAGATGCACACATACCGGTCTTTGGTGCTCGGACGCGAAAACAGAGAAAGGAGGTTAAACAACGGTTAAAGCAGGTGAGCTCTCAATTGTCTTACTGTAGTGACTCACGGGCGATAGAAAGGCATACAGTCAGACAAGGATGTTTGGACTGTACAAACGCGTTTCTTTTCTCGTGGAACAAACCTCACGCGTCGATTGATCAAGTGTAAAGTCTTCAGGGATAGTTTTTGTGCCTCTCAGTCGCCACGTTGTCATTTTTTTTACAACTTTGAATTGTTAGGGCAGGTAGCTCTTCTGTGAAAGGCTCGGTCGCTACATGCACACCATGAAATACCGCCTACTGTTTTAAGATATCAAAGGGCCAGTAGTTTTCTCTTTCAAATAATCCCGGATCGAACGTCTACCTTTCCAGTCCAGGTCATTCTCAGAACAAGAGTGGGGCGATGTATGGTGTGTTGGTGCTCTCATCTACGTTTTTTGCGCACGTTATTTTTCTTTGATCGACGATACCCTCTGTCAACACTGATCTTGGCTTTACTCATCCCGTGTATAATCCATGCACGCTTCAAACGCCAGAAAAAAAAGGTGCTGCAAGACGCATTCGCCACTTCCTTTATTGTAGACAAAAAGGATCATCCTATTCACATATGCCGTGGCTTTTCATGAATGCTGTAGAGAATTCAAACAAGGAATTTCTCAGTTCGTCCTTCGAAACCGTTTGCACATCTGCCTTTGTTCGCCACTTCAGTCACATTGCTCTGTGTATGTGTTTCTTTTTTCTTTCATTACTTCATAATACAAAGATGAACGATGGCTCGATCTGTCAATGTCACGCTTGTGTTATTTGCAGGATGAGAAATAGCGAAGGAGGCGAGGTGAACGGAGAAGTTTGGGAAGAAAGGAGCGTGCGATAGTGTGAGATAATGGCGGGGCAGTTTGTAGGCATGGGCTCTACAGAGCGTAATCATCATTAAGCCTTACAACATCTTCCTACACGGCGACAGACCAAAAAGGGAGCCCAGACCCAAATCGGAGTGCCACCACCTTTATCCGCGATTTGGCCATGCATCACTGATTAGTGTTCCGGATTCTGGAGCGAACAAGCTTTTTTGTTCCTTCATGTAACTTCTTTGTTTGGGTCAATGATCTTGAACAGGCCAACAAGGCCATTCATTCATCGTGAATAAAAGGCAACTTATCGTACCTGCACAAATGGCTTGTTTATCTCGGCAGAAAAGAAAACAGCATGAAAATGGCGCTACTGTCCATTCGTCCGTGCTCCTTCCCGTTGGTTGGTTTATTTATTGGTAAGTTTTCTTCGGTCACTTTCTTTTTTGTGGGCTTGACTTTGAGAGCCGCTCATATAAGAAGCACATGGTGTAGACTACACGCACATTTTCTATGAAGACGGCAGACTTTTGGAGTCGACAGAGCCAACAAACACATAAACCCCCAACAGGCAACATTTGTTTCTTGTAGCAAAAACGTAATTAAGTAATTATCTCTTCAAAGTTCACTACCTTTCTTCACCGTCATCTTATCGCTGTCGCTGTCGTTTGTTGGTATCAGTCTTTTTTTTATTTCCGCCCAGCGGAAGTTCTTGTGTTTCCATTTCGTGAAGACAATTCATTAAGCTAAGTAAGTTTTTTTCCCTTTTTGTCTGGGTCGAATCCATGGACTATTTAAAGCATGTAAGCGACCGAGAGGACAACACCGGCTGCAGCCAAGACCATGGAAGCCTTGGAGCTAGAAGCAGCGCTATTACCACCAGCGGGAACCTTGGGGGTAGGGGTAGTGCCAGAAGATGTGGTGATGGTGGTGGGGGGAACGGTAGCAGCCGAGGTAGGGGAAGCAGTGGAAGCAGTTCCGTTGACGGGGGCCACAACAGAGGTTCCGGTGGCGGCGGGAGTGGTCACGACGCCGCTGGAGGTGGGGGTAGGGGTGGCGGCGGGACCCTTGGTGTAAGGAGCGGGATCCCACAGGTTGGGCTGGGGGGGGACGCCGTCCTGGGGAACGAGGGCTCCCTTGGGGTTCTCCTTGAGGCAGCAGTCGCCCTTGGTAACGGAGACACAGATGGGGAAGCCGACGTCCAAGTTAAGGCAGTCTGGGCGCAACTTGTCGTTCCACTTGAGGAGATCGGCGAAGGTGACGCCGAACTTGGTAGCGAAGGCCTCGCAGTTAGGGGTGCCGGCTAATTGTGATAAGTTGAGATTGTCAGGACACAGGGGTTTGAGAAACAAGGAAGGCAGTTGAACATGGAGGAACAATAATGCAAAGGTGGTGCTACGTACGTTCGACAACGTAGGAGTGGGTGCACTCCTTGACGGGGATGGGGACGACGGCGGCAGCCTGGGAGGCGGCAAGGGCGAGAACAACGACGGCGGAGAGAGTGAACTTCATGATTGTAGATATGTCTTTGGTGTTGAAAATGGAGAGAGAAAAGGGGTTGTGAACGTTGGAGTGAAGGCGAGTCGGTAAAGGGGTTGGGAGAAGGTGTATTTTTTTGTCAAAAAAAGCGTGAAAAAAAGGAATGGAAGTTGGTTGTGAGGGAAGGGTAGGGTTTGGTGATGAGGAATAAGAAGAAGAAAAGAAAGAAAAAAAAAAGAGAGAGATGAGAAACGAAAGGCAGAACGGTTTTTATGACAGCGACAGAAAACAGTAACCTACGGGCCCCGGTAACCTACAAGACTCACCGATTCGATTGTGTGGCATGTATGCCCTGCCTTGCCCAACCTGCTGTCCGCTTCGTGCCGAGAGAAAGAAAAGTGCTCTCGACCTTGGTCCTTCTCTCCTTTCCATCCATCCAACATTACACACAATGAAAACCTTTTTTATTAGCACCATTTCACGCCACTGGTCAACAAAAGGCGTTCTTCTCTTGTCTGTCATTTGTGTTTACACAAACAATCGGTTGCTGAACACACAATACTACAAATCAAACTTCGTAGCACTCGATCATAACGCTGGTGTACCCATTCGTCTGAATAATTAGAATCCATGCGGTTTCGAACAATTGTTGAATGATGTAAAGGAGTACTCGCACGGAAAAGAGTAAGTTATGGATTAGGTCACTTTTTTTCAGGAAGGTTTAACAAAAAACTGGGAATCCTCGGTAAACGGCCTTGGGGTAATGAGTGTATGAGCTATTCTTTTACTCTTCCTGCCTCATGAAATCGTGCACGAAGACAGTGACAGACAGGCAAGACTAATATTGGTATGAGCCAACCAAAATGCGACCACAACAAAAAAGAAGAGGGAGTAAAAAACAAGAGCCCTTCCCTCGGGAGGGAGGGGAGGGAGGGGTCTTGCCTTGTCAATCAGAGATGAACTTGTTGCGCTGTATCTGTCTGGGCCTGAAAATTGCAATTTGTGCTCATACATGAATAAGCAATGCAAGGTAAACAAGCAAAAGTGGTCGTCTGGAATCTCAGTTATCCATAATAACAAGAGGGCTGGCATTCCTCGGTAAGTTTGTTTTTTTAATATTGATCCAGGGCTCCAGGGAGATGAGCTCTTTGTTCTCTAGCAATTTTCCGGTGCGGTGCGAAGGATCCTCCTCTATCTTCGTTTTGCTCTGAATATGGCAAGAAACGTGTTCCTGGCCCAGGAGACTTTTCTAAATAAAAGCGCTCTTTTGGAACTTCGAGAGAAGGAATCAAGAGGCTAGAAAAATGTGTATCTATAGGTTTCTGGATCCTTGCATCCATTCAGTTGTAATCACGGGAATGTAGTTCGCTCTTTTTTTTTATTAGAAGATCTATGAGGGTAGTAAGATGGTGGGGTAAAAAGTGAGGAGAGATGCACTGTGAAAACATAATGATGATAAAAGTACAATGGGCAGGGAGAGGTGACAGATGGGGACTTCTTTTACGGGAGAACCATTTGTGTCGTCAATTTTGAAGCTAACGAATCAACTGCTGGAGACGGATATGATTCATACTATTTTTCTTGCTGTCTGTCTGGTTAGAGGGCATAGATAGCAGAGAGGATGACACCAGCGACAGCGAGCCCCATCGACCCCTTGGCCGATGCAGCAGCAGCAGCATTGTTCCTGTTGGAAGGGTCGATGATGCTGGGGATAATAGGCACAATCGAGGTAGTAGTGGTGACTGGAGTGGTGGTAGTAATGACAGGAGTAGTGGTAGCGATGATGATTGGAGGAGGAACAAGCGCAGAAGTAGTAGGAACGGTTGGAGAGGGGGGAGGAGGTGGAGCGACGGTGGTGGTGGTGACAGCGATTGTGGTGGTTGTAGTGGTGGTAAGAGGAAGAGGAGGAGTGGTAGTCGTGGTAGTAGTAGTCGTAGTAGTGGTGGCCTCGGCGGTGGTAGTAGTTGCAATACGAGTGGTTGTGGTTGTAGCCGTTGGCTTGGGGTTCTCGCTAAGGCAGCAGTCTCCAGGGGTGACCGAGACGCAGATAGGGTGTCCGACATCGAGGTTCAAACAGTCCGTTCTCAGCTTCTGGTTCCACTTGAGGAGATCGTCAAAGGTGACGCCGAAGCGCTGGGCAAAGTCAGAGCAGGTGGTGTCCGTTGCTGTTATTATTGGGACCAATGTGGTTATCGAGAGAGACAGAAGAGATGAGGTTGTCAGCGCTGTGTCCATCTGTATAGCATGGAGCAGGGTGCTCATATTTTAGTGCATTGGTATAGCATAGAGGTGGGGTGCTTACGTTGGACGACAACAGATTTTGTGCACTCCTTGACAGGGATAGGAACAACAGCCATGGTCTGGGTGACGACCAAAGCGAGCACGGTTGCACAGAACATGAACTTCATTGTGGTATTGTGTTGTGTTGTGTTGGGTAGTTATGTGTTATGTAGATAGATCAAGAACGTAAGAGAAAGGATATAAGGGAAAAGAGAGTACGGATGGGGGCAGAGTAGATAGAAATGGAAGAAGAGGAGAGTGTGGAGGGGGAGAGAAGAGAAGAGAGTGGAGGGGGAGAGAAGAGAAGAGAAGAGAACGAATTGAAAAACAAAAGATTGGGTGGGGGAAACGGTGCCTTTTGGCTTTCTTTAAAAACGAATCGCACGAATCGTACAGGGGCAAACAAGGTGATCGACCAGTAATGACAAGTGATGGTACTAATGCACCATACAAGTCTCAATATTGATTTTAAAAAAGATCAGTACACAGCGAGCGGGAATATTACAATTTGCCAATTGCGCCACTACTGTTGACAGGTTCACCTGTTCAACAGTTCCGCCCTTGTAACCCCTGGTTTCGAATCATCACAATGACAGTGTGCATGATAACCATGCCAAGATTTATTGTTTATCGCCTCCTTCCTTGTGCTTCATTATACATGTCTATTGTCTTTGTACAGGCAGCAAAAGGGAGAAGAGCAGGAAGGAACAAAGGCAGAAAAGGCAAAAAAGCACAGACTGAGCCTTTGTCGCACAGCAGATGTGATCAAAGGCAGGTGAGAGGTGGATGATGGTGAGGGGTGAAGGTTTTGCGTTCACACTTTGTTCTCACTTTCGAAATAGTGGAAGGTTGAGAAAAAGGAGGGGAAAAGGCGAAGGGAGGAAATGGATTGATGGGTTCACATGAGCGTTTGTGTCGGTTAGAAATAGATCATCAAAATAGCATTCATGTCTTTTTTTCCTCGTAGGTTGTGGCGTTGGCTTGTTTTCGTCATTAACGCAGACGAAAAATAACAAAAAGTTGACCAACGATGAAAAATAGCCGCAACATCGTCATGGCGAGTGGAACAGTGCAGTAGAGTCTACATGAGCGAACAGAGAGAATAAAAATAAATAGTTGGACTCATCGTCATGTAGAAAACGAATCGGGAGTTGTTTTTTATTAACAGTGCAAAAATATTAAAGAAAGTATGGTATTATGTTGTACAAAGAGTGCTGGTGATGCTGCTGTATGCAAAATGAAAGTCGACACGTCAAAGAGCCTCAAATCGCTTAGAATCCGAGGGCATCGTTGACAAGAACGACCTGGATGCGTCCAGGAGCAAAAGGGTTGGCAGCCCTAAGTACTTCGAAATTCACAATAGCCGAGGCAGGGACACCGTAGGCATCGCGAGCACGAGCAGACTCGGCAGCAAGAGCAAACTCGTTGGTGCGGGTCCAGGCCTCATCCTCATCCTTGACAATCTTGTTGGTACCGACGACAACGATAACGTTAGCAGCGCCGAAGGAGACACCGCCGACCTTGGAGCCCGAGAGATCGGCGTGGGCGAGCTTGCCATCCTCTGTAACAGCGGACATGGAGGTGAGGTAGTAGTCGACGGTGGAGCCAACGGTGCGGCGGAGCTCGGCCTGCTTGGCAGGGTCCTTCTCAGCAAGAATGGTGGCGTGGACGTTGTCCCAAGCACTAGATTAAATATCAGGGCACAAAAAGATATGGTTGGTTAGATATTAAGTTCCGACGATCAAAGCCACAGAAAGATGTTGGTGTCTCGCGCTGCCATTTCTTTTAACATCGTGCATCGATAGAAGCGCATAGAGTATCCAGAAAGCACACTTACGTCTCTCCCTTGAGATAGGTAATGAATCCAATCTCCTCCAAGGTGGTAGAATGAGCGTTGTTGACAGAGGCGCCGGCAGGGATCAAGTTCTTGACGGTCTCGAAGGCCTCACCGCGGCTGTTGACCAAGTGGACCTTGAATCCTGACTTCTCAAGACCAGCCTTGGCAGCCTCGACACGTTCAGCGCTGACAACCTTGGCATACTTGTGGTTGGCGAGGGCGGCCAACTGGGCATCCGACTTGGTAAGAGCAGCGAAAGTGTGGTTGGCGTGGGTGTTCTCGGGGTGGATAGGCTCGGAAACTTTGGCGATGGGGGTCTCCAAGACAGGGGCGGCGGGAGCGACGGCTGCAACGGCTGCGACGGGAGCAGCGGCAACGACGGGCTTGGCAGCAGCAGCGGGAGCGGTGGTAGTCTTCTTGTTAGACTTGAAGATCTTCTTGATCTGCTTGAGAAGGGAGGCCATGTTGATGGTAGGTTTTGGGAGTGAAGGGGCTGAAGAGGTGGGAAGCGGGATACTTATTGAAAGAAGGTTGAGAAAGAGTTGCTGATGAGATTGAAAAGTTGGTGAGGCTAGTCGAGTTATTGAAGAGAAGGTTGATTGTTGAGTTAAATATTTTTTTGGGGCAGACGGATGGCGCCCTTTTTATATGTGCTTTTGCCTCATGAACCTTTGTCGGTGCTTACAACTCCTTTATCTTTCAACTCCTCCTCGTTCATTCTCACTAATGCAATAGGGCAAGGACAACGAGGAGGAGAAGTGAGCACTTCGCTTTGAAATCAAATGTTGCTCAGAAAATGTGAATAAAATGGCGAAATGGGTGGCTTGGTCGCTCTTGATTTTCAATCCACGACCCTTCTGAGAAGAAAAAGTCTCCTTGGTGCAGGCTGAGTAGAATTAAGGTTGTGAGAAAGGGTGATGTTGACAAAGCTGTTTTTCCGAAGAGAGGGACAAGCAAAGGATTGTATGCATGCACGCCCGCCCTGTCCAAGCTGGTGGAAAGTGATCCTCGTTTTTCAATCGCCATGCCGTATTTTTCTGACCATACCTCCTTTTCTCCCATATTGCGCCCCCTCTGTTTGTTTCGACCGTATGTCCGTTGTCGAAAAACGAAGTTTTGCATGGGGCAGTAACAATTACAACGAGACAGAAGCTGAAAGTGATCGCGCCTTGTCCTCCATGTCCACTTCAACTGGAACACAAGGAAAAAAAGAAAAAAAGAACACGAAAGGTTGTGCGAAATCTGTGGGAAAAGAGTATGATCTATTGATTGTGTTTATTTGTTTGTATTTTTTATGCTAAAGGTGCATGGGTCGGCTGAGTAGCGTACTTTATTAGAATCCCAAGACCTCCTTGACAAGAACGACCTGAATGCGTCCGTTATGGGTGGCACGCAAGACCTCATAATTGGTCATAAAGGCCTCCTTGATCTTGAAAGCCCTGCGGGAGTAAGCGCTAACAAAGGGGAGGCAGAAATCCTTGGTTCTGGCAAAAGCCTCGGCCTCGTCCTTGACAATCTTGTTGGTTCCTGCGACGACAATCACGTTTCCAGCACCGTAGGCAACTCCTCCGACCTTGGTACCCGTCTGGTCTCCGTGAGCGATCTCGCCGGTCTCAGTGACGGCGGTCATGGAAGTAAGGAAGTAGTCAACGGTGGTGCCGAGCTTGCGACGGAGCTCGCCTTGCTTGACGGGGTCCTTTTCGGCAATGATGGTGCCGCGGATGTTTTGCCAGGGGTGGGTCTCTGAGATGAGGTAGTTGGTGATTCCAACCTCCTCCAAGGTCGTTGAGTGGGCAGTGTTGATGGTTGAGCCCTTATAATGCAGGAGCGAGAATGAAATATGAATATTGTCAGCAATTGAGGGTTGTGGACTAGGGGGTGGAAGTAAGGTAAAGTTCAACCGGCGCTTTACTAAAGACACGGATCAGGGTTCAATGCAATAGGAACTTACAGCAGGAATCAAGGAGACAACCTTCTGGAAGGCCTCATCCTTGTTATTGACGACATGGACCTTGAATCCTCTAGCCTCAAGGGTCTTCTTGGTCTTCTCGACGGTATCGTCGTTGGGGAGGTGGCGGTACTTGGAGTCGGCAAGAGCATTGAGCTCGGGCTCGTGGGTGAGGAAGGCTTTCCAGGTGACCTCGTCAAAGGTGCTCTTGGGACGCTCGACGTGAGCGGGGGCAGAGGTTGACAGGTGGGCGGCAGTCATGGCTGAGAGGAAGACTTTGCGAGTGAGGATGGGTGTGGAAGTGGGGCGAGTGGCTAAGACGCGAACTGAGGAGGTGAGAGTGGAGTTTTGTCTAAGGAGAGAACGAAGAGACATTTTGGATAGGTTTTTATGTTGATTTTTTTTTTTGCGTTCGTGTTTAGGCGTTTGTGTCGTGTCAAAAAGAAGAGAGAAAGAAAGATAAATGTGGATAAGGGCTAGGATCGATTGGTTGAGAGAGAAACAAGAGAATGGCAGAAGAGAAATAGAAGGAAGAAGGGAGAGTATCAAGGGTGCTGGTATGGTTTGCGTTTTTGTTGTTGGTCGTTTGGGCCAACTCCTTTTATGCCGAATCCATCGGGGTTTGTTTGTAAACAATCAGTGACAACAAAACATGGGATCACTGGGTGAGGGAGGTTGATGTTGATACCATGGACCGGTGCGATTAGGAATCATTGGTGGCTTAGCAAAATGTCTTGCCTGCTGACAGACGGTGGGAAATTGTGATTTTTTTTCTTCATTCATCATCATATGTAAGAGAGGGCGGTTACTGAGTAAGTGGTCCTCTAGTTGCACTTTCCCTTGGTAATAGTTTGTGTGCCATATCCATGGGTCAACTGCATGGTTATTTGGTAACGAATGATAATAAGCCATCGCCCTTTTGAGGCCCTAAGCAAAAGATCAATCCACGAATATTCTTCCTGTCTTTTTTTTTTTTTTTGACGACTTCCGCGTCAAAGCTAGACTAGGGGACGAGAAACGGGTGGATTGTTTGTTATTGCAACTCTCGAGTCTCGATGTCCATTTTCCTTCTTTCTCGCTCTTTAGGCGATGGTTCGAGATAAACAAATTACCAGCGCACAGGTGGGGAACATTGAGAGCTGACTACCAACATCCATGAAGTATCCAACTCTTTCGTTCTCTTTTAAAAAAAAGTGGCAGTCACATCATCTGGCATTCCCAGTCTACGGTTACACGCCTCAAATGCATGCATGCCGTCAAAAAAATGCGCATTCTTCTTTCCTCCCTTTCTCCAATTGCGGTACTAAACACGGCACATGCAGTTGATAAGTAACGAGAGAGAATTGTTTCACAAAAAGGGACACTTTTATATTGCTGTACATGGTATTGTCCTGATCTAATTTTGATTTTTTTTTTGGCATCGATCGATGTAGGCGATCTAGAGCTTAGAATCCAAGGGCCTCCTTGACGAGAACGACCTGGATGCGGCCGGGGTTGAATGGGTTGGCAGCTCTAATCACTTCGTAGTGAATAAGGGCGGAGGCGGGGACGCCGTAGGCATCACGGGCACGAGCAGACTCGGCAGCAAGGGCAAACTCGGTGGTGCGGGTAAAGGCCTCCTTCTCATCCTTGACGATCTTGTTGGCACCAGCAAGGACAATGACGTTGGCAGCGCCGAAGGAGACACCGCCGACCTTGGAGCCGGAGAGATCGCCGTGGGCGAGCTTACCGTCCTCGGAAACGGCAGCGACGGAAGTCAAGTAGTAGTCGACAGTGGATCCGACGGTGCGGCGGAGCTCGGCCTGCTTGGCGGGGTCGGACTCGGCGAGGATGGTGGCGTGGACGTTGTTCCAGGCACTAATGGTGAGCAAGAAAGAGGAGAGGAGGCGTTAGAAAATGAATTCCAACAGAGCAATCGAGAAGGGAGAAAGAGTATCGTCACACCCATTGGAATCGCGGTCGAGACCACAAAAATAGAGGGACAGAAAGCGACAACCACAACCACGAAACACGTTGTCAAAGAGTGTCCAGAAAGTACACTTACGTCTCTCCCTTGAGGTAGGTGACAAAGCCGATCTCCTCGAGCGAGGTGGAGTGAGCGTTGTTGACGGAGGCACCAGCGGGGATCAAGTTCTTGATGGTGTTGAAAGCCTCGCCGCGGTTCTCGACAACGTGGACCTTGAAGCCAGCCTTCTCAAGACCGGCCTTGGCAGCCTCGACGCGCTCAGCGCTGACGGCCTTGGAGTAGTGGTGGTCGGCGAGGGCAGCCAACTGGGCGTCGGACTTGGCCAGGGCGGCGAAGGTGTGGGTGACGTGGGTGTTCTCGGGGTGGGCAGACATTTTGTTTGGATTTGGTGAGTGAAGAGGAGTTGTTGTGTTGAGGATTGTTGGAATGAAGAACAGAAAAACGAGGGGAGATGAGGCTCTATTTATGTGTCTGCCTGTTCCCGCTCGTTGGTCCCTGAATTTCTCATCCTTCCTTCTCCTTTAGCAATAATCCCTTATGTTCCTGACACTCTTCCAAGCCCACTTACCCACCCTTCTAAGCGAATCATTTGTCTGGCGGATCCAAGCCACCGTAAAATTGCGATTGGAAATGGAGTAATTGGGCCAAGCCATCAGACTCTCTTTTTTTTGAGTTCAAGCCTTCAAAGCTCCTTGGAGTTGCAGGCTGTTGATAAGCAGCAAGCAGTTTGAGGTAGAATGGCGTCTTCAACGCTCTTCCCCGTTTGTTTGTGCACGCTCGCCACCCACTGACAAACACACGCAAAGAAATGTCTCGTCTTTGGTTGACAAACGCGTCATTTGTACTGGGCCGAGAGGAGGACTGTGGGCTTCGGTTGTGTCCAACATAAGGCACACGCTCGTTCGCACAAGCAACGCCATTTTACACAAAGTACGGCACATCAAGCATCAGTTCAAGGGTACACTCGTAGGTCAAATAAACAACCATAGTATGAGAAAGCCGCAACTTTTTTTTATTGTTGCTGTATCATGAGTTTGACTATATCATAACCGCGATGCCCATACCATCTCCTTTCCTGTAGCACTTTTTGTGAACCCGACGCTTGCAAGAAAGTGTTCTGGAGAGTCGTCTGAATGGACTGTCACAAATGGGGCAGTCAATACTCTGATGGTGGTGGTAGTGGGGCTATTGGTTACCACCTTGTCCTGCACTGATGCTGGGGTTGTTGACTGTGCCACCAACTGACCTTGGAGTTGGACAAGAGCTTTGGTCCCGAAACCAAGGCCCTGACAGGCCTGATCGACCATGAAACATTTCATTTGATATGTTCCTGGAAGCGTCGGTATCTGGTCAGCAGTAGCAGCACTGATGGTCGTAGCACTGACGGTAGCGGGGGTACAGTCCTCCTGTACTCGCTGGACACGAAGGTATCCTACGGGTGTCGAGTCAGCATAGATGGCTTTAACGATGGAGTGAGGAAGATGGAACTGGTGTTCACAAAGGGATTCGACATTGGGAGGGACGAGGGTGAGCTGGTCCTTGTTGACGATAAGACAGATGATGCGCTGCCAGTTGTCGGCGGTGATGTCCTGGAGGGTGATGGTGGACTGACGTGTTGGGAACAGAATTGGGTCCATGGTGTTTCTCTCCCTTTCTTCTCTCTTTGTGGTTGTGTAGGTCTATATGCTCTGTGTGTGGTTTAGTGGGCGAGAAGGGGAACGAGCGTGACAAAAATAGCCCGCGAGTCCTAGCCCGACTGTCGACTCCAAAATGTCACCCAGTCACTGCAGAATGAGAGACACAGCCCTGTCATTTTTCATAAGTACATTTTCAGACCCTTCTTTCCTTCATTCATTCATCCTTCAACGACCACTGTGCAGACACATCTTCAGGACTTACAGGACTCACCACCACCAGCAACCGGGAACAAGAACAAACCATACAAAGCAAAAGACAAAGACCACCAAACCTACATAAGAAATTACACAGTCTTGCAGCCATGCCAGACAACATCGAGTTCCAGCCATTGGCAACATCCGACCCCCTCGACGACGACCAACCCATCACAACCTCCACCACCCCAAAGAAACCAAACCCACACTCGCCCAAACACAACTCATTCGCCGCACAAATCGAGCGGCTAGGGGATATGGCCATCTCTGGCCTGGGCCCTGTCTTGATCTCGCTCGCCTTCCTCCTCCTCTCCGTCACCATCGTTTGCTTCTACACCGTCTTCCTACCCTTCCATCATCCATGGAATGAAGGGGAAGGGATTTTCGGGAACTGGGCCTATATCTTTCATTGGATCTGGGCGACTTATTTGGTCTGGGGAATCCTTGCCAATTATTACCTTGCTGTCCGGACACCTGCTGGATCTGTCCTTGACGGCGTATCCAGCTCGGTAATTTTGCACACCATCAATATCAGAACGACGACTTGGAGCTGCGCCGGGAACAAATGGATTCTAACGCTAATGTGTGTTGTGCAATTGAATTTCTAGGGTGATGCCATGTTTCAAGATGTTCTCGGCGAGATGGAGAGTAAGTAACTGGGCTACTCAGTACAGAACGAAGGAGAACGCCAGGGCTTGGTTCAATTGTACTGACATCTCATCTTTTGGACTTTTTCTCTTCTCTGACTTTAGCATACACAGCGACCCCTCCTATCTGCAAACGATGTAAGGGCGGCTCTCATGGACGGCACGTCAGAAAATATAACTCGTTGCACGGACCGGAGTAGTTGGACAGCACCAACTCACAGTCTCTACTTTTCAAATCAATTGATACCACTAGGCCATCTCCCAAAACCCGAGAGAGCACATCATTGCAGTGTGTGCAAGAAGTGTGTCCTAAGATATGACCATGTAAGCAGAGTCACCACCACAACACAGGATAGAGGTCAACAACAGGTCGTGCAAAGTGAGGACAATGTTCGGGGAGTTGACCATTCATGTCCATTCAAACCATTCATGTATATCTAGCACTGTCCATGGATCCACAACTGTGTGGGACATTTCAACCACCGGTACTTCCTTATGTTTCTGACTTATCTGCCGATAGCCTGTGTGTACTTTGTCATCGTGGGAGCTGGACCCTTCATGCTCGCCGCGGACGCCAGCAGCGATGTAAGTACCTCATTGCTATAATTAACAAAGGCTATGCTCGTTTAATGATCTGGCAATTAATTATCTTCGTATGATGGTTACATAGAACAATTGGCCGTACTGGATGGACCGATCGCTGGTCGCATTCTCAGAAGTGTTGGCTGTGGCTATTGGCGTTGCAGTAGGTGGCATGGGCATCTGGCACTGGTACCTCGTAAGTCCTCATCCTTCGCCCAATTTCATTCACGGAGTACACTTTGCACCCGTAGACACCAGAGAGCAAAGTACCCAAAACTCACATCCATCTCTTCTTCCCTTCACTTGGTTTAAATAGGCGCTGACGGCGCAGACGACGTTGGAACAGTACAACAACGCGTACATGAAAAAGATCTGCAAGAAGCGTGGCGAAACGTTCACAAATATGTACGATTTCGGAATCATTGGCAACTTCCAGGATATCTTCAATATTGGGCCAAGGGGGCATTACCCCTGGTACACGGCCCTACTCCCTATCCGCATTCCGCCCATTGGAAACGGCAAGCGGTATGAGAGGAGTGGGCGTGGGTATGTCCTTGACTTTGGCGATGATGATGAGGATATGGTCTGAACGGTGTTGTATAATACATATTTTATTGTTACAAAATTTAAACAGCCCCCCCGTTATCTTTTGTGAGGAAGAGCGAAGCTCAAGGTGGTGATGACGATTATGGCAGATCTCTAGTTGTGAAGGGAGACGGACGACATAATGTCAGGTGCAAAACGGGGCGTTCGTCTGTTCTCCTCCTCCTCCTCATTATTAATCATATCTTCCACTGTCGCTGTTGCTGTTTTTGTGCCATTAGTTTGTGCACATGTGTTTGTGTCAGTATCTGTTGTTGTGTCCGTGTGCTTCAAGGACGACGACGATTGTTGTTCCTGTGGTTGGGCGGAGCGAAGGTGGAGAATAGCACTAGCCTGCTCTAGCGTCATTCCTTCAATTTGCGAGGGGGTAAAATCCATCATAGCCAGACGCACCCTGTTCTCTGCCGGGATCCTAGTAGCAGTGTCTTTGACTGACGACGACGACGACGAGGGAGGGGTGAGGGTGGCGGTCAAGGTGTTGCGGCGTTCCTGCTCTAGCTCGGCCAACTCTTCAGGTGTTGACTTGGAGTGCTCTGGACCTCTGTATCCGAACATGGTCCTATACCGTGGATCAATGATACCGGCCGCCACAGTGGTATATGGAGCTTGGGTCGTTGTTGAGTTTTTCAGTTGCTTGTTGTCGGCTTCCTGGTCTTGAACTGACGCCTCTCTAACTCCTGCTGCCTCTTCAATTGACTCGACAGCGGTGGTGGGAGCAGTAGCGGTAAGCTGAAGAGACTGCCGCCGTACCTCCTCCTCTTCCTCCTCAGCCCTCCTTCCCTTCTGCTCACGTTCAAACTCCAACTGGCCCCTCAGCTTCAAAGCCGCCAGTTCCTGCTTCTCCAAGATAGCATTCCGATGCCTCGCCAGCTCGACCTGGAGTTCACTCTGGAACCGCATCCTCTGACTCTGTTCCAGCTTTATCTGTTCCTCAAGAAGCGAGGCCATTTGTTTGTGTTGGTGGGCTTCCAGGGCTTGTTCGAGGGTCATGGGTGCTGGTGGTGGTGGAGGTGTGTTGTAAAAGGAGGTGGTGGAGGTTTGGTGGACGGTGTAGGGGACTATGGACGCCCAGCGGATTGTGGTGGTGGTGGAGGGTTGGAGTTGGAAGGATAGGGGTCTTCTGGTGGTGTGCCGCAGAGCTGTGGACCAAGATGATAGAGAGGCCATTTTCTGTTTCTTGTGTGTGTTGAAAGTAGGTGAAGTAGAAGTGGGAGGAGTGAGCAAAAGCGAGGAAGGAGAGAGATGAGTGCGTTGAAGCTGAAGAGCGAAAAAGGTGATGAATGGTTTGGGGGAAGTGTGGTTTATGAAGAGATGAAGAAGAGATGAGAAAAGGAAGTTTTTTTTATGCGTTTTGTTTGTTTGTTGTGGAGAGAGAAAGAAGCGGAGTTGCCTGGAGGAAAGCTACAACAAAGAAAGAGAGGGATGGGATAAGCCGTGAAGGTGAACGTAGAGGGGGTGTGGTGTGGAAACGTATCCCTTTTCCTGCGAGTTCGAGTCAAGGGGGATGCAATTCGCGGGCACAGAAAAAATGGAGCAGTGAGGGAGCGTGTGACCGTGTGACCTATGCTAAAAACAGTGGCGTGCGAATCCTGCTATGGAGAGCAAACACCTGACTTGCGCTGACAAAAGTCTACGGTGGGCATCACTGGTAAATCCGTACAGCAGCACGAATATATTATTGCCCAACTCCTCGCCTCTTCTTTTCTCCATGGACAAACTGATCCCAAAGACGACAACTTGCTTCTTCTTTACACCCTCCCCCCCACCTTCTCCATTCCCATTTTTTCTTACTGGGCTCACAATGATGTATGGTAGGCGAACGAAAAAACAATGGACGAGGCAAGGTTCGCCTATGACACTACGGGGTTTTTTCAAGTAAAGGTTTTATTTCGTATTTTGTGATATTAGATTTGGCTTGAGGGAGCGAGTAAGAGGAAACAAGCGAGTTATGTACAAAGGAAATGAGTGAGTCTGGGAATGGACAAGAGCAGCTAGGTATACAATTGAGGGTTTGAGGCAAAGAAAGCAAAAGAGACGCAACAGGACACGCGAAAAGAGCAAGTAATAAAGGGTACGCGAAGCAAAGAAAGCAGAGGGGGGAATAGAAAAAAAAGTCAACGAAAAAAGCTCAGTCCACTTAAGACAGGGAGGAGAGCAGCTCGTTGGGGTAGTTCTGGAGGAACGGGGTAAAGGCATTGAAACCCTTGTTCTTCTCGCCGCGACCATTGTGGCGGTGGATGCGGATGTGCTGGTTCAGGTTGTCGCTTCGAGAGAAGCGCTTGGGGCAGTTCATAATGGGGCACTCGAAGGCTGAAAAAAGATAAAGAACAATAGAACGAAAATTGTGTCAGGAACATGCAACAAAAAGGTATTTGAACCATCCTTTCTAAAAAAAAGCGCGCAACAATTGGAAGTAACAATAAACTTACGTTTATCCATGGTATGGATGGAGCGAACGTGGCGCTTTAGGTGCTCTGACCGCTTGAAAATCTTGCCACAATCCTCAAAGCGGCAGGTGAAAACCTTGCAGCCGCTGTTATCTGGGTTGCACGAGACGCGACGGCCGCGGGAGCGCTTGGGTGTAGGCCTGACCAAGGATGTACCGTTCGAACCAGTGACGCCATTGTTATGGTTATTGTTTCCATCATTGACCGACATTGCGTTGTTATTTCCCCCGATGGCCTGGAAGAATGGCACCGATGACTCGCTCAATGTCCTCGACAGAGGGTACGAGGCCAAAGAGTTGCAAGAGCTAGACATGGACATGCTTCCGTGACTCGAGAACGGCGATCGAGGCGACAACGACGACGAGTCCTCGGAGATGGACGAAAGAGACGAGGTCGAGTAGCTGTGATGATGGTGGTGGTTATGACTATGGTCGTGGTGGTGGCTCTGAGAGTGCTGCTGAGAGTAGAGGTTGTGCTGGTGTGCTGATGCGTAATAATCATCATTGTACACGACCTGGCTGTTGTATGCTAGGGGAGACTGGCACATGGCGGTTCCGGTAGCGTGGTTGAGGCTGGCCTGACCGGTAAGAGCAGTAGCAGCCGCGTGGGAATCGAAAGGAGAAGCGGACGACATGTCGGACAGCTGACTGTCGGAGAAGGTTCGGGACATGGGCATGAAGTACGACGACGAAGACGAGGTTGTCTGAGGGTAGATGTGCTCGTTCACACTGGCAGCAGCGGGGGTTGCGGCAGAGGTGGTTCCGTAAGGCATGAAGGCTTCGCTGTCGTAGTTGGATTCTTGGGACTCTTGACGGTACTCGTTATCGGAGAAGAGGAGGTTGGCGCGGGTAGGCATAAAAGGGTCTTCAGGTAGATCGAGGAAGGTGCAGGCGACAGGCGATGCGGGGTGGTTTCCGAGAATCTGGAGCTGGTGATGGTGCTGTTGTTGGTGTTGTGATGAAGGAGTAGTAGAGGCGGAGGGAGCGAACAAAGGGTGGGAAGGATGGCTGCTGTTGTTGAAGGTGTGGATTTGGGTGTGTTGTTGGGAAGGAGAGGGCGAAGGAGAGAAGGAAGAGGAGGGTGTCGACGCGGGGGAGAGCGCGTTATTTGACTCGATGTGTGACTGCTGGAGAGAGTCAAGGGTCTTGCTGCTCGAATGGATGGTCTGTGCCTTGGAAGAAAGAGACGACTCGGAGAGTGCGGGAGAGGCGAGTGCAGAGGCGGTCATTGTTGTGTTTGCTGTTGTTGATTAGAAGATAGAAATAGAGCACGAAAAAAGAGCGCTGTAGCTGTACAATGTGGTAATGGGGCTATCTCTTTTGTTTCTTTGTTTCGTGTGAACGACGGGAACAAAAAAAGATAAGATGGAGAGACAAGGTGAAGTCGTTGATCTTGAAAGAGAAGTAAAATGAGAAGAAAATTGATCACAAAGAAAAGGATGCGTGGCAGTAGGAGTAACACACAAAGATTAATGCGTAGTACGTGTGGGTGTGTGCTTGTACAAGTAGTGAAAAGTAAAGATAGTGGGAAATGTCTCCGAGAAAAGAGGAGGAGGGTGGAGCAGTTCAATGTTCAATGTGCAACAATAGAAGGAAATGGGGAGGCAATTGTTCAGTAGCAGATGGTTGAGGAGAATGTGGAAGATGTACAGGAGGCGTAAGAGAAGTAATTGAGGTCGAAGAGATGAGAATGATATAGAAGAAGAAGGCAAAAGGCAGAATGGTTGTCAAGAGACGATTGTTGAAGAAGAGGGAAAGGTAAAAAAAAGACGAGGATGAGGGGGATGGCGGTGCCTTTTTGTACTCTTTTTCGTCCAAGGAAGTGAACGAGTATGAGTAGACAGAGTGTGCCTGCCTCTGCCCTTGCCCTTTGGGTGAGAAAAAAAAGACATTCGTGACGGAAAATAAACAAATTGAATTGGACTGAATACAAACACCTCTCCATTCAGTCGACATGCTGTCTATTCAATCCAATTCATACGCCCTACTAAATAATTTTTAAAATACTCTTTAAAATACTTGCTGTCTTCTTTGTTTGTTTGCTTTGTTTGTTTTGCGTTGTTGAACTTGGCTGGTGTTATTGTTGATGTGCTGTTGTTGTTGGCCTGACCTCGATTGCCCGCGGTCCTGACCGCCTGTCCGTCCGTCCCTCTGCCTCTCTGTTTTCGTTTATGTTGTTGTACGTCGGACTGGCTGGCTGACCTACCGATGCAACTGAATGAATGACCAACAACAAAGAAAGAACGGCAGACAATATGTTCCTACTGAATGACTCCACCGCCACCAGCAGCACCACCACCAGCTAAAAACACTCGCACCTACTCTACTCGTTTCGAGTACCCAACACACAAACCACTATTTAGAAACATAAACAAAAACGCGACTGACCCGACTGAACGAAACGGAAACGAACGACAAGAACTGACACCGGCCCAACTGGCCTCGTCAACCCAACCCACGGCCATAGTTTTTTATACTCGTACATCGCGAGGACCCCGTACAAGCGCTCAGGGTAGAACAACCAAAAAAATGTGGTCAGAGGGACTTCTCTCGACTGTTGGTCATTCGGGAGGAGAAGAAAGGGAGGTGTTGACTTTTAAGAAACTGGTACCTGACACGAGGAGAGTGAAAAAAGAAGAAAAAAGAGAGGACCATGAGGGAAGTTAATACGTGGGACTGTAGACTGGGAAACAGAGACGAATGGGCCACCACTTGAGCTATGTGCAAAAATAGAAGTATAGAGGCGACGGGGGATCTAGCCAAGGCCCAGGACGGATGCTCAATTGACCTCGGCTCCATTCGAAAAGGTATGCGTGAGAGATAGAAAGAGAGAGAGAGAGATAGAGAGAGAAAGAGATAGAGAGAGGAAGAGGGAACCGGATCAAAAAGGGCACTTGTCTTTCTGGTTTCTGTCAGTCTGATGCTGCTGCAAGCTGCAGTCCGCAATCATCATACAATCATACCTGTTCATCCAAAAGCGCCCATCCTCAATCTCACATATCCACTCTGCCTCGGCTTGTCGACCACGCTCTATACCCAAATGCGCATCTACCAACTCACGCACGTTCTCACTCTTGATTTTCCTCCAAGAAAAAAAGCGCGATCCAACAGGAGGTTTTTGTCCTACACACACACACGCACACACACACACGCACATTTTGGAAATGGTGTTGGTTACCTCTCCCTCACATCTCTCCACGAACTCACCCAATTGCTATGTCTTCTCGTGTCTGTGTATTGTGTATTGTCGTCATCTTCGCCAAAGAAACGAAAAAATACTCACAGTCGAATCGTTTCCTCTGTCTACCACTTTTCCTCCTTCTCCGGACCCTCGACTTTTTTTTTGTTCCTGTTCCCCTTCCCCTTGAATCTCTTTCGTTTTTGTTGTGCGTTCATAATCATCACTTTTGCTCTGTCTCCTTGTGTGAGAACAGAGCTAAGCTGGTGGTGATGTTTGTGAGGTTGATAGACAGACAAACCCGCCAAAAGACAAGACACACACACACGCACGCACACACGAAAAGAAACAGACAGGACGAGGTAAAACCAAACAACCCAACCAACCAGACGACAGAATAGAACATGTCTTTTTCTTTGTTGAGCAAAGGGAAAGCCCTTGTCAAATAACCTACAGCAGCAACCACTCACACCTGACCCTCACTATCTCTCTCTGTTTCCTCTACATGGCTAATCGTAGTTCTCATATTTGAGTAACCCAATAGCAACTGTCTGCTCAGATTAAAAAAAAAAAGAAGGAATCTAGAGCAAGAACGAAAAGCATGGGAAAGACAGAGAGAAGAAAGATCAGAAAAGGCGAAGCAGAGAGGCAAACCACTAAAAAGTATGGTTCAAAGCGTCGAGAGATTGATTGCATTGGTAGACTATTTCAGCTGCGATGCCTTGTGTTCTGTTGTGTTGCCAACCTACCCCAGCGCGCGTGCCCGCTTGCTTGCTCGTGAAAGAGAGTAGAGGAGTCGAGAGTCGAGAAAAGAGGACTAGAATAGAAAAAAAACGCTGTATGTTATGCGAAATGGATACATATATAATGGCCCATGCGTCTATTCGCAACAGAAAAAGAAAATGGGTTCGAAGGATGCTTGCTTGAATGTGGCGAAAGGGCTCGTTTTTCGTTTTGAAAAAGACACATTCTCGTTTCCTCTATCTAAGTTCCTGTCTGCCTGTCTGTCTATCTGTCTTTTCCTCAACGTCTCTGCTCACTTGACAACCTGTTAGTCCGTGGACAGAGAGGCAGATAAAAAAAAAAGAGCGACAAAAAAATTGACAAACAAGCGGTTTCAATCATGGGTTGAGTTGGGAGCGTGTTTTCACCTTTTTTTGTGCCAGATGTTAACAGATGGTCCGCTCACACACGCACACTCCCTCTGTCTCTTCTGCTTTTTTTTGTCATGCATGATTGTCACGAAGACGACAGTATTCGTTATTGCTATTATAAATGTGCTCTATCTCCACCCACCATACCAACGGCTCTCTTTCTTTTTAGAGAGAGTCTAGCCATCGTCATGAGATCCAGAAGCCAACAGCAAATAAATATCATTGCAAGGAGACGGGGTTCGGTTGGTGTAGAAAGTATTTCTGCGTCTGTGCTCGCTCGTGCGCTTCTGTGTGGATTGGAGGATTAGAGGTTGCATGAGAATGGCCTGGCCACCATCATCGCCACCGCAGCCGCTCATCCGTCAGTGAACCCGTTTGCTACTCTGTTTGCCTCTCTGACTGTCTGCGTGGTCATCATCGTCGTCACCCATAATGGTAAATTCGTAAAAGAAAACGCTGTGTTCACGATCACATACAAGATGCGCCGCCTTATTATCCAATAAAAATAGAACCGCCATTCTACACTCTCTCACTCTCATTTTTTCAAGGAGGTCAACCGTAATTGGTGTTTTGTCCATTCGTAGCGTTGGGATGTCGAAATTGCAACCAGAGCCGGACAGGACAAATAACAAAACAAACAAAAAGAGCTGAGGTGGATGTTATCCCGTCGAGAGTTATTAACACAACGCCGTTGTATTACAGGACCCTGTCTACTTGTCTGAAATGTTCATATCTTGATCTGATTGCCAACCCCTTGGGCCCTTATAGGAGGAGGTTAGGTTGAATATCAAGTGTGTTTCGAGTTTCTTATTCCTCCACCAAGGACGAGTGATAGGTTGGGTGTTATTATTGTGGGCTGGAAGAAGGGGCTGATACTATCCTTGCCGATGAAAAGAAAGATATAGAGAACCCGAACGGACGGCAAAGGACAACAAAGAGGTGAACCTGGTTCCTTTTTGAAACTTGAACCCTTTTTTTTGATGTTACGAGCGAGTATTCTCACCTTTCTCTGAAGTGCAGTTTGGATGGAAGGTCTAGTAAACAGGTTATGCTGAGGTCTTTTCCCTGCTGCAAAAAAAGTGGTCGTTGCGCGAATGGATGTGAACTGTGCGCCCTGGCTATGGTTTATCCTTGATCCAAGCATTCGTGATAGGCATTTAGTATTAGTAAAGCTAGAAGGGGCGAAGGGGAAAGGGTGGATGGGGATACCATGTGCTCCATACGTGCCCCATGTGTTTCCCCTTCATGCACCTTTTGCCTATCCACCCATCCCTCCACAGTATTTGTCCATTGGACGTTTTCTTATGTGTAAATACTCTTGGGCCACAAACCCCATGCACAGCTGATGTAAGATATTTTTATTTCAGCATGGGCAATTTACAAAAGATCCCTCCACCCTCCACTGTGCATTGGTGCATGGCCGTGTTGGCTTTTGAGCCTTTCGGATAAAAGAGAAAAATATATTGGGGTTTATTGGATGCTTGGACCATAGCCTTGTTGCTACATGTCATGCGCTTGCTCTCGTTAGTATTTTCGCTCTTGGAGGGATCAGTTGTTGCATCTTTCTTTATGAGACTCTTAAGGTCCATCAGTGAAAGGACTGATCATCGTCAGTTCCGAGGAGAAATTTTTGTCTCACTCGACTGATCGACTGTACAGTACCTTACCCGTAGTAGTGTTGCATAGAACAGCCATGAAACAGCCAACTGGGGAGCCAGGCCAGCTAATCCTGACAGTCAAGAGCTGAGCGCAATAGATACCTACGCCCTCTTTTCACTGAGCTGTTGTCTCTTCCTACTCTCATTCGAACGATACTCGTAGACCCTTTGCCTATAAAAAAGTCCGAGTGATCGGGATCATGTTATTAGTCCAAGGCGAGTGAATGGAGAGGTGGGTA